AGCAAATTCTTATTAGGTGTGCCCTGACGTGATGTAAAAACTGAGGAAATTAAAACCTGGCCAGTCCGACCGAATTCCCTCCAAATCCTCAATTGGGCCGTCTCGGCCCTTAGGACATTTAGTTTCTGATGCAGACTTAATACTCTGTATATATACCCCTAATATTTCAACGTTCGCCCGCTTTGCTTTACAGAACTTTGTGGATCTAGCCAATGCACGAATTGCACAAAGTTCAAACGAATTAAAATGCCGTTAATCTTGTCTGGACTGATCTCTGTTCCAGCCAAGCACTTTCTGGAGGCACTCCCAGATTCTGGAGACGCGGAAGTTTACGGAATCATGACATCTCCTGAGGTGTGGAAATAGACAGTGGATTTACTGGCGTTGGTCACGCGATCAACGGATTTGGCTGTTTTCGGGCGTGGTGGGAATATTTGAAAGGATAAATTATCCGCCAACCACCTTGATGACCACTTCTTGGTCATGTCTTTTTCGCGAAATGTCCCGCCTTCTAAAGTCTTCTTCTTCCTCAAAAATTGAATCCAATTCATTTCGCGGCCCTCCTCTAGCATCCGCCGAAAAGCCATCGCCTCAGGGGTTTTGTCCAAAAAAATAGGTGCGAAACTAGCTCAGCATGAAGTTTATATCTCGGCGGGAAGACAGGCAGCGGTTCGAATGGTTTTGACGTCTGCGGGGTTTCCATCCGTGGGCCGGCTTTGTTTTGGCCATAGATTTTGTTTCTGATAGTATGATTAGTGTGCAGTTTAATCCCCGCGGTTAGGAAGTTGTTTATTCCATGCAATTTGCATGATATAATTTTTCAACGTGTATGTTTGTTGTATGATAATTATTTGCATCAATGCAATTGAGATAACATCATCTTTCAGCAATGAATTAGGGTTAATCCTGATCCAGCTTCTTCCAGAGTGCGTCTTCTTCTCCTCACAACACCCGAATTAAAAAAGCTTCCCGGGCTTCTTTAAACGGTGTCTAAAATAATTTCCAAATGTTTCCACCCTCAATTAAGGCCGGATTACATCGTACCCACGAATTTCTCATTCATTGCAATTCCGAATATTTTAATTTGGCTGGCTCAAGTTTCTATCCTCATGTTTCTTGAGACATATTTATTTATTTCGCTTCCATAACTCAAGGCTTATATTTGGGGCACAGTAATCCTACCATGATTGGGATTAGGGGTCGTCAAACACTCGGGTGGCCAAAACAATGGCTACAAACTGCAGCGGCCATTACCCGCAGGGCCGAAACCCCGTTTAAACGGGCCATAAAGACGTTTTCGGTGGCCGGGTATCAAGATCATGTCATGTTCGGGGCGAACATAACTCTTTTCGGTTATGTTATCTGGCCCCTCTTTTCGGCCGCTTCTCTTTTAAAAGGATTTCTTGGGGCGTGGAATAATGGGAAAATAGTTTCAGGTGTTATAACGGAGTTTAACGGAACTATTCCCGGTTCCGGCCAATGTTTTTTGCTCTGAGTCTTTAGGAGAAAGGACATTGAACCCTCTGGTTTGGCGGAAAGTCTAAGCCCGGTAGTTGTTGGTGTGCGTAGAAATAGGGCTGTTTGTACTTCACATTCTCACCCACTGGTTTCGAATTCCGTGTTCTGATCTTATCAGTGTCGCTGCAGGAAGGCGGCCCTTCCCAGAACTCGTGTTACATTACTCTTCCCATATTTATCACCATGGCCGCGTCGACCACTCGAATCTAACTGGTTTCGGAGTTTCGGATGGCACTCTCTTTGCACATCCGACAAGATGTATGTGACCCTGAGGGTGATGCGTAACCTCTTGAGTCTAACCACTAGTTATCCCCGAGGAATGAGCGGCGGCTTCGGCCTCAAACGGCGGGTTGTTGTTATTGTTTTTGGCGTTGGCCGCAATCCAAACCGGGCCCCAACTTTTTCGAAAGCCGCGCCGATCCCTGGGGAAGTGGCTCTGAGGCGCCGCGACCCCCCGAACCCGCGTTTTTGTCTTATTTTGATAACTTTGATCAGTTTGTTGCTAATTCCAGGCGGTTTCATTCTTTTGCTTTCTTGTTTTCTTATCAGTTCGTTCCATTTTTGCTGCATTCCCGGAGGGTCATGTGCCAAACCGACGCTGATAACCCGGCCTTTTTTGGCTCCCCTTTAAACTTGGTTTGCAATTGATGATGTAGTTATTGATTCTATTTTTTTCGCGGTCTACTGTAGTCGGGGTATGCCGGACTGATAACTAAACGATCGGGTAAAGGATGTTTAACACCGCACTTGCAATTATCATGTTGCAGACTTTGTATTTCCTGTGACAACGACGACCCTAAGGGCTTTTTTAGTTTCTAAGACCGCATTACATCATTGCAGGCACATTCCATGAAATATTTATATCGGTACGGTAGCCAGAATCTAATCCTTAAACAGTTTTTGGGCTGAACTGCCCGCGGCAGATTAGATTCCTTCAAAAACTGCTTAAGAGCACCACAATAGTGCACTTAATAAACTCGGTTACGCGCGCCTTTCCTGATTGCATCCTCCCGAAGCGCCTTTTATTATCCATGTTCCAACCAATTTCCGCACCAAATCGTTTCGACTTTGTTTAAGACGGCGTCAATTGCTTTTTATAGTTTAAAGTTCCGCAACGTTAAGTTAATTTCAGCGGCCAAAAGTCGGTAACGAACCGCTAAGGACTCTTTGAGCTCGAAATGTATTTGTTTCTGTTCTCTTACGTAAATGGAGTATTTGATTGTGCCCATAAACCCTTTTCCAGTTACGGTATGCTCGAGCAAGACCCTCATCTTTGTATATCGTGTTGTTCTTAGTGATAAGCCGGCTCTTTTGCAGTGATCACTCCACTGTTTTGTTTTCCCAAACTTATTTATCTTTCCGCTTACAACTTTGAACGCATTAACCGTGCACTATTACTGTCAGCACTCTCCAAGATTGGTATGGTTATAGATTTTTGACTGGCATGTTTTCCATCTTTGTTTATCGCAAAACCCCTCGGGCAGTAAACCTAATGGACGGTAAGGCGGGGGCCAATAGCGACACTCGGGTTTGTTTGTGTCCTCAGGCAAAAAACCGCTCTTCTCGCGGGTTTTTGGGCCTTAAACCGTTTCCCACTTGTGTCCCCCTCCCCTCGTCCCCCGCCCCCTTTTTTGCGCAAATAAAATTGGGGCCTGGGAGACGGTAGGTCGCTTTTTCGGAGGGAAATCCGTGAAGTTCAGTCAAGAGAAAAGAGGATTTAATTTTTATTACCAAGAACCAAATCAACTTGTCGCTGCGGCTCACTCATGCATGACTTTGAGTTTTATTAAGACTTGCGGAGATGCCTGTGGTAATGCCCTGAGGTCAATTAAAGTGACCCCTTTCCCTCGCTGAAACAACAAGTCGACCGTGATGTTATAGGCGAGTAATCGTGGGATAATTGACATTCCGGCGATGGATAGTGGACGTTGGATGTAATAAAGAGGCCGGATATCAGATTAGACTTGAGACCGTGAAGCAAAATGTAGACTGGATGTGAGCATGAACAGTAACAAGAAATTTCCGAATCTTAGTTCGCATTTCAGTACCAAATATTTTAGGATTTGTTTGGCATTCAGTTTGTTGCAAACAATGTCTCTTGAACAGCGAATCTCCTAAATTGTAACCCAGTAATCTCTGTGAAACTCTGCTAATTCCCCGTTCTTTCGTCGACTGGTTTTCGTCTCCGTTGATTGGCTGAGTTAGCGACGGATTCTCTTTTTTGCAAACGGTTTCGGCGACATTTTCCTTAACTAATTGGAAGCAATCGACGCCCCCCCCCCTCCCTCCGCTTTTACCATCTCCAGATCCAGATCATGAGTCTGTTTCGAAACGTTTCGTCTTTAATTTAATTGTCTCTAAGACTTTTGTTGTGCCGAAACAGCTTCCGATAAACGCCTCCAGACTGGAGCAGCTTCACATTTGTGTGTTAGGTGTTTGGCATGTTGTTCCCAGGCTCGTAACAGCCACTCGGACTGCAGTTCTTGCATGGTCTCCAAGGGAATGGACATCGTTTTTGCGTGATCATGTTTTGATCTGCTCTGGAAATGCGAATTCCCTCTACGAAAGAAGGCCAACTGATTTCGAGGCCTTTTCTAATGGGCGATCGCTCTCTTAAGCGGCGGGCCCGGTTCTCATGGCCCGATGCCAAAAAACACCCTTTGTTTGCAGTGTTATCACGTCGCCCGGGAGACCTGTAGATTGATCAAAACTTTTTTCATTTTTTCTTTGAAATTGAGAACATCTTTTTTAAAGATCGGAGACTTTTTTTATTGCCTGAGGCAGCTGGTTCCGGAAACAAAGGCCCAGCCAGGTTGGGCTGGTCAGGTGTGGGGTGTTGGCCAATATCGTTTTTTTTATCAAACGTGATAAGCCATCCCAATGGGTACGTTGGGAAAATGTAATTTTGGGTGGAAATGGGATGGGTTGGTGGGAAAGTTAGGCGTGAAGAGAACATTATTATATGCCACTATATTGTCAGCCTAAGTTGATTGACCATGTATAATATCACTATGTACTTTCTCTGATCTCTTACTCACTCTAGCCCAATATAGACGCTAGCCATTCCCTTGCATTGTTTTCCCAACGTTTGAAACTCCTTTCCAACGTTTTTTGTTGTTGATTAACTGAGTCATTGACTCTTTTGAATAGCTCACTTTTCTTTTTTTTGTATTCTGTTTATTCGTTTTTTACACATATCTTGTATACCCTAAGTATCAAGGGATTTGAGAGACTCTCCCAAAATTTAGACCTGTGTAATGTTTAAAATAATATATTTTGGAGAGTTTGAAGGCCTGAAGAGAGTTTAATCGAACACGTTCAAACCTCCCGCAGACAGCGAACTCGAGAATGTGGCAGCCATATTCTCAAGAAACCCTTGATAGTTACTCTCTTTCTCTTTTTTGTGTATTTTGGTTCTAAATTTCGATTATTTTTGAAAAAATCGCTCCGAATTTTCCGGTTTTTTATTCGCTGAGGTTTGCTTATATGAAGAGAGTAAGTGTTTGGAAGGTTTTGAGGATGGAATTGTTTGCCATTCCACCAAATGGAGAGAAAGTTCCGGTAGGATTCACACTGAGGGGATCAGGATGTTCGGCATCGTCTTCAAGGAGGATCTCGAGGAGGATCTCGGGATGTGGAAGAAGACACAGAAGATACCACAAGAGCTTCGAGGATGGTTCGGGAGCTGTTGTTCCCGAAATAACCTCAGGCTATTGCAAACTTGTTGTATTTCTCTTCTTATCTCTTTAACAACCTTACTCACTGCTAGTTTTATTTCAAAATCGTCTCCTTCCTTCTCACATGCTCCCATCAGTTTGTTATAACAATATTTATTACACTTGCACCTCTCTTTATAAATCGTAACGAATCGCTTCAGCGATTGTTTCATTGTTTTTTGCCCTTATGTGTAAAACTCTTTAATTGCCTCTTCTTGAAACCACCTAGCTATTTTTTCAAATTGTTTTTTAAGTGTTCTCGGTAGTTTGGATTTGGCGATTTGCTAATTGCCCTGTACTTTGGTTACATCCAGTATCGAGTACGTAATTCCATTTCTGGCCATAGTTTAGTATACTAGTCATGTTCTGGGATATCATTGCATACATATTATGTCTTGATAACTCTATTAGTTGGAACGCTCTCGCTCAAAATACCGATCAGCTGAGCGCAGTTTGACCGTGGTCCAGTAGCAATTGATTAAGCCGCGACTCGCTCTTCTTCTCCGTCGACAGACGAAAAGAATGGTTTCGTTTCGTCCAGTTTCAAAACAAGGTCGGCCCCCAAAAGGACACGATCAGCAGTTTTGGTGATTTCTGTGAAGAAAAGAAAGCACCTTACTTACTACCCTGAAAGGGCTCGTTCTGGCTCCTCGCGCGTCTCCTAAGTGCGCTGTCTTCAGGTATTGGGGAACTGTCTCGAGAACGCCCCCCGCCTCACCGTTTGTCCAGCTGGTTTTGGGAGCCGTTTAAAGTTTTGAGAAGATCGTTTGAAAATCGAGAGCCAGGGGGCATGTGATTGCCGGCGGTTTTCTTAATTCTTACAACTTCTTTCCCCACATTTCTCGCATTTTTGGGGTGGTGACAATTGGGGCGAGCTGGTCCTTTGATGGCCAGTGGTTTTTGACTTGACTCTCGAAACATTTTGTAATCTGGAATAATATCTTATGTGATGACGCTTAAATAAATGGCCTTACTCCGACCTTCGGCCTGATTTAGCCCCGATTGCGAACTCAGAATAAAAATAACCGACTCCACTTCTTTCAAGGTTTTGGGTTTTGAAATGTTTTTTAATTCCCGCGCCGCTTATCCCCAACCTCATCAACGTCCGCCTTAACTGACCTCTGCGAGCGTTTTTTGTGCCGCCGATTCTGGCTTTTCGGTCTTTACAAAAAAACGGAAAGTTGGCTTTTGTAAATACGGGACAAAACTTTCTGGACCTTAAAATAGAAGACTGGCCATTTAAAGAGGAGCCGGTGGGTTTTGTTTATTCGTAATATTGTGAACGGAGTCTCTTTTCGGCTTCTGAATCCACAAAAGCGTTTTTATCAAAACGATATTTTTAGGCATGTTATTCTGGCCCTTGATGGGAAGGAATTTACCCCATTAATTCTCTTTTTGTTTTCCCTTCGCTGAGACTGTCCGAAACTTTCCGCGACCGGCCGAAAAAACAGTTTGAGAAGGGGAGCCTTCGGTTGTCACCAGTGCGCGATCAGCTGTTTGAGACCCGCCGCTCCGCTCCGACCACCCGCTCCCGGGCACGTGTGATAAAGGGCAGGCGGTGATCCGTAAAAGGAATAATTGAAATGCAAATAAACGGGAACAAATCATTTCGAGAACACTACTGTAACATATGCTAATCGGCCGCGACAAAAACCCCGGATTCCGAGGACAGTAGACGATTTGGGAGGTCGTTTTTGACTTTTATTGTATGCACTTTCGAACTAATCATCGAAACGATGGCGGTGTGATAGGTTTGGGTTATTTGTAATTGATTGTATTTTGGAACCACTTTCCGGAGACATTCCCACTCCATTCACAGGTGTCAATGGCGACAGTTCATGAGCCCCCTCCAGGAGCAGATGGTTCAGATGCCGAGGCTGAGGTTCCGAGGCCGGGGTACCGCCAATTGTTTGATGGATTCCCTCGCTCTCTCCCCATTTCCAGAAACCGCGAATTATTTGCAGCCACAAAAAATGGCGACGCGGCCTTAACGACAACCTAGGCAGCCGGTTAGTCGCCCCTTGAAGCCGCCCGCTTTAGGCAGCCGGCCTCGGCGAAACCATTTGGTTTGGAATCGCCCCCCCCCCCTTCCTGGGTCCCTTAATTCGAATTCGTCGCGTTTTTATGGGCAGGATGTTTTTGCCTTTTCGTCGGTTTCCCTGATTCCGAACATGTGCGTGATCTTCCGCGTCTTCTGACGCTTTTATTGCGGTTTTAGGACTGAACCCGGCTCCCCTCCCAAGTGTCAAAAACCCGCGCCGATCTTAAGTGCTGTTTTATTTGGCCAAAGTCGTTTGATGGCCTCTTTGAGGGTTTATTTACGAGTGCGCGACTCACCTGTTTCATAATCTCGACGCAGACGTCGCCCGTTTCCGCCGGTCTGTTTATGACGAGTTTCATTGGCTTATTCAAAAAATTTTATTTGAAGGGATTAAAGGGGCGTGGTCTCTTTGTTGCGCAATTTGTGCAATGATTAGAAACCGTATCATGACGTCCATACCAGTTTCTTTCTGAGTATTACTTTTGAATGTTTTACTTCTGATTCTTTTGTTTTTTGAGCCTTTGTCACTACACTGTCTCACCGTATCTTGATAAGCAATTTGGAATGTTTTATCATTCACTTCGAAATCAAAACAAAATATCCGATTTATAAAAAAAAGTTTATCCGACTTCTGAATCCGTGATGTAATACGGGCGTACTGTAAATCTTGGCCCGGTTCTTTAAAACGTGTCCATTTTTTTGGTTCGGTCTCGAAGTCTGGCCCCTAAACACCGAAAATCACCAGGGGTGGATGGATGAGGGGATTCGAAACCCCGCGTTCACACGTAAATAAACCCAACTCATTATGGCTTCAATTCAGTTTGAGTGCGACTGTACCGCCAAAACCCCAGACGCTATCCGGAAACCCTGTCCCATTTTTAAAGCCAGTAATTTTTGTTTCCTCACACCTTTTTTCTGGAAGCGAATTACGTTGTTTATTTCTTGCATCGATGTGTTGTGCTGCACTTGGATCGAGGAAAGCCTAGAGCGCTGTTTTCGGAGGATCCGAAGCCTTGGGGGTTTGTGGCATCCTGCCGATAATCGACTATCCATTACTCTAACACATATTTTGCAAAGTGCAAGAAAACGGAAGTCGAGTGCTCTACTTTCCAAGCGATTTATTGTAGGCAAGATTAGACGATTTTAGGTGTTGTAATCACCCAAAACCAGATCCGCAAATCTGCCCGGGGCCGCTCACTTCTTCCGCCCAATTTTTTGTACGACGGACCGATCAGGTCCTGGTACAAAACTCCTCTCTCATTCTCCTTCTCGTTGGCCCCCACCAACAGATTTTTGAGACTGTGTAAACCGGCCTGGGTCTCCTTTCAGTTGAGCCTTGGTTCGTGTCGAATTTCGTGTTGCGATCGGTTTCGCGTGATGATCTTGACCAAGATATCCACTCTAACTTGCCTAATTGACAGGTAATTAGTAGTTCGAGTTTATGCCGCTAGTCTTTCTACAGGGGAAATACCCCAAGTACGGCGCTCAGATCTTGATGCAACTGGGCATAAATATAGATAAATTTTTTCCAAGACATATGCGGGATTCCTAGCTCGCGCTTTGCAGAACGACCGAGGGTTTCAGATCAAAACTTTAAAAAAATGCTAGTTTTTTGCGAATTTTGGAACAGAAAGTCTCATGCCCATTTCTACCGGTACCTTTCCTGTTAGTTTCACTTAAACTCCTGAGGTTTTACGGACTTTATGTCATCATCAAACTCATCTAGATGCATGCACGGTACAGTGAATAACTGTTTCACTAATCGAATAATTGTACACACTAACTAGTTATTACTTTTCTCGCGTCTACAATAATTAATCCAACAATTTGTGTTACTGTAGCGTCTTAAATGGGTCAAGAAAAAACATGAGAAAACCGGTGAATATTGTACCTGCACTCTCTCGCCGCTCTCGGATTTTATAAATTCCCGCCCTTGAGGCTGTTTGAAGCCACTTGGCGTCGTCTTCGCGCCCCAAACCCCGCCCTCGACTTCGTTTTGACTTACCTCCCTTTTTTCGCCTAACTCGCCGGCTTTTACCAAAGCTAGTCTCTGTTTTGTGGGATTATTATTGAAGCGCGCGCGACTTCACTCCGATCCCAAAAACTTTTTAGGGCTTCGGATTGTTGCGACCTCGTGGAAACGCGTTACAACTTCCGTTAATTTTCTCAATTCGAGTTTTGTTGGGTCTTATTATTATTAATGATCTGTGCCCATTTCAGGCAATCCAGTTTATTGGTCTGATCATCTTGGTGCCCGGCATTCTATTCCCGACGATTCCCTCAGATTGCCCACAGTGCTGCCCTTCCAGAACCCCGCATCCATCATTCTGGGTCAAACGGATCTTGTCGATCGCCTCGCCGCCGCAACGTCGCTGCAGATGCAGGCCCAGTTGCGTGCCGTTCTCGACGTCACCAACGCCCAGGCCAGCATGCAGTCAGCGTTGAACGGCGGGGATTCGGACTCCAAACAACTCCTGAACTCGATCACAAGTCGGCTACAAGAGATCGACATGAAGTTGTCATTTGTCGTGGAATTACTGGCAAATCGAGCAGGCCAACAAGCCGTTGAGAATGCAGCTCAAGCCTTGAACATCCCCGTCAGCAAAGTTGTTGGCACCCATCAATTCGGCAATGATCAGATGAATGCAGTCAACATTGCTGCTGCGATGAGTACATTGAACAATCTAGTGCAGGTACGTGGATTCCCTTCGAGTGCAAGTCTTGGTCTCTGGTCGCCTCCCATTTCCTGGTGTTTATCCATTACGATTACTATATATCCCCAGTACAAACTATTAGCGTTTTGCGAAAGAGTTCGGTCTTGTGACCGGCCTCAGTGAGCCCTTGACCGTCTATTTAGTCCAAATGTCATTAATCCGTACACGGAAACAGGCCAGCGGACCGTCATATCCACCTAATCTCCGACCCAAATTCAATTTATGACGTGCGCGACCCGAAACCTGGGATTTGTCTGGGCCCACACCTCGCCGATTAATCCTGTAAAACCAATTCCGTGAAGGAATTCGGACAATTAGCAGTGCTTGCAAGAGATTAAACACTTCGGAAGAATCCCCTCCTCCTCCCCCGACACCAATGACGAGGGATAATAAGCCATGCAACGAAACCAGTAGGGATTATCATAATTAATTGGCCAAATCACATCATGGCCATTATCAGGAAAGGATATCAAAGTTTAATGATATCCCCGTCACCTTCGAAGGGGTCTTGTGTCCTGCAAAATTGTTGTTTGATGACATCGTCTCATAATCTATGACTTTTAAATATGACTTCATTTACTAATCTGGAAAGCATTTGCAGAATCATTCTCCCAAAATGAATTTCCCTCCAATGTTCATCAAGAATGAGAACACTCTATTAGGATCGCCTCAAGATGGCCAGAGTAGTGTGGCCCAATCCCTGTTCAGTGACAGTCTCACCAATTCCTTCACATCCAGACTACTGGCTGCTTGTCAAGAACGACCCGACCTTTGTATGGCGTTGGCCAACAATGGAATGAATCAGAACGTCCAGACCAACAGTTCATCTCCCGGTTCCACTGATGCTCCAGCGGCCTCTCCATCAGCATCAACCCCTAAAGCAGAGAATGGTGGGATCAAGAGTGAAGAAGCAGCTTCATACGGAGAAGGGATGGAAGAAGACAACGAATTTGATGAATTCGACGATGAAAGAGAATCTCCCACAAATGCGGCAAATGTAGCCTTAGGGCATTTGTTGCAACAATCAGCCAAAGAACAACAAGCGAATGGAGATTGGCCCCAGGGTGCGGACAGTGCGGCAGCCATAGCCGTGGAAAGTAAATTTCCTGAAGGTGCGGTCAGAAGGGCCGCGGAGAAGGCCGCCAGGAGCTTCCAAAGCACACAACCCAAGGTATGCCAAGCTCAAAGTTGCATAAGTATTGTACTTTTGACTCCCCGCACTTAATCCCGGTTATCCAAGCGGCTTCTCTTTCCCGATAGCCTCAGGTTCTTCAAGTTTTCGCGAATGACTGACTGACCACTCAAAAGACAAATAGTTCATGTTTTCTACGGTAGATGGGGGACGCCGTTTGATTTGACTACGGTAATAAGAGCCGCACTCAAAAAGTTGTGTCCCAGGTAATCGGACACCCATTTCTCGGGCCTGAAAGCCTCCAGGCAAGAAGAAACGAAAACCCCGAAACCATTTAGGCAGGGGGGGCTGGGAACTTCTTCAGTTACTGATCTCCCTCTATATTTCTGAACCCCCGAAACTCCATTTATCCCGTAGCGAGAGAAACAATTACAGGGCCGTAATTTGAGACCCCCACCAAACAAAAGGAAACCAAAACTTTTGGAATTAATGCTCTCGAGATTTCAGGTCTTTGCGTGGCAAATTCTGCGCGAATCCATCACGGACGATGAACTTCGCAACATTCAGATCTCTCTTCGCACATTTCACGGAGAAAGCGCCCAGCATTTATTGTCCAGACAACTCCCCAAAGTAAGCATTACTATATTTGGAATTTACAATAATGTTCCGCAATAATTCGGTAAACTGAAGGTATTGGAAAACCCAAAAGCTTGTGACAAACTTTCGTTAAAGGTCACTTTTGTATTTTTAATTGTTATGTTCTATAACGAGTAATTCTTCAGATACGATTGGTCGTGGAATCCACGATGAGCTACTTTAAATGGGATCAGTTGAGTGATGAAATGCAGCTAAGCAAGGCCAAATTACTACTTTCGCATCTCAAAAACAACGCCAAAGTTAGGAATTGGACACTGCGAGAAGGACGCCCAAATCGGTAAGTATCAACTTTTTTCGTATTATCATAAATGCGAAGGTTAGAAGAAACTCTAGGTCAAACTACAATCAAAAATTGCAAAATAGTAACCATTGTTTCGTAAGACTCTCTCTCACTTTTGGAATTAACCAGTTAACTCGGTTACCAGGCGGTCGCGCTTGTTTGTCTAGATAGATCCCTGTGATCAGCCTTAATCGCCGTTGTATGTACGGTAGAAAACCCGTGAGTGAAACCAAAAGACGAACGGACCAATCAAAACCGGAATGCTCCGATTATGGTAAAAGGGGGAAGGGGCGTCTTCAGAAACCCACACTTAATGGATTCGAAGCCGCGAGCAATTTTTGCGTCAATTTGGATGCGGACGCCGGTAATTAGAGCGGGGACTTGACCTTCGGAGACTGAACTTATTGGATTAAGGTCTTATAATAACACTCAGGGATTAGTAGTCATATTACTAGTAGTCATTACTCCTTCACAAACAAACAATTTCAGAACCCAGAACAACCAGAATGCCGAGAATCTCTGGAAACGATATGCCGCTCTGCTTGGTCCCGGTGGTCTCGCAGCCGTGGGATTGTTTGGAAAACAACAAACTCTAGCGACCAGTCCCCCAACCACCCAATCCGAGTTTGGGAAATCCTCTTGATTAAGTTATTGGAGTTCCCTTTCCCTTCTTCTCTCGGTATCCCAAATCAGCCCAGTTAATGTTGGTCTTATCTCTTATCAGAATCTTCTATCCCCAAACAAATCTAAGGCTTTAAAGTAATTATTTGGATAGTTTCGAAAGTTGTTCTCAAACGGGTCTCTAGATTTATATAATCCTATTGTTCCATGGCCGTGGCTTTCGTCAGGACATCGATGCACAGTGCTTTATTCTCCATTTGTTTTCGTATTTCTCGTCTGATATTAATCCATCGATGTCCCCGAAGAAGCTGGCTTTTCCTCCTCTAATTAGCGCCCCTTTCCATTAATTTCTGCACATATCCGTTCAATCAAAACCCCTTCCCACTCCCCTTATGTACCTTTTTTGTCCCGGTTCGGGCTGTAGTCCGCCCGCACCAGACCAGTGCAATTCTCTCCCCGACTTTCAAACATCCAAAGATCGTAATCAAATACTAATTAACAATGATTCCCACTCGTAATTCCAAAGAATGGTGTTAGGTTTTTCTTTTTTACCGTATTCATGAATGTACATTGATATTCCCATTATACAGAATCACAAAAAACATTTTAAATGGATTCTTTTGCATCTAATAAAGATATTTCAAAAAGTGTGCTCAATTAATTAATCTAAACCCTCAATCTCTATAATTTTACGAACCGAAAAACCGATAAAAAATTAATTACTAAATGCAAAAACTTATTTGACAATTACTGCAAAAGAGTTGATGTTTGATCTCAATTTTGTATGTAGACTCGCATCCGGTACCACCCAGTCCAGTCTTTCGCCCATCGATTAGCCGATTGTTGACAGTCCCAAACCCCGTTTATATTGAATTATAATTGCCCTTGCGTTTATCCAGGAATCAGAGCAGAATTCATTTCAAAAAACCGTCATAACCAAGTAAAAGGCAGCAGTTCTTTTATTCACGCTGGACAATAAGAGCGAAGAATAATAATTGTTGGAGGGGCGACAAAAACCTTCCATTTTGCGGCATCCCCCACCTCCCTACCCAAGTTACTGTATAAACCCTGTTTACTACCAATCGGAGTTACTGCGAGCATACTGTAGCCATAGCTACCTTTCAACATGGTCTTATCCTCTGCCTGGAACAATATGGAGTTTGGACATCAAACAGAACTTGTTCAAAGGATGTTGTTTATCTTTCTGAGTTATCCTCGAATTAAGACAAAGGGACTATGCATTGTCTGGCCATCAAGTATATGTCCCGTCATACCACTAAACACTCGAGGCCACTACTGTTTGTTACCGTAATCTTTATTGTTTTACCTAACCCAACACTCAACTTTTCTCCCGACTCAAACTCTTTTCTGTCGAAACAGGTGCGCGAGAAGAGAGAGGAGGCCAAGAGTGGGGGTTGTTAGCATTGGGCCACCAATTCTTTAATAACTCGAGGCCGAGGCCACTTCTTTGCCTTCCAATCCGGTGTCGAGAGGTTTATAAAACAAACTTCGAAGCTCTTGATCAAGACAATCGCTTTTCGCATCGCAGCTTTTGACAAGTAATAATAACCAGTGCTTCCTCTCGTTTCCGCTTCGCATGCACAAAAACCGATTTCCATTAGGGGCGCTTTACAATAATATACGACCATTTCCGCACCAGCAGGCAGATTCATAAACTTTGTAAACTCGGACCCGGGTTTTCGAATCCAACAAAAAGCCGGGGATAATTGCCGACAGAGATCAAGGTTTACTCAAGCTCATACCATCACTTCGTCACCTTTAATCAAAAATACAAATATCTGCAACTAACAGTTACAAGATTTGAAAAAATTATATTACACATTGTTTAATTATTAACAAAGTTAATGTAACATCTGAACTTAAAGTAATCAAATAAAAGCTGTTTAGAGATCTTCCCTTCCATTCTTGCACGGTGCGTCATCAGCATTATAACAAACGGCGTCCTAAAAAACAGGTAAAGTCATCATCAATACATCAACTCCATGAAGTGTAGAAGTCCTGAACCCACCACCAAATCCTTGTCAAATCTCGTTTTGTGGAACCATTTCTCCAGAATCTCTTCATTTTCTTCCAGAATTTTCTCACAATCAAACTTTAGCCTAGCTGCCTCCACTGGAGGTTCATCCCAGAGATTCATGGGTATATCTGCTTTGATCTATAACATAAAGATAAACCTTGCAAATTTCAACGACTAAAAAAAGGAAACAATTCTTACATTGGTTCCTTTGCTGGCCATATCCTTTAATTTATGAATCAGAGCACTTTCACTTTTCTGGAACCTCTGAACTCCCGCTTTCTCTCTATGAACTCTGTACTCCATCATTCTTGGACAGAAATCTTCGATCAGGTCAAGGAAAACGCCCTCTGCCACGCCCGGTTCACCCTAAACTTTCATAATTTTAATCGTTTTAAATAACAGTGGAGAAATAAGACCACAACAATCGTTAGGAAGCAATCCGAAAAATTAACTTTTTCGTCCTTCTTTCTCATGCCTTCTCCACTTTCATCATTCCACTTTTCAAAAAAATTGAGGGAAGCATTTCTACCGCCTTGTTTCTGAACGACAGTTGTGGACTTATTCCTCCAGTCTTAAACCATGAAACCGCAAAAATAATACTTACGAACTTCTTCGACAACTTCCTGGCGTGATCTTGGAAGTCTCTAATACTTACAACACAAGATTCACATTCATTAGGCATCATAACTTCCCCTTCCTCGATTGGGGAAAATGCTTCGCTTTGAACAATAATAAAAAACAAAAATAAAATGATTAAATTCTTATTGATCCTGGATCCTTCTTTCATCGTTTTCGTCGTTCTCTTTCTCGGCTCTTCCATCATCAACAGTCTCATCTTCCGGCCGTTCATTTGAACTTGGTTGTTGATCCTCGGCCACGTGAGAGTTTTGCTAAAATTATGCAAATTTGATTCCCCCCTAGAAAACAAAAATATAATAAGAAATCTCACCAGAATTTTTGCTCTTCGTCTAAGATAGTAGTGCCATTGCAACAACAATTGATCCTCGATGAATTTGGCATTCGTCGAGACGACCATTGCTTCACGGAAGTCAGCATTCTGGAGATTTTCGAGCATTGACAGGGCTTGCGGGAACTTGAGACATCTAAAACAATAAAAACATAAAGGATGGAAAACTTACTTTGCATATTCAGGACGCTTCCAGTAAAGCAAGTACTTCAAATAGTTTAGAAAGTACTGCTCTTTAAAATACCCGCGCTGAGCAAGATCTGAAATCATGCATAAAGAAAACTTCATATCAAAATTGTATTATTACATGTAACGTAATGCGGATTGGCCAAGGATTGAATGAATTCACACTCCACCTCAAACCTCCTTTGAGCTTCCTCAGCAGTCTCCTCTCGTTGAAGTTGTTCGTTGGGGTTTTGATTCAGAGAGAATGTACCCAACGACGGAATGTGGGCTGAATCTGAAGAAGATATTTACCTTTGGAAGAGAACTTACTTCTCGAATCCAGTTTGAAATTAGTGACCTAGATAAGTTCAACGGTGAAAGAGTCTGAAACTAATCAGAAAGCAGATAAAACCTTTCCGTTTTTTTTAGCTTCAAAGATTTATTTGGGCGCGAGCTGCGGAGCCAAGAAATAATTTTTGGAAAAACAAATTATACGATAAACAATTATTGCAACACAAGACGAAATTGTGAGTTTTGTAAAATATACAAACAATTTTATTCTTCTTCGGCCTGCATAAATCACAGTAACCGTAATAATCAATATCCATGAGCATCTGGAGCTCTCATTCTGGGCTCCCAATCAAACGGACTCTTCAGATCTTTGACTCCGGCCTGTTTCCAAGTCTCTTCCATCTTCTTCCAAATCTGTTCATAATCGATGTTATCGTCAGTCAGGCAAGATATGTAGGTGTAAAGGGCCGAATATTGAGATGGGCATTCAGCGAAAAGAGTCTGATCCGTAATTGATTGTCTTTTCACAGATCCCATCATATCCAGAGGGCATCCTTCCCATGGCAACTTGGCCGTGGTCATGTCCACTAACAAGAAGACCAACGCTTCGATGTCGTGTCTGGCTCCAATTGGTCCTGCAACAAGTATTAAGATTGTATAGCGAATTCTGGCAATGTATGCTTTACCTCCGTTATGATGTTGCATTGGGGCATATAACTGAGCGCCAGCCCATCTGACAGGAGCGTCCAACTTGATCTTCACTGGGTCCACTCTGACGCTGCTCAGATCACTCAAATAAATGGATTTCGTATGGACATCAAATCTAATGACATTCGGATCCATACGACGGAGAAGGTAATTCAACGTGTGGACGAAATTAATGGCCTGAATATACGTACTTCAACCCAAGGTATGATTCGTTTCAATCTTGCTATATCTACTATACCTGCTACGTATATTTTTACCTTGGAGATATGATAGGCGACTCGAACCGCGGTTCCAACCGAGAATTTGCCAGCAGGCATTGCTCCGAGGCATTGATTGAGAGTGGGTCCGGGCCGGAAACGAGTCACGAAGTAGATAATTCTCTGATATTTTGCACCATGCATAAATTGCACAAAGAAATCGCAAGCATTGATCTGAAGGACAGCTTGAAGAAATCCGGCTTCTGAACGGACCAACGACAACAGATTCTTCTCCGAATCCACTTTCACGACGAAGCCATCGCCCTCTCGATTGATCGCATTATAAGTCAGACCGAGGGCAGGATGGGAAAGGACGAGTTCTGTCAACTTGAACTTGCCCGCCAAGATGGTCCCGATTGGAAGTTCGTCTACTTTGGCTTTAAATAATTTCGTCAATGGATTACGAGTAGTCCATGAGGTACCCCAAACCCTTTTCAAACCGTACCTTCTCTATTGTTATTTCCTCCTTCAGCGTTGGCGTTGTTGTTAACCGGCATCTTTGAGAGCAAAACGACCAGCCGTTTCTCCGTTTTTTGTCGCAATTTGTTGTCACCACAACCCAATCTCCGTCAATGATCACGAAAGTGCTTTTAAAACTAATTTATTCGAAATTTACATTAAAATTTGTTTATCGGAACATCTTTTTTGTCTTACTGTAACAATAGTTTAATTGTCATCATAACATAATCTATAGCAATCGGCAGTGACGCAACAGTACGTCATCAACCTTTTTTGATCGTTACTCCAACCCAAACATTCCAACATTGCCAATTGGGCTACATTGTAAACGTGGTCCGGCCTTCCTGATTCTGAAAAAAATCAAACCTTGAAATTGAAATTACACCAACCGTGCTATGTATAGAAGACGTGCAAAAGCCTTGGACACCAAAATATGTAAGCACACATAAGTTTTGCAAATAATTTTACGCGTAAAATAAACAAAACGATCTTTCTACCTCTGCTAAAAACTGTTCCTTTGAGGCATGGGAATTCCTTATCCAGAAAAGTGCACAGCTGATTGATCTGATCCGTGGTTGTTTTCACACATTCTGTCAGTCTCTCCCTTTCCTCTTCGATCATGTCTTCCATCAATTCTTTCCACTCATCAAAACCCGGATAAATAGTTCCAGAATTCCTCTTAATCATCCTCCCATTGGTCTTTATCCTCAGCAGATACTGAAAATAATGTGTCGGAGGAAGGGAAATGACGCCATCGTTCGTTCGGATCGTGTATAGTCTATCGTCTTCATAAGCCATTGCAGAGAACGAAATAATCAAGAGAAGAGATATAATGATCATGTATTTTAACGACATTCCGGAATAGATTAAAGAAAGAAATGGGACCTGAGATCACTTGTCTAGTATAAGTTAAATATAGCAACACCACCCAAAATGGTAAATAAGCTGGATGGTTTGGATGCAGAGGGAACCGTCTTTTATATAAAGCCCTCAAGGGACTCATGGAATGTGGAGAAAATGGCATCAGCTTCATTAATTATTCCAGGAAACTTTTCCATGGGAATGATAAACCCATTCACGTAAACTCTTTTCTACACATCGGTTGTTAAATAAATTATGTTGATACAGGTCGTCCAAAAAATGGATTTCATTTTCAAACCAGGATGGTCGATTACCATTAAAGGCACTCTTCATTCAAAAAATTTGAAAAGTTACTACATAGCGCTACTACACTATACTTAAAATTTACTTAAATGAAGCATGCAAAGATCCGAAAAAAAATCATTTTCAAAACCAGGAGTCAATTCCCTGGACACCCTGCAGGGTGTACAGGGCCCTGCAGAATATTCTTGCTCATTAACTCTTACAAATCTACGATTTCAAACTGTTAAAAACCAAGATAATTCAATCCGAAATCAGACAATTGAGTTTTTTTTTTATTATAACAGCAAAAACAAGCATTTTTCTTTTATACAAAATAACAGCGTTTTAAATACATACCAAGAGAATATACACCCACACCAATCTTCAACTCTATCGATTGTAATTCAGATTTGTTGGACGCGAATAATAACTCCGGTTGAAGGAGCTAGGAGCTGGCGGAGGTTGACTGAATGCCTGAGAGTTCAAGACCGATGGAACTTGTCCATAACTGTAGCTTCCGGACAGTCCTCGGCAATAGGAGAAAGACATTGGAGGTGATTGAGGTACAAAATAAGAAGGACCTGCTGGTGGTTGAAAGGAAGGGGCGAAACTATTGGTAGGAACTTGGAAGGAAGGCGGAGGAACGGAGGTCATCGCCTTGAGATAAATTTGACGAAGCTTCAACGACAAAAGTTGTAATGAAGAAGACAACATACCTCCATTAAAAGAAACCCCAAAACATTGTGTCCCTTGTGGATAATCGGGAAATCCCGACTTCGAAAACATTGAAGATTCTCGGGCATTTGTATCACGGCATTCTGCTCAGACACCCATCTGTTGAAGTCGTCTGGCGACGACCCAGAAGTGAACACCCTGTCCCCACTGAACGTATTGATCAGAACTTTGGTTCCAGTCTCCAGTAACTTCCTCCTGAGTCTCTCATTCTGATCGAATTTGGCCTGAATCGCATCGAAAAGAACGGCCGGAGCGCGTCGATCTTTCCATTCATCCACCTTACATTGTTGTATCCCATGTGTTTTGAGGAAGGCCTTCGTTCTCCTTCTCATTTCAGCTGGGTCCACTTTTTCAGCCTTCATCGACTTGGCCAGCTTTTCGCTGAGCAACTCCTTGACCTTTGTAAATTGATAATAGTGCTCCACTGAGTTGAACCAAACGCCATTTGCCCAAAATTTACTCTGCAAATTGTTCAACTTAATAAGAATAAAATAAAAAAAATACAGTAAGGATACCGTTGAAGCAGTAATGCATGTGTAAAAAGTCAACCAAAATTTACCCTTGAGACCATGGCTAAGAAATGTTTCGTTCCACTAAAAGAGATTACATTCCCCTTTTTTAGGGTGAATTCGGAATAGTCTGACGGCATCTTCTTCTCTTACAAAATGTGGTGTCACGGACCAATAAACCGTTTTTGTCAACATGCACCGCAATTTTTTTTACGGAATCCGCGCACGATCGCAGTTGCCGGGTCGCGCCCAGAACTATGACTTTTGACAAGATGGCTTATACAAAAGGCAGTGTTTTCTCGTATAGATTTTACGGTAGAGAGAGTTGACCATCCTGATTTCGAAAATGACATTCACAGATCGAACCTTAAAACCACTGAACAAGTAACATTTTTTTCGATTTAAGGCCCGGGCCTGACCCGTTTAAAACCTTGTCAGGCCCGGCCCGCTCGGCCTTTTGCACCAGTTTTACCATTTACCTAGTTTTATTTACAATTTGAGTAACTAACAGTAATCTCGAATATCTCAGAACCGAGGATTTGCAAAACCATAAAACGACTGCCATAAACGTTTTTGGATGTTAGGAAATAAATGGAGACGATTTCAAGCCGCCAGGCTTACTGTAACATAACAAACTGGAGCTTCGGCTGCCTATTATACTTTTTAAAAAGGAGTCGTATCTATGTCCTAACAAGTATTTTTATGCTACTTCAAATGGTAGGGAATAGATAAAAAAATTCTGGGTGACTGAATTTATGGGTGACGCAAAGTCGGGTGGCGCAGGTTCGGGTGAGAACTTTCGGGTGATCGCAAAGTCGGGTGATGCAAAGTCGGGTGGTGCATATTCGGGTGATGGAATTTTGGGGTGGGGGAATTCTCGGGTGATGAAAAATATTGCACTGAAGGCTACTAAATATAAAATATTGTACTAATGGCTACTAAATATGACGTAATATTGTTAAAATTTTTAAATTTTTTAAATTTTATGCTTTTTGGGGTTTTCGACCATCAGGAATCCAAAAATGGAAACCATTTTGTTCAAAATTCTCTGTGTGTGTTACTATTGTCGTTTTAATTGTAAGTAATTATAAGAATTACTGTAAATTTTATGAATAAACCCAATTCTTTATTTGGTTTTGGGTTTTCGACCATCAGGAATCCAAAAATGGAATTCATTTTGAAGTGAGAAATTTATGATGTTGTAATGATCATAACTAACTATGACGTGACATTACCTTCAAAAAAAAAACAAAAATAAAGTTGCATTCAGGGGTAATAAAATATGGAGAATCCAATCATAAACCTCATTCTTCTTCAAAAATTACACCAGCAATACCTCTTTGAAAAAAAATAAATAATCAAGTTCATTTAAAAAATCCGATAAATCATGAAAACAGTAATTATAAAGTTTAAATAAACAGTAATTTTGAATTTTTTTGTTATGCGTAAATACGCAACTACATCATTTTGTTCATTTGATTGCGTTGATTAATTCCTCAGCAGAAAATTCTTCAATTCATTGCATGATTGGCAGAAAATTCTTGATTTCATTGCATAAGTGGCAGAAAATTCTTCATTTCATTGGGTTGATGACAGAGATTTGTTGAATTTTGAAGAACGAAAACATTCTATCACCTTTTTCTCATCGTTTCCATCATGGTTCGTGTTCCTGCATCGCTTTCTCCGGCTAGGACGAGAAGTAACCGTACATACGGTATTCAGCATGTCCGCCGTAACAACTTTGTCATGAGCCAGCCCAATAGTGTGTTGGCGTATCTTCAATCTTACAAATCGGATTCGTCTGAGGAGGAAGAGGAAGTACCCGCACCTACTGCACCAGCTCCATCTTCAGCTCTTCCATCGACAACTACAGGTAATGTCATTTTATTTGAGAATACTTCCACTGCACCTTCTACTTCCAGGGTTCGTTTCGAAGCACCGTCAACTAGCCAGGCCACAGGAACAGACGATCCAACATCTACCCAGAGACTTCATGGTTTCTCGATGAGTCATGGATTCCGCGCAATCCAAATCAACGATGATGACGAAGAAGAAGCAATGGACATCGGCGATGGTTTCAGTGGTGCTGATGAATCAGACACTTCGGATGATGATGAACTTCAACGACCTTCCGCACAGCCAGCACATGTTGTTCAGCCCAGTTCTATCGAGGCCTACGAATCAACAAAACCTTACTACTTCTTGTCGGCAAAGAAAAAGAGCAATGGAGAATACAACAAAAAGATGGCACTTGGAGGATACACATATCTATTAGGTAAGCTTTTTTTATCGTTTTATGATTTTGATTTTAGACCGAACTAAGGCATCTTGGATTTGTTGTCGTAAGAATATGTGCGGTGGTCGGGTCAGGATTGTTGGCGAGGCCGCTGAAGAAGTTACTGCTCACAACCAATTCTGTGCACCCAACATTGAAAGAGTCAGAGCGGAAATGCTGAAGTCAAAAATCTACGACAGCGCCAAGAATTCCACTGAAGCTCCACGAAAGTTGATAGGAACCAAAGTACAGACAACTGGGGACCTAGAAGTCCTTTCCCAACTACCGAGCAAGAAGTCGATGACCAGAGCCATCAACAAAATTCGTCAGCGGATTGGAGGATGTTGATATTCCCGAGCAATTGGCAAATATCACTCGAGGCGACGGCTCTAAGATCAAGTTCCTTCAATATATATCACCACGGGATGATCCGGATCGCTTCGTCATCTTCGCGACGGACTTCCAGAAGAACTTGTTGAGCGGTTGCAAAGTCTGGGGTATCGACTCCACATTCAGCGTATCTCCAAGATTGTTTTCACAGGTAGGCAACAATTTTATTCTTCTCTTAGTTTGCCAATGCGTGTTTAGGAAATTCAGTTCATTTTCGATTATTAATAATTTTTTGAAAAATCCCGAGCTGCGCCCTAGGTTAGCATAAAACTCGTTAAAACAGTACCATGCAGTATCTTGTTCGAATCGCCTTAAAATTCTGTGCATGGAAGTGTACTTATTTTTTTTAAATATGCAAATTTTTCTATGTGCGAGCTGCGCCCTAGTGTTACAAAAACTGGCTTAAATAGTCATGTGTAATATATCAATCGCTTAGTCTTCCAACGCTCAGTAAGGCAGTATAGTTAGTTTTTTAAAGTACTACAATTTTGCCGTCCTGGATGAAAACTAGGGCGCAGCTCGCGCAACGCAAAAATAAAAATGGACTGAAATGTTATACGATGACTCATAATACTCTTCAAGATACAATTTTCAGTTATTTGTCATACATGGATATTACGCTAACATGATGGTGCCGTTGGTGTACGTCCTGATGCGCCGGAAGAACAGAAGCTCATACAGGCGGGTTCTAGAAGCCCTGCAAATGCCTACAGCACCTGAAAGGGTAATCATGGATTTTGAGATGGCCTCCAAACAAGCAATCCAGGATGTATATGGTAGCCACGTGGCCGCGCATGGATGCCACTTTCACTTTTGCCAATGTCTGAAGAGAAAGGTCGACGAGTTCGCCAAACAGGACTATAAAAACAACTCCATTTTCGCCAGATTCATCCGACATCTGATGGCCCTACCATTTGCGAAGCCTGAGCACATCGAACATTATTTCGAACAGCTATTGATAAAATTCCGTGACCTTCTTGGTAACGACGCAACAAGGCTACTGATTCCGATGAAGGACTACATGGAACGAACATGGATTGGCCTTCCAGGTCTGCTTCCAGGAGATACTCGGCAAGTTCCTTTATTCGAAATTTCATTTTGGAACTGTTATGAATATACTACACTTGATTTACCTAGGACTAACAACAATATCGAAGCCTGGCATCGGGCCATTCAAGAGACCATTCGGCAAAAACATCCGACAATAGAAGCACTGATCAAGGCCCTGAAGCAAGAAGAAGGAATTGCAAATCTGGACATTGCCCATGCCAACGGAGGAGATGTCCCGCCATTCATACGCCGGAAAGTCTACTACTCCCTCAACGAGAGGTTCAAGAAGGTGCTCGAAGCTTACAATCCAGATCCCCTTATCTTCCTCGGTGGCATTGTCCAGAACATTCGTCAGTAATCCATACTCATCACTTTCTTTTGTCATTTTTTACTTTGTTATTCATTATTTGTAATATTGCTGTTTTTCAAAGTTTTTGTATGAATAAATAATTCTTTTTGCAGTATTCTGGACACATTGATCTTTATTTCTTTGATTGGTAATCGAAAAAGGTATTTAAAGATTAAAGGTTTACTAAAATTTCGAAAATTATCGCAGAAAATAGTATTCACAGAAAATTTTGAAGAAAATGGATTCCATTTTTGGATTCCTGATGGTCGAAAACCCCAAAACAAATAAAGAATTGGGTTTACTCATAAAATTTGCAAATTTAATTCGCATTCTTATAATTACTTACAATTAAAACGACAATAGTAACACACACAGAGAATTTTGAACAAAATGGTTTCCATTTTTGGATTCCTGATGGTCGAAAACCCCAAAAAGCATAAAATTTAAAAAATTTAAAAATTTTAACAATATTACGTCATATTTAGTAGCCATTAATACAATATGTTACATTTAGTAGCCTTCAGTGCAACATTTTCTTCATAACCCAAGAATTCCCCCACCCCAAAATTCCATCACCCGAATATGCACCACCCGACTTTGCATCACCCGACTTTGCGATCACCCGAAAGTTCTCACCCGAACCTGCGCCACCCGACTCTGCGTCACCCATAATTTCCTGACCCCAAAAATTCTTACATATACTGCGGGACTAAAGTTTGGAACAGGCTATATTTTGTTTGCGGCTTGAGATCGGAGTTTCATTTCTTTTCTATAAGAATCGGAATATATTAAAACCCCATAATGGATGCATAGCCGTAGAAATCAGAAAGCTCATATGAGAAAAAAACAAAATTTTTAAAAATAGGTGGGACAAAAGTTTGGAACAGGGTTAGGAATGCGATCATAAATTTCGCAGTATAGTCAAAAACTCCTAGGCTTTGGTATTTTTAGATGCTGCGAGGAGTCAGGATCTCAACGACATACTGATTTTCATCGATGAACTCAAAATGAAAAAAATTCTTATTGAGCCAACAATGACGGTCAAACTTGCGAAAAAAAATTATTTTTTGGGTTGGGTTACCAACGTTATCGATGTATTAGCATTCTAAAATATCAATTATGGTCGCATAATCTCATACAGATAGTCACATCCTCCCATTGGCACCGTATACGCATAGTATAAATTATGAAAATTTTGAGTTGTGCCTCAAATCTTGGTTCAATGATTTTTATATTTTTTATAAGGCGGCTTGATGGCTAATTGGCCTTTTCTTAGGTTTTGTGGGATGAAAAGGTATCTTCAAGAAACAAAAACCAACCGCTATTTGCAACACGAAACGCCACAACTTCGAAAAACCCGGATATATGAGATGTTAAGATGACCCATATTTTTTACCTTAATTTTAGGTCGCCATATGGCGCCAAACTAAATGCCTTTATCCTTACCACACTGATATAGTTTTGTTAGCCAACTCTACAATGTATCATACTAGGAATCTAGGTCGATATAAACATTGATTTTGGTGACCGAAAATTTTTTTAAATGTTTGAAACATCTGGCGTGGGATATTGCAAATTGCGGTCAGGTTTCGCTTTGTGAAGATACTTTTTTATCTCACAGTGATCATAAAAGGGCCAATTAGTCTTCATGTCATCATACAAAAAATCTAAAATTCATTAGACCAAGATTCGAAGCACATTCCAAAATTTTCATAAATTATACTGTGCGGATAAGGTTCCTATGCGAATATCTGAGTGTCTTTGTACGGTTATACGACCATATCAAATATTTTAGAATGCTTACACACCGATAACATAGAGAACCCAACCCAAAAAATAATTTTTTTTCGCAAGTTTGACCGTCATTGTTGGCTCAATAAGAATTTTTTTCATTTTGAGTTCATCGATGAAAATCAGTATGTTGTTGAGATCCTGACTCCTCGCAGCATCTAAAAATACCAAAGCCTAGGAGTTTTTGACTATACTGCGAAATTTATGATCGCATTCCTAACCCTGTTCCAAACTTTTGTCCCACCTATTTTTAAAAATTTTGTTTTTTGCTCATATGAGCTTTCTGATTTCTACGGCTATGCATCCATTATGGGGTTTTAATATATTCCGATTCTTATAGAAAAGAAATGAAACTCCGATCTCAAGCCGCAAAGAAAATATAGCCTGTTCCAAACTTTAGTCCCGCAGTATATACGTCAAACAGATGCCTTCATTTTCTCCCACCACGAAACCTACAGACCGCGCAATTTTCCGTTCAAATTAAATATTTTTTTCGCCCCACAAAAAATTGTACAAGTACTTTTTTACGTAAAATTTTTGTCGAGTAACCTCATCATCTGTATTGTTCAACACCTTTATTTTCATCGTGTCACTGCAAGCGGTTGTCTTCGGTGTCCGCATTTTTTGTTGTCATTTACAGAAGATGGTCCCTGTTGCAAGCAGTGTGGCAGAAGGAAATGTCAGTAACGGCGGAGTAAAGAGAAAAAGCGATGCCCCGGTACCATGTACGACCGATCGAATGACCACTAGGTCTGGACTTGCCTTGGGCAGCAGAATCCCTCCTCCAAAAAAGTATGTTCGAATCCTTTTTGGTCAAACCATTCGTGGAAGGTTTGTTACGAAGGTTCCTGACTGCTTTCGTTATTAAAGCAAACTTTTGGTTTTGAATTCGACTATCTTTTGATATTCTAATAATGAAATGTTATGTTTTAGAAGTCGTCCCACAGTGGCCAGAAGAACTTTTTGTCCAGTAGGTTGTTTTTTTTCTTTTTACTATGGTTTAGAGTGTGAACATGAACATCGCCGAGGTCGCGGCCACTTCCTCGTCATCTGCCAATTTGTCGCTTCGATCTGAAGGTCTTTCTTCGATGGGATCGTCGATTAATTCTCGATTATCTGGATTCAATCTGGGATCAGAGATAAATGGACAGGATCGGTGCCCACATGCTGAATTGATCCCTCTTCCACATACCTTTTTGGGTGAACAAGTTTCCAGGGCGTCCTCCAGCGGGGTATCTCCTTTTTTGAATCATGCAAATGATCCTGTCAATGTATTGGTTAATTTGGAAGGAGCTGAATTGGCCGAAGCCTTAGCTGCTCAAAGACAGTGGGAAATCAGAAGAGCTCAGATTGAACAAGATGAAAGATTGGCCAGACAATTGTGGAATGCGGAAAGTGTTCTGAATGAGCCGGTTATTATTGTGAATCCATCCCCAGTGACGACGAAAAAGGTCCCTAATTGTCAGAATTCTCCAGCTATTGTTCCTGCAAGTTCCTTCAGTAAGTCGAATTTTTTAATTGATACCTAATTATAGGGGAATCTTGTTCAATTTGTTTTGCGGAACCGGCGTTGGCTCCGTTACGATGTAAATTTTGTTCCCAATGCGTTGGCTGCAAGAGTTGTGTCAAACAATGGTTTGGAGGCCCATCTTCCGAAAAGAATAGGAAGCAATGTCCTCTCTGTCGGCACAACTGGAAGACTCTTGGTCCATCTTACGTTACTCCCATCATTACTGGTTAATTTGCTTTCTATCATAAAATGGTTTCAAATTGCGATCTTTTTTTAGGTCTATACTCACATACTTTAAATCATTGAACTGACGGGTTATTTTATTATTATATCGATTGCATGTTATGTACTCTAAATTTCTCAGAAATCTTATATCGTCAAGTTCTTTCAATCGGGAGTCCTGTGTTTTTTGTTTTTATCTGCCGGAACATTGCTTCTAATCCGAATAAATTGTGCTTGGTTGGTATAAGGTTACAAGTAAGAATGCTGTAAGTATAAGTCGGACGGTTTTGTTTATACTCTCCACGGAGATATTGTACCTTTGAGAGGTTGCTAGGAAAAACTTCCGTTTATGATGGAATTTGTTCATGGCGTCGGAGACTAGAGCAGACCGTACTCCCCATCATAAGACGCACTTCCGGATTGCTCAAGTTGTCGTTTCGCGAGAAACTTGGAAAGACACACCGTTAATCCCCTGCGGCCATGGTGAAGGTCGTATCCGGAGTCGGCGATACGGCTTGTGACTGGAGGCTATATTTGTGCCGATTTCCCGAAGCCAGCCCTCAGTCTGGCCACGATGCGTCTTTTGCTCGTCTCGCTGCCGTTTCTGCTGGGCTTCTGCCTTCTACAGGTCTATCCGAATGTGGTTAAGATCGCCCATCTGCAGCCCAATGACCCCAACATCATGCACGAACCTCATGTGCTCAAGATGTGTGCGGCTGATCTCAAAGAACGAGCTATCTTACCCAAGGACATCAACTTTCAGTAGGCTTTAGATTATTTATCTTCCTTTCAAAGCCTTACAACTTACACTGTTTTTTATACTCTAGAATCTACACCATGGAATCTTGTAATCGATTCTCCGGAGTGGAGCATGCCGCGTATCTTCATTATTTGAAGAATGCCAGTGTTTACTTTGGTCCTGGTTGTAACAATGGTGAGTTCATTTACATAGATTGATCGAGCGGGTTGCAGAGATGTTGGTTATTGCCCGTTTGGCGTCAAGGTGGAACGTGCCGATTGTCGCTCACTTGTCTGGTGATGACGCGCTTTCCGATCGATCAGTCTTCGATACTCTCGGATCCGTGGCCTTAACGTCGGCTACAGAAATGGCTCGCGCAACTTTAACTTACCTTCAATTGTATGGGTGGAAACAAGTGGGTCTGGTCAAGGCTAGTGTGAACTTTGACCGCCTGAGTTTGCATTCCTTGAAGAACCTGTTGAAAGACCATGACATCGATGTGAATATTGAAATCGAGCTGGATCCTTTTATGACTCCGGATGAGATAATCGCTACGGGAAAACTGAAGCAGCTGAGAAATAAGGCTAGGAGTAAGGATGACGTCATCCCAAGAATATTTCCAAACGATTTTTATAAATATTATCCGATTACGTAGAGGAATTGCTCTTGTTGCGTCATTTTACCGTGCCTTTTTTAGTCATCATCGTGGAAATGGGGATGGATCTGCATACAAGTCGCGCTTTCATGGTTGCTGCTCATCGATCTGGAATGAAGACAAACGATTTTGTTTATATCATACCTTGGCTTGCTCATGTAAGTCTGAACGAATTATAAAATCAATCAAGTATGCATGATACTCGAATAACATAAATATTTCGAAAATATTCCAGATGCACGATCATTATCCCTGGGAAGCGAATAACATTGACAAGAATGAGGTCCGTCTGGCTTACGATGAGACGATTGTCATCACGGCTCATGGTTATGACAAGAAATTCATTGAAGACTTTGAGCATCGCTTCTCCCAACTGACAGGAATCATAAGCAGTCATTATGCCACTTTGTCATATCTCTCCTTATACGACGCTCTCTTCTTGTACGGATTGGCTGTTCGAGATGCTTATGATGAGACTAAGAATGCTTCCATTTTCTTGGATGGAGGTCTGATCTGGAAGAAGATGACGGTAAGGCAGTTTATCGGAGTGTCGGGCCAAGTACTCATGAACAACAAGGGAGTTCGAGTACCCAGTTATGCCACTTATTATGTGGTCAACGGAACGATGAGGATTGTGGTCGAGTTGACAGCTCGGTTGATGGACAAGGCCAAGTGCGCGATAGCTGAGAATGATTGCTCGGAACACGTCGCCCACGAAGTGATGCCTCATTATTGGAGTTCTTATGATGGAGTGATGCCCCCGGAGATGCCGAAATGTGGATTCGATGGAGGACTTTGTGATTACACACCTTTCTTTGCGGGTGCTGGTGCTGTGATTTTCTTGGCTGTGGCAATTCCATTGGGTTATTTCATCTACATTAAAGAGTAAGTGGTGATGATTCGATTTATAAAGTTTATAGGAAAGAACGGATGTTATACGACATGACATGGAGGATTCCCAGAGAACAAGTCCGTCTTCTGGAACATGGAACCAACTCGAGAAGTGAGAGTTCCATCGGGAAATCGGTGACCAGCGGCTCTGTCAGCGGGTCCATAGGATCTAAAGCGAACAGCAGGCTAAGTGCTAAACAGGCTGTTGCCAACGGAGTGAAATGCGCTTTCAAACGATATCAGCAGACCAGAAACATCACCTTCCCCAAATCTGATTTGTCTCGACTTAAGGAGGCAAGTTTACTGGATCGTAATAAGTTCATATAAGGATGGTGACATACAAATCAAATCGGGTTTCGTGGCCAGAATCTGAGCAGAGAAAAAAGAAAAAAATCTTCACGGGGAGAGAGCAGAAATTTGCGCAATATTACGCAATGGTACGCAATTTGAGACAAGAATTGCGCATTTCTTGTCTAGAAGCCTAACAGACAAGAAATGGCGGTTTCTGGCCACGAAACCCGATTTGATTTGTATGTCACCATCCTTATATGTATATTGTTTAGTTGAAATTAATCGAAAATGAGAATCTGAACAAATTCTACGGTATCTGCTTCAACCAACAGAATGAGTTTGTGGTCTTATGGGTGCTCTGCCAACGCGGGAGTTTGGAGGTAACATCTTGCAAAGGGTTTGTATTATTTTAGGACGTCCTTTTCAATGAGGAGCTCAAAATCAGCCGAAATTTCCAAGTTTCATTTGCCAAGGATGTTGTCAAGGTAACCGCCATTTGAGCAATACTGTAATAACACCACCATAATCTGCAGGGACTTTACTTTATCCACACTTCTCTTATCAAATACCACGGTTTCCTGTGTCTCCAAAACTGTCTTGTGGACTCTAATTGGAATGTAAAGCTTACAAACTTTGTGACTGAAGAAGTAGTGGCAGACAAATTGAGACATAACGAGCTCAGATATCATACTGTAAAACCGCCCACCTCCAAAAAGAAGAAGGGCAAGAAGGAAAAGGAAGTGGTGGAGAAAGGCAGCGATGAAAGCGATAATGAGGTCTCGGATGAGAGCGATAATGTTCTTGAACAACAACAGAGAAGTATGCTCGAGAAAAGCGACAAAAACGCTACCAAAAGTAAGACGAACACGTCTATTTTTCGCAGAAAAACAATTAGAAACAAGAAAAATGAATTGTAAAATAATTTATGTCATCTGCCCATACTTAATGTAAATGTTTCAGAATACATCCAGCAAGCTCCTGAGATCATTCGTGAGCTCATCACCACCAAATATCTTCCACAAGGATCTCAATCAGCTGATATGTACAGTTTGGGAATGGTCTTATACCAAGTTCTCTTCAAAGCTGAGCCTTTCCATGAAAGAAACATCTCCCCTAACAGTAAGTCGACATATCAGTCTGTCGGAAAAATAACGGCGGATCGTCGCGCCTCGGAATCGCCCATCATCGCTTTGCGACTGCAAGCCGCGGCTGGGGATTTGGTGCGCGACAGCGGCGAGACGAGTCATTTTGCTGCGACGATCCGCCGTTATTTTTCCGACAGACTGATAAAAAATGAAACTTTCCTTTTGATTCCATTGGTGTAATGTGTCGATTGATGTGTTTTAGAATTGATGGAAATGATCTCCATGGCCAATGATGATGATCAAATTGTCCGTCCATCCTTCCCCAATCAACAGAATATGAATTCTGAAGAGGCTTATAACCTACAACTTCTCTCAGCCATTGAAGCCTGCTGGTTGGAGATCCCAGAGATGAGACCAAATATAAAAAGAATGAAGAGTATGGTGAACAGTAACCTCAAATCAACTGCTTCCGGTACTCTGGTTGATCAGATGATGAAAATGATGGAGGATGTAAGTAATGGGAGAACAGTTGTATGAATGTTTTACAGTACACAACTAACCTGGAGCAACTTGTAAAAGACAGAACGGCCATGTTGGAGGATGCACAACAACAAGCTGATAGATTATTGAAAAATATGCTTCCTCCGTAAGAACTTTATTTTCAGTCCTAATTTCCTTTCAGTTCAATTGCCGAGGATCTCAAAGTGGGTAAACCAGTGATCCCCCAACTCTACCAAAACGCCACTGTTTTGTTTTCGGATATTAGAGGATTTACGAGGATTTCATCGACTTCCACACCTCTCCAGATCGTCACGTTCCTCAATGATATGTTCTCTGGATTCGATGCAATCATCGCAAAACATGATGCTTACAAAGTTGAGACTGTAAGTTAGACAAGGTTACGCAACTTATGGCGCAATGACTTGTTTTAGATTGGAGATGCTTATATGATTGTGTCCGGAGTCCCCAAAGAGAATGGAAATGCCCACGTTTACCATATCTCTGAGATTGCGCTGAAAATGAGAACGGTATGTAACTTTGTATGTTTTTATTTCTGTTATAAAGCAGTTTTGTACACAGTTTACTGCATTTTATAGTTTGTATCCAACTTCAAATTGGCCCACAAGCCAGAGGAAGTGATGATGGTGAGAATCGGATTCCACAGTGGGTCTGTGGCTGCTGGAGTTGTTGGTTTGGCAGCTCCAAGGTACTGTTTATTTGGAGATACGGTGAATATGGCCAGCAGAATGGAATCGACTGGTTTGGCCAATAAAATTCAGGTAGGTTTCCGATTAATTTGATTTTTAATCAAACGGATTTAGATCAGTGAAGCCGCCTTCAATCTCCTCCGTTGCTTCTATCAGAACTATCTTCTCGTGGAACGTGGCAAAGTTGAAGTCAAGGTGAGTTTCAGACGTCCTCGACCTTTTTTTATCTTCTGTAAAGCTTCCATTCGCTTTGCAGGGCAAAGGAGAATGCACAACATGGTTCCTGGAAGGAAAGAAGAAATAATTCCAACCATTATATCCCGGTGATGGAAGTTACAGTAACCAAATATAATCTACAGGCAATATATCTTGCAAATTTTATTTTTCACAATTACTCGACTGGATACTCGGTTATTTTCTAATAAAGGAATGGGATTTACATATTATTTGTTTCAGTGGGGTCAAAAAGTACAGTAATCCGCCTAATTGGTATTTTTGAAATGATTTGGAGTACTATATACAATGCCTTGGTATTTACACGTGAAGGATAATCCGATACTATGAAAGGCATGCCTCACCCACAATCTCCTCCAATCCCCCCAGCCAACCTCAGCTCGGATCTCTGTTGATTTGGAAGGATTAACTCCAGGAAATGGGATCTTAGGCGGGCCTGGCATGTCTCCGCTGGTCTCAGGCCACTCATTCAGACTCGGCTTTTGTTGTGATGACCATGGTTTCGCCAGGTCCTATGTTGCTCATGGTGCTGATCGGAATCCTTTCCAGTAAAAGTGCCGGGAATATGGTGAGGATTGCCCATCTGCAGCCCAATGATCCGACTATCATCCACGAACCTCATGTACTCAAGATGTGCGCTCAGGATCTCAAGGAAAGAAATATTCTCCCACCGGAAATCAATTTCCAGTAAGTTTTCGGGCGATAATCTCGGTTTATGCGTATCTATTACTGTCTTGTTCCTATCACCAAAAAATGGTCAGTTCGTTCTAAAACCTTACCCCTTTCTTTGTTTCTGTCTAACTGTTGCATCTTTGATTCCAACTTCTACAGTATCCTCATAGAAACATAGATCATTGTCTCCAGTACCGGAGATTATCCCATAACTCCATTTCTGTAGGTTCTTTAAAAAATATCTCTACAAAACGGAAAATCGGGCCTTGGGGATTAAGTTCGTAAAACAGGAAATCGGTTGATTGAGAAGGAAACTACAGTAACCCCTTTCAGGGTGTTTACCATGGAGTCCTGTAATCGGTATTCAGGAGTGGAGAACGCCGCATATCTCCATTATCTGCGGAATGCCAGCATTTACTTTGGTCCCGGCTGTAACAACGGTAAGAAAAGAAAGAATACAGTAATACGATGGAATCAATATACAGAAATGTTGGTTATTGGAAGACTCGTGTCCCGATGGAACGTCCCCATCATTGCTCATTTATCCGGCGACGATGCACTCTCAGATCGGTCAGTCTTCGACACTCTCGGATCTGTGGCCTTGACATCGGCCACAGAAATGGCCAGGGCGACTTTAACGTATCTAAAATTATATGGATGGAAACAAGTGGGACTGGTTAAGGCCAGCATCAACTTTGACCGATTAAGCTTGCATTCCTTGAAGAATCTGCTGAAAGACCACGGAATTGAGATTAATATTGAGATCGATCTGGATCCATTCATGACGCCGGACGAAATCATCGCTACCGGAAAGCTGAAGCAGTTGAGAAACAAAGCCAGGGGTAATATTAGTTATTATAATCGACTTTATGTTGCTCTCTAGTTATCATTGTCGAAATGGGTATGGATTTGCATACGAGTAGATCTTTTATGGTTGCTGCTCATCGTTCGGGAATGAAATCTCCAGAATACGTCTATGTGATTCCTTGGCTGGCTCATGTAAGTGCAGGTAAACACAATTATATGCATTCAGTTACACGATCACTATCCTTGGGAAGCCAGCAATGTGGATAAAAACGAAGTGAGGACGGCCTTTGAAGATGCCATTGTCATCACCGCTCATGGCTATGACAAGAAATTCGTCGAAGAATTCGAAGTCAGATTCTCAAAAGTCACCGGGATCATCAGCAGTTACGTAAGTATAATATTTAAGGCAGGATTACGATCAGTTTTACAGTACGCTACTCTCTCATATGCCGCCTTATACGACGCTTTGTTCCTTTACGGCCTAGCTATTCGAGATGCCTATGATGAGACTCAGAATGCGTCTATTTACATGAATGGAGCCTACGTTTGGAGGAAGATGTGTGGCCGTCAATTCATCGGAAGCACTGGCCAAGTCCTCATGAACAACAAAGCAGTCAGAGTACCGAGTTATGCGACGTATTTTGTGAAGAATGGGACGGTCAGAATCGTAGTAGAACTTACAGCGAGGTTGAGTGACAAGGCCAAATGCCAGGCATCTGAGAGCGATTGCTCTGAACATGTTGCTCATGAAGTAATGCCCCATTATTGGAGTTCATATGATGGCGCGATGCCTGCTGATATGCCCAAATGTGGATTCGACGGAAGCCTGTGTGATTACACAATTGTGTTCGTAATCTGCGGGTTCTTGGGATTCTTGGCCATCGCGATCCCACTGGGTTATTTCATTTACAAGAAAGAAAAGGAGAGATTACTGTATGATATGACATGGAGAATTCCCAGAGAACAAGTCAGATTACTCGAAGGAAATGCTGGAGGCGTAAGTTAGTTGCTTATGAGTCGAATTAGTAACTTTACAGCGATCTGAATCATCGATTGGCAAATCAACTTTGGGATCATCGGCTGGCGGGAGTATTGGATCGAGGATTAACAGCCGACTCAGCGCCAAACAGGCTATTGCAAACGGAGTGAGATGTGCCTACAAGAGATATCAACAGACAAGGAACATCAGTTTCCCCAAAAACGATCTATCTAGACTAAAAGAAGTAAGATAACTTCAGTATTCAATATTGCAAATTGCAGCTAAAACTAATTGAAAACGACAACCTCAACAAATTCTATGGAATGTGCTTCAACCAGCAGAATGAAGTGATTGTCCTTTGGATTCTGTGTCAACGTGGAAGTTTGGAGGTAACATTAATCTCATGGATAGTATGATTAATGTGCTTTCAGGACGTCCTATTCAACGAAGAACTTAAGATCAGCAGGAATTTTCAAATCTCATTCGCCAAGGATGTCGTCAAGGTAACCTAACTGGACATGCTGTTACTTAACGTTTTCAGGGACTTCATTTCCTCCATCAATCAGTGGTCAAATATCATGGAATGCTATGTCTTCAAAATTGTTTGGTCGATTCGAATTGGACGGTGAAATTGACCAACTTTGTAACGGAGGAAGTAATCGGAGATAAGTTGAGGCACAATGAACTCAAATTGATGGTCATGAAAGTGAAGAAACCGAAGAAAAAAGGAGGAAAAGACAAGACAAACGGAAAGGATAAAGAGAAAGAATCGGATTCTGGATCTTCTTCCGAAGAAGACACGGAATCCAAGGCATTGCATCAGAAGGCAATGAGCAAAAAGTATATCCAACAAGCTCCAGAGATCATTCGCGAGATAATAACCACCAAGTTCATTCCTCCAGGAAGTCAGGCTGCTGATATGTATAGCTTGGGGATGGTCATGTATCAAATTTTGTTCAAACTGGAACCATTCCATGAGAGGAATCAAGGACCATCAAGTAAGAAAAGTTTAGCACGGCATCTTATTCGTCCAATTTTAACAAAGTAAAAAAATTGGCAACGGTCCATAATGGACAGAAATCATTACCGGCAGATGCCAATATGGGCAGATTTCTGAAATGCTTGCAAATATCCTCAATACCCTTGTATCCCTGTTAAAAATTAATTTTTGGATTTAAAAAAATGCTCGATCTGGGTGTTTTCTGTGGTGCTGCACAGGGAACTCAAAATCACTTATAAAAACTTTTATTTACTTATAAAAACTTCAAGTTTTTATAAGATACCGTAATTCGAAATAAAACTGCAGGTTGTACGGATGTATTCTTATTTTTTAAGAGATCATGGAGATGATTGCCATGGCCAACGACGATGATCGTATAATCCGGCCAACATTTCCGAATCAGCAAAACCTCCCATCAGAAGAAACTTACAATCTCCAGTTACTCTCAGCCATTGAAGCTTGCTGGTTGGAGATTCCTGAAATGAGACCAAATATAAAAAGAATGAAAACTATGGTTAATAGTAACCTCAAATCAACAGCCAGTGGAACTCTGGTCGACCAAATGATGAAGATGATGGAGGATGTAAGAAATTAAGTAACTAACTTGTAATTGATTTGTAGTACACAACTAACCTGGAGCAGCTTGTAAAAGACAGAACGGCCATGTTGGAGGATGCACAACAACAAGCTGATAGATTATTGAAAAATATGCTTCCTCCGTAAGAACTTTATTTTCAGTCCTAATTTCCTTTCAGTTCAATTGCCGAGGATCTCAAAGTGGGTAAACCAGTGATCCCCCAACTCTACCAAAACGCCACTGTTTTGTTTTCGGATATTAGAGGATTTACGAGGATTTCATCGACTTCCACACCTCTCCAGATCGTCACGTTCCTCAATGATATGTTCTCTGGATTCGATGCAATCATCGCAAAACATGATGCTTACAAAGTTGAGACTGTAAGTTAGACAGGGTTACGTAACTTATGGCGCAATTACTTGTTTTAGATTGGAGATGCTTATATGATTGTGTCCGGAGTCCCCAAAGAGAATGGAAATGCCCATGTTATGCACATTTCTGAGATTGCACTCAAAATGAGGACGGTATAGTAGCCTTCCGTCTTAAATTATTTTATAGTTTGTATCCAACTTCAAATTGGCCCACAAACCAGATGAATTGATGATGGTGAGAATTGGATTTCACAGTGGTCCAGCTGCTGCTGGAGTTGTTGGTTTGGCAGCTCCAAGGTATTGTTTATTTGGAGATACGGTGAATATGGCCAGCAGAATGGAATCGACTGGTTTGGCCAACAAAATCCAGGTATTTTTTGAATCCTGGCAGTTCAAGTGTAATATTTTTAATATATTTTTCCTTTTTTTAAGATCAGCGAAGCTTCCTATAATCTGATCCGCTGCTTCTACCAATACTTCATAGTGAACGAGCGCGGGAAGGTAGAAATAAAAGTAGGTTATATGTATAATAAATATATACATGGGATGATTATTGACCTTGTAATTTATTACCATGACCGGAATGGGATTTATATTCGGATTGCAGGGAAAGGGAGAGTGCACCACCTACTTCCTCGAGGGCAAAGAGATGCATGGCCGCAAGAAGTGACTCGCAGATGTCATCAAGTTTCTTATTTTACTTCAAATAAGCGCTTTACAATTACAAATTTATTTCTCTGCCATCTTCTATGATGTACTATACTCCGCCGATTTAATTTGGACCAGTCTGAAACTTGAAAACGGTTATAGATATGAACTCCATTCCTTCAACAAGTTTGATCACCAGTCGACTCTATGTTCAACTGTAGCAAAATATTTCCTCTGCCTTGAGGCACAAGAAAAATATTCGGATTTTTAAATTTTTGCTGTCGAAAAAGTTTGGACCAGGGCAACAAAAATTTGCATTTCTTAATCACTAGGAGGGGTGAAACCATGATAACTTGTGAAAATAATTGTGATTCCCTGCTGATTCTAACGAGCAGGGAATTCCGAGATCAGCTCTGTGTTTAAGGCCCTGAGGGCAATTTTTAAGAAAATTCCCAAAATTCCAGAAATTTTTCGCCCTAGCGCTTGAGTAAGAAGCGTAAATCGTCTTAAATTAGTTTCAGTGCAACCACAGTATAGTGTACATGTAATTGGATGACGTTATAAAACAGTTTTACATCCAAAATTTTTTGTTCTTGGAGGATATGTGACTTTGAAACCTGGGTTGGCGATAATTTTGAGGCCACTGCGCTCAAACAACTGCTAAATCATACAGCGTTTTGCGTGGGACGTATGAGGGGCATGCCAAACTTTCCTTCTGTGTCAAAACAATATCCGATTTACACGCGACAAATGCACAATAGACCGAACACTTTGATAAAAAAAGTTTTCGTTGGCCCAGTCGAAACATGTTGAGAAAAAACAATTTAATGTGCATCAAATTTAGTTCTATCAAGTCTGGCTAGCACCTCATAGCGGAATAAACGTATAATATACATATAGGAACATCTTTTTTTCACTTTCGAAAACTTTTAAGTAAGTACCCTCTTCTTAAATTTTTTTATCAAAGTTTTCGGTCTATTGTGCATTTGTCGCGTGTAAATCGGATATTGTTTTGACACAGAAGGAAAGTGTGGCATGCCCCTCATACGTCCCACGCGAAACGCTGCATGATTTAGCAGTTGTTTGAGCGCAGTGGCCTCACAATTATCGCCAACCCAGGTTTTAAAGTCACATATCCTCCAAGAACAAAAAATTTTGGATGTAAAACTGTTTTATAACGTCATCCAATTACATGTACACTATACTGTGGTTGCACTGAAACTAATTTAAGACGATTTACGCTTCTTACTCAAGCGCTAGGGCGAAAAATTTCTGGAATTTTGGGAATTTTCTTAAAAATTGCCCTCAGGGCCTTAAACACAGAGCTGATCTCGGAATTCCCTGCTCGTTAGAATCAGCAGGGAATCACAATTATTTTCACAAGTTATCATGGTTTCACCCCTCCTAGTGATTAAGAAATGCAAATTTTTGTTGCCCTGGTCCAAACTTTTTCGACAGCAAAAATTTAAAAATCCGAATATTTTTCTTGTGCCTCAAGGCAGAGGAAATATTTTGCTACAGTTGAACATAGAGCCGACTGGTGATCAAACTTGTTGAAGGAATGGAGTTCATATCTATAACCGTTTTCAAGTTTCAGACTGGTCCAAATTAAATCGGCGGAGTATAGTATATAAGAGACGTGGATGGTGGGGGATTTGCTTACAGAATTATATATTTTTCCGATCTTATCTACAATTAGAGTTAAGACGGTGGCGGTATCCTTTTTGAATAAAAATGAAATGTTCGCTTCAGAAGGAATTTTTTGCGCTCAAGTCATCCCAATTTAAGATTCGTGTCAATCAACGCCGGCTAGCCCCGGGTCGAGGGTTTGCCAAAGGCGAGACCGAATTTCACACTTTTTTCGCTAAAGGGAATACAGCGCTTACTTCTTCCTCTAATCCTCGAGTTTTGTCATCGTGAAAGTCGCTTAAACGATTGTATTATAAGACGATTATGGGTCCGCTGACCTTGATATGTCCGCCTCTGGAGTCTGATTTATGGATTTAGACTCTTCGGAGATGGTTTTTATTGAGGGTACTGACGTGATTACGTAACGGCGGATTGATTAATTTGAGGGAAATGTGGACGGAAAAGGTCATTTGGAATTGGGAGGAAATTTTATTTTTTGACCTTTATAATAAGGTCTCTTTTTTGTCTATTCCCTTAGCAACCATCCTCTTATTTGGTTCAAGTATCTGTCCTACTTCCCAATTCCAACATCCCCCTTCCCGTACGGTATCATTTTGCATCACATTCTCGAGTCCATTCCTCTTTTTACGTGCCCTTTCCTCAGCCCATAAAAGTTAATGTTGGCTGGGGTCAGTCGAAGAATATCTTCCCCGTCTCCTGAGGCATGTGCAATAACAAAACAGAGCAACAGAAACACCTGGGCCTTCGGAACAGTTGTGGTAGATTAATGTTATCAATTTGTTCACCTCAAACACCTTTTCTTTTCCGATTCGAATCAAAATTTTGCCGAAAAGATTTAGATGGAAGATTTGCATAGAAATAAGAGCCGTTTTTGGAGTCCCCAGGTTTGTTTGAACTTTGATTTGGATGAGAAGTGGTTATAGCTGCAGAGAAAAGGCTCACAAATAAGCTTTGGGTCTTCTGAATAAGTCCAAGTTCTTTCCGAATTTCGATTCCAAAGTCTCGGTTCTTATACAAATTCCTTTTCCCGCAGCCCTTTTTGGCCCGAAGGCTCGGCTTACAACTTCTTGAGCTCGTTTTCCCAGGTCAGCCCTGAGGGCTTGGTGTCCCGCTCACCCATAATTGGGCTGATTTCCCCCTTTCGCCGCAGGGCCTTGGAAATTCAACACTGCGCGCATTTCCAAACACGACGCAATTCCTTTTTTGGGGCGCTTTAGGTATTCATTGGGTATTTATGGGGATAAAAACTTTGTCCTAATCGGACTTGAAAGGCTCTCTCCCCCGTTTTATGAGTTTTCTCCCATTTCTAAGTGAATGTCCGATCCGGGAAAGCGGAGAATTGGGGCCAGATCATTCTCAGAGTCGCCTCTATTTACAGGCGACGTGGTCTGATATGATTTTTAAGGTCAAAGGATATCCGAAGTTATCGGAGGGAGGGGTTTGCTCATAAACGGAGAGGGTAATGGCTCATAAAGGCAGTCAATTACTCACCTGAAAGCGGAATTTTGATGACGCAACCTTTAATTTTGCTTTGCAAATGTAAAACACTTCTGCTTTTACAAACTGACACTTGTTAAAAGAGCATCGTTGTCTGAATTTTTCGAAAATTTTGATGAAAATTTTATTTCCCAATTTTAAAATTGCACCATGAATTCCGTTTTGAATTCAGGATGTGGGTTTTATTTTTATTTTTATTTGCTCTGAAGAGAATAATAAAAAAAGTGCGCAATTAGAATGTAAACGCCTTAGGGGATTAGGCCCAATCAAAACAATTGAGACGGAGGCATCGGATGGATGACATTATGAACAGCGCGCTGATTCCTCCGATTCTCTGCACAAACACCCGTTTAATTAGGCCGTTCCGGGCCGAGAAAATGGCCAAGGGCAATCAGGCGAGTCCATTCCATTCCAAGAGCCCCATCTAATTTCATAAATGTTGTCAGAGAATTCGAATTGCTTGTCAAAATGTGTTTGCCGGAGGGATTTGTGGGCAATTCAGGTCTTTTTTCTGACAAACAATTTACAGCCAACACTTGTGGAATTACTAGGCCCGGCGGCATGGCCACTTTTTATATTGTACTATAAACAAGGACTTTTAAAAAGATTATTTTTTATATTATTTTTGAAATTTCTTTATTCGCATTAAATTGGCCTTGATTGAGATACCGAGTCAGATGTCCGTAGACTGACATGTTGTTGTGTCGTCTTCCCATCTGTTTTATATACGTCCGGAGTCTATATTCGATAAGATGCAGGGGCCTCAAATCCGGTTCCTTTTTTTGGGCGTTCGCGCGGCGGAAATCAGATCATCGCAGAGATTGAGGGTTCATATCAGAGTGTCATAAGAAGCAAAGGGAGGTCTCAGTAATGTTTCCAAGGCTCGGGGATATTATTTTAGACTAGAGTGGACACTAGGAATGCTTTGGGAATAAAATTGACATTGTTTGCTGGCTTACTTCTAATACAGCAGATTAAATTATTTAAATTCCACTATAACACACAGCCTAACTCTCTTTACCCTCGGGTTTCCTCTAATATCACCCTAATAATCGAAGGAGTTGATCGCCCGATATCCGATGTCGATCCATCATCTCGCGTTTTCTTTATTTCCCCATCTTTGGAATTGTTTCAGAACACCCGTTTCCAAGGTCCCCGGTCCTATGGAATCTGGCCGTGGAGTGCCCTGAGGCGGTGCTCTTCTGACCCACGCATAAGTTAGAGAGAGAGTACAGGTAAGTGGAATGTGTTTTCCCTTTCAAATGTTTTATGATTTTCCGGTACAGTGATTGCAATAAAACCTCGGAGGAAACGAGTCCTCGACTACCCAAGCCCCCAGATTTGCCTCAACAAATCCGTCGCTTCGGTGGACTCTTTTCCCTCTCCCATTTATACAATACCTACCTACCTACCTACGAGCGAGTGCTTTTTACTACGGTTTGGAAGTTGACAACATTGGAAAGCGTTACATCCGTTGGCTGAAATATCATTATCTTGTCCTTCGGAACCCGTCCTTTGTGTTTAGGATGTCCACGACCTTTTTTCGACGTCGTAAGTTTCGATTTTCGATCAATTCTTTCCTCTGGCGTTTTATCGGATTACCAGAATTTGATATGGTAAACGCGCTTCTGCCCGGAGGCATTCAAGTTTTTGTGATTTCTTGTCTTAATCCGATTCCGGGACACCAAAAGGCAAGGGGGACACTGGCCCGTCTCTCTCCCATATTATACATTTCATTCCACTCAACGTTCCCCACTTTACAAAAGACCACCAGTTGCAGGCTGACATTGCCTGAGGCGTTGTGACAAACGACTTGTTTTTTCCCATCTTTTCCACGTCCAAAACTTTGCGCCCTTAGGGATTAGTGAGGCCGAGCGATGGGTTTATGCCTCTACTGATAAGATGGAGCTGTTGCTTTGCGTTCTGTAATAGGCAATGGTCGTGACTTCCTTTGTGTACCGTTTACAGCCATCATGGATTCTCGCGTTTCCCGGTGATTCCTTTGTTTTCGTAAGAGCTTTGCTGGACACTAGCCTAGCCTTTTTTGGTCTCCTTCTTGGCTTCGGAACTCCCGCCTCGGTATTGTTCCCCTGAGGGCGTTGGGGCCTGCCGATTGTTGCACTCACCCCGAGCGGAAGCAACTTCTTTTTTTATCCTCCAAAGGTGTTGTGGCACGACGGATCCCCCGGTACGGTAGCCTTTCACTGGAACAAGTGAGCCCCTTTTTAGCATGCCTGTGTCCGTAATCTTGTGCCATTGTTCTAGGAAGTTAGATTCTTTTTATTTCGGTCCCTTCAATTGAGTGCCGTCCCCTGTTCCCGGGGGACATTCAAAGGCACAGCAGGCTCTTCAGACTTCGATTATACGATGTCATCCGACGTCAGTCGACGATTGCCTAAGGGTTTGTTTGAGCAGAAACCGAAATCCCCGGATCCCCTAAAGGCATCCGACTCTCGACCTCTCGAGATCACTCCAGCGGTGTTGAATTGCGCGAAACAAACAAACCCTTTCCCTCTCCTTCCCCATTCCTCAACAGGTCCGAGAACCGGTCAATCGAATGCTCGTATTCTCCATTTGCAGCGGGAGATCACCTTGGCCAAGGACGGATTGGCCATGGATTATATGGCCTTTTAATTAAGGCCTTCTTTGTCCTTTTTGATACACCGCAATGCGCGTTCATTTGTCGCGTTCCACTTGTGGGTGAATTCAAGGTCGGTCGATTGTATTCTCAGATATTCCGAGTTGTCTTTGTTATGATTACACTTGAGAGTTCCTTGCCCGTCTTTCATCGGCGCCGCGGATTTGCCGAATCCAGGCCTTTTGTCATTTTCATGCGGAATTCTTTTACTGACCAGCGGTCCAGAAGTTTCAGATTTTTGGAGTGAAAGTTCCGAAAAAAAAATAATTTTTCTCCGATTCCCTCAGGGCGCGCAATTAAAGCCTGGTTGCGCAACCGCCTTCTCTCTTCCGGAAATGTATTTATTAACGTTGGGATAAATTTATGGTTAGAGGGAGTAATGGAATGGCTTCGAGTCATTAATGCCTCAGGGCCTGAGGTGATTGGAGGGGAAACATGGCGTCTTGATTACTTTATTCCCTTTATTTAGCATTTCTTATACGTTACCGTGCTTTTTTTAAACATTTTTCGGAAGAATCCAGTAATTTAGTCATCTCCAGTTGAGTCTATTACATAAACCCTTTGTTTGACCGTTTGAGGAAACAATTTGGCTTTAAGGCCTCCGGAAAGAGTTCTTTTCTCAAGATATCTCCAAAATCCGCGCACTCATCCATCCGAGAATGTCATCGGCACTCAATTTGTCGCCAATCTGGATCCAATTCGATCGGCATTATGTGTCGGACTAATAAGTGGGCACCTCATTAGCGTCCCCCCTCCTTTTCTCGGGCCGTGTCTTGGCCACATCCGGAGGCCAAATTGAAAGCCTTCGAATTCCTCGCGTGGACACTCGGGCGGGCCTCTGTTTAACTCAATTTGGAGCGCATTTGCATATTCTTGGATAAGGCCCGAAAAGTGGCTCATTCCAGGGCTGCCCCAAAAAAGTTTTGTCGCACAAAGATTGGATCTGACGAGCGGAAAGGGGCGCGCGAATGACACGACACGGGATCGCGGATGACACGGCTATCATCGGCGATCCGGCAGTTTGTCGTGTCCTCCAAAGTTTTGTTTATTCGCTCCAAAAAAACTCTCCACGGGCCTGTTTATTCGATTATTCGTAAGAGATAAGCAAAAAAGAGCCCGCGTTTGCTGTTGTTTTTGGTCAGCAAATTCCTGCAATTCCCTTTCGTATTACGCAATCCACCTTTTTCGGAAGGGGTTATCGCCTGCGGGGCTGATTGTTTTTTATTTGCACTGGATTCGTCGATGTGATTACCCGGTCATACAACATTAGATCCGTAATCCAAGATATCCGCGCGACTTTTACTTTTGTCCCGCATTTCCTCAGCATCTTGTGAACCTATGGTTCTCCCCGTAATTTCTTTGGAATGTATGACTTTTACTCCTTATTTATTCCCTGGATGATTGCTTAATGTTTCCGTTACAGTATCCCGTCGACGTCGTCCCAAAGCACGTCGTGCAGTGTGTCGGAACGTGTTCGAAGAGGAAGAAGAAGAGCTTCCCATCACTTATCCGGACCTTCATCCTCGACGCAAGAAAGAAGGAGTCATGCAGAAACTCTCGAATTGGTTGGGAGATCATCTCCGGAAGAGTAAACGAGACCCTGAGCCCAAACGCCCTCAGGTCTTGGGTCCCACGGAATGCGGATCTCTGCCTCGACCTAGCGATATCCGAGTCTACGGTAACCAACGACCTTTGTTGGGGAGTGCCAGAGAGGTCAAGCGACGGGTGAGGAGATTTTACATCACTTTCGATTCCTATGGCACCTATATGTTTGGTTTCCGTAACTCATGTTACACATAGCAAGAGCTCTGCACTTTGTGCTGTAAATGTTATGTGCCCTTTTATGCTTTGGTTATGACCTTTAAAAGCGCACTTAATTCGTATATATATTTATATTGTTTTCCATGACCAGTGATGTATTATTCCAGGCGATCTGTACGAATCCTTGGTTTGTTCCCGAAGAAGAGATGAACTCCTCGTTTATGTCGGATGCCCTCGATTCCTCTTATTGTTCCACTCTTTCTCGAATGACAAAAGACGAAGCCCTTCGTATAAATACTATGGCGGGCTCGGCTTGTTCTTCTGGATATGCCAGTCAGGACAGTAGCCCAGAATGTTCAGTCCATCAACCCAGTTGGCAGCCGTCAACTCAGATCATGAGAAGGGGAAATCTTGTGGATAAGGCGGTGGAATGTGGATATCAAGATATCAAGACGCCTCTAGTCCGGGAAGATGACTACGATCATATTTACCATGAGCTGGACACCCAGAAGAGACAACCTTTTATGTCATTCCTCGATTTCCATCCCGATCTTCAAGCAATCGACTCCTGTTATTCTGGATCCGATGAGTTGGCCTGTTCTTCGATGGCCTCTTCTCGTCCCGAATCCCCGATTTATGCAATTCCTTATTCTTCTGCCGCTGAATCTCATTGTGGATCTATTGAATATGCTGATGATTCTGATGGTTATATGGAGTTGATGCAACGGCATGAAGATACGATGGGACCGAGTTACCGTCAGCTCAAGAGATATCCGGGTTCAGCGTTCAGTCCAGTCCGACCGGAACCCCGATTCCACGCTCCGCCCCCTCCTCCGGCTGAGCCCACAACATGTCTGGAGATGTTGGACAAACAAATCGCCGACTTAAAAGTAAGTCGAGCTGTTTTATAAACATATCATAAAAAGCTGGTGTAATATTCATCACAAATAGCCAATAACAACGTATCTATTTATAATTGTTCCAGGAAAAGACCCTACTCGTAAGTCGACTGGTCGAATCGGCGAAGGAACGCCGTGAACTTCGGGGATGCGCCCGCTTACTGTGCATGGAACATATACAACATCTGAGGAATATGCGATGGTATGTTGAGAACGGCTTCGAACTCAAGCTGTGAATCCACAAATTTCCATAGTGATCTACGTGTTCAACTAAGTCAACAGACATCTATTCAATCACAGACTCCTTATTTTGTGTTATACATGATCGAAGTAGTCTGTTTTTGAGAATATTTCCCTCATCCCCAAGCCCGGTATCACTTTCGACTAGCGCTTTAACCAGTACCGTATACCTATTATTTAACTACTGCCGTGATCTGTGAAGAGCAAATAAACTTAACCTACCATATAAGTTTAGAAAAATAAACATGACTTCTTTATTTTCTTCAACTCAACAAAACAAGGTAATACTCTTAAATAGACATGGCCAAGGTGACGAGAGCGAGGCGTTTTTCGAGATTCGTGGGAGGCTGAGGTCGGGGTCGTTGTCTGAAAGTGTCAAGCCACAATGATTTTGTGGCGGGGTCCACACAAGAGAAGATGTAATCACGCTTGGGACCCGATAATTTGAAACTGTTACGTAGTGTGGAGCTGGTCAGGACATCTGCAATAAAATTACATTGACTTTTTAAACTAGCAAATTTGATATGAAACTCTATGCAAATTTTTTAACATACCTTTACCATCCGGAATATCCACTACATTTGTACATTGTAGCGACATTCTCTCCTTGAAGACCAAAGAATTCTTTTTTAAAACATCTTTCTTGCACAGAACTATTGACTGGTCAAACATGTACACATGCACTGCCTTCGACCATTGTACCATGTTGTTTACTATGGCCTTGCATTGCAACTCTCCGCTTATCAATATCCTATGGTTGTTATCTATCAAATCTGGACCCTAAAACAATATAAAAAGTTAATCCGTAATAACAAAGTCAGGTAAAATAATGCTGTAAAAGCACTTACCCTGAATCCATGAACGTTTTTCTGCCAGAGAACGATCTTCTGAATGGCGTCGATTCTTCGTTTGGCATCATTTACATGAGAAGCCATCGCTTTCATTGTTCGATGAGCCTGTTCCAATGGATATCTGTCTGGATGAGTGGCTGGAGTGGCCTTTAAAAGTTCGTATAGTTGCAGGGGATATCTGCATATCCTCTGGACAGGGGTTAAAAGAAATCCTTCCAAGGACAACTTGGCCATTCCGCGGAGAAGACGACAGGCCTAAAATAAAACGATTTATAAATTAACTGGATTAATTCAAGATCTAATCTCATAATTAAACCAAAATTAAACACTAACCTCAAAGAAATGATGATACTGTGGCTGTTGTTCCAATAATTCCAACTCATTACAACTGATAGGTCGATTGTTACAGTACTCCGTATAAGTCGCGAAATTGTGACTCTAAAAGGAAACAGCGATTCATTAAACAGATAATGAACCCACATTCCTGAGGAAAGCATTAGCAACACACGAACTCTCAGGCGCCTTCTGATTGAACGCGATCTCGAGGTCACGCAAAAGTTTGTGATGTAACAATGAGATCTGCTCGATATTCGAGAAGATCTTTCGAATTCTCTCCTCGTTGAACATCTCCTTCCGACGACGACATTGTTCCACAAACCCCTGAAAACAAAAAAAAGTTTGTAATTAAATCATCGAAATTAGCGATTAAACACAAAATCTACAATAACATGAACTTTTACTTAAGGTACACTAAAAAAGCTTACATGTACAAGATTGTCGAGTAATTTGACATAGTCTCTCTCAGTGTCCATCAATTCCTCGACCACCCTTCTCCTCAGAATCCTCATTTTCTTTGGATATTCATCAATCGAGTCTACATTGCTGATATCACTAAATCGATCCATTTGACACTTTCTAACTCTGACATAATTTGATGGAAACCATCCGACCTTCCCATTACAGGAGCCATACCACATCCTGGAGTTGGAAGTGGAATCCAAAACTGTTACAACGTCGCCCAGTTGGAAGGGCAGTTCCTCCGTCAACATGGCCACATGGTCCCATAATGCCTCGGCCAACAAAAGACCCTAAAGATTTGAATTACCGTATTTTAACAGCCGTATTTTAACTCTGTACATAGCAAAAAAGTAAGATAAAAATTACCGAGTTCTCCTCATGAACACTACTGATTGAACTACTAGTGGTCGCACTGGAATTACTGTGAGTCGAGCTTCGAATCCCCGAATCATGTGAACTCCGACCGGCCTCCGAATCGATGCTGAATCGATCAGCCCGACTCAAATGTGGTTTATCGTCTTCTGAATCTTCAGCATTTGATATCCTTGCCGGAATCTGATGCAGAGGTTGAGATCTGGCCCGTCTTTCTCTAACTTGATGAGCATAACTCCGAATTAGACTTCTCGGAGGGTACTGTGTGGAGGAATTCTGAAGAAAATTGAATAAAATTATTTCGATGGTATTAATTCCAACTACAAAAACTGCTTACATTACTCTGACTGTTGGGGTACTTGACCGGCCGTTGGACCGGTGTGATTCCAGCACGTCTCTTGAGCATGTTCAGACGCTCCTCGGCTTCGATATCATCACTGTCGCAGCACTGCAAAACAAAGCGTCGATTCGCTCCGATTAAATGACCCCAAAATGTAACTTAATCTACTCCGAAACAATGCAAAGTGCTAAGCGGTTTTCGCAACACAAAAAACAAAAAAGCGGAATCCGCAGTGGGGCGAGCGACAAGTCGCGCGCGGCCATGATCGATAGCCGAAGGGCTCGGGAGCCGATGAAATACCTCCCTTCCCTTCCCCCACCCATGACTGATTGAGGTGAACAAGGAGAAAGAGAAGGGAAAGACCGCAAACAAGACTTCAGGGACATCTCCTCACACATCGGACGGTTACAACGCGCATGACTAGATCTTGAAGAGAAGCTGGACTTATAAAGAATATATTAGGATCTGAAGGGATTGTTGCGACGAAAAGGAAGTGCGGCTATTATGAGTGGGAGATATGACGGGCGAAAGTGGACGACATACACGTGACGGAGAGAATGCTCAATCATTTGTTGCCTCAGGGAAACAGTAGAAGAAACGGAACAGGGTAAGCGAATATTAAAAGCCAAGTAAAGAGAAAACAAGGAACAGTAAAGAAACTGACCGAGCAACACTCATGGAGATAGTAACTACTCTCCGAATACACTTCCATCCACCATATATCAGCCATTCGAAGACTCAAGACCCCGAAACCGATGTGCTATATACTTTTGGAGTCAAGGTCACACCAATAATCCAAGATCGTGCCAAAACAATGTCTGTCAGAGATGAGTAACTTCAATTACTGTACACAGAACTCAATTCTCGAACAAGTACAAAGATCTTAGAATCACGAAAACAGGAAGGGACGCCAAAGATCGGCTTTAGAATTCGAGGGTTGGAATGGTCATACGATCTTATAAAACACAATTCTCAGAGATGCGGGAGATCAAAGTAGTTGAGTGATATCAAGTAAATGGCGGTGAGATCGGTTAAGAGTAGATTGATAGTAATTAGGGCATGTCATTACTCGATTCCTGTCTAAACCTCTTAACAGTAGAAGAAGTGTACTCACAGCCATTTATAGAAACACAACCCTTCCTTACCTTATTCTCGGTTTCAGAATCGGCCGAATCCTCGTGTCGCGGTCCTTGATGGACCTGGATAACACATCTGGAATTTGTCGCCTTCTGTCTGACGATACAGTAGAAGGGCGGCGGCGAGATGCTGGGCATTCTACAATCGTGGTTCCGGAGATTTTTCATTTCGATTAAAAGCGACAACGCGAACGGTCTCCCCCGAAGAGTCTACTGGGACTCGGCCTGAGGCAAGGAAGCGGGCGGGAGCAGCGACATGTTCAAACAAAAACAAATTCTCTACAAAATTAGAACCGGAGCGCCACGAAGACTTCTTAATCCGGACCGAAAAAAGAGCGGCATCTGAATGCCTTCAGGGAACGGCGGCTAATCCCTCTTCTGACCTCACTTTCACCGATCAAATGCCCACTTAAAGAGATCCATCCCTCCAAATTCAAGATGGAGGATTCAGAAGTCTTGAATTAATTCTGAAGAAGATCCTCGAGTGAGTCTCTCAATAATCAAAACTGTTGGATGAAAGAAGACGGATTACACATGATGGCTCCCCAGAGGAAAAATTCCGACGAATTCAACAGGTTTACGACGAGAATCGAGGTCATAACTTAGGGGCGATAAAATCAGAAATAACCTGGCCAGAGGAATAAAAAAGCGCAGGACGCTCGGAGACGTAAAAAAACTCAAAAGAAGTAATCCCCGCTTACAAAAAAAATATTAAACATCTTGACCATCGAGAGATCTCTTCGTAAACAAATATCTTTTTCCGGATTTGCAATCGCATATGTTACAGAGAAACCGGGGCTAAAATTAGTACTGTAAATAAAGAAGAGTAACACATCGATAAAGAAAAGCCCTTGGGCATACATTCGACGTCAGCAGAGACGAAACGATGACATTACAAATTTGAAGATTTTGCAAATTGTAATTTGTTTTAAAAACCAAAACTTGACTCTAAAACTTTCTATTATTTTTAAACTACCGAGATATCTTGATTCAAATCGACTCAACAACTTATATTATCTACCCCAAGACGTCTGTATAAAACTTGGAACTTACCCCATACAGACTGCCATTGTTGAAGGCCTCCACCAAGCTGGACCGTCTTCTCATCGCATTACATTCGGCATCAATCTGAAACGAATGGAAATATTTAAAATGAGAAGATTTTTATCCGATATTTTATGTTTTTTTCTTTCTGACCTCGGTGGCGGAGGTGCACGGTGCAGCCAGAAGTGATGGGAAAGTCCGGCTGGAGGCGGCGATCAAGACTGGATCAAAAGCTCGCGACGATGAGCATTCCAACTCCTGAAGATAATAATTTAGTCACCAATTACTCACATCAAACAATGGGAGTTCGGCGGAGAAATCGGTAGATTGCACCGTGCAAGGGAGTCCATACGTCCGCATTAATTGGTCTGAAAAGGAAAGACAATAACTTACATTAATGATGGAATAACTATGAGAATAACGGTCAGATGAACAAAAAATATAATCTTCGTGTTGTTATGCACAACTCAAGTCATCAAAAGTGCGAAAGCAACAAAAAAACAAAAGTTTGTTTGAAAAGTGAACCTTGAGTTAGAAATAGTGATGGCAGAAACTTCGAAGAATCGAAAAAAATGTTTACTCAAACGATAAATCTCATTGAAACAGTTGGAATGGAAGCCGTCGAAACTTGAAGAATGAGGTTACAAGTCGCTATTCAAATTCGAATAAAACAACGCCTGACCTATATTCAAGGAACAATACAACGATCAGAAGAAGGGAGAACTTTCAAAACGTTTTTGTAAGAAAAGTAAATAGAGTAAATAAGATATATAAAAAATTGATTGATCTTGTAAAGAAAATGCTACCCTTTCGAGAAATTACACATCAAATTTAACGAATTGCAATAATAAAATTTTGACTTATTACGTAAAAATATGTATTAGCGATACTACGGCTTCCCAAAAAAAGTAATAGTAATAAAAATAAAAGTAACCCGAGTGCCCATAACTCTGAGCGAAACCCATAAGAGTAGCCATTCCAATTACAAACACCCGTATTCGGAAACAATGACAATACAGAAGAGGGGATACCTCGAACAAGATCGGACTCAAGGTCCTTTGTCGGAGTCAAGGCCAAACCTCACTCTCAGCCCGGAATTGGATCCGAGAAGAAAAAGAAGAAAGGATTCGAAAAGAGCGTCAAGAGATCCTTTAAAGGATCCTTGGGAATCCGTTAGAATGGCTTCATTTAACGGGGTCAACAGTTGGAAAGGAATTGATGACCAACATAAATATACACCTAAGTTTAAAAGAAGACGAACACTACATCTATACATGTTATACTCATACATTAAACCAAACTGAACAAAACAGCTGAGTCATCCGGCTCGAGGGATTAATATCTCTGAAGATAACCACAAAACGAACGATTAGGAGCGTTTATTGTTTTTGGGGAGGCAAAGAGACAACAATTACTCTGCCAAAAGCACAAAACTTTCTCTAATTATGCTCCACGAGCATTGATTTGCATGACATCCAAATTGGAAATGGAAATGTGTAGATTAAAAAAAGCGAAGGAAACTTGTTTGCGATTATTAAAGAGTAGAGTTCATGAGAAAATAATATTAGTATTGTTCCCAGAGATTCATCAAACGAAAAGAGTTACTCATAATGTTATGCAAGGAAACAATATAATCGTACAGCTGATGTCCATGACCTTCCTAAATGCGGCTTCATTTAGCGAGTTTCAAAAAATATAAAAAATTAAAAAAAAAATTAAAAAAACCAAGGGAGGATGACGTCACAAACCACAAAGTTGGATGATAAACCCTTTAAAAAAATACTTGTACAATATTTTAGTACCAGTTTTTAATATAAACTGATATTAACTAATACAAGTCAAGCCATCCATGCTAACATAAGGCAAGAAAACGGGTTCCCAATCTGCTCTTCGTTTGTTACAGTAAATCAATTTGCTAAATACCATGAGCCTGCTCGTTTTAAAACAGTATTGTGAACAAAAAAAGAGATCTGCTGGCTCAACGATGCTTCCTGCTTCTGACGGGAATTAATAGAAGCTTGGGGAATGCGCGATCGCCCTAACCAAATGGAATTTCTCCCGGAAGAAGTCGTAAAGAAAAGGTAATGTCGATCTCTTTTTTCGTTTCTCCGTTCCCTCGGCCTGCTCTCAGATTCAATTTACGGAACATTATCACTCGCTTATCAACCTCTACGAAAAGAGACCGGTTTCCGCACCACAAAAGAAGCCAGTTCTTTTGTTTCTTGGAGGGATAAGAGAGCTAAACTACTATGTGAGAAAAGCTACTACCTAACCCAGAGTAGGTCGTCTAAGGTGGGATCGGGGGATTAGCGACTTCGACGGGGATCTGATAACGGAGAAAAAGTAAAAGTTTTGATAAGAAACGATGCGATACACTTAACGCTTATCAATTTATCCACAATGAGAACGAGATCAACGACTTTCATCTTCCAATTACTCAAAACAGTGTGAAAACAGGGAAATAAGTGAGAATGAATGGAATGAAGGTCAGAGTTTCGGATAGAAGAGTGATTGATATGACATCACAATTGCAAACAACCCGTCCAACCCCTACTTTCTACGTTTTCTGATGGTTCTAATTCCAAATCAAAATTATTAGTATAACAAGACGAAGTTCAAAACTTCTTTTTGAAGAAAGGATGATATCCAAAAAGTGAAGATTGTTATGAAATACGAGAACTCACCGAAACTCTCTCCATTCAGACTAGCCGGGCGTGGCGCCAGCCAGGCACGGCCGGGGTACATCGCCCGAGGTGATGAAGTTTTGTTTTAAAGAGATCCAATTCCAGGAGTGTCCATTCCACTCTCACTTTCTGGTCAGGATATATTCAAAGTCTTTTTGAATATAACAACTGACGTTATCAAGGGGCTTATTTTTTCAGCTCAAAAAACGAATTAAAAATTGCCCGAGGCAAGAGAAGAAAGGAGGAAGGCCATTAATTATGAACAAAAAAGTTTCTGAAATACGAAAACTGGCGCCATCAGATAAATCGGTCTCATTCGTTGTAAAGTCAATATGTCAGATAACAATTAAGTTCTTTATTGGCCAAGAATCAAGAGATAACAACGCTGGGGACCGCCATGTTTGCAGGGAGAGAGAGATCTCCACCCACCCGGATCTTATCCACTTGACATTTTTGGATGTAAAACCATGGAGAGACTGCAAAAAGAAAATAATGCAGCTATTCCAAACTTACCATGAGTTCCACATCTCAAGTCATCGGATCCCAAACATTTCCTACCTCCCCATATATATTGGCCTAACTTCTCCGAACATTTCGGGCAATTTATCTGAAATATCGATTGTAATCATTCTGCTCAGCCTTATAATCAAAATTAATTACAGTTCGGGTCGATGGTCAACGATAACGTTTTATAGGTAAAATCATTGAAAATATTTTTTTTATGTAACTTGCACTATTTTTGAGTGATTTTTTCGGCACAGTGAAAAAAGGTATAGGAAATGCACCCAATGCACTTACGCCAAATTTCCATGCAGCCCTATTTTTGCGAGGATTTGCATCACCCGGAGGATAGGCTACCCCACCGGATAGGTTACCCCACCGAATAGGTTACCCCACCGGATAGGTTACCTAGAGGATAGGTTACCCTTTACCAAAAAAAAGAAAAAAAAATTTTTTTGAAATGTTTTCGCTTCGGGACTTGGAAAAAACGGATTTTTTGTGAAAATTGAATAAAATTTGAAACGTTTTCGCTTCGGGACTTGGAAAACAGGATTTTTTGTGAAATTCGAATAAAATTTGAAATGTTTTCGAGCTGACTGAATATGAAAACCGGGTTTCTGTTACTACCTTTAGGGATTCTGTTTGAAATTTTTTCGACTTATAACACTTTTAGACGTTAATGGTGTTGTTTTGGTGCCTAGTACTGCTTAAAAACACATTTTTAACACTTGGTACTAAATAGAACTACCTGGTACTATTTAGTACGTGGTGTATATTCAGTCAGACACCCTTTTTCTACTCCCGAAGCGAAAACGTTTCAAAATTTTCACAAAAAGTCTTTTTTTCCAAGTCCCGAAGCGAAAACATTTCAAATTTTATTCAAATTTCCCAAAAAATCTTTTGTTTCATTCCCGAAGCGAAAACATTTCAAAAAAAAAATCTGTCCCGAAGCGAAAACATTTCAAAAAAATTTTTTTTTTTCAGAAAAGGGTAACCTATCCTCGGGGTAACCTATCCTCCGAGGTAACCTATCCGAAACTTGGGGTAACCTATTGGCTAGGGGTAACCTATCCTCCGAGAACGTTTGCGAGTTTGGATATAATATTTGCGCGTACCTTGGGTGGTACCGGCGGATGATAGCTTACTTGCCTTTCCTTGAAATTGGTCTGCATCCATCCATTTCATTGGGGTGATAAAGTACTCGAAATTACATCGATTATCGCCCAAACTGAAAGCCTTCCGCAATTTCTTTTCGTCGTTTTCCGTCATCGCTTCTCCCGTAGTTCCAGATCTTCCTCGACCATGATACAGGACATGAGTGTCGTAGAATAGGTCTGCTCTGCATTTCCTGCATCTGAATTTTAATTGTGCCGCCATCCCCTCAGGTGACTTGTGATCCAGAGAAGCCTTTGGAATGTTGATGGGAGCCTGAGGATCCGAGATTGAGGTGCTAGCTGAGTCGATGATAGGGGAACAAGGCTGCAGTTTAGGTACGTTCCCTGTATCTGCGCAGAAATTGCGGTACAAGGGAGAGACCGTAAGACTTTGGGGATCAGCTTTATAACCAAGGTGGGCGAAGATCTCCAGTTGTCTCATAAATCCAGTGTTCGGTCTGCAATCGTAGGACTTGATCCATCTAACACTTACTGCACATTTGGCCGCCTTTCTTTTAAAAATAACAGTGCCTTATTCGGACTCCATTCAAACCGTCTCATGAGGTATGCACAAACAACCGTAACGCATCTGGAAGTGCCCATCTCACTAAAGCAAACTGTGACTAATTTTATTTTCTTACCAATGGACAAGGATGTTAACACCATCTTTGACTGCATTTTCTATATAAGCCACAGCTTCTTCCAATACGTTATCTCCTAGGATATCTTGTGTGGGCATATCCATCATGAATATAAATTTATAATGGATGCCATTAATCTTCTTAGAGTCATCTATGGACATGGCTGAAACTGTGAGGACTCGCTGGATCTAAATACATAAAACATGATAAAGTATAGTAGTAACTTTACTCTCAGATCCTCCAACTTTTTTCTCTGAGTAGCACCAATAACCGAAATGGCATCGGAAAGATGGATCCCATCTAAAATATGATCAATCATCTGCAAACAAATAATTTAATTCTCTCAGACGTCACAATTATGATGCAAATAGGCTTCGAAATCGTTACGCAAAGGTAGAAAAGAGAACTCCGATCAGGATTCAACCTTTTTTAATTCATTTGTTTAACAATAACAAAAGAAATTGAATCATGATCTGCTCCGAATACAAATACATCATTGTAAGGACGGCCCCTTAGAGCCACACCTCAAATAATACTGGCAGTCCAAGCCCAAAACAAGGCGACCGCCCACTCAGACATACAAATTTATTATAAACGGAACTTTATTGATAAGAAGTGTCAATGGAGCAATTAAAATTACCCGGAAAGCATAAGAAATCGATTGAAAACGGGCTTACACAAGAAGCGTTTTAATCACAGGCCTAACAAATATAATACCTCTATGAACTCAGAAAATATAATTGGTTCATTCGGTAACATGGACCATTACTCGATGCCATGATGTATTCACCAATCCTCTGATGTTCCATAGTCCAGATGGGGTCTCTGGTTGAGTATTATAAGATCGATCCGTTGCTTTACATACAATCTCCACCGTGTCTCCAGGCTTCGCAGACTCCGGAATTGGAATATCCGCTTTCCACAGAGTCCAAGCCCACATTCTTTCCTAAAACATTAAGGTTATTACATGCATCTGACAGTAAAATCAACATACCAATTCCTGCGATGACTCTTGTTCCAGTTCCGCCGAATACCAAGTCTCGCCATTATCAGTAGACACTTCAACTCTGATGATCCCCCTTCCTCCTCCGCTCCACGAATAACCTGCTACTTCGATTGTTCCATCATCTACACAAATAACTCATAAATCCTTCAATTCCTTCGTTACCTTTGGATACTTTCGTGCCTTTGCTCGGAGTCATAATAGCACTTTGAACTGGGTATTCTTGGATTGATGGGACCGAATCATAATCAATTTTATCCGCCTGTGTTACGGATGGAGAAAACGCTCTAGAAATATGCGGTTAAAATCAGAGCAGGGTGACTCAGTAATTGCGCCCCATTCACCCACGAATTACACTTTTTCAGTTTTCGAGCTAAACCAAGATTTTTTAAAGATTTTAGATATCAAAATTCCATCGACCGAATTTTTGGAGGACAAAATTGGTCTTAAAAAACAAAAATTTAGGACGCTATTTTCTGACCAGAAACCAAGCTTTTGTTCCTGTTAGTCAAGAAAAAACAGCCAAATTTTCTCTCCAAGATTCAAATAGAAAAGGGCATAATTCTGGAGACACCTTATTCAATCATGTTCCAACATCTTAAATGATCCATACCGGTAATCTTTTCTCTGCCAATGTGAAGGACTCTCGACATCCGAAGTTTTAATGGAAGTCAGCCATTTCACTTGACGAGCTCCGACATTCCCTGGGACAACAGCTCTGAGGGGAAATCCATGATCCTTTGGGATGTCTTGATCATTCATCTTGTAAGCTATAATTGTATCAGGATCCATGGCCTTGTGGAAGGGAATTGAAGCTCCGTATCTAGTTCCTGTAGGGTCAGTGTCAGCACCTTCAAAATGGATATGCTTAATCCGTTTGTCTTTGGGATCAACCCCAGCTGTGATCAATATATCCTAAACAAAACTATCACAGAGAGAACTCAACATACTCTCAATCTGGCTCCAGTCCACTTCGCATTGCTTATCGCGGTCCCCGTCCACATTAATCCATTCACTTTCTTGTATTCATTCATGTCATTTCTCCTGTTTCCCGCGCATTGAACCACTGACACCACATTCACTGGTTCGTATTTTAATTTGAGGTCTTCAACTGATAATCGAATTGGTCTTTTCACACCGAGGCCTTCAATTTGAAGGGAATGCGTTTTTGCATCCGTCTAAAACTATATTACGGTTAACAAACATAACTGATCCAGAATCTGACAGAAAACGCAGAAGTCAAGCAGACACTGCGATGCAACATAATACATACCTGAGGAACAGGCATATGATTCCGGATAAAGAAAAGTTCATTAGGTGTTAGAAAGTTATCTAAAATTAGACTTGGGGGAGTCTCGGCGTTGAACGGTTTCTGTGAATTCACCAAAAGAGCTGGATGTCTTGGAGGATCAAGACTGAACGGATCGTTTTCATCCGTCGCCTAAAACCAGTCTTTGTCAACTCCTTGAAAGCGATTTACCTTCGTCGGAATGCTTTCTAACTCTTTTATATCAACAGATCCAATTCTCAACGTCTCCAATATTTCCATGACTTCATTCGTCTTATGCTGCGCATAAATTGCCCAAAAAGGTTCTACAGATCCACCACCGGCCATCAAAATCTTGTCCCCACCTGGGTGACTCTCCACAAATTCGGTCACATCATAAACACCCTGCAAAAAAGCTGTTTATATTTTATACGGATACACCTAAAAATGTGCGGAGACAAAGGAATAAGAACGTACAGTTTTGTATCTGACCCAGATGCGGTCCGAATTCTTTCCATGCTTCTCAATATCAGCTAATTTAAATGTTGGCAGATCGTGCCTTTCTGGAGGTTCAAAACTCGAATTTCTTGATGTCTTCGCTGTTGCTGCTTCCGCTTCTCTGAAGAACCTTCTCCGACCTTCGAATAATCCACCAAGAATAACTATTCCTGCAGTTGCTCCATAAAAATGAGTCCTCTGGTTAAAACTTGCACGGCCTAGGAAGCAGTCAACAGTAATTAAATATATGACAATTAACCAACACTTGAAAAAACTTACCATGAAAAGTCGTGGCGGATCGGCTTGGTCGAAGATTTCTGGGTATTTTGAGGACATTCAGCCGGCAAAACATTGATATATTTACAGGCAAACGACTGCAGCAATTCAAAAAGAGGGGCGAGCCCACGACGACAAACACGCATTTTCTCACTGCGACCACCGAAAAACGGTTTACAACCTCAATTTAGGTCAAGTCTCCCCCTTTCTCGCCAAGTTTCAACAACGGTTTCGTGGAAATTGGACAGATTTTTTTTCGCTGCAATCGTACGAAATGTCACTATTGAATCATCAAATAATTATTTTACTAGGGAAGTGTACAAACGAACCCTCACCAAATGGCAAGTGTTATACACCATTGGAAAGCCCTTGAAAAATGGTGAAAGGTACCATTTTCATTTTTTGCAGAATGCCTCAGGGCAAAAAATTATAAACGGTTGATTTGTCCCTTAAGTAGTTACAATATCTGCTGTGGGGCAAAATAGATCTTATTTCAAAACGCTAAATGGCAATTTTTGCTACTAGGTTGGCCTAAGAATCATTATGAAGTTTGGCGCTTGCCAGTAAAACCATTTTACATATGATATTTACTGGTTTTAAACACCCATAACACGAAAAAACACTTTTCACTTTTTTTAATTTTGAAAAACATGTAAGTTTGATGGTTTTAACCGTAATCGACCGTTTTCTAGAAAAATTAAAGCGTTTGTAAAAGTTTAACTCAAATATTATCCTAACTGTAAGAACGCAAAATGTTTTTGCCCAAGCTGGGAATCGAACCTTGCTTGATTTGGCTTATCAGCCTGCTTAGCAACCACTGCACTATTGAAGCAACCCTCTTCGAGGATTTTTATCCGCTCAAGAGAAAGAAAGATTTTTGTTGCGAAATAACCCAAAAATAATGAAATTTACAGTATGTCGTCGCGGAAAGGCATTCTGCAAAAAATGAAAATGGTATCTTTCACCGTTTTTCAAGGGCTTTCCAATGGTGTATATCACTAGCCATTTGGTGAGGGTTCGTTTGTACACTTCCCTAGTTAGTGAAAAAAATCTGTCGAGTTTCACTCTGTCCAATTTCACCCTGTCCAATTTCCACGAAGCCGTCCAATTTCACCCTGTCCAATTTCCACGCTCTGACCAAATTATTTCTGTCCAATTTCACTCTGTGCAATCTCCACGAAGCCCAAAAAATTGCTTCGTGGAAATTGGACAGAGTGAAATTGGACAGATTTTCGCTGCAATCGTACGAAATGTCAATATTGAATCATCAAATAATTATTTTTTGCAGGGAAAAAATCTGTCGAGTTTCACTCTGTCCAATTTCACTCTGTCCAATTTCCACGCTCTGTCCAAATTATTTCTGTCCAATTTCACTCTGTCCAGTTTCCACGAAGCCCAAAAAATAATTATTTGATGATTCAATAGTGACATTTCGTACGATTGCAGCGAAAAAATCTGTCCAATTTCACTCTGCCCAATTTCCGCGAAGCCTCAACAACGATGGAATTTAAAGTACGCACTTCTGGAAGCCTAGCAATACACTTGGCCACCTGCAGATTAATTCCCGTCGGGACCCAAAGAGGGATTTGAATTTGTTTGTGTACGGTAAAAAAAATATTTTTTTTGCGGCAGCAGCAAAAAAAATAAATGGTTCATCAGGCGAAATTTAAACTGGCAGAAGAGAGTATGAGAGAGCTTGTTCAGGTTTTTTACAGCTTCTTTAGACGATAATACTAACAAATCATGGGGATAAGGTAGTATTTTTCGAGAGGAGGAAGAAAATCTGGCAAATTTTGAAAGAAATCACAAAAAACAGCTAGTCAACAGCTTTCTCCAACCGTCCCTGAGCTCGCCGTCTAGAAACAACCGAAAATAAACATAAAATAACTTACTGAGATCAATCCATCGCGATATCAAACAACAAAATTTCCGGCTGCAGCCGCAAAAAAAAATATTTTTTCTACCGTACACAAACAAATTCAAATCCCTTTTTGGGTCCCGACGGGAATTAATTTGCAGGTGGCCAAGTGTATTGCTAGGCTTCCAGAAGTGCGTACTTTAAAAATAAATTCCATGAAAGAATTTTTGTTGTAGCTAACTAGCCACTACGTAGATCAAGATGCCGAGTCTCCGTAAACGCAGACCCGTCACCGAATATATTCGGTGAACCAAAAATGGGGTGTCTCAGCTTCGATTTAAGAGTGAAGAAATATGACCGATTTTGAGATTTTGAAAAAGACGCTAAATTTGCTTTCTCGAGCTTTTTTTCTCATGTCGGCCTCATTTTTTCCATTTTATTTTTTCAAAAAAAAGTGAGGAGAATTTTTAACGTTTTGCTTCGGAACGACCGGTAAGATCTTATTTCTTCACTCTTATTTGATAAATCTATTTACTTTATAGAAATTGGTGCAGATTTATTTTTTCGGTCCTAAATTTACGGTACAAACATAAACGACAATTTTTTCACGTAATACTCCGTAGTTCTTGGCAATACATTCGAAAAGATTCAGCCAGATCTTCAACACTCAATTTAGTACCCAGAGCAAGTTCCAACAGTTCAGCTGACGGCCTTTCACCTCCTCGAGCTTGGACCCCAGCCCAATGCCCTCCGGAGATTCTGGAGAACGGATCTTTTTCGAAATGTTTCTGCCAGATCTGTGACGCGCAAGCTTTCGCTATGGTGTATGAGTAATATTTGGCCCCATACGTGACAATATGGGTAAAGCCTTGATGATACGCGTAATCAGCCGGTAGAATCAGTCTGGGAAACAAATTCTGATGCAACTCATGATAAAGACGCATTGGTGAACTGGAATCATTGTGATGTAGTTGAAGATCAAACAGAGCAAGGAGAAGTTGTTGAGTATGGAAATGGGTGGGGTAAATGTTCAACGAAGAATGCATCGCTTTAGCATACTCATTAGTAAACAACGAGCCCTTGAGATCCTCGCAGAATCTTTTCAGCACCTAAGAGAAATAATCATTTTATCTTATTACACAACATACCCTCGGATCACTGAAGAAAAACTCCATTAGATTCGAAGGGACCTCAGCAAAATCGGTGGGACATCTCGTACCAGCTGTATGCTGATACCGGGTAGCACCAAGCATTGAATGTATGGCATGACCAAGTTCATGAAACATATTCTCAGCATGTTGAGGGTGAATTGTGACGGATTCCAAAAGATCTTCTAACCCCATTTTACGACTATTGCCATCGAAGAAAGACAGGGAGAGAACTACAATCGGCTTTTGATTTGTTCCGTCTTCTAACTACAAATACCGTCATTGCAATTAGATCCACCTTACTAATTTTGAGCATCGAACAGTAAAATGGCAATCGCCAATATTTTTGGACTTTCTCCTTTCGGCATCAATATATATTGTTCCCAAGAAATCATGGCCCTTTTCAACTTGTATCTTAACCACATCGCCATCCCAAATCTCGTGTTCTTCCGGTCTTGAAATCTCCAAATTGATCCCATATAAATCATGACACACGTCTCCGAATCCTTTCAAAACTCCTCCAAACCTCAAGAATCTCGAGAGATCTCCATACTGTTTGTAGAGTGCCTGTTGTTTCATTCTCGAAGCCATCTCAACATCAGCATGAGAAAGTTCGGATCTTGAAGAGATCAGTTTGTTATCCACGGCTACTTTATATACATCCTCTAGTTCTTCATCCAGTATTGGTTTTAATTTCTAAAACATTGATTTTTAGTTTTTTCATACACTTACTTTAGTCACCAATTCAAGGAATTGAACGGCTTGATCGTATCCTCCAAGTATTGTATGTTGCTGTGCTCGGTCGGCAAAACTCCTGAATCCAGTCAGTCTGGCCAGTTTTTGTCGATGCTCGATCAAATCCATCAACCTTTTCTCCTTCTCCGCATCAAACTTTACGTACCCGTTTTCGCATCTTGCACTCTGTTCGCAGAATTTCATCCCCAATTCGAAGATTTTGCTCGAAAGTCGGACAAATTCCTTTCGCTGAAATTATTTTGATAATTTGCCCTAATAAAATGTGGCTGATACTTTTTTATCTAGCAAGTGGATGTCTTGCTATTCAACCAAACAATACCCCTCAATACAGGCCCGGCCTCGTAAGTTGTAAACCATTTTCAACAACTCTATAAACTAAAGAGTATGAACGAAGACTATCCAGCGGTGTTCCCTGCCCCAGATCCTCAATACAAAGAAGATCCCCTTCCCGGCATTCCAGATGACCTCAAAGAATATCTCAAATTGGATTTCGGCCAAGGATACTACGAGCCAAAGTGCAATAACCCGGAGAGACGTCCTTATATTGAGCCCGTCTACTATTGGCCGGGAGATACAATCAAACTGAAGTGCCGAGTGTGTGAGGAGGAGCAGGCCAACAATGGGAAGATCAAGAATTGGGCCTTTTTGGATCGAAAAATAGCTGGCAAGATCGATAAATTGCATTTGACTATCAAGAATAAGAACTGGTTACCCATTCAACAACTTCATACTAAGCCTCCAAGGCCCGTGCTAACGCCAGAATTTACATGCAAGTTTTTGCTTATGTCCGCTAATGAATTCTTCATTTTAGTCTCGAGTGCAACACCTATCCACCGTCCCAATCCACATGCCTACCAAAGAGATGGGTTTCTTATCATAACCAATGTCAGTTTGAGCTACAGTATCTTCATATTTTATTTTTCAGAGTGTAGCAGCAACTTACGGACTCTATCGTTGTTTTGATTATGACAAGACTGATAACCTCGACTATATCTATTACCTTATTCCTTACACTCCTATACTGGTAGACTCGGCAAATCAGCGGACCATCAGACCCGAATATGAAATTCTAGAGAGAGAAAGTTACAAACATTTCGATGAATACCATCGATGGAGAACTTATCCGACCTTCATTCAAGACAAAAAGAATGGAATTTGTGCCGGAGAATGTAACGACAAGGTGATATTACAACAAATTGCGCCATCTTAGAATAGTATCTAGATGTTTCCCACATCAAAACCCCGGTAACTAAATGGGAAGGTCCAGTGATTCGTGATCACGACGTCAAAAAACTGACACACAAGATCAATTTGGAAGTTTACTTTAAATGGGATAATTGGACATCTTGTGAGAATGGGATGGATATGCAAACTAGGGTCGGACAATGTTACCTACGCAAAACAAGGCCTTCGATTGTATTCAAAAGGGATTTGGATCCACTATCAGGAAAAGAGAAACATGTTCTGGGGGAAGTGGACTATGCCCTGACTCTCCACAAACTTCTGGAGAATGTCCCGGCCTTCAAACAAGACGGGTTCCCGTTGTTTACGTCAGTATAAAGCAATACATAACTATGTTTGCAGAGGGATTCTGATGGATGCGATGCTGCCGAAGAACGATCCTTTCGACGTCTCCACAAAGATCCCGGCATTCGAATGGCAAAGTTTTTATGACTTTATCATCAAAGGACTGTTGAAAAACAGCGTCCGAAAACTCGGAACTCATGGTTCCTCTACCGAATTAGGACCTTGCTTGCGAAAGCGAGGCTCTGCGCTTTTCATCTTGAATAGTCATATTCTTTTTCAAAACCGAAAGTGTAAATAAAATTTCGATATAAACAATAAAAAATGTTACCTGTGCTTCCTTCAAATGAACTCCACATTGCTCAAAGTCATCAAGAAATAATCTTAGAGCCCTCTTATCCACCGAATCCAACATGGAAGCTTCTGATTTCTCCGATCTGGATACTGAGTGATAGAGTGCCGGCATAGAGTTCAGTCTAAAAATAGGTTTTGAAATTGCTTTTGATGATGCGGGCTTACGTTTGTGGGTCATTAGTATGGTAAAAGAAACTCACGTCTCCAAGAGATCTGTCAATCTGTATATTGAATTGTTTCCGGCCTCTCTGTATTCCCCATCAGGATGCATATTTCTCACACATTCTGCCTGAAATAACAACATTAATCATAATTAAAACTCATGGCAATCGGGCTGGGCTTTTTGCGCGCTCTTTTTACTGTTTTGTGCAGTATTTTTGAGTTATTTGCACTCTAATATCGCATATCAAAAATCTGCTCTGGAAAACCGCAAATTTTTTGCTCCTCACGAATTTCACGCCCGATGAATTTTCGCGATGGTAGGTAGGGCCAATAGTTTTACCAGCTAGCCAATGAGTTAAAATGACTGCCAAAGTGTCCGGGAGCGACAAATAGAGAAAAAGACAATTTGACAATTTTAACCGATGGCGCTGATTCCAAAACTCATATTATTTTTTTGATTGTTACTTTTTTTCTTTAGTACTGTAAAACAGTAATTTTCCAAACTTTTTTCACAAATAATCGATTTAGGGGTCATAATGGAGGCTTTGAAGTCTCGAAAATGGCTAGCCAAAACATTGGAATAGCCAATTCAGGGTTTTCGCTAGTTATTTAGAATATTGGGATGTCATTTCAACTCATTGGTTAGCTGGTTAAACTATTTTGCAACATTGGCTATACATATTGGGCAAATACCCGATCTGCCCCAAATGAAAGATAGACTAATTTTTGCCCTGCGTAAGTCCGCTGAATCTTTGCAAGAAAAAACATGAAAACATCCAAACTTCCGAAGGCCCGGACTGGTTGCCATGTCTGTTAAAGACGTCTTACCAAATCAGCAGCAGTGCATATCGTATTTGAGAGGTCGTCAAGTAGCTGAACCGAGGGTTTCTTCAGTTTCCTAGACTCATATGGCTTTACTATCTCCCCCACCAACATCTCCGATTCTCTAATCACATTATCTGTGACCTTCTCGAAGTCTTGAGGACATCTGAGCTTTTCATTGCCGAACATACCCTAAAAAAAGTTTCTGTAAATATAAGAGCATTTAATATCCTACCTTTACATTTGTGATCGACGCAGTCTTAATTAAGACTCTTCTGACCACGGACGATCTCATCCTTAACGTACAAGTTAAGCAACCTTAAAATCGAAATAGTTAAGCAAAATCAACTTTGGTTTGTAAAACACTAAAAATAAATTAAATCCGTTTATTATTATCATACACATGTAAAAAGTGAGACTAAATATTTTCTTTCCGTTTCATTGGCGAAGAATGATAGCCAGCAAAAGATTCGTTGACCACCGTATTTAACTTATTCACCAACTAAAATAAGATCATAATATTAAAAAGTCATACTTACAGAAAAAATTGAATTAGAGATCTTGTTGTTCATCGTTAGAAGGACAATCATCTCGTCATTGATATCAACGTTCCCTTCCTCACATTTGATCTGATTATTCCTGAGAAACGAAACCTTGATAGCCAACTTGTTCAATTCTCTCAATACCTCTTCATTTGGTTGGATTTCTCCCTTTTCAATTGCCTAAAAACGGAATACTTGTAGAATAGAAAGGCATCTTACATCAAGATAATCGACAGCTACAGAAAGTCCTCTCCATAACATTTTCAGGGCTCCGTGTTGTTCTTGAAGTTTCTTAGATGCAGTGGCTTCATTCTTGTCACCGGCACTAGTGTATTTGGCAGCATGATCAGTTCCAATTCTCTCGGCGACATCGCTTACAATCTTTACAGGAATTTCATTGAGAACCGTTCTTCCTTCTTTATGATCCAAATTGGCTTCATAGACACTAACAGGAATCTTAATCGGATATAGATGCTTATTTAAAACTTACCTTGTCATTCAACTCCGCAACGAGAGGACTCAGTTTGAGAATAAAGGCAAAGTCAGAGAAATTGAGTGCGTATTCGTAGAGTCTGAGATCCGTCTCATCAATGGCCGAGTGATTTCCAATAATATAGAACCCCAAGAAAGTCAGATCAGAAAAGGTCTCTTCATCTAAACGACGATTATCAACAAACATTCCTCTTACATAATTTAGCTCGGGTTCTTAAATATTCCACATTGAGATCAATTCTTCCTCCTTCAACTTTTGCCTCCAACTCAAAACAGTTTAGAATCTCAATATATTTTGCGTCTTGCTTTCCAAGAAGAGCTCCGATCACCTAAACATTAATTATAACATAAAGAATGAGGCCTACCTGACAATACTTTCCATCATTCAATAAAACACTTCTTGTGAAATGATTGGAGATGATGGCGACAGTTACTGGATGGACCTTTGCAACCAAGCCGCCTTTCTCTGAATTTGACATGTTGATGATAACCTTTGCCAAAAGTTCCACAGAATAATTCTGTCGTTGAAGGCAAAAGGAAGTTTTGACCCAAAAAGCCAAACTTGACTCATTAATTTTATTTTCAAAATTTGAGAAATTTTGAAGAACGCGATCTCGAGATCCTCCACGTCCGGTCCAAATAGAAGAAAAGCCACGGTTGAGATGGTCTCACGAGCTGCGCCCGCGATTTTGAATTCGCCGGCGACATGTTATACGAAAGAATATCAAATTTCGTAATAATTGCCTCAGGGCTCTAATATTGTAGGCACAAAATATTATTTTCACGTAGACCTGATATACCAAGCACCAAGTTTCTATCGTTGTCGATCTTCGAGTTTTGCTAAATATAAGGTTTTGCCTTGTTTTGAGCCTGTTTTTGTACCCATTTTTGGACCCCTTTTTGGCATGTAGTGGTAAAAGTAAGACAGTTGCCCCAAATATCGTTCTCTGTAATTCAAGATACATGTGTTGTTGAACGTTTTTAGGTCTAGTTAGACCTCAATGATATGCCTCCTTTGAGAAACGTTGGCGACAATGACGTCAATTTTGGGCTAAATTTTGATGATTTTTGCGTATATCTGCCTATATCTTTTTTCAAACGCCTTTTATCGACAAAATCGTCCTCTGTAATTGTAGACAGGAGGCTTGTCAATGTGTAGGAACTTGTCTTATAATTCAGAGACCAACAGTTTTTTCGAAACGTTGGCGACAATGACGTCTACTTTTGGCTAAATTTTGATGATTTTTGCATATTTCTGCCACCCACTTTTTCAAACATGTTCGAAACAAATTGTTTTTGGATATTACGAAAATTAGAATGGAAAAATATAATTTCTGAAAGGATTTCGAAATGGATTTGGCATCCAAAGAGTCATTCCGTGTCATCTTCTCCATCAATGTCTTCATCAATTTGGCTTGTGTCAAGCCCAAATTCGTCGTACAGCACCGTCCTTTCGTGAGCCCATCGCAGTAAGCTGTCCGCCTGTAAAGCGTGGGTTTTAATAGCAATTTCTTTATCAATAAGTATTGTGAATGAATATCCCCCATACTAATACCTGTTCTATTTTCAGCGTAACCTTTTCTGTTCGACTTACAATCTTACTCCTATCACTGGTTTTAATTCTCAGCATATCCCTATTCACCATTGCATGGGTGCTCTCTATTGACTGCTCTGTAAAGAAATTAACAGTGTTGTGTCTGTTCATAAAGTCAACCATGTGGATGATTGTCTGGTGGAATTTGTGGCCGGGTTTTTCGTTAGAAAAATTTTGCTTTAGCTGTTCGGTTAATGTCTTAATAAGCCTTTTGAATTGTTCGACCTCTTCCGCTGAAAATTTCCTGGCCTGCGTATAATTTTGAATATCTCGGAGTGTTTTTAAGACTTGGATGCAGTTTTGGACAACTTTCGACAATTCTGATAGTCTTGTTCCAGATTTTGTTTTTGCGTTCTCATCAAATTCGTCGATGCGTTTGGTGAGAGGGCCTTTTTCTACAATTACAGATAATAATTTAATGGATCAAGCATTTTTGAAAAAGAGGGAGGCAGAAATATGCAAAAAATCAATAAAATTAAGCCCAAAAGTTGAAGTCATTCACACCAACGTTTCGAAAAAACTATTGGTCCCTGAATTATAAGAGAAGTTTCTACACATTGACAAGAGTCTTGTCTACAATTGCAGAAGACGATTTCGTCGGTACAAGGCGTTTAAAAAAAGGTCTAGGGAGAAATACGTAAAAATCATCAAAATTTAGCCAAAAGTAGACGTCATTGTCGCCAACGTTTCGAAAAAACTATTGGTCCCTGAATTATAAGGCAAGTTCCTACACATTGACAAGCCTCTTGTCTACAATTACAGAGGACGATTTTGTCAATAAAAAACGTTTGAAAAAAGATATAGGCAGATATATGCAAAAATCATCAAAATTAAGCCCAAAATTGACGTCATTGTCGCCAACGTTTCTCAAAGGAGGCATATCATTGAGGTCTAACTAGACCTAAAAACGTTCAACAACACATGTATCTTGAATTACAGAGAACGATATTTGGAGCAACTGTCTTACTTTTACCACTACATGCCAAAAAGGGGTCCAAAAATGGGTACAAAAACAGGCTCAAAACAAGGCAAAACCTTATATTTAGCAAAACTCGAAGATCGACAACGATAGAAACTTGGTGCTTGGTATATCAGGTCTACGTGAAAATAATATTTTGTGCCTACAATATTAGAGCCCTGAGGCTATTATTACGAAATTTGATATTCTTTCGTATAACATGTCGCCGGCGAATTCAAAATCGCGGGCGCAGCTCGGGAGACCATCTCAACCGTGGCTTGGACCGAACGTGACTCAGGGTTGCAACATGGAGAAGGTTAGACCACTTGCAGTATTACTGGGGTAAGTTTAGGTTGTCTAGTTATATGTTTGTTCACTTTTAATTCCAGACGGACGTTACCCACAAGGCCAATAAATTTTTCAAGGCTTGCCTCATCCAAAGTAAGTTATTATTACCTTGTTTTTATTCCTCCGATTAGAGTAATATCTTCAACACTATTAGCCTTAGTGAGCCTTTGCCTGGCTACGAAAAGGTGGTGTGCATTGATAATAAGACAGTGAAACTATACAACGCCAAGATTACCAAACTAGAAAGTGGTCTTACAGTGGTTACTGAACCGGCGTTTGGGGAATATTGCACACTAGGCGTGGCCATTAATGCAGGGCCGAGATATGAGACGCATTATCCGTGGGGCGTCAGTCATTTTATCGAGAAGTTGGCTTTCAACGTAAGCTCATTAAATTTAGCTTTTAATTCATTTTTTAGACATCAGAAAACTTTACCGATCGAGCCCATACCTTCCAGCTGATAGAGGATTGTGGAGCTTTAGTTGATTGTCAGTCAACGAAAGATACTTTCATGTATGCAGCTTCTTGTCGGACAGAATCGACTGGAGAAATGACACGGCTCATTGCGGACACTGTACTTCGACCTCTTATAGATCTGGAGGAAGTTCGGTTTACATCTGACGTTATCCGATTTGAGAACGAAGCCAATATTAGGAAACCCGAACCTGTGGAGTTACTCATTGATTGGGTTCATGAAGCTGGATTTAAAGGAAATACGATTGGAATACCAAAATATTGTAGTAATGAAGAGGTCGAGAAGATCGGAAGAAGGGATATTTTGTCATATATGAGTCAGTACTTCCGTCCGGACAGAATGGTTCTTGGAGGTGAGACTTGTACTGTTTATATTGGTCATTTTTTAGGAATCGGAGTTGATCACGATTTCCTTGTTAGTCTTGGGAAACAATTTTTGGATCCGACGGACACAACATGGGGAAAACACCCTTCCCAACTCCACAAAGACCTTCCTGTTGTCGACAAATCTTTAGCTCAATACACAGGGGGTATTTTCAAATTAGAAAAAGATTTGTCCCAAGTCTCCTTGGGACCAACTCCGTTCCCGAATCTTGCGCATTTGATGATTGGATTTGAATCTGTATCCACTTCACATCCGGATTTTGTTGCCTTCTGCGTTCTACAATCATTGCTCGGTGGCGGCGGAAGTTTCTCAGCGGGTGGCCCTGGAAAGGGAATGTTTTCAAGGTTGTATGCTGATGTTATGTACAGGTGTGTCTCTTTATAGAATTACCCTTCTTTAGATATCATTGGTTTTATAACGCAACTTCGTTTAATTTCTCTTATATGGACACCGGAATATTTGCCGTTCGCGCGAGTGCGCCACCGGAAAATGTAATAAGTTACCATACGACAAACTTTTCTGTATTATCGTTGTAGCTCCATCAGGCCGCGATTGTGATCATGGAAGAGTTCCTTCGACTGACAAAAAGTGACGTTGCGACGGAAGAATTGGCCAGGGCTAAGATTCAATTGAAGTCGCAGCTTTTGATGAATTTGGAAATCAAACCAGTTATGTTCGAGGATATGACAAGACAAGTGCTGAATCATGGACACAGGAAGCATCCTCAACAGTACCTCGAAGAAATCGGTAAGAACTTTGGCAGCGGCTACATTTTTTATCTTTATACGTCTCCCAAAAATATGTTTATGATTTCAGATAAAGTCACGCCCAAGGACATCAATCGAGTAGCCCAACGAATGTTGTTGAGTAAGCCCTCCATCGTCGGCTATGGCGATTTACAAAGACTTCAATCATATGAACGCTTTGATCAAGCTGTTGCTCAACGATCCGTCAAGACACTGTCAGATTAGGTTTAATTTTGTTATGATTTTTTGTTGATTGTTTTGAATACAAGGTCTTAGTTTAATAATACTATACCGTTTTTTCCTCTGCTACAGTTTATCCTTGTCCAAAAAACAGTCATCAATAAGTTTCTTCCTGAATGTGCTGAGGAATATCTCATTTGCATTTTTGTAATTCCATCGGTTGAAGTGTCCTTTACCGGGGATATTCATGACTAAAATCATATTTCTCTTCTGGCATATCCTGGTTAACAGCTCTTTTATATCATCAGTTGGAGGACCGTCCAATTCCAAGGCTTTGAGATAGGAGTAATCCTCTTGTCTGCAATGAATATATGGCCATAAAAATCAGCTTACTTATTCATCCAATATAGCAGATAATCGGCGACATGTTCCATATTCAATGTTGTCTCGAGGACATTCTCACACAACCCAAGTTTCATATTCTCTTCCACCGATCGGACATACGGATTGAGGACTCCAGGAGTGTCCAGGATGTAAATGAGAGGACGATCCAGGATCCTCACTCTGTTCTGCATTCTCACTGTAACGCCGGGTCGAGCGCCTGAAGAGAATAATACCAACGTTTCTTTTACACACCTTCGACAACAGCATTTTTCTTCTTGTCCATGTTCACACTTCTTAATCCATTGATTAGGGAACTCTTTCCTGAATTTGGAATGCCAACAACCATGACTTGATATTCAGTTTTAACTGTTCGATTAAACCGGTAATCGGAACGAAGGCAATCTATCATCATGTGCTTCAGATCATCCAAGGCTTTCTTCTTTTTCTTCTTACAATCAGTCCATAATACATGATCAATGCCCTCATCTCGCAGCTTTTCTTCCACTAACGGCCTTAAATAAACATAAATTACTATTTATGAGAACTGACCTGTATTTCTCTTGATCTATTAAATCCCTTTTATTCAGTACCAGAATATGTGGTCGGACAGAGAACAATTTGTCTCGGAATACGGGATTTCTCCCTGTAAATGGTATCCTGGCGTCATGAACTTCAACGACAAGATCCACGCTTCTTAATCGCCCTTCCATTTTGGCCATCTGAACCGACATGTGAATTGGATACCACTTCTTCCTCTCCACATTTGTTGGCAATATGAATTCTGACCGGCTTTTGATCGGCGATATAACCTCTGTCGACGTGGAGCAGAACCTTTTAAACATCTAACGATTAATAAGTCTGTACTTCATCGGTATATTAAAGGAATTAAACTCAGAAGAAACTGAAAACAAAACAATGTATGTTTATCGTAGTTCAAAAATCAACAAACAGTAAAAGTAGGTATTTAGAACGAATCGGCAACAGTTTGGCAAGCAGACTTCACCGGTACACCTCCCCCCATCACAGCTGGCAAATGCAAAATTTTGATTTCGAGATAATGTCGATGTCTTTCGAATACCAAATCCACACAAGCCGGCTTGTTGGTAGCAAAAGAATTGAGAAGAGGCAGTTTGACGATATGGAAACGACCATCATAACTATCTTCGAGTCCCAAATCTTTCTTAATTTCTTCATCATGAGGCTCCACACGAAAGAAATTGTCGGCAACTGTGATAAATCCGTCAATCTCAGATGTAGAAAACAATTTTTCGTTCAGATAAAGCATGCACACAGCATTAGAATGTAACAGCAGTACCTTCAATTTAGTGATGAAATTGTACGTAGCATCCGAATCTTCGAATAAAGGACTCCCAAAATCATTTATAACAATCCGCAGCATCTTCCTCCCAGTTCCAAACACATAATCATCGGTTTGTAAAAGAAGAACCAGCTCTTCAAACAACTTCTTGTATGAGTCAGCCAGTACCAAACGTAAATCTGCATTAGAAATGTCCATATTGTTGGCCAAGTCGTATTTGTTCCTATCTCGTGAACTTAGTCCAGAATTCATCGACGGCATCGTCGAGTATCTCCAAGCAATCGACATGTCTTCATCCAGTGCCGACGCTTTGGGAACAGAAGCAACTGAGTTAGAACATGAAGGAACTTCATTCAGATACTCTGGTTCCGTTAGTCCAACAACAACCACCTTCTGACTCTGGTTTAGGCCTTCAGCCACATAGTATCTCATAAAGTATGTTCCAAACTTCTGACCCGATGTTTCTGATAGGATGTATAGATTATGAACAGGAAGTCCTCCTCCCATTAAGCCATCGACGGCGTCTAACCCAACGGAGGTGACAGCGCACCGGTTCTGGATCTTCGTGCCGGGCAATTTTGCAGCATCTCCACTTCGTATCATGCCTAAAAGATAACAAAAATGATCAGAGACGCTTACTTCAATATTTCAACAAATTAAGGTAACACTCCGAGTTCGAAAACATCCACACCATAAAAATTTGTTCAATTTTCAGAGAACAAAAAAATAAAAAAATAAAATTGTTAGAAGCACTCTTGACGCAAAAAGGAAGACTTGACTCATCTGCAAAACGTTCCATTTTCAGGGGTGGTCAGTGGGCCGGCCGGGCTCAAAAATGGAAAATTACAAACGGGCCGCGCCCGTCACGGGCCGGGCCGGGCCGTAGTGGACGTTTTTGTCCCCACCCCGGTTTTGTCCCCAAGACGGTTTTGTCCCCAGGACGTTTTTGTCCCCACTTTTTTCGAGCCTTTTTGTCCCCAGACCGGTTTTGTCCCCAGGACGGTTTTGTCCCCAAGACGTTTTTGTCCCCACTTTTTTTATTTTTTTGTCCCCACACCGGTTTTGTCCCCAGGACGTTTTTGTCCCCAAGCTGGATAGTACGATTAAAAATTATGCATTCAGATGTTAATGCTGTTGGTTTGGTGCACAGTACTGCTCGAACAACTTGTTCTTAGCGCTTGGTACTGTACAGTACGAGGTGGTACTATATAGCACGAGGTAAAAATTATGCCATAACACGTCAATGCTATGGGTTTGAAGCCCAGTACTTCTCAAAAATGTGTTTTAGCACATGGTACTATATAGCACGAATTTGTTTTTGTACAAAATGAACGTCTGATCAGTACTGCATACCAAAACAACGTCATTCACGCGCTATGGCTTAATTTTTACCTCGTGCTATATAGTACCACCTTGTACTATACAGTACCAAGTGCTAAGAACATGTTGTTTGAGCAGTACTGTGCACAGCATTAACATCTGAATGCATGCTTTTTAATCGTACTATCCAGCTTGGGGACAAAAACGTCCTGGGGACAAAACCGGTGTGGGGAAAAAAATAAAAAAAGTGGGGACAAAAACGTCTTGGGGACAAAACCGTCCTGGGGACAAAACCGGTCTGGGGACAAAAAGGCTCGAAAAAAGTGGGGACAAAAACGTCCTGGGGACAAAACTGTCTTGGGGACAAAACCGGGGTGGGAACAAAACCGGGCCCAATCGGGCCGGGCCGCGGGCCTGGGGTTTTTTCCGGCCCGGCCCGTCTAAATTACAATGCCAAACCGTTGGCATTCATTGTTTTCGCGCCGGGAAAATTAATTGATGTTGTTATAGTTGCTGTTTCTCAAGTTCTAAAACGTTTACAAGTTTATAGTTCCATTATAGAACCACAAAACTATCACATTGATCCTTTACTAGCTAGATCAACGCCTTTTTTGCCTCGGTTTAGATCCCGAGCCTGGGCGCAGTTCGCAGAGCCCTCTATAGACGGGCCTGCACGGGCCGGGCCCAGGGGTGGTCGGCGGGCCGGGCCGGCCCGGCCCAAACGGGCCGGCCGGGCTCAAAAATGGAAATTGACAAACGGGCCGGGCCCGTCACGGGCCGGGCCGGGCCGCGGGCCTGGGGTTTTTTCCGGCCCGGCCCGTCTAAAATACAATGCCAAACCGTTGGCATTCATTGTTTTCGCGCCGGGAAAATTAATTGATGTTGTTATAGTTGCTGTTTCTCAAGTTCTAAAACGTTTACAAGTCTCTAGTTCCATTATAGAACCACAAAACTATCACATTGATCCTTTACTAGCTAGATCAACGCCTTTTTTGCCTCAGTATAGATCCCGAGCCTGGGCGCAGTTCGCAGAACCCTCTATAGACGGGCCTGCACGGGCCAGGCCCGTCACGGGCCGGGCCGGGCCTGGAAAAAGACTAGACGGGCCGGTAATTAGACGGGCCGGGCCGCGGGCCGAAAATCGGAAAAATAGGGTCCGCTGACCACCCCTGTCCATTTTATGCGAAAATTTGTTTTTTTGATGCCCAATCTTCGTTTATTGTTTTCTGGAGGCTCCGAAGCTTTGTTTGGTGATAAAAAGGAGCATGTGGTCAATATCGATGGAAATGTTACCGTGAAGGATTTAATCAGATGGGTTGTGGATAATCTACTGGAAGATAAAAGCCGGGCACCTCTTTTTGAAGACAATGGCACTGTCAGGCCAGGGATCTTGGTAATGGTAAATGACGTCGACTGGGAGATTACTGGTGGGGTATGTTTTTTTAAACTTTTACAAATTTGCTGATGGTATAGGTCAGCTACTCTTTGAATGAGGCTTTTCAATTAGGCGAGAATGGTTTATTGACTTCGATTAACTTTCCGACTTTTAGTTGAGCACCGCATTGAAAGAGAACGATGAGATTTCATTTATTTCTACTCTTCATGGTGGATAAATTCTTAATATTTGGTAAATAAATTAAAATTTATCATGCCTTTGATGTGAGAACAAGTTTATGTCTGAAATCAAAATATTGTACTTTGAGGTCTTTAAATTGAGATCGAAACCAAGGGTTATAGGAAAGAAGACGCTGGAAGTGTTTTTGTGGATCGATACGACCTTAGACGATAGACCTTGAATAAAAATCTTTGGGATATGTCTGTAGACCTGATTGGAAAGAGGGAGATAGAGAGACAAATTTATGCTTCAGTTGGCAAGAGGTTTTTAATATTACAGTAATCTTGGCTGTTCTAGCAATTAATCTCTATCGGTAAGTGCAAATCAATGGCTGTGTGGGTGAAAGTGAAGTCTAGACAACAGCCCAAGGGCCGTCGGTGGTGTCTTCTGGTTCTGAGTCGCTTAACGGCAGATGTCCTGGCTGGCTTTGGATGACGGGATTGGTTGATCTGTTGGAGAACATCGCCGGGGTGTTGTGAGGAGCACCATATAAAGGGTCGGTTATATTGGGGCCCGAACGACGGAAAGGAAGAGTGGTAACGGGGGGAAGATAGTGAGTCTCGAACGGCGCCTCGGGCGTTGCTGGTTGATTGTAAGGTCGCTCCGGAGGGATTACTGTAAGGGTGTCATAATCGTTATCTAATGGAGGCATACTTCTGTCCTGGAATTGTCTGCTAGGGGAGATGTTGGGAGATGGTGCTCGTCTTCCTTCTATCGCATACGGATTTCTATGGACCCCAGCATAGGCATTATTGTATCCAGAGGCGTTGGGTGGGCTGTACGTGAAACTAGGGCTTCCGTAATTATCATCAGGCTCTATGACCGGAAGGCGACGTGCTTGGGCAGGGTTGTAAGTGAAACGCCGGGCTGTTGTTGATGTGGATTCCTCTTCATCCGAACCGTCTAAATAATGAAGGTAAACGAAGCGTCTTTTAATTAAAAGGGCGGTAAGGTTCATTAAAATTTACTGTAAGCATAACGCCGGCTATACTCATTGTGATACAGCGCGTTATTGGATCCAAAGTCTCGATTGGTTGACCCATATCTACTCAAGTCGGGACTGTGATGGGAATATGGTGCCATTTGATATTGATCTCCTGGACTCCGGCCAAGCGCCGTTTGATGTTCAACTAAAGCAATGTCATTTTTGCTTCGAGTAGGAGACATACCACGCCGGGATGGGAAGACCGATCGTGGCGTTGTTGATTGGTACTGGCCTGGAGGAACATGTTCGACTGGAGACGGACTTCTGGAACTTCGGAGAAGTTGTTGCGTCTAAAAAAAGATTTTACAATTAATGTCTCAAATGTGGGCGGGATTAGTAAGCGGAAATGGAAAAATAATTAACGTTGTACACATCACGCAGAAAGCTTTGAGTTCAGCCAGATTTCGCGTTTTTACCTCACTGGCCGTATTGGCCGAATCCAAAGATCGATAACCGTTCCGGAAATTCAGATGTAAGGAGCGCTGGAAACAAGTCAAAGGGGGAAAGTAGGAGTGACAAACCAAGAAAAGAATAAATATAAATAGGGAATAGTAAGAATGGGCACACACTTACTTGAGGGGGTTGGTCTTGACGACTGGGCTTGCGGATTCTCATGAACATACCCGACAGTTTTCTGCCTGTATTGTTCTTGCGTCTGAAAGTGAGAGACGAATATATATATTATTTTTATTCCTCACCCATATTCGTCGTCAAATGAAGATCCTTCCGGTTCATCAATGTTCTTACTGACTTTAATACTGTCGACAAGAGATGACAATATCGAGTACGGTTTCTAGAAAGAATTTTATGTGATTCCATCTCGAGAATCCTTACATTAGGGCTCTCAGCTCTGGAAACCGGAGTTGCTGGCTGTTGTCTCGAGACCAACGGGAACAGAGCAGTATCGTTTTGATCCCTCTCTGTGTTTGGCGCTGAGTTCGGGGTGTTATTCGGCAATTGTCCAGCCCCGGCAGCTGATTTTGCAGCCGCAACCAATGATCGGAGACCTCCACCGAAGAGCCCACCACCGCCAATCTGAAATGATAATTGTACTGACTGTTTGCACACCACTGTCTAATAGGGCTTGGACAGTGAGAAAACGGTTGGAGAGTGTGTCAACTGCAGTTATATTGATTAGTGCGATACTCGATTATTTCTACGTTGGGGGTAGGTGAACCAATCAAAAAATGGGGGAATCTCTCGCCAAACAAAATAAAAAAAACGTGAGAATATGAGTAGCCAGAAAGAATAACCTCATCCAGGGGCCCAAATCTATTCGAATTGGCCGCTTTTGGTCTTAAGAGCAGCTGGGCAGCTCGACGTTTTATGTTTTCCAGTTGCTGAATTCAAGTATTGTTATTCAAAGCGTTTTTATTGTTAGTCTCTCCTATTATGCCATTATGACATTGTTTCTAAAAGCCTTTTAAAAAGACGATCGATTTCGTCATGATGATACAATTTCTATAAAAATCTACTCAAGCCAAACCAGCGCTAGCCCCTACGAACTTACCTCTGTTCCAGACTTTCGGGCACGATAATTCTCGAGAATCAGAAGTCCCGCATAGATTTTACCGACCGTCAACTTCTGGAAACACAACTCGGCATTGGGAGGAACCACGAGATCAATCATGTTCTTCTTCGCCTTTAACGGCCATATTTTTCTCAAGGTTTGCCTCAACTCTTCATCGGCTTCATCCATTTCTTCAACTGGTCTCATCTTGATGCTTAGTGATTCTCGGATTAAAGCAAACAAGGTTGTTGTGAAATGGACCTTCCCGTCATCATCCACCGGCATATTCATTCGGATCAAATGCTTGTAGGCCAGGCGATAGGGACATTTTCGACCAAAGCCAACAGGAGGGGCGATGTTACGGAGCATTTCGTACATGTCAGTATACTTGATGCGGCCTCTGAAAGACGAAGTAAGATTACTTAACGGAACTTACTCTGCTTTGGGGTCGTAGTCAGCCCAGACTCGGATGAATTCGTCGAGATGATGGGGACCGAGGATACTGCTGTCTCGGGTCAGATAATCAAAATTGTCCATGATGACGGCCACGAACAAGTTTAACATCTACAACATACAAATTAGCTCTGCCCGATGCAGTTTCTAGTCCGGTTACACTATGGCTTGTGCAGCAATATTGTAGATACTTACCAAAAAGGATGACAAAAATACGAACGAAGTAAAGTAAGCGTAGCTGACGTTAGTGCCACAGGTATTTCCCTTGAGGAGATTAATCTCCAGGGAGTTTGGCTTTGCGCATCCCTTCCCCATGGTGCAAGCCATCATGATATCTTGCCACGCTTCGCCTGTGGCACAACGAAACAGTAATATAACCGCATTGAAGAAGCTCTGGAAGTTGTTATGTCGATTGATCTCAGTGGTAGAATCGAGGATAATATTTCCAAACACCTGCATTCCGACGATCGCATAGATGAAGAATAACATTCCAATGAGAAGGCAGACGTATGGAAGGGCCTTGAAGGACTGGACGAAGGTCCACAAGAGAATTCTGATGGTATATCCTTGCTGAAGAAGACGGATCAAACGAGCGGCACGGAAAAGACGGAGGAATCCGAGGGAAACGAAATGACCTCCGAATTCTGTAACCAAAGCATCCGTGATGGAACCCACTACTGTGATAAAATCGAATCGATTCCACCCATCTCGGAAGTAATTCTAAAAAAATATATGATTTTCCAACACAAGTACTTACTCTAACACCAAATGCCAGAATTTTTAGTATGGATTCTACCGTAAACACAGCGGTTAAGGCTGTGTTGAAGAATCGAAGGACCTTTTCATATACTTCTGAATTCCCATGGAACTAAAGAGGGCGGAGGTATAATTATCAATCACGATCCTACCTTCATCATGAGGATAATTGTGTTCACACAAATCATCGCCATTATAAAATATTCAAAAGGTGTTGATGTCACCAGTTTCCATATTCGATATTTGAGAGAATTTTTGTCATTTGGCATGAACAATGACCTTGGACGAGCGTTCAGCGCAAAATCGATACATTGCTTCTGCAAACGATGACGTAAAAATCAAGAATTGAATAAAAACAAGGACATAAAAAGTCAATGAAGAAGAAACTACCTGATTCTTATCTAAATCTCCCTCAGATAACTCTGCTTCTCCTTGTTCTTGGAAGGTAATAATAATCAAGGCAACGAAAATGTTGACAAAGAAGAATGGGAAAACGATGAAGAACATGACATAGAACAAGGAGACTTCAATGCGGAAGAATGGAGACGGGCCTTGGTCTTCTTCGGTGGTGTCCATCGAGTTCTGTCTAATCCCAGGCCATCCTTCTCCGGTTGTTACCACGAATAAAGTCAACATGGCATTGATAGTGTTGTCATAATTGAAAGGACGGAGTTTCCATTCTCTTATCGCGACGCTTGGAGCTTCATTCTGCAAAAAAATTAATTTGTAAATTGCATTCAAACAATTCGTTTCATTTTTATTTTGAAAAAGCCTTCGATTGGTAATGGCTGAAGAAATCAGCGACCGCAATGGAAATCCTTTCGATGTAAATCCGAGGTTTTTATCGATGGAAGAACAAGGCTGGCAATATTTGACCAAAGCCGGAGGGTTCTTCACATTTGTCAACCTTGTTTTATATGTTGCCATCTACAGGTAAACAGCATAAAAAATTATACGTAAGCCCTTCCTTGTAGATACAGTACCCACCCCAGCCCCGGCTTTGCTTGTATTCAGCTAAGCATGCCCTTATTTATCTGGGAGTTGTTGATTATCATCGCTTTTTGTCCTACGGAGATCCTCGAGTACTATCTTGGTGAAATTATCATCGATTTGGATGGAAATGCAAGTCTTTCTGACGACGACTATTTAGATTTAGCTAATGGACCAGGATCTCCATCTACAGCGTTTCCTCGCCCTTCGCCAAGCCCAACCCGTCCATTCTTGCGGAGATATCATCCGTGGGACTCGCCGAATCTTCATGGCCAACACCGACAGCGACTCCGAATTCATCACAGCTTCTATGAGATCAGTTGCAGAATAAACTCACCTGATTACTGAACACAAAATATTCCCCATGGCATTCGTGAGCGAACTTCTTTGTGCGGTCTGTGCAGAAAAAGAAGCGGCCTTTGAACATTTGGACAGCGATGACGGCAAAAATGAATTGGAAAAGGAAGTAGACGATCAGGATGTTGAACACGTTCTTCAGGGAGTTCACGACACAATCGAAGACAGCCTAAGGACATTGTAATTGTATTATGTTGTAGCACACTAACCTTCAATTTGGGGATTCTCTTGATTGTTTTAAGTGGACGTAACACCCTCAGTACTCTCAGAGATTTTATTGTGCTCAAATTCTTTCCCGCCGCACCACCAGCAGCTCCACTGAACGCAAACCCGACCAAAGCACAGACGACAACGACTCCATCGAGGACATTCCAAAAGTCTCGACAGTAAGATCCCCGATGCAAGAGCACACCTTGGTCAATAACCTAAAGCAATATGATATTGAAAGTAATCAAAGTCGTCAAGGAAACGACGGTTTAGATCTAGCCCACCTTCATCAACATTTCCACCGCGAAAACTCCAGTAAAACAGTAATCAAAATATTGTAACACTTTATTCCTCGGGTTCTCTTCGTCGACTGGATCCTCGGCAGCCAGTGATATTGAGGACATGCAGATGACAGCCATGACAGTCATCTCGAAGTACTTGGTACTTACAATACTATGTACCAGTCTCCGGATTGGATTGGTTGTAGATAAAATAAACATGGAAGAGAAGGGGACCATGGGTCTGGGCCCTCCGAATGGAGACTCCTCTTCCTCACACTCTTCTTCATCTATTTCTCTGGCCAGTTCTTCACCGATCATTCTTCCCTCAATGTCTATGGCACATTGATCTCCATCTTGATATTGGTCTTCCAGGGAATCCGAATCGTCCGAGATCTCATTCGCCTTCTCATCCGCTTCTTCGGCCGCTGTCAATTCCTGAGCATTGGCCAAGTTATCGACGGCGATAGCCAAGAACACATTGAGTAAGGTGTCTGAAAAATAATGTTCAATGATTTGTATTGTAGTAAGCGCGACAATTACATTTTGGTCACTTACAGTTACCAAAAAGCACCAAGATAATGAAGTATATACAATAGACCATCCCGCCTCCATAAACACCTCCTTGGGCCTCGATGGCCAAGTACATGACTTCATTCCAATCTTCTCCAGTCAGAATTTGGAATACGGTAATCAAAGCGATGGGAAAGGTATCGAAATGAGTGTAAGGATGCATGGAAGGGAAGTTGAATTTTCCTCCAAACAATTGCATTCCCAACAAGGCGAAGATGACGATGAATAAGAAGAGCAGGAAAAGCAAGGAAATAATAGATCTCATCGAATTCATCAGTGATCTCACCAGATTTCGGAGACTCACCCAGTACCTATTGAATGGCTACAAAATCAATTTCATTGTTACTTACGATGTGAGTTTGAAGATCCGAAGTAATCTCAAAGCTCTGAGCACCGAAATACCAAAAGATCCGCCCTTGACTTCCGCCCAAATAACTTCAAAGGCACTTCCGACGATGACAATACAATCGAATCTGTTGAATTTAGATGCAAAATATGTTCGATACCCCATGGCAAACAATTTGAGCAACATCTCGCCGACAAAAATACCCAGGAATACAAATTCGGCGTACTCTAAAATAAGATGACATGACGCAACGAATGACTTAGTCTTAAATCATCAGCAATATTTCTTACTCAGAAATTCTGTAAACCATTCCGGCTGGCCATGATGTTCAGATGCGACACAGGCAGTGTTCAAGAAGACCAGTGTGATCACCGACCAGTAGAATACTTGACTTTTGACCATGATTCTAAGTTGTAATCTGGAAGAGATTACTTTTATTTGCAAGGAACGTCGTCAATTGGGGGAAAATAAAATAAATATTTTTTTTCGCTTTTTTGGCTGGCTAAAACCATACTTCACTAGTCCATCTTTAAAAAAAGGCCCATTTGTAGCACTTTTTTTAGGCGAAAAAATGATTTTACTTTCCCCAATTGTCGTGGTCCGATTCGAAAACGCCCTTACCGGAGATGTCTTATCTTTTTACACCATGTGTCATACACTCCAGTCCCTCTCAATTGCCGTCTTTTAGTCGGTTGTTCAACTTCCGGCCCTTCTTGTCCATTCAAATAGCATGATTCTTCGTCTTCATCATCATATTCCTCTTCCTCATCGTAATCTTCGGTCTCTGTTGACTGTTGTTTCGAAGCCATTTTTAATTTCTTGGTAGCCGCTCTTCGCCGAGCTTCCATGATAGCCGCCTTTTCCTCTTCGGTGGTCCTATCTTCTTTCAGAATCACCTCTTCTGCAGTTAAAATCCATTCCAAATACCCGTTTAGTTCTCGTTCGATTTGCTGTTGACGTCGAAGTTTGAGGAATTCCCTTCGATTCTCCACTCTTTCCCTTTCCTTGGCAAACTCTCTAAATATTGAATTGCACATAATAAATAAAATCCTTACCCGGAGAGGACACCAAGAACCAAATTGAGCATGAAAAAGGATCCGAGGATGATCAGAGGGATGAAATAGGCCCAGTTGTAAGTGCTGCCTATCGAATCGTTGGTCTGAAAAAACAGTTATGAGTGAATAGCAACATCGGCAATACCAAAAATTCCAAATAAACTCACATAGTACATTACAGTAGTCCATCCTTCCATAGTAATGCATTGGAAGACGGTGATCATGGCGAAAGCGATGTTATCAAACGAAGTTATCCCATAATTGGGGCCAATCCATTGGTTCAGACACACCGTTCCATCCACATCACAATTGTAAGCGCCTGTGGCACTGGACTTGTTCGAACAGGGGAACGGCTTCTCCGAGATATTAATTATGTCTCCTTCATCGTTGTAACAGGCGGAATGAAATATACCCGAATAGAATTCCAGCCCGATGATGGCAAAAATGACAATGGCAAACAAAACTAATAACCCGATCTGAAGTAAGGGAGCCATGGCACAAAGAATGGACTTGAGAACGACTTGTAAACCTGAATTTTGATGTTATTGGGGATACTAACGTATAATATGTGCGTCTTTTCAATCATAATAACACTCGTTTGACTCACTTGGAATTCCACTGACCAACTTGAGAGGTCGCAATACCCGTACTGCTCGAAGAGTTCGAAGATCTACACCTTGAGAATCTGCACTGTGGCTGGGAGAGAAAGGCAGCATCGTTACAACACTGAAAATTTTTGCGTAATTATTGCATTTTCGATCATTTTTTTGATGACTTCTTTTTATTTATTCCTACTGTAAACTACATTTTTAATGGATAATTTTATAAAAAGATATATTGGTATTGTTTCGGCGATAAAATTATGCACGAGAAACCCGAATTAAAAAAAACAAATAAAATATGACAAACATGGTCCGTTACACTCACCCCGAGACAACAACAATAAAATCCATTATGTTCCAGCCAGACCGCAGATACGAGCCCTTGTGTAAGATAAACCCGAAGGCAATGATTTTGAGCAGAAACTCCAGGCCGAAAATGGTCATGAAGTACGGTTCCGTCTGCTCCTAAAACAAGATCCGGATTATAACTGGGATAAAAAGAAAAATAATACTTGAAAAAATGATTTACCAGCATTTGTGAAAAGGGCATCTTGTCATTCTTGGGTAAATGCTCATCCATGGCCAGAACACAACAATTGCCGATAATAGTGAGCAAAATAAAATATTCGAAGGGACCCCACTCGATGATCATTCGGGCGTGGATGCGGAAGAAGTTGTCTTCACTGAAGATGAACAAAGAGGACGGACCCTGGAACAGGATGATGATTAAGTTCGAAACATGGCACAATAATGCTCAATTAGGACTGGTACTGCGTTGATTGAAAACAACAGCTCGATGTACATCGATCCAAACTCTGATCTACCTTTTGCTTGGCGGGCCCGGCCAAGGCGGGCTTGCCACGACCCGCCCCGAATCCTCCGCCAGCGACTCCATCGATCCGATTCTGCTCTTTGCGCGCTTCCTCAGCCGCCAATCTGGCAATTTGATCAATACCGAGCATAATTAACAATTAAAGACGGAGGAGGTCAAGACGGGCTCAGTGCAACGAAACGGACCAGTCCAGTACATAAATGAATAGCGAGCTGCTGGGCCTGACATGCAGACAAGTTTCTCGCCCACCCGACTTCTGGAGATTGACACGGAAAAGAAGACGAACAGAAGAAGGCGAATATATCCTTTTCTCTCTCCCTTGTTCGGATATATAGGTACTACAACGAGAAGACGGCCAAGAAGAAAAAAGACCTTCGGGTGTCCTTCTCGTTGTCGTTGTGGAGCGCCTTTCGCACTCGGCCCCTTTTGCCCACAACATTGGCCGAACGAGTCCGAAAAAGGGAAGCTTGCCGCAGGGGTTTTCCCCCGACGTTTTCCGCCCGACCCGGACCCGCACCCCTAAAGAATGGCCCCAATCCCCCAGATGGACCCCTAGAACAATGCGGTTTCGTATTTGGCCAAGTTCGCACTTCTTGGGCCGGAGGCGAGCGGTCAAAACAGCCCGTTTAGCGGCTAACCTGCCTTTCTCCCAAAGAGCGGATAGAGTTAGAATTAGCCTAGGCCAGATGTAATTAGAGATGACATGCGATAATTACAACATTATTAGAACCTCGATATTCCTCTATGTGCGTGGTTATGATGCACATAAAGAGAAGAAATGAAATAATGTCACAACATTAATGAGTTCAGAAATTGGAGATTCCTGATACTTGCAATTATAGTTCAATTGTGCTATTTATACATATATCAAATCCCTTACTTTAGAAGTAAGAGACATTTATGGAATTCATAAATCTAGTTACGGCTTTTTGACATGTAAACGGGTCGCCCGTGGGCATGTATCGGGTGCTTTACACTAACTGATTGACTGTAAAATTTTTTAATCGCTCATTGCCTGAGGGCAAGAACAATGGCGTCGTTCCTTCCCGTCTTCATCAGCTTTCCTCTGGGTTTCTTAAATTTGCCCCGGGGGTGTTTCCGTGCCGGATTCGCTCACAAAATCAGAACTTTTTTGGGCCCAGTTAGAAGGCGCGTTTTTACGAAAGAAAGAGCCGGAAGGCGCGTCCATCCGTTGGCAAGGCATTTAAAAAACTGTCAAATTTGGAAGAAATATGAAAAGGACAACAATGTGTTATACTCACAATAAAGCTGCAAAAAAACATTAAAACGCCGAATTTTGGAGTTTACGGCCTTCAAAAATTGCATAAGGTACTGGTTTTAACATAATGTTTGTTGATTTTTTGTTACTAATAAGAATTTTAATAAAATCTAATAAAGGATTAAAAACTTGAATCTTGAAAGAATCAGGCCAGAAACTCAAAAAAATGACTTGAAGGGAACGCAGAAGTATGAAAATTACGAAATTTTTGAATTTTCCGTTGAAAACTTTCTCAAAAAAAAATTCATAGATTCGAAAGAAAAAAAAACAAAAAGAAACTGTAGAAGATCAAGTTTTCTTGATCATCCTGAAGGAAGGGAACAGAAAACGAAATATAAGACCAGCCTTACCGATCGCGGCGATTCCAGAGATATGAATAATATAATAATTTTAGAGCACCCGGCTGAACGTAGGCCTCCTGAGCGACCGTCAGCTTGGGGCCAAGCATTCTGGAAGCCAAACAATATCAGAAGTTGTGGGCCTGCAAAAGGGCGGTTCAAGGAAACTGGAGACCTCGAGGCGATAGGTGAAGAGGCCTTTCGTATCAAATGATGCTCCGCTTCCAGGTCCCGCCAATCCAGTCGAAAGGTCTTTCCAATCGACTGGACGGCCGCTCTTTTGGGTGGGGAGGACTTTTGTCAGCGCCAATCAGGGCATCTCAATTAGGACTGGTAGCGCTAATTAGAAGAGACAGACAGGTGAAGACTGTTTCCGATAAGTAATTTCTCTCACCCTCCGACTGGCAGTGTGGCCAATTTGGCCACTTCTCTGAGTACTTGGCCCGTTGGCAACTCTTGTGACTGGTCGAAGAAATGCTGATCATCCGTTTCGGAGAGTTTCCGTGGGTAAATTGGCGATGGAAGAAAACCTGAAGGGAGAGAAAGACGTGTTAGACATTCTTTCTGGGACGATTTAAAAGTAGAACGGGCCTTGTGCTAGGGGTTTTACCTGTGCTCATGGGTAACATCCAAGGTTTTAATTGAGAGAGTTCGGTCATCTCCGTCCTCGCCGTATTCGGAGGAACAACCAGGTGTTCGGGAGGGCGTTGAAGCCGCCTTCTCTCGATGAGTCGCGCAGCAGTTCGATGGCCATTGGACCGACCTGAAGTCGGGGATATGGAGGGTGGGCCAAGGCCGGAGGTCGAAGCTAGGCCCCCCTCCTCCGCCGCTAGCGCCGAACCCGTCGTTGTGGCGGCTGCGAGACGAACGTCGCTACACGACTATGTTTAGAGTCAGCGCGGGATTCAAAACAAAATCAGAACACGCTGCCAAAAAAAAACAACCAGCTCCAGGGTGTCGGAGCAAAAAGGCGGCATCTGATACTCAAAAAAGATGCAGAAAGAAACGCTTCTAGTCCCCACTCAAGCTTGCTTAAAGACATTACTCAAGGTTGGAACTTTTACTTGTAAGTTTGTATCACACAAACAAGCGTCTTAAAACGGGGGCCGAAAAAGTGGCGCCCCGACTTCTGAAGTGCCTGATTCGAAATAAGCGCTGCGAAATGAGCTTTGTCTAGCCAATAAAAAATAAATGCATTATTCCGTGCGGGTTTACGGAATCCAACGGAAATCAAAAATGAATTATGTTTTTTGCTGGAAGGCGTCGCGTGACCGAATAAGAGCGGCCAAACCTGTCCTGGACCGGCTATGATATTCTCCATAAAAGAGGGAAAGGTACGCATGCAATGAAAAAGAAATACTCCCTCTAATGACTGTGAATATTAAGGAAGTTCTGTGAAAGGAGCGGCCGAGAGACGCGGGAAATCGCCGATATCCGAGGATACTTAGGGATTCTCCGACGGAATCAAACGCCACCTTTAATCTGAGCCCGTCGCCCAGGGCAGCGGTCTCTCAGTCAGGGAACGGGGGCCGTTGAGAGCTCGCGCATGGCCTCATGAATAACTAAAAACAATACTAATCCGCAGGAAAGGCTTCGTTGTTCGAACAAGGTTTTAATTAAGAGACGCCATTCCGAAACGTTGAAACGGCCCGGTTTCAAAGTCTTGGAAGAAGGCCCGGTTGAAGACCCGATACCCTGAAGGGACTAGTTTGAATGGGCTGAGGGTGGTCGTCATGACCTCTTCTTCCCATTCCCAAACGCCCCTGTAGGGAGGAGCGGCCGACGCCCAGGTATTCGTAACCGAAACATGGCCAACCTGCGGGTATATGGCCGCCCTCAAAACCCCGTTTCGACTCGCCTTTACTAAAAGGATTCCTCTCAGGCCAGATTCCCGCTTCCTCTTCCCAGATTCCAATATTCTCGCCTTAAAAGGACATGATTCTCATTTCGGCCAAGTCACCTTCCTTTATGAAATTTGATCGGCCGTCGCGGCCAAAAAAGGCGGATCTCTAGATAGACCCCGGGTTTATAATACTTGACGTTTTGTTCGCCGAATTTTCAAACATATGAGTCGGGAAGAGAAGCCTAATTAACAATGAATGATTAAGACATCTCCTTCTGTTCAAAAGACAGTCATGAATTATGTTAAAGAATGTCTCGGGATACCAAATATTAACAAGGAAAAGAACCCATAAATGGCGAACACGTGTTAATTTAAAGACATTACACAGCTCCGTAGAATGCGACAATAGACGACTTCGGTTGTACTGGACTGGCAAGAGTTTAGGATGCGAAGAGGGGTATAATAAGGCATAATAGACCAGTCGAAAATACTTACGTGGTGTTGTTTCTGTTGGCTTCTTTCATTTTGGTCATGAGCAGGGCGCATGTTTTATGGTCGCTGACATCTACCACTCTGAAACGGGACGGAGATGACTGTAATCGAGTAAGGTCGAGTTATAATGCCCTGGAGGTCACTAATAACACCCAGCCGCCGGCACTAATGGAATAACGGCCAACTTATTGTCCTCTCCAAATAATCGTCCGCCCCAGCGAGTTCTTTGTGGGATGTCGAGGACCGGGTCGCGGTGGTGGTGGCCAAGCCCTCAAAACTTGGGAAAAGAGACCGACCTTTGCCTTTTCAAGGTCTTCCCCGCCTCGCATTCTTCCTGCACATTCACGCTGCATAAAGTTGGGCGCCAAAGCCACCGGAAAAAACGATGCGAACAAGAGGCTTTTTGCACTGTGCCGACGCCTTTGTTTCCGGGGTAAGGAGCGCCAGGTTCGGTCCCAAGAGTTCGGCCGCGAAACCCTCTTCACGCAACCCAAGAGTCTAATTTCGGAAAATTTTTTAAACCCACGACGTCCGGATTAGTCAGCCCGTCTACGCATTCTACGGTTGCTTTACTTTCAAACCGTCTAGACCAGCTCCCAACACCTTCTTGGTTGTCTTAACAACGCTGTGATGACTTGGGATGAGGAATCCATTGACGCCACGAGTCCATGGAAGACGGTCGACCCATTAGGAAGGGTTCCTTCCTCGGATCCCTCAACACCCCATAAGTGTTGCCGGAATTGGCCGAGCGACGCCAATTGTGGCATGCTCAAAGGCAGGTGATGACATTAACTACGCGAAAGGGAAGTTGGCGCTCCAGTTTTGGAATCATAGAATTCTGAAGCTGCGAAGAGAAATAACTCCAAGTAATATATCGCGGAATTTAAAGAAAGCCGAATGGGCCTAATCCCTTCTAAACGATTAAACATGGCAGCCTACAGATAACGGAGGATGAAAAAATACAGTATTTATGAGCTCCTTCTGACAGCGATCAAAAAAATCCTAGACACAGCTTAGGTATTCTAGGAAGGTCCCCTGGACTAACGGAAATCCGGACAATGGAACCCCGGGAAACATCAAAAATCGGGTAATCGGGCGATAAATCTGATTAGGCGGGATCTCCATGCCATCAGGGGGATATAAGAAACTCCGAAGGTCCATAATCCCACGGACTGGATGGGAACGGCCGGAACAAAAGACACCGCCGCACATACTCCCTTCGTATTACCTAACATAATGTTTGATTTCCCTCGAATTGCTCATATTACATGCGCCGTATATAATATAATGGCATCGTAAATTCGGTCCGTGGGACGTCTACAATCTGCTAAAAGGGATATGCTGGACGAAGATCTCGGAGGTGTAAACAGAATGACAAAATGGTTGTGCAAGCAGTCATAGTAGCGTGTCATGTGTGTCCTTCTAATTACTTGCACCATTAGCCTGTTACAAGACGCAGTTCGTGTCATCAACCCCGTCTAAAGAGAGGATGCACGCCAAGGACCAGGATACGCCCTCAGGCAAAGATTGAAGAAAACGGATGTGAGGCGCCGGTGTCATGAAAAATGATGCGTTCTTCTCGCTTGGGACGAGCCTAGATATCAGGCGGCCCCTGAGGCAACCTTCTTTGCCGCATTTTTGTCCTCCATATGGCCGTTTTGCTTACCTTCGTCGCGCACGTTGCTCCAGCACTCCTTCGGGCAACGAATCGGAGCGCAGGGATTCTGAGGACGCCGAGGACTCCGTCACATTCACAAACGATCGATTCACGGTGCCTGCAATCTGAAGGGATTTCGGTTAGGATTCGGGGAATTCGGCTTTTATTTATGATTCTGAAGGCCACTTTTTGCGAGAAAAATGGTTTTATATTGTTAAAGAGGGCTAAGTCTGGCGTATTTTAGAATTCTGACGAGAGAAGGTGTGTAGTAAAACCGTGTGAGGGCTTAAAAATATAGAAAAAGTTACAAAATAGAAAAAATAGGATGTCTTAATAAAACTAAAAAATATTGAATATTCAAAAAAAAAAAAAATAAAAACCAAATCCAAATCTGATATTAACCCTTGTGTAACGTCTGAGCAACTCAGTTTTTATTTATAGCCGATTAAACCCGTCGACCCCGGAATGTCCAAATACCCAGAGGGGTCTTACATTATCTTCCCCAAATCTAAAGCCCAATGAAACTCGCGATAATAATAATCTTCGGGGAACACAACTTTTGAGGAAGATTTGAGGCTAGGTCCAGAAAAAATGGAGAATAAGTTGGGCCTGAAATTAAGGCAATCAAGCCGAAATAACGTACTCATTCAGCCTTTAAAATTACTTTTTTTTGCTACGACATACGCCATAAATTTAGTCTAAGATGGCGACCGTAATTACTATTCAAATCAGGCAGATTAGGACGTTATTTCAGAAAGAATCTTACCGGCGGAACTGTGGATGTCTGAGATAATGGAATTGATTCGGCAGAAACGCTGACCAGTGGCGCAGGCGGCAGCCGCTGCTTCTTTTGCTGCACATTTCCCTTCTTGACGCCTGAAATCCCTTTACTTAACGATGTTGATTGACTCCCTTCCGTTAACGTTTTGCTCAGATCCCTGACAGTCAATCTCCGCTGGGCTTGGGCCCTGATCCGATCCGCGGTGAGAGTGGGGCGCCGGGTGGAGAGTGCGCGGCGCCGGCTGAGGTTGGCTGGTCGGAACATGGATTGGAGAACAAACCCTCAGGCCCCGACTTCAACCTGGCCACAATCTCGACCCACTTTGTTTGGACAAACATTCAGACGGAAGCGCCGGCAACCCATCAGATCCCCGGATTGTTTTTTATTGTCATTTCGAGGGGATGGGATGTGAAACATGCCCAAAATGGGCGTGATAAACAATGGAAAGAGGCAATTTCGCGCCTTTTCTTTTTTCAAACTTTGGTATTAACAATTATGCCTATCACAACTGCAGTCCGTGCAATCTCTCCTAGTATATTTAAAAAATGTCATCACAATCCTATAACAGTCACCTCTATAAAGTTACTTAGTAACAGCCTCAAGATTTTTGGTTTAAATACTAAAAAACAAACATGTCCCTGAGGAAACGTATCCCCACACATCACAGAAAACACCCTCCACCCCATATTATCACTCACGTTGGTGATGGCCGAGATGAAGACCGCCAGCCAGATGAGTGCCCAATGATTGACGACGCTTTGCGAACGCGGCACTCCTTCCCACAACCATCGCCGAATTGCCGCAGGACTTCAGTTCAGCCGGGCCCTTCCATTGTGGGCCATAAACTGGGACAGTAAAGCTGCAAATGGATCATCAAAATGAGAGAATAAAGGGCTCAATGTAGAGATTCGGGCATAGTCAGGGTCTTCCGACACGCAACTTTATCTCATACTCAACATTGCCCTTTCTCGCTCAAAAAATTAAATCCGAGATAGGGAAATCCAACGAATTATAAAAGGGGAAAAGAGACGCAACAATAACATTGGTGAAAAAAATAATTAATGTAGGTTAAGAATTACTGAATAAAAACAACAATATTCTCGAGTGTAGAGAGTGGGAGTTCTCTATAGAAGGGGAAATGTCAATATAAAGTGAAGCCGGGGATTATGGAGACGATTCCAAATTTGATTAATCGAAAAAATGTGGCGGGAAACACCATAATATTACATCTACAAGTAGTCCGACCAATGAAAATTTATTTTCCATACAATAACAAGCATAAGAGAACCTAAGGTTACTTTATGACACATCCATTACGCATTCCGAACATCCACATGACCTTGTTCTCAAACACGGAATCCCCCGTATCTTCTAAATAAGTAATTAGCCCTCGGAACATCATAAAATTACCCACCAAGAAAAAAGGGAAAGCCGGGACATCAGAGACCTTCCGTGGGGCCATACGGCCAGTCCAAGCGAATCATCCGCGCACTTTTTATCACTCATTTCACGGCCCATCGACTACAAGAAGAAGAGGTCCGCCAAACACACTGGGGACGGCGACAGGGGATGGAATATGCAGGAAGAGTCGGTTCAAGACATCCATGTCAAGAATTATTAAATGCGACAAATAGAACCACAGCAGACAGCACCTTGGAGGATCCGACTCGGTATGAAGGAGGTCCACTACGTTCCAAACAGTCGGTTGTGTCTTCTTCTCGCCGACGATTAGGCGGAATAATGTCATTGTAACCTTGGTAATGGCATTTCATAGCAAAAAAAGATAGGTTAATGGGGAAGACAAGTATCACGAGTTTTTGCACGCATGGCGAGTATAACTGCATTTATTAACAACAAAATATAACAAAAAGATGAAGACAATTATTTGGGCTGTAAATTGTCAATGTAGGCGACTATGCCCGACATATCGCCTACATTCTGATAGCCACAGTCGATAGCCAAATGATTAATATGGCTAGCCAAGCACCTCGGTGATTGCCACTTGTTTCCTCAGTAAAGTAGTCATTTCTGAATTTTTTCGAAAAATTCGTCGCTAAGGGGTACTCGATGGTGCTGATTTCAAAAATCAGTTTTCTTATCTTTTCTTTTTTTTAAGTAGTACTGTTAAAATGCATTTTTGTAATTTTTAGAAAATTATTTGTTTTATGGGTTTATTATTGGTGCTGGAAAATGAACACGGGTTTCGAAATCAGCACCATCGAAAAGCCTTATATCAATTATACCCTCGAAAAATTAAAAAATTACTACTTCACAGCACTACTTTTTAAATCTTAAAAGAAAAAAGTGACAATCACCGATGTTCTTGGGCAACCATTTCGATCATTTGGCTAGTCACTTGCTGTTGAAAAGGACCTGTTTTTTGATCTTGGATAATAATCGCTTTCATTCAAATCGTCGTCGTATATGGCTACGAATGCAGGGGTGCGTTGATGTCAGCGCGATGTTTCAAATCCTTGATTTTATAGAACTTCAAGTTCATTTTTTTATGTGAATCAAAATAGGCTCCGCCTGTTTTAACTTATAGGTAAATTCTTGGGAAATATTTTTACCTGTAAGTAAAACTTACCTATAAAAATTTTTATAAGTGTTTTCGAGTTCTCTGTGTGAACCCTAATCGTTTGAGGGAAAATATTTTTGATTTCACCTGGCTCACAAATTTTCTCGAAACATAAGTTCAGAAAACGGTATAAGCAGACAATGTCACAGAAGGAATTTTTTATCGCTCGACCAAATTTTAATTAACTTAATCATTATATTTCACACCGCACTAACCACAAAATAAATTTGAATACTGAAAGAAAGGAAAAGACAAAATATCGAGTGTACTAAACAGACAAAAACAATGTGTATAAATAGGAGTCAGTAAGATGAATGAATATTAGGCTACATTATCAATAAACGTTTTGTAAAATATGAATGTCAATAACAATATTAATCATGGGATCGGTGAGAATTAAAAGAGGCCGAAAGTGCCGGCTCCGTTCATGGAAGGGTTCCAAGTCAAATGAGTGGGCAACCCAGGACTGGGAGTAGGACCCATGCCACCTGAATTGTGGCTGGAACGGCGTTGGCCATTTCTGAACATAGGCGGCGGACCTCCGTTGAACATTCCAGTTCTACCTCCACTGTTCTGAAATTGGAGATTACAGCTATTCGTGTTCCAAAGTCTTAAAGATCTACAACCGATCCTTACATTTCTTTGGCCATTCACTTGATTACAGGCCATTTGCTGCCGATGCCCTCCAACCACCCCAACACTGGAGGGTGGTGGTGGAGGCACACTAAAGTCGACTTGACTGACAGGTGGAGGGGGAACGAAAGGACCCATGGGAATATGATGGGTTAGTTGACCATTGAAAGGTACCATTGGGACAGGATGCTTGGCTATGTTCATATTGGGAGGCGGGACACTGGTGTTCATTGCGGGCTGGGGTGTTTGTGTGTTGATTAGACGACTTGTAGGGCGGAAATTGGTCGAAGGTGGCTGTTGGAATCGCTGGGCGGGAGAAACGTTCATCTGAGTATTGTTAAAATATTGGATCGGGGAAGGAGACGCAAGTCCATTCATTAGTTCCATATTGGACCAGTCGGTCTGAGTAGGGCCAAAGTAATTGGGCTCCACATAATTCCGAGGGGCCAAAAAGTTCTGGGCCAGTTGACTTGGGGGACTGTTCGCTAGCTGATGTCCGAATGGCTGACTGTTGCTTGGAAGGAACGAGTAATGACTTGAGAAACCGTTAGCTAAAATTAGACAATTATGAGGCTACATAATGTACCAAGAGCACTTACATTGAGCTAAGAATGCAGGACTGTTTAGCGATGATTGTGATTCGCTCAACTGTCTCTGGGGAATGGATCTGTGATCAATATGACGATCACGATCAGTATCCATAGCGCCGTTTAAGTCAGTGGCTCTCGTAATATCCTCCTTCGGCAACAAATCGTTATGCAAATAAGCCGTATCTTCTCCTGGCCAGATATCCTTAACTTTGCTAACCTTTTTTTGCAGTTCTGCTGCGTGGTCATCATTTATGTACGAGGCCTTCGGGCTGATTTGACCCGCTCTAAAATCAAAGTCGGGCTCAGGAATGGCGTTATTGTAAAGCAGTGCTTCTGATTCTCGGGTTAATTCCAGAGGGACATTATCCTTGGTCTTAGATGTCGGACGAGCAATTGGAGCAGGGATATTCTGCCTGAAGTCGTGCTGCAAAGGACTGGTTGTTATAATCCCCGGATCATTCCAAACTGAAGATTTTGTGAGCCCTGAGAGCGAAACTTCAGGCCCAGACTCTCCAGAGACATGGGAAGTTGAAGAGACGGCAATACAGCCAGAGTCGGTGGCCGACACTGGAGAGAAGGAATCATTGGTGCTCTTGGCTTCAGAATCCTTGCGTTTGCGAATTTCTTCCTTCTTTTTGGGTTGCTTCTTGCTCTTCTCGTCCTTCTGTTTACACTTCTTCTGTTGTTCTTGACGTTCGAGCCGAGCCTTTTCCTTGCTGACCCTTTCCTCCTCCTGACGTTGTTGTTCTTGACGTTGTTTTTTCGCCTTCCGACTGAGGACTTCCTCGAATTCTCCGCTCTCAGATTGGCCGTCAGTCGATTGTTCGGGCTGATTGTCGATGACGAAGACGCTCGCGTTGTTCAAATCGACACCCGCCAGCCCGTAGCGAACCGTGCCGGCCTCCTTGGCGGGCCGACGGTTCTCGCGGGCGTTTAGTTTGGCATTCTTACTGAGCTGCGGACTGTTGTTCTCGTCGTTGCTCTTCCCGAATGCGACGTTGTTTTGGGACGTAGGGCTGGCGGGCTTCGCGTTTTTTTGGTTCTGAGGACGCGGCTGTTGGCTGGAGCTAGTTGGGGTCTGGGGTTTAGAAACTTCCGATTGGATCTGCGGTTTGGATTGGGATGGCTTTGGGCGCGGCTTTGATGGACGTTGGATCGATTTCTTGCTCCCAGTCGAGTTGTCGAAACGACGGGCATCACTACCATTGGAGTGAGTTTCCTCGAGTTCTTCATCCTCATCTACAAAAATAGCCATGCTTATTGAATTCAAACCAATCAAAACTACTTTCTATTATAATAAATTAGGCTGCTTACCGTTTCTGTTTCCCCTGTTGTATTCTCTTCTAGGGCCTCGCTGATTTTGAGATCGGTTCCCGCCCGATTTCCTCTTATCAGCGTTGTCCGAAGATTCCTCAGGGGTGCGGCGAGGTTTGGAATCCCTCCAAGATTTATTCACAGGAGCTCCTCGCTGAGGTTTTAATGGACGTGGGCCCTGAAAATTAATTTAGTTTTGATGATATTTCTAGTAGAAGCAAGGATGTCTGTCAACTCTTACCTCCTCGTTAGGAGTCCTTCTCTGTTTCTTCTCTTTGGTCTCTTGTTCCATCATATCGACACTGGCAAAGCCATCTTCGAAATTGTTTTGGAAAGGTCGGGGAGGCGCCACTTCCGTGATGGTATAATCCTCGGCATGGAATTCACCCATATTTGAGAAGTTATCCTCCTGAAATCGACAACTTTAATAAAGATAATTTTATGACAAAAATCGGAATCTGTTTTTCTCTAAGAACAACGAGCATAAGAACATGCTTACGGGTTCGTTCCGTTTCTTTTGGCGATTTCCTACCGGTTTTCTGTTTTGCTCTGGAGCCATTCTCGGCCTTTGGACCGGTGCTTGAGGCTTTTGAGGTCGTCGATTGCGTTGTTCCCTTCGCTGATCATGATCTTCATGGTATCCATTGCCTTCGTTTACATCATCCCATCCAGTGGCTTCGTCTTTTTCCATTACTGGGAAGTGATAATCAAACTTTCTGGTGTGCTTTGCCTAAAATAAAAAATCATCAATAATGAAAATTAAATTCCCGGCCATTTTTAGGGTGTGCCATCTCTTGTGGCCCGATTTGAATCAGCCCGTTCCTTTTTGGCCAAATGTCAAGATTCTTTCTTTCCCTGAATTCTCTAAATCCCCCATTTTGTTTAGTTCCAAATCTGTGGCAGGAATACAGAAATACCGCCATAAGAACAAAATATCTCAAAAATGGCGAAAATAGTCGTATCTTTCCTGTTACTTGAGGTGATCTTACGAGTGCTATGAGACGTTCTCCATAAAACCCGTATTTTATGTGGAATTCTTAAAAAAGCTTCCAAACGGGTTCTCAGTAGCCTAAAGCCAATTTTCTGAAATTTATTTTATCTTTTTCCAACTTCGTCATTTGCACAGGGGGAATTGAACCTGGGTCGCCAGATTGGTAGTTATCATGTTGTCAGATTGACGTCATTTTCGTCATGCGAAATTTTTCTGTCATTATGATTGTGAAATTGAAATCTTTTGGAAAACTTTTCTAGATTTTTACGAAAAAACTGTAGTAATTTAAAAATTTTCAGAACTAAATGGTCCCTTCTTGTCAAAACGACTGATGAGATATAGGCAGTAAGAACTAGTTACGACCAATATAAACGGTTCATCATAGTCTATGTTTAACTCGCGTTTGAAGGCTTCGTAGATCAGTATTTTCAATTTAGCCGGCAATATGATGCAATTTGACGTCAAGTTGTCAGATTGAAAAAAAATCCGTCAAATTAAAAGCGATGACCGAATTTTTTTGATCTCGAAAGTCAGCGAAAGTTTGAGACCTTTTGTCGAATTTCGGAACGAAATTTTTCCTACCTGTTTCTGTTCGCCAAGTCTCTCTCTTTTTTATGGCCCACGTAGTATAACAACCTACCTCTCCCCAAGTGTGTTTTTCCTCCTGTTGTTTCTGAACTTGCTGTTGTTGCTGTTCTTCCATTCGCTTCTTCCAAACATTTTCTGCTGGTACTTGTGGTCTGCTTTCCTTTTGATGTACCTCCTTTTGATTTTGAGGTTTACCAGCTCCAGGGGCTTTGTTAAACCTGTTCAGTGATTCCTGACTCTGTCTTTGTTCATACTGACCATGTTTCACCGGTCTCCCAAATCTTGTGAGCTGGCTTAGAGTCTCGGCACTTTCTTCTTCAGTCATGGAGCTCAGATTGGATCGAGTTGAGAAATATTCGGCGCTCTTCTCGTCATTCCTCTTCAACATCCTGTACACCGGCTGCTGAGCTTGATTTCGATTGTATCCTTGGCTCTTCTGGCCTTCGAAGTATTCATTCATTTCGCGAGTAGGTTCTCTGTCTCGATTCATATCCCGATGGTACCTATTTTGGTTATCATCACCGTTCTCTGATCTACGTTTGGTCCTTCTTTCGTTTCCATACATGCCATAAGCGTCGAATTCGTCGCTGTACGAATTGGATACAGGCCGGTTCCGTCCTTGGAATCCGCCGTTGTCGTATTTTCCAGCGTACTCGTTGCCGTGATAACCATTTCCTTCGTTTCGAGGATACCATTCGTCCTCGGCTCGGTAGCTGGATTGACGAGGGCGACGGTCGGGAGGAGGAGGTCCCCACCTTGCAGCGTCTTCCCAATTGTTCGGCTCGTCGTATCTCGGCGGCTTCTGATATCCTGAATCGCCGTGCCCAGACGTAAGTGGCTGAGGTTGGTAAAAGTCCTGTCGAGGTTTGGAGTACTCGTCTTGCAAAGGACGGCCCCAACCTTCGTGCGAAGGCTCCTCCATCGGCTCCTGGGGCTGGGAGTAAAGTCGACGAACATCCTGGCTGCGTCCACCTTGAGGTTGAAGTGGCTGAGCATGCACAGGATAAGGTTCGGGTTGAGGAGTTTGGACTGCGGGTTGAGGAGACGTCTGGTGAATCTCGTGGACAGGTTCCACGACTTTTTGAGCCAATTGCCGTTCCTCCGACTTCTCCTTGGAGTCCATGGAAAGCTGAGCCAACTTCTGGCGGAAGTCGTACCGCTTGTTTGGCTGGTTGCTGGGGCGAGATCCTTCGGGAGCCCCAATATAACGATCGGGGATTTTTCGGTCGACATTGGACCTGGGTGCCGTCGAGGCTCCAATATAGCCGGAACCAGTCGATTGAGGCGGCGGGATGTTGACGATCTTGTCGGCAGACTCGTCTGCTTTGGAGGACGGTTGCCCTGAAAGAAAATAAACAGTGGAAACTTTGACCTAAAAACTACAACACAAAAAAATCAACACTTACTGGATGACTTGGACAAGTCGTTTGATGCCGTCAGAGCACCCGTTGTTGACGGCGGCGTTGACTTGGTGGGTGATGTCCCCACAGCAGCAGCGAGCGGTGGGAATTCGCGACTGTTGGTCGCTGCATTGCCCGCTGCTTTGCCTACACGTAAAGAATGAGCTGGATTGGGCTTGACCTTCTCTACTGGAGCAGCTTGGCCATTGGCTGCACTCTTGGCCCAATTCGGACGCAAGTCTGGGGAATTCGATTGATTCTCCGAATTCTGAAAACAATTTCACATCGCATAAACTATATTAAAAAACTGACTTCTAGTATAACATCAAATTTCAGAAAAAAACTCGGTCACAACCAAATAAAAATCCAATAAAAATTCAACCTCATAAAGAAAATGGCTGTATTACCTTGTTGTCGGACGTGTCGGCTGGCTTGTTCCATCCTTGTCCACCCTGAGGCACTATTATTACACTCGGATCTTGACCAATCTCAGACTTGAGTGAAGGTAGAGTTGCAGGCGGGGGCATACGCCGGACGATAGTTGAAGTTTTTCCAAGAACTTGAAGGCCATTTTTGACAGAGCCTGGAATTTTCAGGTAAAATTTTGGAAAAGGTACCTAAAATTGAAAAATGCTCAATCACAGGATACTTACCGGCGGCCCGGCCGCTTGCGTTATTCCTTCCGGCGTACACACTATTCACGTTGTGTGATCGGGGCTTCGCGGCGCCCGTAACCCCCCAGGACGACATAAGTGAGTGGAGACGCTGGTCCACTGGCCAAAAGAAGATCGAAGTGAGCGGATGAATGGAACGGTGGAATTTTGGCGGAGTTGGGCAACACTTTCACAATAATTTTTAATTAAAAGGCTCACTCGGAGCCCGGAAGACACTGGATCTGTAGATTATAACTCGGGAATGGCTTGGAATATATTTTTGGAAGGATGGATGGCTGCCTCGTGAATTCCCCTTGATTTGACTTGTTCAGACCCTGAAAGAAAAAGGAAATTCGCCCGTATCGTTTTCCAGACCCCATCCCTACAAACTGTCCGGATATCTACCTAAATAATCCTGGCCGTACTCGACGAAGTTCTTACCGGATTGGTTTGTGCTAGCGGTTGGCGCAGAAAGAAGATTTTTTGCCCACTGAAAACAAAAAAAAATCGTTGAAAATTGAGGCGGGAAACAAACGGACAGATCAAAACTCTAACACGACCAAATTAAGGTATTGGACTCAAAAATATTGGCCCGGACCCACTAGGGAGAGATCTTTACCCCAGATTTCGCCCTTTCTCCGCGGAAAAACGCGCACGTCTGGCCCGAGGATGATAGTGCGGTTAGAAGGGAGAGAAGACGGGGCAGAGTGGAAGGCAACCGTCCGTCTCCCTCTCTGACCATCCGTTTTCAATCTCTTTTTCGTCTGTGAGTGTGTCTCTGGCAGCCTTTCCTTTTTCTCTCACCATCACAGCTGACGGCGCGGTGCTTTCAGAACGCGCTCTTTCCTTATTCTATCCATCTTCTTGTAGTGCCCTGTCGCGGTTAACCCCATGGTCGGGGTCAACGCTCTCCAACGGCGGTTTGCGAGGATCGTGTCCCTTTTCTCTTTCTCTAACCGAGCTTGCAGACGCAGCTCCCGTAAGTCGACAAGCCAAAGAGTTGCCTGGACTCTCCACCCTGCGCTTGGTCTCTCGGTTAATGACGGCCTTTACGTTTATCGTTCTCTCCGCAACCTCTTTTTGTCTGACAGTCTCCACTTTTCATATTCTCCCTTCTCCAGTCAGCTGTGCGTGTTTTCTCGGCTTCACTCTCGACTCGCCTCAGGAAGAGGTTAGAACCGTTCCGGGATCCGCGTTTTCGCCGTCCATGGCCATGGCCTCTCCTTCTGGCCGCGGCGCCGAATGTTACCGACTGGTTTTATTCGCGCATGGCTAAGCGGAAAGACGAGAAGCAGAACGAGCCCCCGAGGGTTCGCAAGGTGTTTGATCAAAAACGACAAAAAAGAATGAAATAGAATGCCAGAAAACACTTGATCCGAGGGAAGATGCCTAAAACAACACTTCAGACAAGATGGGGGTTATGCCCTCGAGGAAAGGGAGGGTATGACGCTTAAACAGAGAAGGCGACGATCTTCAAATTTGGATGCCATCTCAAGGGGATGGTCGAGAGAGTCGAAGCCAAGCCCTCGAGCTCGAGGCGGTCGGCATTCCCGGAAATTAGCATGGAGATGAATGAAATGGAAATCGCTTTAGATCCATCAGAAGAGGATTCAGTGTGTCTCGGTAATTATTTTTTCGCTCTTCCCATATTAAAATAGATAATCGTGGAGCTCTTCTTTTGTAAACGTCTTCCGCTCCAAACCCGAACTCGATGTCATTAAAGATGTCATCCTGGATTTCATTTTCTTTTATGAGCTGGATACGTTCAGGTTTACTTTGCGGGATAACATATCATCATCTTGTAGTTTTACATTAGTCTCCTTGACTTGTAATAATATTTATTTAATTTGTAATCATTTCTTTTAAGGCTCCTCTTATGGTATGCGATGATCTGGAGGTTGCACATTCTATTGCATTTGGTTACAATGTACGTTAATTCAGTTGGCTTGACTCCTCTACCCCATCAATTACGGTATTTTGTTCGATCGACGAGGACACCTCGTATTCAGGGGATTAAAAATATCAACAGATTTAGCACAAAGAAACCGAGTGAGGATAAGGAGAGTTCAGATATTACATCTACGCTTCCCGGGATAGCTGTAAGTGATAATATTAAATTCTAATAGGAGAATTAGAATTTTAATAGCAAAGAAATGGAGGCCATGTTGTTGGATCCAGAGCTGAAGTCGTTAAAGTCGAAGATAAGTGATGGAATCGAGGCTCAGAGAGAACTGAAGGCCAGGCTAAGGAGATTAAATATTCAGACCAGATATCGGGCGGTAAAAACAGCGACAAAAACTGGCGACAGCTGGAAGAAACCGCTTTTAAAACAACTTGGTGTCCGGATTACTAAACAAAGTGAGCGGGTTTAAAGTTATGTTAAATAAATTGTACACAGCTGTTATTATATTCATGATTTAACGAGCGTTTTAGAGGCGACTACGAAACGCAGATCAGAAGGTAAATTGAAGAATCTGAAGACCTTTAAGCCTCACAAATATGTGAAGACAGGGAGAGCGGAACAATCCAATTTGATTACCAAACGATTCTATTCGGATAAGCCTCCGCCGACTCAGGTTCAAGTCGAACGTATGTTGTATTAATTGGCCTCACTGTTAGATTAAATTATGTCATAATTCTTCGAATCAAAAAATGTTTATTTCAGCCTCGAAAGTTGTCGCAGAGATCCAAGAATCAGTAAAAAAAGCGTTGAACAAAGTGTTTTCCTCTGGGAAATTGGCACAGATCGATGATTTCGATGAGGTTGTGGTGAAAAAGGTATGATTTTGTAACATTTTCTTTTACCACTTTGAAGTTTTTTTATCATCTACAAGTTCCTTGTTTCGAAATAATCGCCACACCTTTCGCGTAATCCTCCAAAACCTTTTAAGAAAGTTTTAAGATGTGACCCAGTTACTAAATAGTATTGTACTCTATTCGATCGACGTCTTCATGTTTTAGAAGCACCGTCACGAAAGTCCGAAATCTTTTGCTCTTCCCAAGAAATTCGACCTCTACCCAACTCAGCCCGCCTTCTGCCGTCGATGTTACAAGTTTTTCTCGACGATTATTGATGCCGATGTCACCAAAGTGTACCAATATTGCTGTACGGTGGGGAACCACAAGAGTCGGATCTTGCAGGGAGTCAAGCTGAGAACCCTCTGAACATGTTTTTGTGTAAATAAACCTGTTATCAGTGACACCTCTTCCTCACACCTGATAAGACGCCCAACTTCTGCCTTCAATTTATTTGCATGGCATTATATTCGGGGATTAAGATTGGGGATGAACAAGGTCGCGACATTTCAATGTTATTTATTTAAGATAAGAGATTGGGTGGACAATATAATTGTAAAGTGACTTAGCAATAGTTACGCGAAACAGACTGGCGATGCTTACAAGTGGAAGTGGAGAGATTGCGCCATCATCGTTTCATTGCGAAAATAACGCTCGGTTACTGTTAGAGTCAAGAATTAGACTCGTATCACAAGTAGTGGATAAACACTACTCACTCGTATTTTACATAATGTATCAATGAAAATGATGACAACGCAAAGAGCCCTCCCTCTTCAGCCTAGAACACTTAAATTAGGCCACAATTTCTGGCTCTCCCAAAGATTGCGGGGAATCGGAGTCGGATGTTGTAGGATAATATTGGAGAGATTCACTCAACTTCTCCTCAAAAATACTCCTTTTGGACATTGAGAGTTTGGCTGGGGGGAGATTGTGGGCCGTGGATCGATGGGTCTGGAGGGTCCGGGCTTGGCAAAACCCTTTTCCACATTCTTCACAGGTGTAGGGCTTTTCTTTGGAATGGGTATATCTGAAAACAGATTGTAAATAACTTATTAATTCTTAAAAAACAAAATTTTAAGACAAACTTACTTGTGATCTCTCAGATGATCTTGTCTTCTAAATTTCTTCGAGCAGATCTCACAAGGATAAGGCCTTTCGTTGGTATGTGTTCGTTCGTGTATCAGAAGATTATATGACTTTGTGAAATGACGATTGCAAAAGCGGCAGATGAACTGTTTCTTTGGCCTTGTCGCTCGGTTTCCACTGCGCCGACCGGGTAGCATAAACCTAAAAACATTTAAAAAATTAATAAAAACCTACCACAGTGATGTAAAAATTATACAAAAATTTAGACTCACCATGGTGCTCGAAGATTATTGTACATGTTCTGCTGTCGAATCAATGGAGTTTGAGGAAAGGAGGGAGTAAATTGAGGCAAGGGGGTGGATGATGTACTTGAAGATGAAGGTTTCTCTTCCTCCGGTGAGTCCACACATGTCGCAATCTTTGTGAAATCAAATTTGGGGGACTGTTCCTTGTCCTTTGTATTATCAGCAGCCTCCCTTTTCAAGTTGTTCATCTCAGTCAGCTTCTGGAGAAACATAAAAAAATTGGCCTGCTGATTGATCAAATTCTGCCGCCATATCTGATTATTCATCAACAGATTAGGGAAGATGGAGCCAGAAGATGAAGTAGGACTTAGATTGGTCATCCTGAAGGGGTTCGGGTTCATGGTGATGGACAACGCCGGGGGCTGAGTGGAAGCGGCCGAAACGCCGGGCGGACACACCATCTGAAACAGTAATTATTAGGATTAATTAGAATTAAGTGGTGATGAACAAAGGCGGCATCGGCACGTTACTTTAATAAAAAACGGCTCGGCCCGCCCTCCGGGCCGAACTCCCGTTTGAGCGCCGAGAGCGCGTGGCGGCGGCCGAATGATTGCTCCAGGGCCTGATTGGGCCCGAATCAAAGCCCGTACCGCCAAAAGTGCCGAGCTTGAGCATAATCAAAATGAAGAATAATAAATTTTATGAGCACCTTGGTCTCTTCATCGTCACCTTTGAAATAATCGTTAAGAGAAGGAGGCCCGCTCTTTTATCAGAACACCATTAGCAATCGCCCAATTATTGCTACCGTTAATGAGCAGATCAAAAGGCCCACACCGACCGACGGCCTGGACCCACAAAAACGCCTCGAGGCCATAAACCTGGGATGGCAGACAAAGTATTTGGATTTGGACGGGTTTTTGGAAATCTGGGTGGGATTTTGAAATCATTAGGTTAGAAAGATACGGTAAGGAAAAAAGTGATTTGGAAAAATGGTGTACAATACGCGCTTATTACAGAATATAAATTATGTTTGCAGAAATGGCCGAAGACTGAGGGTCAAAAGGGTTTTACGAAAATCCCCAGAATCGCGTTGAATCCAGAATCCCCAGGACCATTATGAACCCCCTTTTTTGGACAAATTGAGTCTGCATTGCCTGTGGCACATTCAGATGATTGATCCCAAAGTATTATGTAAATCCATTTGGGGACACACGCAAACCAAATAAATCTGTCAGAGCGCCCCTAATAAAATGGCTAAAACCCATTTTGAGGAGAAAAGAGAAGATGGGTAAGACCTTTACAGTAAGTTGAATGTCAAGGCTGAAAGAAAGGGAAGCAGAGCAGTCCGACTTGTTTTCTGACTCCCTGACTTCACACTCACTACTACTGACTTCTTATCTTTGAGTACCGTAATCCGGCCTTAATCCTTGCCCGGCGAAAAACTTGCGGCAATGATAAGGACATTAGACTCGATGGGTTGATGGACAAGGAGAAGAAAGACTTGTTGACCGACGATAAGGGGAGGAATATACGAGCAAGCTCAAGAAAGTATATACTGCGCCTTGTTAATCAATCATCCCCAAAATTTATATTGGGTATAAATTTAGTCGACACTTGCTACCGGCGAACAGATTAATATTTTAAAATATCATCTCAGAGTGAACAAAAACAGTTAAGTGAACGGAAAGCCCGGAGGGAAAGGACGCGTTTGAGCGTTCTGATACGTCTGAAGAAGTCTCTCCCCTTTTATGATTCTGAAGAATTATGGGAGCGACGTCTCAAATGCCTCTGAAATCACCCGTTTCGGTGGGAGAATCTGCGAAAAAAGGGAGAAGAATTGGTCCAGGGGGCGGGGCCAACTACCAGCCAATCAAATCCCGCGCTTCCTCTCAAGTATGCCACGGCAAATCATCGGGAAATATTATGGGTTCGGCGGACATATTGGGGATATTAACTTCTTTGTTTGAGCTTAATTATGGTATTCAAAGGGATATTCGTAAGTATAAGTTACAAAATCGCGAGAAAATAAGTAAGAAACGAGGAAGTTTGTCGTTTCGAAGCCTTTCATTTTAAAGTCGGAAAATCACTCACACTGGCAGTAACACAAGCTAAGATAAAATAGGAATAAATATTATGTATCACCTCACTTTCCCACCTCAGAGAATCTCCATAACACAAGACCGGAACCTCAGGTAACATAAACATAATACAGAGTGCCTTCCCCAAGAGTACCGGTCACATTTCCACGAGGTATTGTAATTGAGCGGGTCACTTACAAGTGATTATTACGTCATAAAAACAGAATTCAAATGCAGAAAGAAGCGTGGCTTTCAGGGGTTAGGTGGGAATTGTAAAGTTAATGTAACAGAGACAACAGATCTCAGTGCAATAGAAAACAGATCTGCGATATCTTTGCTTCCTTGTTTAAAACATTGGAAAGAGTTTTGTAATATTGATTGAAACCCTTCAGCAGGCTGATTGTATCAAAATCATTCTCAATTCAAGACTTTGATGAATTAAATCGCCATCAATAATATCAGCCCAAAAACAATAAATCGATTATTCGAATTGGCTTCCCCGTCAAATAAAACTCAATTTTGAAGAGGGAGCCCTTTATGTCTTATTGTAAAAGTAGTACGCTTGGACAGAGTTACGGTCAACTGACTCCTCAACTACCGTCTCTCTTCTGGATCCCCACAAAAAAATTACGGGACCGGATAATCCCTTAAGGCGCTTGGAAATGGGACAAATCGCTAGGGAAAGTGACGAAAATCCTGCGAGCAAACAGATTTTATCTGGAAAGGGTTACTGTAATGCGGGAGTCACTGAAGGCAGAGTTTCTATTTGAAGAAGGAGATGAAGGCTTATGTGATACTAGTGAGAGATTCCTTCCAAAACTATCTATTGTTAAGATTTATGTAGAAAAAAATTGAGAGGAATATGAAAATTACAGGAAACTTCTGTATGGCAAACATTTTTTTTTGCTTTTCACAACAATACCAAAAGATTTTTCGGTTGAATTCGTCCGATATTACATAAATTTTTGCTGAGTATTGCAAAATAAATCAAGTTAAACATCAACTCCGGCCCCTCCAGCGATTTACAATTATTTTTGCTTAACCCAACGCAAGAACTTCAGCCATGCTTACGACTGGTGAAATACAATACGCTCTAAATAACACCAGGCGATGAGCGACTTTTACACCTTAAAAGTAAACAAAAACAAAGGGGAAACACCGGCAGTTTTGGCCTTTTACGGCATCGGCTTGAACCCGATTCCGTTACAGATCCTGGCCGAAACAAAGACACACTTAAGCCTGGTTATTGTAATAATAGCGGAATATTAAGAGGATGGATGCGCAATAAAAGGAAAACATGGACAAAAGAGTGGATAATCTGAAACAATTCAGCCGGCTTTGTCATTGCTAAAAGGATATCTGACAAATTGTTCAGTTTAAACTTTCTAAATGTCCGACTTGATGATAGTTAGTACCAAGCATGCCACGTCATGGCTGCCGAGCGTCCACTGCCCTCCCCCGCAATCCTCAAAGCAAAAGCCGCCAAAACCGAAAGAACCTGGCCAGGTTTTTGAAAGTAAGGTCTTGTAGTAGGGTTACTGTAGCGTTTCCCATGGGAAGAAGAGAAGATTGCCTTCTCTTTATTCCTCACAACGTCGCAGAATCTGTCCGAATCCTCCTGTCGCTCGTTTGCATATTTTTTGAGACATCCGGTTAGGCGATGGAACCGGTCTCACTTCGCGTTTTTAATTTTAATATTCGTCGCCCTCCCCCAATCGAGTCCCCACCCCTGTTTGTCACCTCTGATTCGGCCATAAAGTCGCGGCGGCACTCTTTGATCGCTTGGAACGTCAACGATTTGCCGCAAAATAAAATTTTTATTTCTCATCGTCCCATGCCCGTCCAGGCGCTCATCTGCATGCGGGATTGGAGCCTGAAACCTGGCCATAAAAATGCCTAATGCAATCTTTTGTCTAATTATTACCAAGCCATTGTTCGCGGCAGCTGAGTCTCGGAATTATAATCTCAATACGGCGAGAGGTGCGAAAATTAATTTCGCTTTCAGTACGGAGACGATTACGGTAATTTAACGACGTCGGGGGCTTCGGACGTCAAAACGCCAGGGATCCGAAGGTATTTGGGAGGTAAGTCGGAGGCTGATAAGACTACTAATAAGGCTGGGTGGTATTAAAAGGGATCATAAAGGGTACGATAGCTTGTAGTACTAATAGACAAAGCTATCCCATTTTGTCAACAGCAATCTTGTTGAACACGCTCTGCACTCGCTTTATCCTCACAAAGCTTCATAAAACATTTTTTGACGCAATATTCAGAAGAAATGATTATTGTGCGGGCTGAATGGACGGAAGAAAGGAAAAGCTCTGCTGTTTGGATAAGGTGCAAAAGTGAATCAGAAGAGCGAAATACCGTTTGAATCCCCATAAACGTCTACGGCTTTTTACGACACGTGCAAACATTGTCTATGAGGTGTGGATGTGGTGGTAAACAGATGATATATGATGGATAATAGGGTTTGCATTGATCTAAAAGATGTGGATAGCCTAAGTGGGTCTGTGTAAAAGGGAAACCACATTTTTACAGCTTTTTAAAATCCATTTAGCTTGGTCATTTTTTAAAGATTTTTGACAAAATATTGGAATGTATTACGCCTAATATATTACGGCAAAAATTGGGTACCGAAAAAGATGAAGGAAACTCCGGTTGTGATAAGGTATTAATAAGCAATTAGAGATAAAATTTAACGATCCCAGAATCCATGTAAGGTAATTGCCCCTCCGAAAAGAGGAGTTCTATCTGTTGGAACGTCGAACGAAAGGGAGGGGACCCCGTGTTTCTCCTCACTCTTCCCACCCAATGGTCTTCAAGAAGACACAGTAGACCCGGAGGCTGCTTAACCGCTCCATAAAAAGAGTGGCGGCACGCTTTCAAGCCCGGATTCCAATACAAATATTTGTGCAAATTTTAGTGCAGAGGGAGGAGGGAGGGGGGGCACGCGCGAAAAGTCGGCACCGATTGAACGGTTCTTGGTACAAGCTTTAAGACGGTATCGGCGAGAGTCTCGACCACAAATTTGCGTAAACAAATTGCTTTTGAAATCAGAGACGATAAAGGCGCACATGAGGTAATCCCGACCGTACTTTAAGCCGGATTCGTGGCGGCATTCGATGGGATTCGATGCCCTGGCCCCTCTCCAAGTTCAATAACCGAGGCCCGCAAAGGGAACCGGGAAAAGATTAACAAAATATCCATTCCGACGCTTTGACTCAATCCACAAATAATGAGTCAAGCCAAACAATAACCGATAAAAGCAGCTGCGACTACTTTGTTTCTGATAATTTTGCATGATCCGGAAAACGAAAGCATATTGCACTTTAACGTCTCCAAATGGGTGTATATAATGTAGAAAATGGCAAGCGATTTCAAAGATTTTGATGCATTAACTTTGAGAGTTATCTTAATTGGCTGCTGACTGTAAAGTGAGACATAAAAAAGCAGTAAGACCGTAAATGAGTTGATATTACGGGGTAAAAGATTAAGAATAATCTTCCTTTTAAGGAAATATCATGATTTGAAAAAATATCTAAAGCATAGACATCATGCATGACATAAGGTCCCTCCCTCCCTCGCATAATCAAAATTCGCAGAAAGCGGTCGTCTGACGAGAACCTGCACTTCCGAAGGTAGTCGTTTTTCGACGATTCACACCCTTTTCGCACTTCGACCACCCAGCAATCGCTCATCATCATCCGTCTAAATTTGTTGTGCGAGTGCCATATAAAAAGTGGTGGTTGGCGGAGAGAAAACCCTACTCTTCTGCTGATTGCATGTAGTAATTAACAACTGGTAGTAATTCAGATCTTTATGAACTTTTCGGTCCGCCACAAAAGACTCCTTATAAGGTGCGATGTCGTTAAGCGCACATTATGGCCTGCGGCTTCTCTTCTTGCGCGCGCATAAATCAGCGACACGATAGGTGACTAACCTTTGAGGTCACTTGTATGAGATCACATCCATCAACGTCCCCCTTAATTGGCACATTCAGATGCGGCGCCATCAAGGAACTCAACTTCGAGAAGAGAAGATTTCTGGGACGGTGAGATGGGGATTCCGAGGTGTTTTGTTTAAGGATTCCTGAGTTCATAAAGTTCAATTCTTCGGAATTTATGACGTAATATTAATTAACTATCGTAACACAAAAACCATTCTGTTAGTGGAGGATCACATTCACTGAATCATGAATTCGAACAGCTCTCATACATATACTGTGAATTCAACGTTCTCAACGCCTTGATCCATCATTTAACCTTTCTTCTCACTTGTCAAATTACTCGAATTCCTTAATTCGAAGCCGCCCTTGGAGAAAGGAAGTAACCTCGCTTAGGAACTCATTCCACGCTAATTGCGACAAAAGTGATGGATGGACTGGACTGGCTGCTAATTGCTGGAATCGGCATCCTCTTCTCGATCCCCATTTGTCATTGGGATCTGCGCCCGTCTTTTGGTGGAACGAAACTTTTGTAAGAATGAAGACAGTAGTAGCAGTTACACAGCAGAGTGTGTTCTTAAAGTAAAACGAGCGGAAAGACGTTCCCTAAAACACTGGTCGGTCGCTTCTCCCCTCCCGGAGGGCTTTCCTTGACACCGGTTTTATTCCGTTAAAGGGTTTCACTTTCGATTCGATCCTTTAATTATTTGTTAATTACAACATATTACTGTTGGGAGGATACTGCAAACAACCGCTCTACTTTTACACTGAATAGTCCCACTTTTTGTGCTCCACGTTCCCCCGGCCATACTCCCCGAAAGGGACTATCTTTTAAAAACGCTGACAATTCTCTCCAGTAATTGCTGGAACAGATTGTTTTCAGTAGTTTAAAGTAAGGTCGGCAATGGAGAGAAAAGAAGTCAAAGACAGGACTTTGGTGGCTTTGATGGCCATACTGGCCCTGCTTTCCGTAGCTGCAGTTCTTGGATTGGCAAACTATCTCTACGATGGCTGGGTTTGTGCCGAAAAAAGCATCTTGTTCAACAATCAGGCAAGTCTAAAAGTCCAACCGCTTTGCAAGAAGTTGCTCTTCAAAGGGTTTTATTGCATTCCGTTCATCTCTCCAACTTTACCATGTTTTGCAGCCCACAGTCAGTCCGTATCAATCAAAGATTCTACCGGAAAAGGTTTGTTTTTCTTTTATCTTTGCACGCAAAACAAACAAATATCCTTGCGGAATTTGTAACTGTATCAGCGATGACCTTGAGATGAATTTTATCTACGCCCAAAAATGACATTGGCTCCAGGGCGTCTGCTTACCCGCAGAGTTTAATAAATAATTTGCGTTAGATTTATGAGAGAATCAAGGATCGGAAATGACGGAAGGAATATGATTTAAAAAGTAAACCTTCAAAAAGAAGTTCCAAAACCTTACATTTGATCCCTAAAGCCCCATTAAACACTTCCAGAACTGGCAGATCATTCACGTGGACAGACCTCCTTGTTGTCTTATCCTTCCATTATGTGAGAATTGTACATTAAGAAGGAAAGGGACAGTGACAAGCGTGATGACAAGCTCAATAGACATATTCGAATTGATAGGAGAAGAGGGATTCTCTTTTTGTGATCAGATCAGTGTGGGAATGAGTGATTTGGCTAGTAGTAAGTCCTTAACTACAATAACGCAACCTTATTTTAGATTCAGTGGGAATGACAAGGACCAAGAAATCAAAGAACTTCGTAGTATGCAATGAAAAAAGGGTAAGTTGACACTAAGAATCTACTAAAATATTAATTATTGATTTTTAGATCGTTACATCGATCAATACGCCCACAGAAACCTTGGAAACCTATTGCTCAGAGTAACAAATAACCTCATTTAAATGTATATAAACTTTAATGAAAACCTCAAAAGGAAACCTCAAAGTCCTTCAGAATATTCATTTTTAGATTATAAACGGCTAGATATAAATTAAAGTCATTATTTTTTGGTGAAGAAGCTGCTGATCGTCGGCTGACCAGCAGGCACTTTCTTTGGACCCTTGGAAGTAGAAGAATTGCTTGGTTTGAGGATTGACTTGGGTTTTGAGAAGCTAGGAAGGACCTGGTCTGAGCCCACAGGATCTTCTTTTACAACTTTTGTCGTTGTACGGGTTACTGTAACAGCAAAACATTAACTAATTTTAATCACCTTACCCAACATTCCGTCTTCGTCAACGAATTCCTCGGTGATCTCCTGTTTCTTGTATTTTACGGGCTTAAATTGTTTTACCTCCTTTACTGTTCGGTTTTCTTCTGTGCGACTTTCCTCATTGTCCACATCTTCGTCATCAGATTCCACGATTCGTCGACGTTTTGTTGGGGCGGCTAAAATAACATATTTTGTAAAAACAAGTGATTTTTTACCTTCTTCTAATTCCTTGGACTTCATTTTGGATGGTCTTGGTTCGTCTTCGTGCAAAACGGAACCTTTCACGTCATCTTCGGTGGAAAACAAATCGTCATCTAAGAAAAAATCAACAAATAAAACGCACTTACCGAAACTATCACGTGCTGGAACTGTTTCTTCCTCTTCAGAGCCAACTTCATTGTCAATCTCGAGGTGCTTCTCTTCATCTTCTTCACACCTGTCTTCCTTTTTGACTGTTTCAAACATCAATTTACCCTGCTTTTTATATTGTTTCTTCGGTTTATTCTCCTTTACAGGTTTGTTAGGCTTTTCAATCTTTGAGTTCTCCGACTTTGCACATTTCTGAGGAGCTTTTTCCTCTCCAAGATCTACTCTGGCAGGTCGTTTCACATTGGACTCAATTTCAACTTCATCCACAATTTGAATCCCCTCCTCCTAAAAAAAGAAATTTAAAGCTACCCTTCATTTGTGGCAGATTTCATTTAATTTAGGGCATATCAAAATTTTCAGCTATTTCACGGCAACCATATTTTTTTGCCGTTTCGCCAGCAAAAAAAGGTGGATTTGGCAAGGCAATGTGTTGGATGAGGATTCAGGGACATTCATTCCATACATGTGGCTACTTATTTTCCATCTGCGCCGCCATTCTAACATATAGATAATCCAGCTTTATGGCTAACCAAACGGCAAAAAATCTGGCTGTCATGTCAAATCAGCCGCTGGCCAGTCAAATAATTTGGATATAAAAATTCGATCTTTACGTGTTTTAACCCAAACGACAGATAACGAAATTTAACACTTGCACGAGATGAATAAAATCCAAACGCTTCCTTACCAGTTCTCTCAATTTTTCTCCTTTAGCAAAGGCCTCCTTTAGACTGTGTTGATCCCTCTTCACAATAATCTTCTTCACAAACACTTTCGGCCCTCTTTTTACTCGAGTTTGGAATAATGGAAGTTCAACATCACTAAGATCGATCTTCTTCATCTTCTTGATTGCGCTCAATTCATTTACAACGGTCTCATCAATAATGTTAAGCCTGTCTTCCATGTCAACAACAGGATTGGGTATCCTTCCAGCATAAATATTGTTTAAAGGACGATGAAGATTGCTCAAGGATCCTTTTTGGATTGAGAAGATAGACTTGTTGCTAACTTCAGTAAAAGATTTATACACTTCCGGCAACCGCTTCTCCGTGCAAATCAAAGACCGCATTATTGTTCGTGTGCCATCATCATTCTTATTTGACATTGCCTTTCCAACTACAATATACGAAGCTGTGAGATCATCAGTATTTCCTTTTTCTTTTTCGTAAAATCTTTGCAATACTCTAAACACAAAAATCCCTTTATATCTTAAAAACTTACGACTTAATTTCTTTTCCATTCAATTTTGTATGCCGCAGAAGAAATCTGCTTCCGACCGACTTATTTTCCTCCAGAATCCAGTTCCTCATCTTCTCCAATACTTCTTCTTCCGTAGCCATGGTTATGTTAGATATGACAGGGTTTATCTCACCAGTAAAAGAAAAAGTACCTTTACAAGTAGAGCTCGAGAGAGAGAAAGAGAAAACTTCGATTTTTGGAAACCAGATTTCCAAAAAATATTGGCGCGAAAATTAATTTCTGCAAATACTGGGCGCAGTCTGCCAACGAGAACTCAGAATTGCGCAATGCAATGTGACATTGCCGAGATTGGTGGAGCCGACTGAAGCCGAGCTAAATAATACAGAACAAGGAATTTATCCAGCTAGCTTCCGGGACACGATGCTGGAACAGACGTGTTTAACATGGCCTAACAAACTTGAAATGAGAAAAGATGATCCTTCCTAATCAGCATAAATGCAAGACAGTTTGTGGTTATTTGTAGAGTGTCTCGCTTGTTGTTTTCTCTTTTCTAAAGAGTTGCAATGAAAAAGATTCTGACATGTCGGATGCCTTTCTCACACGGACAAGTCCAAATTTTTCCTTTATTGCCGGCTTTAATCGATTACATTTTTCGGATCACACCCACGTTAATTACGATGCCCGTGCTGTTTACTTATTTTTAATGGGAAATTTAACCACACAAATCTACCAAATAAAGAGGCTTACGTGTTTGCAAAGGGACGGAAGAAACGAGAGATGATCATGAAGAAAGAAACTTCTTCACCCATTCAGCACAAGAAGGGTGAGCAAGGATTAGGTGGGAGTGATAGGCCGGTTGTTTCCCGTGGTTATTCAGTCTAGATTTGCCTTTTACCGCGATGACTAACTCCGAGGGATGACTTTGCCAAACTCCCCGATGACGACCATTGCGATTTCCAATCTTGTTCGTCCAACAACTTTTCCTTTCCCCTCTTTTTCTTATAAGTAGTAAAATAACTCAAAACGACTTCATTATGACAATCCTTCCCCCTTTTTGAATGTCTGCCTTTTTTATCAATCGAATGTTTACACCTGCGGCTTATTGTTAAGCTCGCTGAACACGAGAGATTATAATATTTTGCGGGTCGATTTCCCTTCCCGTCAATGAATTTATGGTGATATTGTTCGCACTCTCTTAACCTTCATAAAACCCAAATTAATTGCGCGACGAATGTTTTTTGTTTTGAGTTGGGAGGCTTTCTTCTCTTTTCTCGTCGACTGATTAGACTCTTCTCGACTTCAGAAGCCCCCACTTTGAGCGGAATTCTTTTTATTGTTCATTCCCCTGATTTTTCTGCCTTTTTTTGATTCATCCAAACAAAAAAGTTTTTTCTTTTAGATATTCAGAACATAAGGGATATTCAAATATTGCGAGCCCGGGCTGGACTAGCCTTGTTCTTCAAATTAATCTTGGCGTAGACGCCGCTCCTTCAATCGGCTGGATTGGGGTAGGAGTGGGGATGAGTAAGATGCGGCTTTCTCGATTGCGCAAGGTCAGTCGATTGGATGGCCAAGATTTTCATCGATTGAAACGAGAATGCCTGAAGGGACAACATTTATTTGTTGATCCAGAATTCCCTCCGACGAACGTTTCCTTATTTTTGGATCGAAATCGGAGTGCTGACATTGTTTGGAAGAGGCCGAGTGTAAGCTTTTAACAGTTTTTAATGTACTTGAAGTCTTCTTTAATTTTTTTCACAATCCAAGACCTTTTTTAGTATAATTTATTCTGATTTTATTGTTTGTTTGATTCTGCAAACAAATGACTCTTTTATTGAGTAATATGTTTGTAAAATGAATCTGCAGAATTTCCTTTCAACTTTCTAGGCCCCATGTTTAATATTTTGTTATTCAGACATAAATGTTTTTCTTTTTTCGCAAGAATCTGAATTCTTATTCCTTGACTTAAAGGTCATTGACATCAGTTTTTACTATTACTAATCGTGTATAACATTTTAATGTCTGTTATACGTTATCCAATTTTATCCCGCTGTCAAGGAACGACTTCCTAATTTCGTCATTGTTGCGCAATATTGCAAAATTGCAAGAATTTTGAGTCATCTTTTCCGCGTTCAGACTTTTCGGGTCGATGACAGTTTGGGTCAACACGAAATCGATCAGGATAAGACTTACAAGGGATCGGCAAAAGCGCGCACCCTGGTTTTTTCTTGAAACATGTACCATTTGAAAGAGCGTAAAAAACTGGTCTAGGATCACCTTTTATTAGCTGCTATTTTTTCTCTACGCCTTCGCTAGCGAGCATTCTTTAGTTCTAGGCTTATCTCACCCTTTTTCCGAGCAAACAAATCCGAACGATTTCCAAAGCACAGCGCAGCAGTGCTTCGGTGGCCTAGTGGGGTAAGGCGCTGAACGAGGCGAACCTGCGAACCGGGTTCGAAACCTCTTTTGATTTTTTTGATTTTCTTTATATTGCAAATCAAATATGGCCTGGAAATAGTGTTTGAGTGTCGTGTAGACATTTGTGGTATTTGTGGTATAATCGGAGTAGTTTTTTTAAGAAAAAACAGAGATTTTTTAAATTCTTTCAAATTTGTAGTACTTGCCCTTGAAGTGGGTATCTTCTATGGCTGGAACTTTCAACGACTTTCAGATTTTTACGAATTAAGCCCAGTAACGGAAAGTACGTGAAAATTGAGTCTGAAAACGGTTTACATGTTTTCTACCCGCTATGTTGCATTGGGTTACACGACCTAAAAGATCGCGTGATCACACATTGTGAACATGGACTTGGGTATCTCAAGGTCGGAAAAAAGTGTGTATTCTTTGGCATAGGGTGAAGCGTTGGACGTCATAGGTACGTATGGGACATATGAAAAGTAATTATTGAATCTTTTTAGCCGTTCAGAAGCAAAGAGTCGTGAAATCCAACCGGGATTTTTAAAAAATGCTCGCTAGCTAGGGCGTAGAGCAAAAATAGCAGCTAATAAAAGGTGATCCTAGACCAGTTTTTTACGCTCTTTCAAATGGTATATGTTTCAAGAAAAAACCAGGATGCGCGCTTTTGCCGATCCCTTGTTAGGTAGAGACCCAGAGCAAGGTCAAGAGGTGCCTTGGCGAAGCCGCTGGAACCTTTACGGACTCTCGGCGAAGGCTCGGCGGAGGCTTGGCGAAGACAATGTATGACCACCTTTTCTATTGTTAACCTTGGTTTTCATGCCCTTGAAATATTGCATAACGTATATATAAAAGGCCAAAACTTGCTCCAAAAACTAAGATCCGTAAATTTTACCTGGATATTATTGCAGTAACACCTGTGAAATACCTCAAAATAGATGATAAACTGTCCAGGGCCTGATAAATTTATTTATGTTAACTAATCCTTCTCCTGGTCTCCCTCGTGCATATAACGACCGGTATAGGCATCCCAAACTATCACCGATTCGAACTGTCGTTAACCCAAAAACTCGTGGCGTCATCTTTTTTTTGTGATAAATACTTGTTGCATAAATTTTATTAAATGTTGTTATAGTTGTTACGCAGTTTGATTTTTGCTGCTTCAGTTTTTCTGCTGGCTTTTGTATAAAAATAGAGACAACTTCATCCTTTTTGCAGCCAATTAATTGTAATCGAATTTGAGTACTCTTGAACTCTAGTCGGTCTTCGGAACCAGTTCTGAATCATCCAAAGTAATAGTTTTTTTATGATTTAGGAGTTATGTGACAACCCACGCCTTTTCGTGGAAGGGGCCAGTCCGAATGACGTCACTCAAGGAATCCTCGGAAACTGTTGGTTTGTCTCCGCTTGCTCTGCATTGACTCACAATGAAGCATTGTTAGAGAAGGCAAGTTGAACACACAATTTAAAAACTATATGATGTCGTCCAAACCACGGTTAAAAAGCATTATGACACCTTTAAATCTGGATGATTGTAAAATACCTTATTCTTAGGTAATCCCTGACGCCAATGGCCAAGAATGGGGTCCAAATTACAGTGGGATCTTTCTCTTCCAGTTCTGGAGATTCGGAGAGTGGATTCAAGTAGTTATCGATGATCTTTTACCCACCAAAGACGGGAAGTTGTTATTCGCGCGGTCTAAAACTCCAAACGAATTCTGGAGTGCACTTCTGGAAAAGGCATTCGCAAAGTAAGTGAAGTCGTGGTATTACATTTACAGTTAATTGAAGTTTTGTTTATGATCGTAATTCTTTAGGCTTTATGGGTGTTATGAGAATTTGGTGGGCGGCCAGTTGGCCGATGCCCTGCAAGATGTTTCCGGAGGTGTTGCCGAAACAATTAATGTCAAGAAATATTTCCACGAAGAACAGAAAAGCACACCAACAGATCTTTTTCGATTACTGAGGACGGCCTTTGACCAACAAGCGTTAATCGTGGCCGCGATCGCGGTAAGCCGCGATTAGTTTAGAGGTGGCAATCGGGCTGGCCCGGCGCTTTTGCAAATCTGTTCAGAGACTGCCTGGCCCGCTAAAATGGGTCGGATAAAGACGTTTGCACTTTTTTTCGGACGTCTGGAATAGCCGTAAAGGTAGCTAAAATCAAAACGTTGGATCGCGTCGGCTTTTTTCCTATAGGTTTATACCGCTATATGACTCTATGTTTACAGTAATCACAAATTGCATCAACGCTTTTATTTACATCGCGTCATCAAATTACAGTCAATTCTTTCAGTTTACTATACAATCTAAAAATGCAAAGATTTTTACCCGACCCTTACATATCAGCCCGTCGGAAAGATAGTGACGGGTCGTCGCAGCAAAATTTTTCGCCTCGCCGAAACGAGGCCCGATTGTCTCCTCTACCTTAGCTAACGATCTTGAACATCCTTCAAGAAACATTCAGTTTTGTTTTAGGCCAAGTCAAAAGAAGACATCGAAACGAGTTTACATTGCGGTCTAGTGGTTGGTCATGCCTATGCAGTAACTGCTGTTCGTTATATCCAACTTGACACAGCCAGTCCCTCCAATTCTGAAGAATTCGACCATTCCACAGCCAGTCGAATCTTCTCAACTCCCCTCCGAAAAATGATGATCCGACTTCAGAACCCGTGGGGTGAAAAAGAATGGAATGGGCCATGGTCTGATGATTCTCCGGAATGGGAACAAGTAGGTGGCTGTTGGGAATTGTATTGTTTCTTTAGGTAAGCAGTGCCCATAAGGCCGAATTGGGGATTACGGTAGACGAAGATGGAGAATTTTGGATGCCGTGGGATGAATTCATCAGATATTTTACCGATATCAGTGTCTGTCAGCTGTTTAATACAAGTGCGGCCAAGAAATCGAAAGCTTTTCAACTCAGATATCATGAATTCGTCGCTTTCGATCGATGGACAACCAATAATGTAAAGCTGGGGGCACCGAATGATCGGGCTGGGGGATGTGCCAACTTTCCAGGAACATTCTGTCTGAATCCACAATATTGTTTTGACATTAAACACGCACAGGAATTGATGCTGGCATTGACCCAGAAGGAAGTGCCACCAGTCACTGGCAAGCAAAGGGAACCCTTTATCACCATCGGAATGCATGTGATGAGAGTGGAGTGCAATCGGAAGTATAGGATACATCAGGTTGGCCTTTATTGTTCTATTTTTTATGACTATTTGAAGGCGATAGATCCAGTGGGGACATCTGATTATGTGGGGAGTAGATCTGTCTACCTGCATTTGAAAGGAATGATTCCTGGGAGATATATTGTTATTCCGACCACATATGCACCTCGAGAACAGACGGAATTTATGCTGAGGATATACAGTAATGAGAATCTGAGGCCTCGACTTCTCGATGATGATTTTCCTATATTTGGTAAGCATACAAGGATGAAGAAATAAGTCCGATTTTGGGATTCTGAAAAAGACTCTAAATGAAAGCGCTTTTCTTTTATTGCTTTCCAAGCTTTCCAAAACTCTATCAAAAAATTTTTTTTATTTTGCTTGTCGAACATGGTTTTTATAGATAGATAAGGTGGAAACTAACTGAATCGGATATTTTTAGCCAGTCCGAGTTAATTAACCTCTCTCATTTTACATCAAAAATCTTGTTTATTCGCATGAGAAGTTGCTTCGCGAAACGCTAATTTTAGGTGCTTCGGGTATACCCACGGGGTGAAAATACCCGAATTTTCCGAACCCTAACGAAAACTCGCTAAGTACGTTAAAGAACGAAAAAAATCGGAGTGCACCTTTTTGATCGCAACCGTGCGCGAAATTGACAATAAGTAGGTGCGAAAATTGGTTTCCCGAACTTTTATAAATCACCGTGTTTATACGTACTTCATCAAATCATTAACAAAATTCGTTGATCACAATTTATTGTTCGGATTGTTTAGAGATGTTTGGAATTCGTGCCTGCAATCAGCCTAAGACCGTCTCACGAATCAAAATCTACGACCTCCAGATCCGTCTGGACAGCCCCAAACATGTCAGTATTGTAATTACTCATGAAGGCCAACGCCATCAATCTCCGCTTCACTTTGTGGACAAAGAGACCATCTCAATCGACGAGTCCTTCATTCTCCATTCCAAATTTGTTTGTCAGAAGATCTCTGCAGAAGTGTGGACCTTGAGTAAAAAGGGAATCCTCAAATGTTTTGCCCGATCTTCACTTCAGATCAAGTTGGACAACGACTCTTCAGAAGAGATTCTGGATGTGAAGAAGGTGAAGGGAATGGGGAATGACATTATCGGCAGAATCAGCTTAAAGATCTCCTCTTTCGACGATCCATATTATCTGTGAGGATCGTTTACGGGTGTTACAAGAACTTTTAATATTTGAAATAATAAAACTTGAACATGGTACAGCGTCTTTTGGTTATCTCAGATGATTTTGTTGATTGTTTTGGATAAATTTTAGTGTAACATTACCAGAAGTCTTTCTTATCAGCAAAATCAGATAAAGAAATATTTAAAATGGGATTAAAAATATTACTTCTGTCTACAATAAACTTTCAGCCATTTCTTAGATTTTTAACAGACTTGTCTCTTCATTTCTGGAATAATTATCGCCCTGTGATTGTAAGTCTACTGATAATTCACAAAATTGGACTTATCTATCTCTTATCAGTTGCGGACATTATAAGGAAAAACTAATGAAGATGCATTTAGTTGAAAGAAAAATGGCGTTAACTGTTTGGGCCGTTCTTTTCTTAGCTTTATTCAGCTCCGCCAACGGATTCAGGGACGATTCAAATGAATATTTTGCTGATTCAACTGAAGAAAGTTACGGGGGAGAAGAGCAAGTGTATAAGAGGTTTCTGAAGAGCGTAAGTCTTCAGATTTTAGCAATAAACAATGAATATTGATTTAGAAAGTAAGGCTGGAGACCGCCTCAACAGAAGGCCGAGATACTTACTACACTTACAAATCTATCTGCTACGTCGATGGAGTCCCCCAAATCGTTGACGGATTTGATTGCCGGAATCAAGTAGCCTCAGGGCGCCATCAAAATTCTATCAATGCCTCGGGCTGGTCTTATCTAGAAATCGAGACCTTCAATTCGGCCGATCCGGATGTTCAAGCGTATGCCGCGGGCGTTCTTGAGGGAGTCTTGGGACGAACCGTGCTGGAATATGCTCTTCAGAATACAATGTACACGTACTGCGATGGCTTCAGCCAATATTGCGAGAGACTGAACAAGTATCTGAATGCAAACTTGGCCTATATCAAAGAGAAGATTGAGAGTGCCCCGAAGGATGATCTTTACTGGCAGAGTGTTAAACGAGTCATGTTACAGCTGAGTGGAGTCTGGGATGGGTTCAAGGGAAGAAAGTTTGATCCCAAGATCAACTACAAAGTTACTCCCGTTTAGTAAGTTAAAAAAAATGAAAATATGAGAGCACTTGCTATTCATAAATTTATTTTAGCCTAATCAACATCAACGGAGAACTTTATGATCTGGAAAAGAAGTTCAACAAGACCAAGGATCCCGTTAATGCTCTCGAGGGAGAGAAATGCTCCGGATTTGTGAAGATTACACCCAACAACGAAGATATCTTAATCTCTCAGGTCACAATGAGTGGATTCCAAAATCTTCTCAGAGTTCTGAAGATGTACAAGTTTGGATATCGTGAGTAATGTTGCATAAAATAAATAGTATTTACAGAGAAATACAACTATCCCGGACACACCACGACTTTCTCGAGCTACCCTGGGATGCTCTATTCCTCCGATGACTTTGCTTTAACCAGTGCTGGATTAGTAAGTAATAAAAATGCAAAAACAGCATCTTCAGGCTGTAATTGAGACTACTGTAAGCATCTTCAACACCAAAGTTTTGGATGCCGTGAAGCCAGAAGGACAACTTCACACCTGGATCAGAGCGATTATCGCCAATCAATTGGCCAGAACTGGTCGGGAATGGTGCAAAGTCTTTGCGAGACACAACTCGGGTACCTACAACAACCAATGGGTTGTGCTGGATTACAAATTATTTACTCCAAAGAAGGAATTACCGGAATTTGGATTACTTTATGTCTTAGAACAAATGCCGTGAGTTTAAAATATTATATAAGGCTTCTGCGTTAGTAATCCAATCGTATAGAAAGCGCCGAATTTTGACTGTAAGAAAAGTCGCGTTACGTAATATTGTGCAACAACTTCTAACAGTCAGGATCTTTGCGATTGGTCGAATTACTAACGCACATGCCTTATATGACAAAAGTGAAATATCTTATATTATTTAGGGGAAACATTGTCTACGCTGACGAGACCGAATATTTGAAGAGAAATACTTACTTTGCTTCTTACAATCTCCCATTCTATGAGTCTACCGCCAAATTGAGTGGCTTTGATATTAAAGGGCCTGAATTCTACTGGTTTAATTGGACTGATTGCCCCAGGGCAAACATCTTCAGAAGAGATCACTCAAAGGTTGTTGATCTAGACACGTTGACAACCCTGATGAGGTATAATGATTACACTCACGAACCTTTCAGTCGGTGCAACTGCACTCCACCGTACACTGCCGAAGCTGGTAAGTGAATTTAAAATCTTTACGAAGATGTTGTTGATGTTATGTAACTTTATATGAATGCTATTCTTCCAGCCATTTCTGCTCGCGGTGATCTGAACCCAGCCAACGGGACCTTTCCGATCCCCGGAATGGGCCATGTTAATCACGGTGCTCTTGATTACAAAGGCACCAATTACCAGCTGTTCCAACAACTCAGATTCAGAGCTTGGGGTGGTCCCACTTATGGAAATGTCCCTCCCTTCCAATGGAGCAAATCAGATTTGGTAAGGAGTTTATTTTATTCACAACTATCTATTCAGGCCAAGACAGTAAAGCATATTGGACATCCAGATCTGTGGAAATTCACTCTAGTAGAACACAAATGGGAAACGTTCGATGTGAAAGTTGAACTCTGATGACCCACAAGCAATCGTTATCTTACTTGTTATGTTTCTGACATTAAATTTACAATTTGATGAGCATCCGACCTTATTTTAGGGCTTGACTTATGGTTTGAGCTTTCCTCAGAATTTCAAAAGAGTCTCTGTTCAGTTCCAATTTCTGTAGTTTATCCACTGATTCGAATACAACATTCCCAAAAGCTTCTCTAAAAACTATATTTTCTTCTCATTCATGTTACTTACAAACCACTAGGAGAGATGATTCCAGCAATAATCGAAAACAAAAATCTCCTGAAAATCCTGAAAGTTGGTTGGCAAGGCTCATCAGAATCGTATAAAACTGCACTGTATCTAATACACGAAGGTTGGATTTGATCTTGTATGAGATCGAGGACCTTCGAGAATGACCTCACATATTGTTTTATATCGGATCCGACAAAAGCTAAGCGCACGGGCTCTATCTGATAGTAAAGATGTCCCGTAAAGAGTCGATTCTCAGCTTCAAACCAAACAACCATGGAATCTGGAGTAATCCCGGGAGTGTGGATTACTGTAAGATACAAGTCATCATTCAAGTAAATCCGTTCATTGTCGTCCAACCACCTGGTTATTCGATAGTTCTTCACCTCCCATTGAGCATTTGTTTTCGTCTCGGAATACTTTTTGTTGGCCGATGAAGCACACAGATCCTCGATTTTATGACTTTTTCCCATTTTTCCAACGGCCGAAAATAAATGATTGGCTCCAGTCTAATAAAATTATGTCTTAAGTTGGGAGAAATTACCTGATGAGCAAGATTCGCAGTGTTGAGAACCAAAATACTACCATCCTTAACCTGAGTTTGCTCTCTTACGAATGTTAGCAGGTCTCCAGAGCCTGCTCCGGTATCAATTAAAACACCTGCAAATTCATTTTGTTGTGCAACACTAGCAAGGAAAGCTCCCTTATGGGCACTAATGTGTTGACAAACGACTAATGCCATTTTTTAGAGCAGGTCCAGTCTGTTATCTACCGGAGTTGGACGATTGGGGAAAAAGACGATTGGGGAAAAGTACGATTGGGGAAACCGAAAAGTATTATTTTTCTTCCATGCAAATGTCGAAGTTAGGATATAATCGAGGGTGCTCATTTCGAAAATGACATTCATTTTTTTGATTCTTACTTTTTTCCTTAAGTAGTACTGTAAAGTAGTAATTTTTCATTTTTTTTCATAAATATTAGGTTGATTCAAAAGTTTTTCCACATTTTTTTGAGACACCTCAAAATAAAATTCCTGGAGCCTGATTGAATGTACGTTAAAACTGAAAGCATAGATGTATGGGGCAGAACATTGCAAAATTTTTGATTCGTAGCATTTTATTTTATACAAGCTTCCTTTCAGAATATTTCAAAAATACTAAAAATTTCTCCGTTTGTGTCATGGTGAATATCCCGGGCCCTAGCAATTTTCCAGCCCACTAAAAAGTCTCGGGTTTTGGGTTATTCGTACTGGGGATGGCTGTAGTTTCTTCTGAATTTATTGCTCTACTTATATCTACACTGACGTTTTTTGTAGCATCCCATAAAGTTGGCCGGAGAGCCGAGCTACCGATCAAAAGCAGATTTTTAAAAATTTTTTGAAAGGAGTTAGATTTTTTTGACTCGGCTGCCATTCAGGTTGTACAAAGACAGTATGCGGATGATACATTCAAAAAGTCACCAACTGAAATTGCCTTATAAGGTAGAAAAGTATCATAAACTGCACTTTTAGGCGAATTTTTGTAATTTTTTTACTGGTATTTCAAGAGGACCTTCAGCTTAGCGCGTCTAGCAACTGATAGTGTATGTCAAGTAGGATCAATTATTTATTAAATAACTAGGATACCGGGCAAGAGTAATGAACAGAAAACGTTTTTGTAAAAATCCCCTAAATTTCGTAAAATATTGGTAGATTAAAAAGATTCGATTTTTCTGCCGCATAGGTAAAGCTAGCGCGAATGTTTAGCATTGGCGTTGTAGTGCTACTCATACACTACAATAACAGAAAGCGTTATCTCTTAGTGCTTCTAATAGCTGCGTCTACAGGGTCTACTTTTGCCAGACCCTAATTTTTGATTTTTCGCACTAAAAATTTTTCGACTAGCCCTATAGCAAATTGTCCTCGATGCCATAGAGATTACATACAGGCATACCATATTCGAGAATATTAAGAAGATACAGCCACTCTAGACGTAACGCCGGCGGTTTACTTTTTCTTCCTTCGAGTAGTTAAGGTTTAACACGGCGCTACTACTACAAATTGCTAAGTTGTAAAAAGTTATTAATCTACTATAATCTACAAACAGCCTTCTTTCTAACAAGATATATATCAGGCCCACTGGCTTTGGTCTAAATTTTTTAAAATTTTTTAAAGACATGTGGAAAAACTTTTGAATCAACCTAATACTCGATATAGTGGTTTTCGAGGGTGCTGATTTCGAAAATGATGTTCATTTTTTCTGAAACTTACTAGTTTTCCTTAAGCAGTAGTGTTAAAAAGTAATTTTTTGAAATTTTTAAAAAAATACTCGATTTAGGGGTTTTCGAGGGTGCTGATTTCGAAAATCATGTTCATTTTTCCTCTAGTACTATATAGTACTATTCTGATACTATATAGTACGAGGTCAAAATATGGCTTTTGACGTTAATGGTGTTGTTTTGATGCTTAGTACTCTTCAAAAACACGTTTTAAAGACTTGGTGCTATATAGTACTGTCTGATACTATGTAGTACGAAGTAAAAATAGGCGTACTAAGCACCAGAACAACACCACGAACGCCTAAAGGCCAACTTTACACCTCGTACTACATAGTATCAGGTAGTACTATATAGCACCAAGTCTTTAAAACGTGTTTTTGAAGAGTACTAAGCATCAAAACAACACCATTAACGTCAAAAGCCATATTTTGACCTCGTACTATATAGTATCAGAATAGTACTATATAGTACTAGAGGAAAAAATGAACATGATTTTCGAAACCAGCACCTTCGAAATCCCCTAAATCCAGTATTTTTCGAAAATTTTTAAAAAATTAGTACTTAACAGTACTACTTAAGGAAAACTAGTAATGTTCAGAAAAAATAAACCCGATATTCGAAATGAGCACCCTCGATTATCCTAACTTCGACATTTGCATGGAAGAAAAATAATACTTTTCGGTTTCCCCAATCGTACTTTTCCCCAATCGTCTTTTTCCCCAATCGTCCCTTTCCCCAATCGTCTTTTTCCCCAATCGTCCCAGTTCCGTTATCTACAATACCTACAAAAATTTTTACCGATCTGGCCCTTCAAGGGAGCCAAACCCTTTCTTACACCCGTTTTGGTGACCTTTAGGCATTCACCGTTTTTACCACATCAGTGTCCATAAAGAAAGTTCGCTTCTAAGAAGTCCCTACTTCTTTTTTCCCCATAAATCAGATAGATAAAAGGGTTTACATCCCAATTTTCATTCTCTCTGATCCAATAAACCCTCCGAGACAACGGAATAATATTATAGACATCAGAACCCATCTCTTTTCGAGTCTTTGTTCGTCTGCGCATAAGGAAAGGGGAAGATGCCATTCTTTATTTATTGCCGTATTTACATCTCCTAATAAATAATTAATCTATTTCTCGTCTTCGTCATCCTTTTTAAGAGTCGATTCGAGTCTCCTGGCTGTCTCGCTACCATAACTTCGGACTTGATCCCATTCTGAAGACTGGATGATTTCCGGATTCGAAGAAATCTGAAATTGAGTGTTCAGGGGAAATGATCACTGCTGAGGTTTTCAGGACTCATAGAAGACCCAGGTGCCAAGCCCAAAAAAACAATTGCTCATTTTATTCAGCCTCTTATTTTCTTGCACAGTTCAGGCAAAATAAAATTTGCACAGCGCAAAAAGATTTAAAAGTTTTTCAAAAGGCCCGATTCCCCCATTTTTTCTTACGACGAAACCAGTACGGCTTACCATATCCACACAACTCATCTTTAGACTGTAAAGTTGATAGATCTCCGCATAGACGAGATACAAACAAACATTGTCCTTGCGCAATCGATCGATCCACTGTTGTTCACACAGTAACTGAATCGGGTTTGAAATGAAAGTAAAAGCAATACCTGCAATGAATCCAATGCATATTTATCTGCCAGTTCTGTGCATTCAAGTAAAACATCTTCCGGAAGTTTCTCGGAGACCTCTTCAATGTTATATAATTGGGTTATCTCTTTGTCCAACGTTTCCAATTCCCCCGTATAACACCATTGAAGCATCAATAGAACAGAATACAATCCATAGTCTTCAATGATTAATGTGGAGCTCTGATTCTCGCGAGTAAATTCGTAACCAAACATTGATCTAAAAGTACTCTAAAATAAGATGAGAAATTACCGAAATACAACAGCGTGAGCCGATAAAACAGATTTGTGGGCCTTGATGACGACATCCCCGCAGCAAACGTCGAGATCACAATGTAATTGCCTTGTGAACATCTCTAGATTCCTTTTGGAGAACAGATTCATATACATTAATCGGTCGGCAATGTCCTTCTGTTCGGATGACATAAAAAATTCATGGCTGCATCCCTCCAAGGGATCATCTTGGAATTGCTCTTCTTCATTAATGGCACCTACAACCAAACATTTGCACAAATTCAATTTTTGAAATAAAAAATATATTTGAACAGATGACGATAAAGATGTTCACACTGGGTATACACATAATATAATATATATATCAAGTCAAAAAGTATCTCGGAGCAAACAAAACAAAGTACGAATGCAGGCGTCTATAACCTAAGGTCAAAAAAACCTATTATGTTTTTAAGTGATACTAAATGATTTTTAATTTTTTTTATTAGTTAAGTGCTTGAGTTAGAGGTTTTGATGGTGCTAAATTTCAAAAATCATGTTTGTTTCTGACCTTTGTGGAATATTTTACCGTAAGTGGGAAGAAAAATTTTGTGCTCTCGAAGAATTGTGTATGTTCTAAGCCGTGCGTTAAAAGACTTATTTCTCGCCTCGGCGGGGGCATTTGATGTATTTTTTGAAAATTACACCCCGTTAAATAGCTACGGATGAGATTAGGGTTGACACATCTGTATTTCCGTTAGTCCGGTCACCCGAATCCGTATTTATGCACTTACACACCTTGTTCAACGTGATGATTCTGATACTCTTCTGGTCTTAAATGTTGTATCTTCACCTGTACAATGAACCAATTTCTTCTCGGATTGACTGGCAGCGAGATGGCCGGGGACATGTATTCTTCGAGCATCTCCGTTACTCTCATCACTGCATGTCGATTGATCCCGGTTTCCAATTGGGCATCTCCATTCACTATAGAATACTCGTATCTGACTCGTCCTTTCCCTGTTCTTTTCCTACCTGATCTCTCCATAATGGGTAATCATGTTTCGGCATAAATAAAACATGACGGAATGCCCGAGGGGAACAGCCCGAATCCACCATAAAATGTTGGGGTCTGTGTCGTCTTCGGTCTCCAAACTTCGACGCACCGATCTTGTTTCCACATGCTCAAACTAAAGACGGGACAATAAGTAACATCTGGGGAAATTTACGGGCAAAACCGAAGTGTAATGGTAACTAAGAACTCAGACCAATATGAATGAATTCATACAAAACTTGTTACAAACACAGTACTAAAAAAAGTGCTCCCAAAATCCTACCGTTACATCAAATCGGAACACTGACGGAGGGTCAGCCATCTACTCCTGATCTTTCATTTCCCGCACTCTTCCCCGTCCCGATAAAACGGGAGAGAAAAGAGCGATCGAGAATAGAAAATTGTTTTTGAGCTTGACAGAGGGTACACAAAAAAAACTTTCTGGACACGTGAATTATATGTTTTAGTTATGATTAAATTCCAAACATAACGATATTGTTTTATTTTTTATATACATTGTACTCACAACAAAGACGGCATATAAAACCATTAAAAAACTAAGATTCTTGAAAGTACGAAAGAGACGGACTTTATTGGGTATATCTTGCTTATTGTAAAGGTGAAGCGTAAAGAGATAAGTCTGTACAACTATAATACATGACTGAGGCAGGAGGTGACATTAAATGTCATCAAAAAATTAGTAAACGGAAGATATTACAACATGTTGCAACAGATAAGATTTCGGTCGTACCAGCAATTTGAACAAAAAAGAAGAAGAAAAAGGCCATTGATTCGATTAATTATGCTACTCGATCTTTTAGGAGAGTATACCCGAAAGTGCATTATTCGATATCAGACCTTAGGGAGACTAGACGAAGGTCATGCGGGTTGATGGATCTCTACTTCCACTTGCTGCACGTGAGGTTGGACCTAAACATGGAAGATTCAAAAGAAGATGTTCTTACCTCAACCGACACCGGAATAATTTGATTTATATTATCTGTAGAAATATGATCAAGATTAACCAATCCTGGAGGCTCAGCTTCTGATATAGACTCTACCTGGAAAGAATCAATGAAGCACATAGTTCAGTCACTCAATTACCACCTACCTCAACTTCCGTGACGGTGGTCGAGATTGTATCGTCATTATCAAGTCTACTATGAGGATTATCACCATTACGGCCAATGCTCGACCTGAAGCTTTGCCATTTCCTTCCCATCGCTGCTCTAATCCGCGACCCAACTGATAGATCTTCCTCTTCATGAGGAACTTCTTGGACAGCACGAGAAGTGCTCGGTTGATCCGGGTCATCATGTGTATTGGTAGAAGAACGGAACCAGCTGAACCCGCGGAACGTGCGGGGCTGGGACGAACGCCCTAAAAAATTGGCGCTAGAATCTGTGGTCCGAGGCTGCTGACTTTGAATGAGAGGATCTTCTTCTCGTGTAGTGATGGTACTTGAAGACTGAGCTGTTCTCTCCGTGTCCGAATCAGAATCCGATCCAGTAGAAGGTCCGACTTTACGCTTGCAAATCGGGCAGACTTTTCGATTCTTGGTGAGCCAGGGATCAATACATTTACAATGATATGCTAAACAAAAAATATAAACAATTATAAAAAAGGCGTACCATGTCTGCAAGGCAATACACGAACTTTCTCGTCTTCCTGGAAGTCATCCAAACAAATAGCACATGTCTCGGCCCAATCTCCCTTCTTGAATTTCTTGACCGGAATTTTCTTTAGATTGGATCTGGAAAGTCGCTTGCGAGCTAACCTTCTCCTTTCTCGACAAAGCCGTATTACCTAAAAACAGATAAAAAACTCGTTTCAAAAAAAAACAAACTTACAAGTGATACAAATAAAACAACAAAGCAGAACCCGACGATAACTACAAAGGGGACTAAATACTTGATTAAATCGTAATATCCAGGGGATGGCTTGATTGTTACCAGGTACCTAAAACATATAGCATTCTTACATATAATTTACTTCTAAGTACTACGATTTTTCAAAGTGACCCACCCGTGTTCGACTCCGTATTGCCCCAAAATATTAACCATACATTTATAATTCACCATCACCAATGGAATCTTCACGTCCCCCGCGTGTTCAGCTCCTGACATTGGAACCGGACTCTTATGGGGTGCAGTGTAGATGATCAAAGCGTCATAACCAACTGGAGTTGCATTCTGAACATTGTATGCTTTGACCGAGAAACTACAATTCCCTTGCGGGACAACAGCAAAGTATGAATCACAAAGTTCAGTGGTGTTTATCTTCGGAAACTGAAATGAACAGGTTATGACATTCATAAAAGCCACGAATCTAAACGCGGAAGAAGCAAAGCGTGAATTATCTTACCTTAGAAGGTTCACATGCATATTTTGGGTCAACAGGAATGGCGCATCCGACAGCCTTATTGCTGAATGTAAAGTCAATCACATCCATCCCAAAGTTGGCACCGGTGGCCTCACATCTCATAACCGGTCTCTGACTCCCGAAAGCGGTCTGTTCCAACTTAAAGAATTAAGTAATTGAAAAAAAGCTTAATTCAAACAGCCTAAATGATGCCTTTAAACTTACCACCTCAACTAAGAATTGAGCATTTGTAGCAGAAAAAAGAAGCACAACATAGATAAAGACTGAGTGCATCATGAGGGTATTTAGGGCCTTCAAGGCAGTGCGAAGCGCTTCATAAGCGCGGTAAAATACCTGAAATAAATAATAATGTAGAAAGAGAAGGGAAAGGATCTTCTCAACTTCGAACGCCAATTGATATCAAACGAAAGGACGAAGAGCGATAAACGCCGAAGAGAAATCGACTCGAAAACAATTAAATTAAGGTGGAATTAAACAAATTTACATGACTCATTACACTTGAATTGGCGTTGCAAATCAATTACCCAAACCGACTATTCAGATCATATGTTATGGCGGTTACTCGGCTAGAAAGAAACTTTCCGAACGTCGATCGAGATAAACAACGGAAAATAATCGTTCTAAGACCAAAAAAATTTATTGAGATGAACCGTCAAACGTCAGACGGGAGGCTGAGACGAAATGCCAAAATCTAGCCTGAATGCCAAAAGAGTAATACTTGTATACTCTTCACAGAAACAAAATAGTTTCTACTCCATGGAGTAGAAAATGGATCCAGTAAAAATATTGAAACGTTAAATAAATGAACAATAAAAAGATAAAAGTGGTAGCTTAATTCCGCAAAGGAATTTTAATAAAGACAGAATGATTCAAGAACAGTTATGGCCGCAGCCTGCCAGCCATTCCAAATTCGCCATACACCGTTTATCGGATGGGAATTGATAAACAAGAGGAAGGTATCATTGACCTCGTGATTAGAAATTGTGATAAACCGTATTATTTTATGCAAATATTTGAACCAGAAGGATGGCAGGTGTTCGGTAACTGCAACAGTAAGGACCTAAACATCGCACACGAGCAGTTAATGCTTTGTAACTCCGTGGTTCCTGCAGATGAACACTAAAATTCTAATATCAAGAATTCCTCCAGCCAGGTGAATTCCCCAGATAAATATTACGCTTGCCCACGCACTATTTATGCACTTATCTTGCCAATAGTTTATAAACAATTTGGCAATGTTAAAAAAAGATATTAATATCATGCACCAAATGATTTAGCGGAAAGCCGGAACCGTGTGTCGATAAGAGCTCTGATCACGAAGGCAATCGTCGTGGCGTTTGTATTCGAGGATGGCGTGGTTGGGAAGGTTCAGAATACGTCTCATGGTGTCGCGAATCCGATTTGTGACTCCCTGATGATTAGCTGTCTTGTTCCACAACGAGATGATATCTTCCTGATTACGAACGGAACAGACAGCGCCACAGATCTCTTCGCCGACAAGGAATTGCTCACCTAAAACAAGTTAATAGACCATTACTTTAAAAGGTAAACGTTTTAGTAGATGTATACATTTTCTCTTTCGCGATAAATGACTGATAACGGCTCTCTTACCTATCATAGCTAATATAAGGTTCTCCCAGATCCTGGATGAAAGTCCCTTTTTCAGCCTCAGAATCCATTTCCCTCCTTTCCTGTTGGCCGAATCTTCCCAAACTGGTTTAACACCTCTCTTGAACAGATGAAAATCGGCCTTTCGATTGATATCTAAACCAAGAAAAATGAAAAGGAAGATGAACCCTCACCAGACGGCCGTTTAACGTGCTTGTACACCTCCCAGAATTGTTCTACAGAGTTGAAGATCGCAATAGGTTGGACGAAATGTGCATAATCTTCCGGATCAAATTTACCGGTAGGCCTTTGGAAATAAGAGAATGTGTAACTATACTCAAGGGGATGCTCTCCAGAACTTAATGGCCTTTCTACCTAAAAATCGTGTTTAGAAAATCTTTTAGAAAAAGGGATCAAGTAATAAAACACTTACTACGAAAGGCGGGGGATTTCGTCGGATAACCTCGCCTCCCTCCCCGACCTTATCTTTGTTTTCATACTCGGCAAAATCGTCGACCATCGTAAATGAGATCAAAATACAACAACGGGCTCAATATAACAACAATATTCACACAAAATTATCTTGGACAAAAAATATGTTTCTTTACCCGTGGCTTGCAACACAATGCCAAAGCTTGAAGGATACTTGTCCAAGGTGTGATTTCAATTTTTTGATAAGTAATGGTGACAAAACTGGTTACTATAGCTATACTTAATTTTTTTGAGAGTACGTAAAGATGACAATTGTACTATCAGATATTTACATTGCTGATCAAGTGTTATTGACGGATAATATGTCAGAAATTTGGCAAGGGGTATTTTGAGGGGTGAATGAAATTTGATCCCCAATCTGACAGTCCGAACACATCAGTTTCACATAATCTTTAATGTTCTTTTTTGTAGTAATATTTTTCCATATAAGGTTATGATCTCCTCGAATAATCATATTATGATGGTTATTGTTTACGGATGTGGTAATCGAATTGGAGGTCCCTTGGAACAGGGCTTGACCTAATCGGCGCCGGCCTGAGGGGGTTTTGAGGCCCAAGAGTTTTTTCTGTTTTATTTATAACAATGGTGCTAAAGGAAACACTGTCTGTTCGGTGCCGGGCCTGATCTGCAACAAGGCGAGCGTCCAAAGGGAGAATCGCCCACCGGTTAATCGGGCCGATTTAAGTCCTGAGGCCTCACCAAGATCAGGCAGCTGACGGATTTTTCGAGGAAGGATGAGAAAAGGAAGAGACGGCCGTGACGAAGTTTTCAACCCACCGTTCAGAGGACTGGACTGGCTTCTGCGCCTTGTTTTAGAAGCCTATCCCCGGCTGGTCTTTTTCCTTTGACCACTCGTTTTGGGATTAGTTTTTCTATTGTATTTTTGGCCGTATTTTACATTAGTCATCGTCTTCTCAGTTCCCCTTTTTTGAAGGGGATTGGTAACGTCGTCGATGTCCTTATTTATGCCCATTTGAATTTATTTGATTGTTTACCTTAATTACCCTCTTTTATGTCTGCTCGGCCGTTATTTTCACTTGGTCCTCCCTTAAGTTTTATTTCATTTTTATGCCCAGAGTTTCTAAAAAGTGGAGAATTCGCCTTAAATAAATTTGAATGGACTGGTCATAAAATGATGTGGGATTATGCTCATAGTGTTTTTCGAGGGTTATGGGGCTTTTTAAAAATTTATTTAAGAATAATTTAATTGGCAGATTGAGTTGCTCTCTAATATATTATTTTAACCCTTCCACTAATTGGAGTTTATTTTCGCTCGCATTTTCTTCGATTATTCCAATTTCCGGTTTCCATTTTTACGTCACAATGATTTATTTTGTGTGTATTTGTTTAAGATATCATTGGTAGGAGATATGGGGGATATGAGAGATCAAGCGGTCTTTCAGCCGGCCCCATTCTTCTTTGATTGTTGTCAGAGAAGAGCGGCAAATAAGTGGGGAGGTCGAAAGTGCCCAAGGCCGACAATGGCTCTCTCTGTTGGAGCTGATGGAATGAATTGAGGCCCATTTGAAAGCGTCTTTAAACCGATCAGACCAAGAATCATCCATCTTTCAATTATTTTGTCAATTATGGCCTCCGTTTCGTGCCTTATATTTAAAAGTTCTGGTTAACTTTTTTAACAATCTGTTTCCTCATCCTTTCCATGTTTCAAAACCCGGAAATAATAAAGGAAAAAAGTTGCTTTTATCCAAATATTCTGTTATTTCCCGGTTGCCCGTCATAACTATTAGTGATTAGTTATGCTTGACTTCTGGTCTTACAATTCTATCTCTTTGAAGGGCCTTCCTAACGTAATTATGATTAAGTACCTATTTATTTATTTCGAAGATCAATTAGGCGACATTTACAATTAATTTTGGTCATGCCCGTAATATCTTTCGGTAACGAGCGAATAACTGGATCATCATTGAGTTGAAGGGACGTTGGGACAATCAGTCTCGCCTGTCTCCAATAAGTTATCGTTCCACTCACTTTCCAAAGATTTGATGTGATTTTGTTTGTGTAATCTCCCATATTTGCCCGCCTTTTAATGCCAAGTTCAATATTCCGAGGCCAACTTCCCGTCGCTAAGTCGTGATTCGCTCTCTCTCTCAACGCCTTCAATCGGCTTATGTTACATTTTTGGCTTTTATGGAAACTCGAAAGGCCAGAAATATAAAAGCGGCGCTTCTTTCGCCTCCGGCTATGGCATCCGCCTTTATGCCTTTGATTCGGCCGCTCGCGTGTCATTCCCCTTCTGTTGACATATAACTTCTTTTGGTGGCCAAGCAGTAATTGCATTATCCGCGCCTCCCGCCTTCTCGCGGGATCGTCGACTTTCGGTCTGATTTGAATATTTTTAAGGCCGTGTCGGGTAGAAACTTTAATTTTACGAGAAAAGCCCGTTTTCAGTAGAAGGAAAGTGGCCGCCAGAGACCAGATCCGCAGCACAGCGAACTTTATGAGATCTCAACGTTACCGTCTTCTTAACGCCTGCTGAATCGCCTGTCAACGACGACTGCGACGTCGCAGTCGCCGTCACGATAAAATGTTCAACACGGTGAGTAATTGGAGGAGATATATATGATATCCAATATTATTCTCATGCAAGGTTATTTCTTTAGACCTATCCTTGAGGCCTCCATAACTGATAATTATATTCAGGGAAGGACTTATTTTTTGAGCGGGAGCCATGCCCTCGGGGGATTTATTTTTATTCCACAACTTGAATATTTTGACAAAAGTAGTAGGAAGTGTCTCGAGAATGGGGGACATGCCATTGTTGTAATTAAACGACTCTTGATTTAAGGATTCTGATATGAGAGTTGACTGGGGAATTCTCTGAAAACGGAAACTGTTGTAGCGTGTCGAACAAGTGGAAGTGTTGTCCGAAAAAAGTCTAAGAAGATTCGAAGAGTTTTCTGTTTTTGGAGGCCTCGATGAGTAGTGCCGCAATTAGGTGCTTTCGCTTTCAACGCTTTCCCCTTTTACTCTTGGCCATGGTTCCGGCCACTCCTTTTAACAACTTACATCCTCCCTCGGCCCTTGTTGATCGCTCCCATTCCAGGTGGTTAATTAGAAAATGCCCTCGAAGAAACGTCATGGGCCCTACGACATTATTGCCGACGACCTCTACGACTGTCACGTCCCCGTCTACAATGAGCTCGCATATCAGCATGGCATTCACTTCCAAGCCAAGGTGATAGTTTGATCTTATCATAGATTACGATCGTATACGGCCCATATAATAAGTATTGCTTTAGTATATCGGCAGCATGGAGATCCCCCGTCCAGGAACTCGGATCGAGATCGTGGCTGCGATGCGAAGAGTTCGCTTCGAATTCAAAGCTCGAGGAATCAAGAAAAGACCGGTCGAGATCACGGTCAGTGTGGATGGAGTGCGTGTTGTCCTTCAACGGAAGAAGAAACAGCAGAAAGACTCCAGCTGGGACGAGAGTAAACTTCTCGTCATGTTCCATCCCATCTACAGGTCAGTTGGTCTAAAAACATATTTCTTAACAAAATTAATGTCATCATTTTTACACATTTGTTCGTAATTGACGTAATAAAAAATAAATCTTTTTTGCAGGATCTTCTATGTTTCCCACGACTCTCAGGACCTCCAGATCTTCTCATATATTGCCCGAGACGGTGCCTCCAACACATTCAAGTGCAATGTGTTCAAATGCTCCAAAAAGGTATGATCTGATTTGATCTGGTTGTGGGTTCTGTTCTGATCCGGTCCCTCTAAACCGAACCTTTATCAATGGGTTGTGATAAGGGATGGGATAAGACTGGCCGCTTGTTGTCATCACGGCGAAGGAGAGATCGGGAGTCAGCTGCGTTTGTCGTCAAGACGGGTCCACATGCTTGGCTTTTGAAAGCTATACTTTTGTGTTGTTGGGGGCCAAGCAGCCTAGCCGATCTCATGGCCACCGACTTCTTTTTTGGCCGCAAAGGTGTCTCGAACAGCGGCAGATCAGGGGCCAGAGAGTGAATGAAAATAAGAGTGAAGTCGAGGACGGGCAGGAGTATGCCTTTCCCTCTCTCTCTGCTTGGCCAAACTCTTCTCCATTCGGCCTCAATCTCGCTCGTCCTGGAAGCGATTGGCACGGCCGTTTTTACTGAGCGGACTCGATCAAAACCCTTTTTCTTTTTACTTTAATACATCGTGGGATCTGTTTTTGGCAATCCTTGGATTGAACGTGATTCTTCCTCTTAGCTACGGTGTCCTCCGTCAGGTCCTTTTATATCCAGGCCGCTCGCGATTAGCCTCGGTCTGGCGTCTTGTGGATCTGCAGCGCTTCATTTGTTCATGAAGCGACGCCGCACAACATTCATTGAGTAAGGACGCCGTCGCGGTGCAGATGCCGTCGACGGCGCCCACGATCCCGCCTTCACCTCGCGGCGCCTCACCGAACTCGATGAGTCCGACTCAAGGACACCAACATGGTCATCAACAGGGACATCAACTTCCTTCTACGTCTGCACAAGGCCCGCCCTTGATCTCGGTTGAACAAGCATCCCAATCTGCGCCATCGGAAGAGCCGCATTCAGCCCGACTCACTCCAACTCCATCCCCTCAGGGCTCCAGAAGTCATGTTACACCAACTCGTTCACCGAGGACGGGGCGAAGTCATACGGCTTCGTTGCAGCCCGGAGGGTCCAAGACCGGTTCTATGAACACTTTGGGCGATGACCCTCAAACGTTGATGTCGCCCCAACAACGATTCTACTATCTTAGACTTATGGCCAAACCGGGCCGAAAGCCGGAACCCATAAAAATGAAATTTGTTAGATGGACTAATGAAAAGGAAAAGAAAACTAGTGTTGATGACGAAGGATCCCTGGAAGTAAGTGATAAACAGGGTGAAGAGGGTCGGATCAGATCGTTTGTTAATTAATTATGACAATTAATTGCCAATTTAGAGTCAAGCCATGCGAGTTGTGCGGACAATCGGGCAGGCTTTCGAGGTGTGCCATAAGGTTGCGCAAGAGCAGATGCAGGAAAAAACGACGGAAGAGGATACCAGTTCGATCCCTCAGAGAACGAAAGCCAAAGCAGGTTCGTCTCTTTGTTTTATTTATCAGAGAGGCGAGTGCGTCAGGGCGTCAAGCCTGAGTGCCACATACATCATTTTTCCTGGCGCCTCAGAATGCATCCTGACTTTGATTGAACACATTTTGGTCTCCATTTCGACGTAATTAATCCGAATCGCACTTTCAGTCTCCGCTTCGGCCGCCATCTCCGAAGAAGACGATGAAGCCCTCGAGCAAGATCAACGCGAGCAGCGTCATCAACAGGAGGCGGCCGCGATTGCGGCTGCAGCTGCAGCTACAAATGTAGCCGGCACCTCGATTGGGGGACGATCCGGGACTTCATCGCCGGCACAACCTCCTCCTGGTGGTGTTCCCAAAAGACATTCCATTGTAAGTAGAGTACAGAGTGCTGATCAATATCTATTGTAGTATGTTCCACGCAAAGTGAGTTCGGATCTGTCAGCGGTGAGTCAAGGAACGGCGATCGAGATGACCCAGCCTACCGCTAATCCAATTCCGCAACAACAGCCAACACCACAACAACCGGGCCCTTCGCAGCCACAGTCTCAGCCGTAAGTCGATGCAATCCACTACAATCCTTTGTTCAGACATCCGGGTTCACAAACGCTACCCCATTCCCACACTTGGAATCCCCAAATGGGGGCCGCCTTCCCCTCGGTCCAATCGTTGGACGCCCACACTGCCGCTGCATATCCGTTTATTCCGTTGTCCCAGTTAGTCCCTTCTTCTTCGGTTCCTTATGGCCTCAGTAGTCCAGTAATGGTTAGTCCTTACGCAACCTTGCAACTCCCTTCCCAGTTGACCAATCAGCCTCAAGTTAGTCCAGGCACTTCCTCCCTGGCCACGGATACGGCTTTACAATTGACAAGGACGTTGGATCAGGTATGTACTCTTGAAGATCATATGTATACCTTCAGTATTTCCAGTATAATCAACAATTGATGCGATCTCAGTTGGATCAAGCTACACAGTCTGCCCAAGTGGCAAGTTGTCAGGTTCAGTTATTACGGGATACTCTAAATTCAGAGACAACGGCTCGTTTAGAAGCACAAGTAAGTATATTTATCGGATAGATAAGTATTGCATCTGCACGTTATATATTGTCATCACTTTAGTCACGAACACATCAGCTCTTGAATTCCAACAGGGATCTACTGGAACAAGTTCAGAATCTAGTGCATCGATTACAAGACTTAGAAGGAAAGATCACTCGGCAAATAGAGAGTTCCATAGAGCCAGAGCAACTTCATGGAGGCCATCAGACCCAAGCAGGAAGTTCAAGGACCCTTCCTTCAGTCTCTGTGGTCCAACCAAGTATTCCCAGTTCGGAATACGCGACTTACACTCTACCCTCATCATCGGTAGCTCTTCAATATCCATCAAGAAGGGAGCCCAAAGAACCCCATCCTTCCACATCACAACAACGACCATATCAAATTCAGACTCTGGCTGATCTGAGGGCGGGATCTCTGCCACCAGATCGAGATAATGACGGGAATACGAGTGATCAGAGAAGACGGCGAAAGGACGATTCTGGAGCGAGAACGGAACCGGACACCGAAGACACGACCGATTACAGTTCATCGGATCAGTATGAACAAAGTAATGTGAATCGACCGAAAGAAGGGATTCCTGAGTTCCATTACAATCTCCTTCTCTCCAACCCACAGATCATGAATAATATGCCCAGCTTCTTTCACACAGAGCCTCTTCAACACAATCGAAGCTCTTTGACATCAGTTCAGCCGACGGCGATGCCCCAGACAAGTTCCAAGTCGACTCCCAAGATCCATCAACCTGTCTATCATCAGCATAGTCATCCCAAATTGGAGATCCAAGGCAAGACCGAAGAGTTACCAAAAGATCCGAATCGATTGACCAGTCCTAAGGTAAGTTCTTTTTTTTTCAATTTCCAACGAAAGAGGTGTGGACCGAGTCGGACTTCTGAATCTGGTGTGACTCCTGAGTTGAATATCTTTGAGTTGACGACTTACACATGCTTGGCCCCTTAAAAGGATCTTGGTTGTCCACCGTTCTCCCATTACCTCTCTTCGTTTCCGTCTTTGGTTACAAGATTTTAGTTGGGTTTTTGTTTGATTTTAGAGGACGCTGAGGCGGTTCTCGCTTCAATCCCAGCGTCTTCTGGAAGACGACTCGGGGACACCGCCCCGAACCAAAAAACCGACCGCAAGTGGAGTTTTTAAGGAAAAGGAATTCACCCGGATGTCGTTCAACATCGCCCCTCCCAAGAAGCGCGACTCCATCGTACCCGGAAGTGACAATGACCCCTCACATCTCGAAGGTAACGTGCCGGTTCGTGAGACAACAACTTTGTTTACAGTCCGAAGAAGATCACGTGATGATGGCCAAGGAAGACGCAAGTCATTGGCAGTGTCAGCGAAGTCAACCAAGGTCCTAAGTGAGTTCTCCCCAGCCCGGGAGCCTTCTTCCTCTAAGAACAGCACTGGAAGTCCGCAATCAGCTCGGGCCGTGGCTTCTTCTTCCATCGCCACTGCCATGTATCCACCGATCAAAACAAAGCACGGGTTGGGATCGCCGCTAAGCAAGGTGGGTTGAACGTGACCTTTGATAGCGTTATTTACGTCATTTTGGCGTCATCAGGCCAACTGCCAGCCGCCTTCCTTGATTACGTCATAAAACAATGTTGTTTGCAGAAGAAGCAACTGGCGCCACTGTCTGTCGAGGTCAGTGATCCCGAGGACTCGCAGAGCGGATCCCCGCACATGCGGACGGACATGACACCCATGAGGAAAAAAGTCACAGCAGACATCGGGCCTCTGTTGCCGAACAAGACCAACTTGATTAACAACAACAACTACGGGAATGGCAGTCCGGGGTCCAATGCAGTCGATCCGGACTCGGTTAGAGGGTGAGTGATCAGAAGATTGCATTATATAAATTGTCCTTTACTGCATTCTACTGAATGAAATGGTTTCAGAAGAACGATGATGGCCTTCCAACAATTGGATCCCAACCTTTCTTCGCGACAGAAGCGGGATTCAGAAGGAAATCTGCCCAACGGAGTCCTTTGATTTCAATTCTTAAAAACAATTTGCCTCTCTTCTGCATTCCACTTCCTTTTACTTCTTTTTATTCTGAATTTGACAACTTTTATTTCTTGGTTATTCCTTTTGCCTCAGGGCGTTCGTTTTCTCTTTTTTTGAATCTCGGTCTAAGATTTGATTTTCGACTTATCTGAAATAGATTTTGGATGTTTCGCTCTTTCAAGGAATTAAGTTATTTAAAAGTCGTTGATCAATAAAAAAAAACTCAAAAACATGTTGTAGTAGATTGATCCGAAAATGCTGAAAGAAAGAGGATATGCATGTACATGGACGTTTGATTGAAATCGGATACTGGACAGACCCGGAGGGCAAGTTGAGAGGGTAATGTGCAAAGATCAGTTCAACTTCCTCGGGTATTTTGGCCGCAGATAGTATAATCATCTGGACAACAACAACTTTTTTGATCTTTGTATAATATTCGGTCGATATTACAGACGACCACATACCCGGTCTAAAAATATTTATAATATATAAAGATCACATAATATAAACCCTTTCGAGCGAAGTAATAAACGTTGACCCAGGGTAAATACTCAAAGGTGACTTGGTTGTTTACTGTCAGAAGGCCGCCCTTTGTGTTCCGCGCACAGAAAAAGTTTATTTGTTTGACCAAGACGGTCATCAATTGCTGGGGGCGTTCTTCGTACATTTACAAGCCGGCGAGTATATAACCCCGGAATGGGAGTCACGTAATCAGATTTCATCATGCGATCTTTTTTTGTGGCTTCTGTTTTTGTTTTAGGGTTTATTTATGCTGAAGAAACTACTACGGTTAGTGTTACAAGTACTACTGACCAGAGAATAAAGAGGTCAGAAGGTATCACAAAAGTACCGTCAACTACGGAGACTCCTCGAGAGAAGAGGGCGGCTACCACGACTGCTGATCCCCATGCCGCAGAAGAGTACACTGGACCTAACTTACCTTCGACAAAGCCAAAACGATCAGCTGAAACAACTGAAAATCCAACTACAACAACTTCACCACGGGTGAAACGTTCAGAATCTATCGACGTTAAGGAGAAAGATACCGGTCATACAACGCCAGCTCCTCCAAGACCGTCTGGAACAACTTCAAAGGCCAAGAGGGCACTCGGACATGAGCATGGAAGCACAATTGACGCTACTTTCACAACCGAGAAACCAAAAAAGAAGCGAGATGCCCAGACTACGACGAGCGCCCCATCAACAACAACGGCGAGCAAAGCAAAGAGATCCGAGGGAATGTTGGCCGACTGTCCTCACTGCAGCACCACTGCAACTTCATCCCCAAGATTCCGAAGATCCGAAGTAACTGAAACGTCGACAGCTACAGAATCGCCTCACCATAGTCGCGCGACTTCAACTGAATTATTAAACGCCCCTCCCACTACTCCATCCCATCGCGAACGTCGTTCTGAGAAAGAAGTTACGACTACTCAAGAACCTTCCTCTACTCATGAATCTCGGCCTCGGAGATCTGAATCCACTACAGCCACCTCTGAACATGTTCATGAATCCAAACTTCCGAATGCCAGTCCCATTACTGGAGAGCATATCCAGCCACATTTGGATGAGCAGACTACTGCGAGTCCACAATAAAAGTAGCCTGGTTACTGTAAGAAGTAATCTCTACCACGTATCTGTACATTACTGTATAATTGCTGTACTTTTAATGTAAACAAAACATGAAATAAAATAACAATTGTCAATGTCAAGGTTAAGATATAAAGTGAGATACCCGAGATGAGCTAGATCGGAGCGCTCAGGCAGTCAGATCAAGTGTGAAAGATGTATAATATAACATTTGGAGTTCAACTATAGGCTACTGAGTTCTTATCAAAGGGTTCTAAGGGGAACTGTTTTACTCTAAAGTAGGATTATTATTATAAACAGGATGGTTTTGTAAGTTGAAAAAAAGTAACCTTACCTATATTGTTTCATATAAATATTGAGGATGATGGCGGTGAAGACCGTGAAAATTAAGAATAACATCATCATCAACACCCCGAATATCGTCCAGCTCACACATACAGAGCTTCTGGAAGATACCAAGGGCTGAGTTAGTCTGGCCAATTCAGCTGAATCCTCGGTGGAATCGAGAACGTATACATATTGGGAGATGAGGTCAGCACTGACAGTCGGGGCTGTGGGCTCGAACGATCGTTTGGCCGAACGACGCTTCCGATGCTTCTAAAAATTGATTTAAGGATTTATTAGAGAATACTCACCCTTAGCACCGTAATGTCAGTGATATTCTCATCCGCGACCCATTCATCGGATGTCCGATCATCTTGGAAACTGTGATTGGGATCATTTCCACAATTAGGAGGCTAAAGATTTTATAAAAAGCTTTGTAATTTACTTACCGTAACCCCATCACATCCTCCGTTTTCCTTCAAACACAATTTGATCTCACACATAAACCGAACACCCAATTTGTCAGCAAATTTGAAAACATTGGACTCTCTGTAAGCCATATTCAAGGCTTCTGTATAAGTTGGATCACCGAGAACGAGGTCAACATGACATCTACAAGAAATACGTTGTAGTACAGTACTACTGTCTAGTTGATTGGATGATATTTTTTTGTCTAAACCCTACCCACGATCATCGATCACCATCCTTTTTTCGCCTTGTCCATCTTCCACATAGCATTTGTGGACCAACATTCCATACATTTCTGGCAGTAAGCATCTCACTTTACTTCAACCTTACCTGAATTGCACTCCCATCTATGGACCACCTGATCCCCAATATTCGTGTATTTCACTGGTTCCCCATCCAGTTCATCTTTCCTGATACTGTAGGTACATTGAGGCATTGGGGTGTCATTATTTGTCAATTCGGTGGTTGGATCGCTTAAAAGTAACAGTAGAAATATAAATTTAGGGAGTTGAAAGAGCCAGAGGTAAACTGCCATAGAAACGAATTTATTTTTCGAAGTGGGCACGGGAATATTGGGCAGAAAGAGCTTACCTCACTTCCAAATCGGCCGAGACTAGATTCACGGCCTCTTTGTAAAGACAGTTTATGTGGAATGCTCGATCTGCTTTGGTCACAAATAGCTGAAATAATTAATATTCATTACTGAACATGGTAGATCCAACATAAATTGACCATATTTTGCCTACCGGATGGAAGCTGACCATTAAAACTGAACTGAATTTCATCCCTTCAGGCTGAATCTAAAATAAATTTTGAATGACGCAAAAAATAAACATTGCAATTTTTAAAATTGATGATCCTACCGTCCTCTGCCGGTCCATATCACAGGCTCCATGGTGAAGTCGAATACCGTGAAGCGGACTCCCTTCCGTGTTCGTTTGACTGTAGTCTACTCTACAGTCCGGGTTATTGTAATGGCCTTGGACATAAATCTTCCCCGTAAATCTTCGTTTTGTTGTGAATTTCATCTCAATTGTATCCGGATTGCATCGGATTTCAGGAGTCCCTATCAATTCGTTATCCATCTCCGCCATTGCCTTAAAAAGTTAGATGTAATGGCATAAATATTTATCAAAAAATTATTTTTATTATGCCAAAAAACAACTGTAAAAAGCAAAGAAATAAAATAATGGAAAACCAATTATCTGACCTTTTGGCGGATGAGCAAGAAGAGAGTCAACCAGAACCTGATCATGTCATTCGGCGGATCTGAAAGTGAGGAAAAAGTGGAATCTTGAAGAAGAAGATCGGCTCCCGGATTATTGTTTACGGTCGGGGTAATCTGCCTAAGGGCGGGGGAAATGAGTAACGAATATTATGATGTGCCCCACCACCGCCTACCCAACTCCCCTCGACCCCACGACGGCCTAGATTCGAAGAGCCTCGACCGACCCTTTTCGTGGTTGAGTACCCGCGCCGAGTACGTGTGCCGTTTGTCTATGCAAACACGAGACGTGGGAGGGCGAAACCGCGGCATGGGCATGGTATTTGTGATGGCGATCAGGCGGAGAAAAGAAAGGGCCATCGGGATCGACAAAAAAAGGAAAATAACCCGATGACCCCAGATTCAGACTTTCGTGGATAGAAAAAAAATTGGAGGGTCTTAATTTTTGCATAGAGATACAGTAACAAAGGGGCTCTTTGGAAGAACCCCTTCTTGATACTTTGTCGAAAGACTCAGAAAAGTTTTTAAACTGTATTAAAATAAAGATCAGAACTAAAACAACGTTCTCACCAAGTTACAAAACTGACCCTAGAGTTAATGACCCAGCCCAACCTTTGTCCGAGCCCAGCCCACAAACTGGTGACCTTTACCTTTATGTGGACACGAACAAATAAATAACTCGAGATGCCGCAAGGCCGCATGTCCCCGCCCTTTGACCCCAAACAATAAGCTCATTAAGGTCCTCCTCTTAAGGTCGTATGCAAATTAAGTGGTGAGAACAAAGTTCCGAGGTACCCTCTCAAGTCTAAATGCAAATATTTTTGGGGTCGCCGAAAGGAAAGGTACGCATTTTTATATGTAGCGACAGGCAGCTCGCGACCCCATCCAGTTAAGCACGCCTAATCTGAACACTGGGAACGGCAGCAGAAGAATCGAATTGAATGGACCGCTTATGAGTTTCTCAGGGCATGAACCCCGCATTCAAAAGTGGCGGATTCAGCGCCAGAGGAAGGAGAAGATGGTCACTCGAGGACAGGAATCAGAAGGCGGACTCACGGAGTCAAGTTCGGTGTAATAGCAGGTCTTCTCAGCATCCCGAAAAGAATCCTGCAATAAGTTTTTTGGAGGTCATTGGTGGAAGTAGGCCAGTCGGAAGATTGCTTCAGAACGGCCTTGCCCCCTCACCGTTCATTGTGTAACGGTCCCTCCAACTTATTCATATGTATTCAAATACCCTGGGAACGGACATCTAAATCAAGCGGCGGGCATCGCGAAGAGGGCATCCGAATTAATTTGTGTTGCGTCACCTTGACATTGAGATCGATCCTCCTTTTCGGTCTAATTGGCGGTTATTTGCACCCACAAAACATGTCATTATATTATGCGTTGTTAATAGCTGTATTTTGTAAAGTTTTGTGGGGAGTCGATTGTTTTTGGGAATATTAAATACCGGCTTCACGGATCCGGGATACGGTCAGAGGAAGTCGGTGTCAAGGGATGAAGGGATGACAAAACGGTCCGATAATGGCTTCTCATCTTGGGTGGAGGCAGGAAAAAAATAAAGAAGACTAACCAAGGTGCTGAAAGAAGAATCTGAGGCTCCAAAAATGATTGCTTGTTAAACAAGATCTTAGAAAAATATAACAAATATTTTATATCATCACAAAATATGTCGTGCTTCTTATTCATATCAGCTTTCTCTATTATTTTTAATCTTACAGTAAATGATAATTGTCAAGAATGAGAGGAAGTACAGTAAACACAGTAAATACATCTTGAAGGACAATTATAAAGCCCACCGTCTACATGACTTCCTTTCGCAATCTTTTTTCATGTATTTAATTTCTCCTGAATCCACTCACTTGGAGTAGAAAACAACTTGTGACTCAACATTACTCACTCCGTCGGAGATCCATAAACCTTTGGTATTATCACTTTCAGATCACCTTTCTAAATTTGTTTTAATTCTTTTGCAAATCGTCGCTCCAAGGGAAGAAGGGTTGAGTTAAAAGAGCCGAAATAGGTCAGGGCTCCCTTTAATTCCGTCAGTCGCGCAGCCCCCTTCCAAAATCTCCACCTTCAGGCGTTGAAAAGGGCTTGGAAACGGGGCTGAAATGCCCAACTTTAATCCATTTGGAGCGCTTCAAGACTTCCTGGCCAAGTTGTTTTACAGGTAAATTTGAGCTTATTTGAGCCTCAAATTATGCTTGATTTTTGAGTGTTTTAATAAAAAAATTAAATCCATGAATATTCTGATTTCAAAAACTATGCAAATTTTTCAGATACGGTCTCTACCTCTCACGAAATCCGAATCCATTTATCCTTTGCCCTCTTGTCCTAACTTGTGTCCTTTTGTTGGGTGTTTTCAACCTAGAAGTGTCAGTAAGTGCCCGTTTTAAATTATGTTTAATGTTTAGGATGATCTCCGCTTCCTTTATTCCCCAGAAAATTCATTATCTCGATTCGAATACCAAGTTCACAAAGAGTTTAGTGGAGATTCCATAAATAGCAGCTACATCGCTGTAGCCATAGAATCCGCTCACAATGACTCAAATATGTTGAGGAAGGAAATGGCGGAAGCCATCATTGAGTTCGACAAGTTTGTGCTGCATAATATGACGATACAGTTACCGGATGGAACCAAAAACTTTGGATCAGAGATCTGCTCGAGGCTGGCCTTGTGTCCGATCAGTAATACTGTCGTTACCATCTTCTTTGAGACCTATTTCAGCGAAAAAGTGAGTAGATTTAAATATTTTAATCTTGTCTTTAGCTAAAAAATGACAGTAGAATTTCGATGGATTGGCCGATCCTAAAGTTTTTCGAGAATAAATTCTTCTTGCCCACCAACTTCTATGGAGTCGAATTGTACGAACACAAATCCGGATTCGAAAAGATTAAGGATATCCAGACAGTCCATCTGGTTTATTATATCTCTGGGACTGACAAAGCAAGTTCTTTAATGTCTATTCAACCTTTAATTAACTTTAGTACACGGCTGAAGAAGTGGGCAAAGCTGTTGATCTTTCGTTGAGAGAAGCTTTGGCTGAGAGAAAAGAAAATCTCCGCTCCGCGATGTTTAGTCTGCAGATATTGAAGGATGAGATGCAAAAGAATACCACTTACACTCTACCATTCATTTCTTTAACTGTGTTCTTGCTCATATCTTTTACAATCGGTTCTTGGTGAGATCTTTTTGTCATGGATAATATGTATAATTTACATAATACGATGACTAATATAACATTTAGTATGACCGGAGATTGGATCACATCGAAGCCGATCGAAGCCTTGATGGGAATAATGACAAGTTCTTTGGCCATTGGCAGTGCCTCAGGGCTTCTCTTTTCGCTGGGCGTCCCCTACATCTCTCAGGTCACTGTAATGCCATTCTTGGCCTTTGCTATTGGAGTTGATGATACTTATGTGATGTTGGGAGCATGGCAAGATACAAAAAGAAATCTGCCTCCGGAAAAAAGGATGGCCTTGAGTTTAGAGGAAGCTGGGACTGCAATTTCTGTGACATCGCTCACCTCGATATTATCCTTTGGCATCGGGACCTTCAGCACAACTCCAGCCATTTCCATTTTCTGCAAATTCATCGCCGTCGCTGTCTTTTTTGATTATCTTTATCAGGTGATACCATATCGTCTAATACATACCTATTCTTTTCCAGATCACCTTCTTTGCTGCAGTTATGGCCTTAGGCGGTAGAAGAGAAGCGGCTGGATATCACTGTGTATTTGTTTGGAGGAAAATGGGGAAAGATGCTATCGCAAGAGTAGGAAATCCTCTCCAAATGGTATATTATTTTAGGCCAAAGCGACCAACTTCACATCGCCCACCCACAACCTTTTTGCCAATTACTTGGCTCCATTTTTATGCAAAAGTTACACCCGTCTTTTTTTTGGTGTCATCTATGGAATATATATTTTCCTCGCCTTTTACGGCTGTTCTCTCCTCAAACCGAATCTCACACCCTCTCGTTTACTAGTCGATGATTCCCCTTTAACTTACTACCTTCAATTGGCCGAATCCAGAATCTGGTCGGAAGGCGTGGTTGGCCGAGTTTATGTCAACAAAGCGCCTGACTTTAGCACAAATCCAGAAGAGCTGGAAGTCATGTTGAAGATGGTAGAAGAACTGGAGAACACCCCCTTTTCGATGGGATATAATTCCACTCAGTTATGGCTTAGGGACTTTAATAATTACCGCCAATACTTTGCTGATGATAATATTAATTTCTACGAGACCCTGAATGCGTTCCTCGGCATTTCCTTTAACAAGCAATGGAAAGCATTCCTCAGATGGGGAGACAATCCAAATCAGCCGGGCAAAAAGTATGTCGAGAAATTCTTCTTTACGACGGCCTTTAAAATACCTGATTGGAATGTGAGAACTGCCTTGTTACTGCAATGGAGGAACATCACGGCCAAATATTCCCAATATCAGGCGTTAGTTTTTGATGAGAATAATTTCTTCAGTGATCAGGTAAATTTGTACTTTCGATATAGAACACGACTCGTTTAGATGATTGAGCTAAAATCTACCACATTGAATTCCCTGGGGACAGCGATCATTGCCATGATGATTGTCTGCATCTTATTCATCGCCGAGACCAGCATTGTTTATTGGGTTACCTTTATTTTGGTGTCTATGGATATAGGAGTAGCTGGATACTTGTCTTTATGGGGAGCTGATCTTGATCCGACTACTGTTGTTAACATTTTGGTAAGTCATCTATGCATTCGGCATCCTAGAAAATCAATCTGTTCTTCAAGAAATGTCTTGGAGAATTGATGTCAATTGTTACACTTGTACAACTGGTTGACCTCGGTGGTTACATAGTCATCCTAGTTTATTTTTAGATGAGTATTGGTCTTTGTATTGACTTCGCCACTCATGTTGGCTACCGTATCTACCGCAGTCCCTACACAGATCCGGACGAGCGCCTCAAAGATGCAATTGGAGCCATTGGTTGGCCCGTTGTCCAGGCTGGTCTGAGCACTTTCTTGGCCATCATTGTGATGATGTTGGTCCCCTCTAATGTGGTTCGGATGTTTGCCCGGACCAACGTACTTGTAGTCTGCACCGGCCTTTTCCATGGGATCTTCCTTTTGCCCATCATCGTCCGATCTTTCTGCACCATCAAAAATGAATCCACGGAGTTCGAAAAAGAGGGTATAAAACAACACTGATCATAACATACATATTCATGTTATGCATAGCATATTTATTTACATCTAGAGAATAAAAGTTAGCCTGTGATTACAAGGTTCAAGTGTCATCGCCAAACCGAAGTATTTGAAGAAGCAGAAGAGAGTTGTTTCGGGGAATGAGGTACTGATAAATGGCCATTACTTTGATTATGATGGTGCTCATCATAATGCGAGCCATGTTTTCGATGAATATGATCGAGAAGGAAGGAGGAATGGAGGAAGATCTTCGAACATTCCTGACACTAAAATACGCAAATAGAATAAGTAGTAATAGACCCACTCTGAACAAATCTCTGGCCGTTTCTTGTTCCGTTAAACTCTTCTTGAAGAAGTCATTCTCTTTGTAAACTTTTTTGCATTTCTCTTTTTCTAAAGTCAGCTTTTTCACCAGTTCATTTTGGCTCTGCAGGATGTAGAGAAGTTGTAATTGAGCTATCCGGAACATCTTCAGGAGTCTGGCGTTAGTCCAGTTCTCATCCTGAAATATTGATCATACATGATATCTAGTATAATACCAATTTTTAGAAGAAAATTAACTTACTTTAATATCTGCTTTACAAAACACTACCGAAGCCAAAGCGCTCTGAAGGATATCATAGGTCCCAATTCCTTTTTCCAGTAAAGGAATACTTATTTCATCTAAAGAGAATATTAATGTAAATCGTTATATCATCAAAAGGCAGTTATACAAAAATATTCGGCTTACCGATCAATTTCCAATCCGGTAAATCAAATTTCTCGTCAAGATCTTCCATTTTCTCCGAATAAAATAATTTGGGAACCTAAAAAAAGGCCCAGGTAACCATAGAGACAGTCTCGAAGGGTAAGTAAATCTAGAATGACATCTGCTGTTTGAGTAAAAAGAGTTCGGGGGAAAACAATTTGAATTCCGGGGGATTGGGGCGGAAACTTTAGAATATTTGAGAAGAAAAAAGGAAATTGCGTAATGTTTCGCAAAATGTAAAGTCGTTATTAAAAAAAACAAAACTTTTTTGCATAATAAATAACATAGAAAACCCGAATTTTCTTAAACATATAAACTTCCCTTATAAGTATAAATAAAAAATTTAAAAGTGATTCTGAAATTACTAATAGGTAATTTTTGTTTTTGGCACTCGAGAAATTTACTTATATACAAGTACAGGGTGTTCCTAGAATTATGGAAAAAACTATTCATTAATAACATTGTGCTCGGTGGTCCAATCCGAAATTTTTTTTTTGCATTTTACAGGAAACCGTTGGAGTTTTTAGAATCAACAAAAATTTTTTTCTTTTATCGGCGGAGACTTTGGTAATCCTCCTTGAATTTGGCGGAGTGTTTTTTTTCCTTTGACTTTGGAGAGTCAAAATTGGCTAAAACCAAAACGTATGGTATTCCTGGTGGCATGGCGCCTAAACAAATACGACTTATTACGTCTTCGGTCCACTGGGAGACGAAAAAAAGGCAGTTCGGCGGAGAAATCGGCGGAGAAAAAAATGAAACCATTTTTACAGCCTCGTTTGTGAAAGAAACACTCCGCCGAATTTAAGGCGGATTGAAGTCTCCGCCGATAAAACAAAAATTTTATTTTTGATTCTAAAAACTCCAAGGTTTTTCTGCAAAATGCAAGAAAAATGTTTCGGATTGGGCCACCGAGCACAAAGTTATTAACGAATAGTTTTTTCCATAATTCTTGGAACACCCTGTACTATAGTCAGTATGTAAATCCCAGTTCCCTGTCTCCAAAAAAGTAATGTACAGGAAAAACATCCGAAAATCCAAAAATCAAAAATGCATAAAATCAAGAAAATCTTGCATAAAATTATAATAAAAACTCAAATTCAAAAAAAATCATTTGATCGAAATTCAAATGCCAGAAGTCGGCCGTCACCAAAAAACCTACTCCGTTCGCCCAGTGGAAGTTGTTCGTTCAGCTAGTGCAACCTCTGTTTCTGAAACACGAATCGATCTCCCACCCGTACTAAACGGCAAATCCCCTAAGGGCCGACGTCGGTCCAGATGTCTAGACTGTTATGTTGTGCTTTTGGTCGGTTTTAATCTACTTTTCTATACTGTTTATGATATTTTTAGTTGACCATCAGCACCGTATTCCTCTTGACTGGAGCTAGTCTGAGTTTTACCGAGTTCAGAGAGGGGAAAGTGGTGCTTTTGCTGGGGGCCCTCGGCCTCGTTCCCACCATTCCATCTCTTTTTCTCCTATCCAGAAGATTAACTGACCCCAATGATGGTAAGACGATCACTGCAGAGGATCTTATATAATGTTACAGTAATCCAAGTGTACTGTTCGTTGTCATATGCGGTTGGAACTGTCTGTATTTTGAGTATCTATCATGTCTGGAAGGTCGAAGGATACAAGAAAAACAAGTTCACCATCTTTTTGAACTCTCTCTTCGCTTTGTTACTCTTCTTGAGCAGTCTTACTGTGCAGTGCTTTAGAATTACTGAGGTCAAAAGTAAGTTCGAAAATTAAAAAATATATATTTTTAGATCAAAGTGAGAAAGAGAAAAATGGAAATTTGAAGAAGGAGAAGAGCCCAGAGAAGAAGGGAAAGAAAAAGCAGAACAATACGAAGAGTGAAGAGAGCCAAAAGAAGGGGAAGAAGAACAAACAGAGAAAACCCGAAAACAGAAACAAGTCTTCAGTAAGTTGACCTATCGTTAAAAATTACAGTCATGTAATTACAAAATGTTTTGACGATCCCATTTTTTAATTTCAGAAATCCAGTTCCAAATTCTCGGCTAAATCCATGAAATCCTCCGTAGAAATCAATAAATGTTTGTAAATTATTTTTATTTGATAATCATTTTTTGTGGCTTTGGGATTCCTCGTATTTTATGGATGATTTGAATAATAAAATCTTGTAAATTAGCTGGTAGAAGAGAAAATGGGTAAAAGATTGTGTAATAATCCCAGCCAACCGGATATCTTGCCTTAGGGTATTGACTGGTGAGAGCGTGGAAGTAAGCGTCGACTACAAGGTCAGTTCGAGTAGAACAGATCAGATCCAGGATGTCATAGGTGGTTTGGCTAACTGAAATTCGCATAAAGTGTCAGAATCTGTCATAAACTTACCGGAATTTAATTTTTTATATTTTGATTCTACTTACATTTGCTGAAAAACGCGTCTCCGTATTCCTCTTTAATTGCCTGAGGCAATTGCTTCCATTGTTTTTGTATCCTGGCTTCGTTAATCTCGGGCGAGGCCAATGCAGTTCTAAAGAAGCCCGGCTCCAATGTGGATACGGTAACTCCAAATTGTTTGTATTCAGTTCTGTAGTTTTACAGTATATAAATTGAGTAGAAATCTTACCGAATAGCATCCGAAAAGGCATTTACTCCATGTTTTGATGCCGAATATGGGGCTAGACCGCCAAAAGAAACAATTCCCATCACACTGGCCACGTTTACAATCCTCCCTCTGTACAAGTTGATTGAGTTGTTACCAGATGGTAGTCTTACTTATTTTGTTTTACAAGGTCTTTAAAAGCATGCGTAACTCTGATAACTCCGAACAAATTCACTTCAAATGTGGATTTGTAAGATTCCAACGTTAGCCAATCATCGAATCCAACCTCCCCCACAACTCCAGCATTGTTTACAACTCCATCAAGTCCATTGCAATCTAACAGTTTTGTGATTTGAGCCTTGGCGTTGGCCACAGAGTCATCTGAAGTTACATCCACCTTGATTCCATGGAGGATTCCACTGGGAGAAGTCTTGGCTTTATTTTCAATATCAGTGAGTCCCTAAATTGCGATAATTTAACCCCAATTAGATACCTCGTCAGTCAAACAGCCGGCAAACACAGTCATACGATGCCTCAGGCATTTCAAGGCCAGATCATGACCAAATCCACTGTCACAACCGGTGATAAAAACAGTCTTTCCCGTTACATCTGGTAACTGGTCAAGCAACGAGTATATCCCTTTATAAAGAAGCACTGCTATCAAGAATACGAGTATTATTTCCCAAATCATTTTTGAATAGAATCGCCTCTAGGCATGTTTTTCGAGTTCTTATCAGTTGTTCCATGTTTAATATTCCCGAATGAAAATATTTTTATGGTCTGTAAAATCTTGTTAACGGAGTTTTACGTAGGTTTAGTAGTATGTTAATGATTCAAAAGTAAAGAATTTTGACTAGCATTCATAAAATACGTTCTTGAAGACATTTTTAAGTCACCATGACAACCCAGAAATTCTCCGAACGGGTTTATTTCCAAGGCTGGTACGGGATTTCTGGCCATGGCCGATTGGAGCAAGGAAATCCGTTCAAGCGAGCAGGTAAAGCCCCCTTTCTCCTAAAGGGCATTCCATGTTTTAGTCGGATTTAACGCCCAATAATTTTGAGCCAGATTTGGACGACTTTGAGCGCCAAGAAAAGGAGATCCAAGACCAACTTCTCAGGGAAAACCCCTCAGGCAACGACCCCAATCGAGATATTAACACGATTCTCGAGGCCAATGAAGACGAATTCACCTCGGATTCAGTCCAGAATCGACAACTGTCGGTACGTATTGTGTAGTTGTGCAGCACCGTCTTCTAGCCTCTTACAACTTTCTATTATAATTTTCAAATTGTATGTTTTACAACGCATAACCACCTTTGCGTGTCTGATTTGGTAATTTTTACTGAATGGAAGGTCTATTGGCTATTAAAAGAGTATAATAATTAATCTCTGAATAACAAAATTACTGCAAAGGTAATCCCCGTAAAGTAAAAACTAGTGAAAGGACGGCTTTTATTTGGTTATTTTAGGGTCTAAAGGAGAACTCGCTGGAAATTAATTATTCGGACGAGTCGGATTACCCGGACGGTAAGTGAATGCAAGCCTGGGGACACTAATATCACAAGAGTTTTATCCAGGTTATCCCCCAAAATCCGAGGACCCTCCGCCCGCTTACAGCAAGGATCAGAAGGAAGAATCGCCTGCGGCGAAAAAGATCTCCGATGCCATGGATGGAGAAAGGGGGATCCAGGATGCCATGAGCGGGTTGGTCAGAGTGGGTGAGTGGTCGAAACTATCGCAGTAGAGGTTACAACACTAATTGTCATCATTTAGGTGGAATGGCGGCAGCTGTAGCAACTTCTGCTGGAGTAGATTCTCCGAGATCAGATGACACCACAAACAGTTTCGGCAACTACAGAGATGACATTAGAGATCAACAGAATCCCACTTTCACAGAGTTGGCCCCCACTCACCGGCTCTCAACCGGCGTAAAAGAGCTCTTCCATTTGGTCGAGGACTTCGAGGCCGACCGAATTGATATTCCATCTCAACTAAAACCCTTTCTCCTTGATTACTTGCCGGCAGTGGGGGATGTGGACCCCTTCCTGAAAATTCCCCGGCCTGACGGATTAGAAGATCATCTTGGATTAATCGAATTAGACGAGCCGGCCCCGCAGCAGTCAGATTCGACGATTGTGGACATGAAGTTGAGGCAGGCCAAAAATGTTATTTCTAAAGAAGCTGACGCCCCGGCCAAGAGATTGGAGCGGGCCGACAAGAATACGGATCAGATCGACTCTTGGATCAAGGATATCAAGGTGCCATCATCTTTACTGGAAAATAATTTTATTTTTTTTAGGATTTGCGAAGAAACAAAATCCCTGATCGGGTAAACTATGAAAAACCAATGCCAGATTTGGAGAAATTAATGCAAGAATGGCCCCCGGAGATGGATACTTTCCTTCAAAATCTAAAGGTAGGCGACTAGCAGTTCAAGTCGGTATTGGTTGCATAATATTGATCACTCGAATTGCATAATTTCCAGCTTCCATCAGCCTCGTTGGATTGCACCACCGAAGAGTATGCGGACATTTGCCTGAGCATAATGGATATCCCCGTTCACAAAAACAAACTCCACTCTCTTCATGTCTTCTTCTCCCTGTACATGGAGTTCAAAAATTCCCAGCATTTCCGTCAACTGGCCTCAAATCATGGCCTAAAGCAAGATGATGTGGCCATGGATCGTCTGGAATTGTGATTTTATTTTTGTGTCCCGATTTGAAATTTTCTATACCTTCTTTTTTTTGGCCAATTTTGAAGATTTTTTTCTTTAATCCTCAGAACTTCCCGTTTTGTTTGATATGTGATAGAATCATCATAGGGAAAGAAAGACAAAAAATCTCAAAAAAATGCCGAAAATAAGTTGTATCTCGAGACGATGGAAGTTGTGGCAAACCCGAGTTCAAAGTTTATGAATGTTGCGTAGAATTGGATAGAATCAAAAAAATTGAAAAAAATCCCTCCTAACAATAAGGAGTGAAACCCGGAGGGCATAGATATGGTCGAAAAATTTCTAAATATATGGCCAAAATTTTGTCAAAAAATTTCATCTTCTAAAGCCCATAACTGATAAAATTCAAGCATTTAGAAACGTCAAAAAGCTTTGAATTTTATATATTAGCGTCCACAGCCATACAAAACGGCAGTCCGAGTTTTTTTGTGTTGTTATATTTTGGTTAAAGCGTCGTATTCGGTATCAAACAAAACGGGAGATTCTGAGGATTAATGCAAAAAAAAAGAACCTTCAAATTCGGCCGATAAGTAAACAAGTTATGACCAATTCAAATCGGGCCACAAAAATAGTATTTATTCCGTAATATTGCCCTGTTTGTTAAGCCAAATATAGCATATATTTGATATAAATTTATACTGCTGATCTCTAGAAGGGCAAGTTTAATGAACCAATTAGGAAGTTGGGTTAATTGAAGTCACGTCCGGCGTTTTATTGAGTACAATTTTTATTCGATTGTCACATGTACATGTATTGCAACTTGACATATATCGATGTTTTGAGGAATATATATATTTGAATTTAACGATCAAAATTATTGAAGCGTGAAAATGAATAAAAACTGTTCGTATTTTAGTCATTACTAAGGAATTCGGCAGAAGTTTCCAAAATGACGTCAAATTGCGTCAAATTTCCCTCATTTTCGGCATTTTGGCTAATGTAAATTGGAAATTCAGATATACAAAGCACTTGGTATAAACTATGGTGAATACAGTTAATATTAATCGTAGCTAGTTTTACTGCTTATCTCATCAGTCGTTTTTACAAGAAATAGCAATTTAATTTTTAAAAATTTTACGTTTCTACAAAATTTTTAGTAAAAATATGCAAAATTTTCTAAAAGATTTCATTTTCACAATCATAATGACAGAAGAATCTGGCATGACAAAAATTATGTCAATTTGACAACGTGACAACTACCAACCTGGCGACCGAAGTTCGATTTCCGCTGCATGCAAATGACGGAAAACAAACAAAGTTGGAAAAAAGATAAAATAAATTACCGAAAATTAACCTCAGGCTACTGGGAACCGTTTGAAAGTTTTTGTAAGAATTCCGCATAAAATACGGTTTTTATGGAGAACGCCTCATAGCACTCGTAAGATTGCCTCAAATAGCAGCTAAAGAGGCATACATAACGCTCACTATTTAATGTTCAGTGTGTCCGCCGAGTCCTGCGATACAAAACAAAGTAAAATACTTATCTGGTTTTGCATATGTTACAGTCCCGAGTTACAGAGTCTCCATGTAAATGAATCATTACAGCGTCAAAGCGCTCCGTGTTTTTGCTGGATGCAGAAGGCGGTTTATGTTTTGCTTGTGTGATTCTGGTGCTGTTAGTTCATCTTATGTGACTTTTTCCCCTTGCTGACAAACCTCGGCCACAGCTCGCCTTCTAAAAATCCTGAATTAAAAAAATCGAGGCTATCCCTAAAATTAAAGAAATATTCCAAAGTTGGACTTGTTTTGTAGTCTGAAGGCTAAGTAAGGAAAGTTAAAAATCTACTTATGTATACTTTAACCAGATCATTTCAAGCCGAAAATATCAAAATCGATTTTTTCCTGGGACCACGATGATGCTCTGTCTCAAAACCCGTGTTTTAGGATTTCAGATGAAAATGTAACTTTAAGGATCGTCTGATGTTGTTTACCAGTGGTTTATAAATAAGTTTTAAACTGAAGTAAATAGTAAAGTGTTGATACTCGAGACCAACTCGACCTTATTCCTTGACTTGTTTTCACTCGGATAATTACTCCCAAAAAAAGAGTAATCCCCCTAAACAAACCTCGAGGGAAAACTTTTTTCAAAACCTGACCGCAATTCAATTAATACAGGTCATCTGCGAACGGTGTTCAATTAACAGCCGGAGGGTTCGATCAATTAACCGAGAGTCACTCTCCCTTTGTCAACCATTACTGCCTCCTTTCAGTTGGAGAATCTCCAAGATTTGGATAATTATAAAAGTAATTGTAGGGGTAGTAAAAGTACAAATTCTCGATCAATTGGACATGATATTCGGAATGGTGATCACAGCTTGAAATACGTGGGCTTGTGGAATTTATTCATCAGGGCACCCTATTACAACAAATGGGCTCTCTAACTATTCATTTGACAGGTTACAAACCCAATCTTTAACCAAAACAATTAAGCAAAGTTTACAACCTTAAGAGTACCCTTTGACGACTTTATTGTAAACATTCGCTAACACTTTCGGGTCGCTCCTTCAACGCATCATTTGCAAACCTTTATGACAACGACCCTTATTTGTCATCACTTGACTCGTCGACCCTTCTTTTTTTACATTACTAGCCCTTTTATGCCTTTTAGCGTCGACTGACATAGTTTTGAGGCCATGGGTAACAAAAGGAGAAGGGCTCTCGGGATTTGAAGCCGAGATTACGATCGGTTCGTAAACAGGTTCGGGATTCTACAATAAACTGCGCGCCACGTGAATGCATATGTTGGAACAAAAAGGCGAAGACAACAAAAAACATACCTCCGAGTGGCTAAAGGCGCGATAATTTGGAGAGTTTGTCGCTCGACGTCTAATTCGCGCGGGGTTTCACTTTTGGGGAAGGGCGTTCGAGGAAGCCCGCAGGGTTCCGTCGGCCCTCCGGTTCAATCGGTTTCCCCTTTCCATCGACCCTTTCCACCAACACTTGAGAGTTGTTAAACCTTTTCGACGAAACTCGGCCCTACAAGGCCATCATTATGGGCATTGCCTTGATTGCCCCCATTTCTCAAAATAAATCAGAAGCCCTCAACTAAGAACGTCGTCGGAACGGCGATGATAAAAAAACGTTTGCGCACCAAAAAAGAACAAGCTGAATGGGGCGGGTCCCCCGAGGCGGTTCGAAGGTCCCGTCGCAGTGCAACCGGGTTCTCAGTGTGGTTGGGGAGGGGGCGAGAAATCGGTGCCTATCACTTGTTTGGACCCACGTCTAACATGCCAATATGGTTTGCCAATATCTGGGCTGCATCATTACCATCATACTCTCATTACATCTTGCTTTAATTTTTATTGCCTTGCACTTCTTCTGTCGGGATTTTTACGACGTCGTTTTGCAATTTGCTTACAATTGATGTATCGATGACATTATTACCGCGTCGAGATGTTATTTCCTGTCTTTTGTCGCTGACCACATCTCGTATATGATTACTATTCCGATTCTATCGTATGTTTCGGCGTTTCCGGTCGAAGTTTAAAAAGGAAAGTGGGCGGATCTTCTCCTTTTTTCCTACCCTCCCGTTCTCACTTAGTGACCCCCTATTTGGGCAGTGGATTCTTTGGACGTGTCTGTGAGGAAAGGAGAGAAACTTTTTTGGGTAATTATTACATTACTACCTGATCCATCCCCTCCAGATCCCACTTTTCATTTTATTTTCGATCTAAATCTCGTTTTCGTTGACTTCAGATCTTCGGCCTCGAGGTTGCGAAGACTTTTTCGTTGGGCATGGCACGTTATCGAGGCATAACGTTCCTCTACCTCACATGTATATTACAACTACAGGTAAGCCGATGATTTTACTTACGTTTTATTTAGATTGCTTTAGCCAACCTTTCTCTTCCACTTTACTAGTCTTACCACAACTTTATTTCCCGTTTACGGTCCTTGCAAGCGGTTAGATCGTTTATGAGTTGTCTTGGGTCCCTTAAACCGCTTTACACTCCATGGTTTCAGTGGAATGGCGCCTTTCACGTTACTCTTGTCTGATTTGGGGTGACTTCTTTAAAAGTCTATTGGTCAACAACAATATATGTGCAAGAAAAGGGCGTTTAAGGGGAAAAAAAGGCACGTCGCGGAGAACCCTAGATAAAGTGGAACATCCGTCCAATCCATCATTTCTTATCATAACAATCAGCTACTCGAACATCGCCAAGTCTTTTAATGGAAAGCGCGAATTTTATTGCTTTTTTTTACGGCGATTTGAGGTTAGGTGGGAGGGACGATGAGCCGTGCCAGGGTGTTGTTGTTGGATTACGTCAAAATAATGTTGACGGAAGTGTAGATTAGATGAGAATTTTCGTTTCGAATAATCAAAACAGGGACGATTTATAAGGCGTAGAAGTTACAAACGGTGATTGCGATCGGGGATCTTGCAGATTCAAGGTTATGACACCTTTGCAAGCTCCCGAACTCTTAAGAAACAAGAACATCTGGGTCATACGACGATTATCCCAGTGACCTCGGGGCTCCTCATTTCCCTCGTATTTTGCCAATGACCTCGACCGCAACCTCACGTGAGGCGATCGGGGGTAATGGGGTGGAAAGTAAAGGAACGATACGTAAATTACACCTATTCTAGATCGCCCATTCCATCGTGCATTTCTTCTCCGCCGATGATTTAAAATTTACATTCGGAGTCAATCACCATCTGGAGGTGCCCGAATATTCACATGCATTCCCAAGTCTCCGACGAGATTCCAAAGGTACCCCCATTGGATTGGAAGTGGATATAAATGACAAACATTACTCCCTCAGTCTTCAGTCAGTCACAAATCAACTGGTTGATGGACGGGCGACTGTTGTTAGCAGAGAAGGGCACCAAGGAGGAGGAAAGTTGGAGTTCGTGGGGGATCATGAGGACTGTCATTATCACCATGAAAGCAATCATACGATGGCCGCAATCTCAACATGTGATGACACTTTGGTAAGAAAATCTACTCTACTCTCTAAGATCCGTACATTCTCAAAATTCTCTAAGGCTTTTAACGTTAAAACAACTTTTTGGAGTTATAAAAAGTCAGATAAACTTTTACTCAAATGACCTTTGCGATTTCAGAAGGGAACGATTATAACTGAAGATGGTATCTTTGTGATCCATCCAATCCCAGAGAAGCATATGAACCGAATCAAACGATCCGCCGACGGAATGGGCCTCCATGTCATCTACAAAAGATCCGTGAGCAATGACGAGTTCTGTGGCCTAGACAACACAATCACAAGTGAAGAATTACTCGATGACGAGGCTGGGATCAACGAGGATGTCTTTGTGACGGGCGAACGACTGGTCCAAGGAGGGCAAGAACTTGTTGTTGAACTTGCTATCTTTGTTGATGAACTTTTATGGAGACATTTTAATAGTCAATATGGAGGTGCTGCTTGGCAGAAATTACAACAATACGCAGTGACTATGCTGAATAATATCCAGATCATGTACAAACAACCAAGTGCCGTGCCTCGGCTTTACTTTCGAATCGTGAGATACGAGGTTTTCAAGACTCAGCCCAGTGCAATGGCCCCTCACTTACATAACAATGGACATGCCCAGATGTATTTGGATAGATTCTGTAAATATCAGAGAGGTCTTGGAGTCAGAGATTGGGACCACGCGCTTCTTTTGACTGGATATGACATTCATAGAGGTACTGGAAGTAGATCTATCTCCGGCATAGCCAGACTGGATGGAATGTGTGATCCTTGGAACACTTGTACCTTGGCTGAGGGCCTTGATTTTACATCTGCGTTTATTGGAACTCATGAACTGGGTCATAGTGTGGGAATGAGACATGATGAACCTTATTGTGCGTCTACTTTCATCATGAGTTCTTCATTGGGTCCAGGGAAGGTGACATGGTCAACATGTTCTCTCAGAGATTACCACACTTTCTTGCAACGACTAGAGTGGGTGTAACTTTGTATTAATATTACTGTTAATGTTTAGTGCCCGTGGAAAGAATTGCCTCCGAACATCCTACATGCCGGAGAAAGTTCCATTAAGTGATGCGATCAAGCCAGGCCAATTGTATGATGCCAATACTCAGTGTATGTTGATGCACGGCCCCGGTTACATTCAAGTGAAGCCGAAGCAAGATCATTATGACGGGATTTGTTACATGATGTGGTGTGGATTGGGTCAATTTGGTCGTATCATCACTTCTCATCCGGCTTTGGAAGGTACTTTCTGTGGTCCCAATAAGTGGTGCCAACTGGGTCGTTGTGTTCCCTGGAGTCCCTCGGCTCCCACTCCCGCTGCTACGGTGGCGCCTTCGATTCCGGCGCCTGTTCCGACTGTAAGATAGATTGTCTTTTCCGTCGTATTTCCGGTTCTCTGCATCTCCATTTCCATTACTTTTATTTGTTTTGACAGTTTTATTGTTTCCGTTTTAGCGGGTGGATGGGCAATGGTCTGCCTGGAGTGGACTGGCCTGTTCCCAATGTTCTTGTACTGATATTATTGGGGCCATTGGGGTCACAATGAGTACCAGAACTTGCTCCAATCCCACACCGGCCAATGGAGGATCTGAATGTACGGGATCCAAGTACCGAGCAGTTGTTTGCAATAAGAACTGCCGGCCTCAAACTCTCTCCGTGAACCAGGTATGGCGCTTTGTTTATTCGTATGTCTGTTGCTTTCAATTCTGATTGATCAAAAGTCTAGACCGATCACAGTCTTTACCTCGTCACATTTGTAAAAGTAACACCCGAGGGGATGGGAAAGTGAAGGAAACTGTGCAGTGATTGATGGTCAGAACGACCGGCTTCCGTCCATTAAACCGTTTATTTCTCTGCTTTCAGTACATCACAAACAAGTGCAGTGAACATAAGCGAATCAAAAACGACCCTGAGCTGACCGGTACAGGAAGCCAGTTGACGCGGCATCCCCAGCGTGCTTGTAAAGTAAGTGCAGCCGACGGAGAAAGGGCCGTTCTTAGGTCCGAACATCAATTTAATCGATTCAAACAAGCAACGGGTTACAGAAAGTGATAATTAGGGGTTAGAAGGAGGGACGCGGGCTTGGAATGCACAATTTGAGGAGATTTAAGAGGTCAATGGGTCTAGTCGATGAATAGAGGTGGCCAAAATACTGCCATAGAAGTCAAGGGGAATATTTGATTTCAAAAAAGATTTTAATCAAAAAACTAGTAGCATTAATTAGTTTTTATTCAAATTCAATCAAAGTATTGCACCGCTGATTGATGTTGTTGACATCATGATTTGTCACCACACCTTTGCGGAGTTTAATTTTGACACATTTACGCGGTAAAATATCAAAATATCACGAATTAAATTGCCTCCGAAACCAGTTTCCCGGTTGTGTAATTCCATTTTAGGTGTTCTGCGACGTGAAAAACACTTTCGGTGGACAGAGAAACTATCGATTCTACGGGGACAACCTCCCCGATGGTACGCCCTGCGGCTGGGATCGGTATTGTCTGAGTGGGGAGTGTCTTGTAAGTCGCTACTTTTGGAAGGATTGTCTCCGGCAAACTAACAACGCTTTGTGGCCGACGGCTTTTAAACGCTCTAACATTCGACGACATCCAAACAAAAAGTCTAACCACAAAGCGAAGAACAAAACAACAAAGAATAAGGTGAAAAAGACTCAGAAAAAGACAGAAGTCGAGAAGAAGAGCAAGGATAAGTTGAATCATGAAGCCTCGATAAAACCCAGACCAAAAACAACACCAGCCCCCTACTACTCGTTGTCCCAGCTTAGTAAACGTCAACTAATAGATAAGCTTGTTCTTATGTTCAAATCTCGCCCTTTATTGCCCGAGGTCATCCAACATCGGCGATATCTTTGGGCCCGCATGATGCATTTGCCAAACCCGGAAGGCGAATTCTCTGCAAATTAACGCTAATCTTGTCTGCAGTGGTCCCTTAAAGAGCCCATCTGAAGTCTTTTTTCTTGCTACGGGTCTTCTGAATGTCTTTCAAGGCCGAATCGGTCCTTTCTTGTGTTTCTAACTAACTAATAAACATTCGTTTGTCGTCTGTAAAGACTCAAGTGTGCAATTAACAGAAACCTTAACAGCTTTTTGTGTGTTTGTAAAAATAAAAGTGCTGCCTGTAAAGCTAATATATAAAAGCTAAATATATGGCTTCTCTTACGTTGAATTAGTTAGCTTTTGCGGAATGAAACGCTAAAGGTTTGCTTGGTTGATCACCTTTAACAATTGTAAAACCATTAATAAGTGTAAGAAAACAGAGTTGTAATGATGGATACTTATTCTCAGGACCTCTCCTGTGACTCCCAAGTTCTTCTCGCACGAGATCTGGGATGTCCAGCACCAGCTGACCGATGTCCATTAAACGCTGCACCAGCCGTCCCAGCGAATTCAATACAAGGAGTCTGGGGCGTCTGGTCTCTTTGGTCGAGTTGTACAGTATCTTGTGGAGGAGGGGGATATCAGATCAGGTCCAGAACATGCAGCATTCTGAACAAATGTGAGGGCCAAGCAACGGAGAGAGTGGCTTGTGGCCAACAAGCCTGCCCTGTGCCATCTTCCAATGAACCCGCGTGGACTGATTGGACTAGTTGGAACCAATGTTCGGTCAGTTGTGGAAGGGGATCCCAGGCTAGGTATCGAAGATGTCAAACTCCTCAGACGACCATAGCTTTCTCCTGTGCAGGTAAATCTCGAACCAAAAATATTTCCCGGGGTGTCATTACATTAAAACTACAGTAACTCGACACGCTTCTTTCTTTGATTGATCTCCACTCGTTTCTATAACAACATAGCGCTCTTTTTCTGAAACAGAAATTAATTTCACTTACTAAATTTCATTTCCCCGGAAACATCAAACAACAATGTTTTTATTGGGTGGGTATAATCAGAAGACTTTTTAAACCAAAAACTTCCGTCTCCCTGGCAGGAGATCTTTTAAAGCAATTGATGACTTTCTTACAAAGATTCAGGAAACATTAAAGAACAAAATTAACGAATTTTACTAAAACGTTGTAAATACTTCTCTCATCAGGTCAAACAATGGATATACGAAATTGCGAAGAGTTGGTCTGCTCAGTCCGGCCGAATAATGGAATTGGAAATTGGGCCAATTGGGGAGAATGGGGAACATGTTCAGCCAGTTGTGGTCCAGGAACACAGACAAGACAACGATTTTGCACAAGAGTAAGAATAATGAGAGATAGAGAGACTAATGTAAACTTAGGAGCCATGTGATGGGTCTGGAACTCAAAGAATGGCCTGTAATCTGATGGAATGTGGAAGTTGGACTCAATGGAGTCTCTGGTCCGAATGCTCGAGACTTTGCGGACGAGGAATTAGGACTAGAAGCAGGTAAGCCCGGATAAGGAGGAGGTGTTTGAAGTTTATTAGATTCGAGACGTTAAAACGAACCAATTCCAGAGGCTGTCCCAATAACGCATGTACTGGACCAGCAGTTGAACAAGGGTTCTGTAATGACTTTGCTTGTCAATCAGGAGTCTCCAATGGACAATGGAGTGGTTGGTCAGAGTGGGGAGTGTGCTCAGTCAGTTGTGGAGCTGGCGTCAGAAGGCGGACACGACATTGCCAAAGTGGAAACTGTCCCGGAGACTTCAGGCAGCAAGAATTGTGTAACGAGGGCTCTTGTCAAACGACAAATGCCAACTGGGGAGGTGAGAAAAAGCGGCGTAATCAAGGGGGTCGGCGATTTAAGTCTCGGTCTTCTCGCAATAATAGTAATAGTAACGGTATTCCCAATCCTCCGGTTCAAGGACCGAGAATTCAGTCGGGGCTATCACAACAGAAGGCAGTAACACAGCAATCACCTGCAGTTATTCAACCGGCTAGTCAACAACAAGGAGTTGCATCGACGCGAAGCCAACTTCCACGACCTCAGCCACAACAAACATCTCAACAACAGGTTCTTTTACAGCAACAACAGCCTGTAGGTCAGCAAATGCAACCGCAGCCAATCCAAAACCAACAGGCTTCACAACAAATGTCCCAAATTGAACAACAAGCATTCCAGCAACCAGCTCAAGGAGTCCAACAAGGATTCGCTCAGCCTTGGCCTAGGCCTCAACCACTCCAGCCCACCTTCCGACAACCTCAACTCCAGCCTCAGCTTGTATCTTCACAGCCATTTCAGCCAGCATTCCAACCCGGACTCCGGCAGCCAGTCTTCCAACAACAGCCTGTTCAACCCGTATTCCAACAACCTTTTAAACAGCTACAGCCTCAACAATTCTTCCAACCCGGCCGATAGTCCATTTTGTGTAGCCCCGACGATGGCCTTTCCTTTTTAGTCTCCAATTGTTACATCCGTCAAGGGTCTGCAACCACGCAAGCCACATTAATCACCTCATCCAATCGCTCTCTGATCACTTTTTTTACAGTATCAACTTCTTTTCTAACTCTCTAATCGCTCTGAAGGTCACTGCTGTTTCTGTTAGGTGACAATTGGTACTTCCCATTGATTAATCATCCGATCACAGGTCGTAACCACTTTTCAGCACTCATTTCGAGTGATAACATCACTCTAATCTCGGGCTATGGTGGCAGTTAAGATGTCCATTTAAACGTTTTAACCCTCGATTTCAGGTTGGGGCTACTGGTCGGCCTGTTCCGAGACTTGTGGCCAAGGAGTGCGACGACGAATCCGCAAGTGTTACGGATTCGGATCATGTGCGGGCACCGAATTCGAGAGGGAAGGCTGCACTCAACAAGCCTGTTAACAACTCGTTAACCCTGTCCACGTCCTTAACCTCTCTAGGCCTAACGTTTAGATGTCCGTCCTTTCCACTTTCGCTCAGTCCCATGGAGCGTTCCTACTGTAATTTTTCTGTTATTGTACCGCTCACAATGCCAAAGACTGCATTTCTGACCGTGTTTCCGATTAATTGCACCTTTTCCTAAATCCAAATCAAACTCTAGAAGCACAACGCTCCATCAAATACAGCCATTTCGATAATAATATTCGTTGTATAAAGGCCAACCTACTTTAATATCACGCTCCTCTTGTTTCCAGATCTTCTTTTGCAATATGTCCGGGTTCGGAGCTTCTTCTAATATATTGTAATAATTGTTTCTTTGCCATATGCGGGTGCCCTGTGGCTCGACCACGATTCTTGTTCAATATTTACTCCAGATTTGATTATTTTCAAGCTTTTTTATTATTAAACTTAATTAATTCACGCGGAGAAAGGTTTAATTGGCAGTAAAAGAGGCGCAAACAAAAGAACAGTACTTGTAAAAGTAATGGTTACAATCGAAAGACGAAATGATAACATATTTGACAATTCTTACGTATTACGTATGCTCTACGTAAAAAGACAGACATTGTTCACACATTTGAGAAGGAAATGTTTGTTGAGCAAAAGCCAGAAAAGAGTAACTGCAAGGGTCTCGCCAAATTAAATGGATTCCCATAAAACAGTCTGCGGTCGAAATTGATTTCTCGAGGCTTTATCGAGTTTGGGCGAAAAATCCAAATTTAGCAAACTTTCATTTGGAGCAGGTTTCCACAATCATCTTGACCTTGGTCACTACCTATATCACGAGGTTGGTCCAGGGATTAACGTACTCCAATTTTTCAAGGGATACAAATGTTCGAATATTACACAAGTTCCTGATTAGTATATAAGTACGGCAAACATTCGTATTCGTAGTCGAAAATACGATTATTCGAATATGAATATGTGGCGTTATAAAAAATCTCTATGAAAACACGAGCCCAAAAATACATGTCTTGCAGAATGAAAATTATGTGAAAGAACAACAGTTCAGAAAAATTGGAATATGAGTACAAATACGACTATATTCCCATTTTTGGAACGTTGTACTTTTTATAAAGCTCTTTAATTTAGCCCACATTACAAAGATTACAGCTTAGAAAACTGTTAAGAGCTGTGATCGTCGGCGTGGGGGTGTGTTGGGAATGGGGTTCTTCGGAGGAGACGGCCCATGGTGGGCAAAAGTCCCCTGGGACTGAGGCAAAATAAAATCAGAAGAATAAGCATAAAATAATTCGAACCGTATAGCTCATAAATGTCTTGATGCGTCTTAAAACTTCGGCTGGATAATCCAACCTTCTGGCTAGCCAACGGCAAAAAATTTTCTACCAAATCATTGTCTAGCTAGTCAAACAATGTTGCAGCATGGCTATGAAAATTCGGTTTTTACCCGATCTGCCTCAAATGAAAAGCACCAAAAAGGGCGCCAAACTTTTTCCGTCCAAACTTAGTTCGCCCAAACTCGACACCAATCCCTGTGATTATGACCCACCAGTGACTATGTCCCATCTTTATAAATAATTAGCTAATTTAAAGGCAATACTCGCTAGCCACAGTTTTTGGACAAACATCTTATCAGCCAAAGAACTTAAATTAATAAAAGTTCACCCTGATTGCTAACCAAATAGTTGGCAACCGAGTCCTCAAAATCTTTCCGTACGCAATTTTATAATTTTGCTTGCCGCGGGACGCAAAATTAGAAAATTGCTCGCCGCGGAAGATTTGCTTGCCGAAAAGGCAAGCAAAATGAAAAATTGCGTCCGAGCCAAAAATGAGCAAATTTAGGGTGCCTTTTGAAAATGGCTCGCGAATACTTCTATCTTTTTAGAATTTCCCGAAAATTTTGCCAATTTTTTCCTGCGATGCAGACCTAACCAACCATCAGAGATCGTCGTCGTCATTCTCCTTCCTCGTACAATAACACGCTAATCCAACCAGAATGGCGAAGAAAAACAATGTACAAAACAGCAGCATCCATGTTGCTAACTAAAGAAAAAGGTTGGATTTGTTTTTCTCTGTCTACCTGATAATCTCCCAGCTGTTTGTCGAGTTGTGATATTTTCTGGAGGTTTCCTACATCTACGGCGTCTAAATCTCTGGCATACCAATTCCAGAAAACATGACCTGGCCATCTGAACCCGCTTTTCATTTCAGGCGTATCTGTTATTGAAAGATAGTCCAATTTGTCCGACATTTCAGTCCAATTGAAGTTCAGACCACTGTTTTCCGGCGTAGGAATGCTACATGGGTCTTCCGATATATAATTTTAACTTACTCGTATTTTAGGAAGTTTATTATGAGTTCTGCAAAGATCTCGGTAACTCTTTTGTCTAGTTGCCAATTTCTATCTTTTCTTGTCTCCAAGAATCTCGGTTCTTTCTCGAATAGGAAAACCTCGTCAACTCCATGGAAAGCTCCTGCAAATACTCAAATAGGCAACGCTCCACTATAGACAGAAAACATTATGCGCAGATGCCAAGATTTCTGAAATTCTTGCAAATATCCTCAATACTACTGTATCCTTGCAAAAGTGTGTATTTTACTTTTTTTTCTTAAGTGGTACTGTTAAAATAGTATCGTTAATTGTTTTCATAAGTAGTACTGTAAAGCAATTAGTCATTTTTTGAAATTTTTAAAAAAGACTGGATTTAGGAGTGTTCGGAAAATCATGTTCATTCGTAATTTCACGTTAACGTCATTTTGAAAAATTCTGTAAAATTAATAACCCTAGTTCGCAACTATAGAAAGCCTAAAAAAATTTTAAGATTCAATTTTGTTTCAATTTTGCACTATTTTAAGACTGTATTAAACAAAGCACAAAGAGTTACTACCTTCGACAATCCTAATTTTCGAAACCCAAGAATGAACATGGTTTTCGAAACCAGCACCACTGAAACCCCAATCCAGTATTTTTTTTAAAATTTCAAAAAATACTTTATAACAGTACTACTTAAGAAAAAAAGTAAAGATCACATAAAATACATTTTTTTCAAAGATACAAGGGTATTGAGGGTATTTGCAAAATTCCGGAAATTTTAATAATGACGGCCATGCTCAAATATTATAATTTTTCTATGAACTTACGATCGGTCAGGAAGTTCTCGCTCACATGGTCGAAGGAGTACAGGAAGACTGGGACCTGTTTCGAATAGGAGTTGGCTAGTCGTGAGGCTGGGGCGTCGTACCAGAAATGTGAGTACATCTGGGACAAGTAGATTTGAATATTTTAAAATTACCTTACCTGAAGCATTGATTCTTGTAAAATTTCTTGATCAGATGAGGGATCATTCTTGGTCCATATATATTGATGTTTACATCCTTCAGCAATCAATCGATGATTCGAAAATCCGGTATAAGAATTAGTGAGATTCATGGCCAGATCTTCGGCTATCTGCGTATCCATTGCAGTAAAGTTGACCTCTTTCTCGTTTAGGACCACTGAAAACAAGATTCTCAAAGCCTGCTTACAAAATAGGAAGGAAAAGCGTCACTAAAAGGGAAAGAACTTGGCTAATCGCAAGCATTGTGACGCAAGGGAAATGAGTGAGACTTGTAAGTAAGGGCGGGGAATCTAGAAGATGCTGGCCAAATAATGGCTGCATTGAATAAGACAAACAAATCTCCGCGTTTTATGAGCTACTTACGAAGTCTCAATGAACTCTCATCCCTGGTCGTTCCCAGCATAATTGGGATTTTGGGGATGTTTGGATCGGCCAATAAGACCTCTGGCGCATCCGGGATAACTCCGTCTTCTCCATCGATCACTGGCACAAATTCTTCATAATCATCGTAATGAACTCGCTGAAATAGGGAACTTTCAAAAATTATTTTAAAATCGACGTTACCGCTGTATCCAAGATTTCGTCTTTGAGTTGTTTCTTGAAACAATCCAACATCTGAGATGAATTGAAGGATCTGCAGTGTAGCTTGGTGTCTAATGCTAGAGTGGCCGCTACTGCCGACTCTCTGACTACGCCGGGACTGATGGCTGTTCCACTTAGAAGTACTACTTTGTGAAATAATCCAACTGCTCGGGGAGAGAGGGCAAGAAGCGAAGCACAAGCTGCTCCTGACCCTTGACCCATCAGCATGATATTGTTGGGATCTCCACCGAAGACAACAGCGTTCTCTTTTACCCATTGCAAGGCCAGAATCTGGTCCCAAAGGCCGTTGTTACCCGGTATTGTGCTGTCGCCAGTAGCTATGAATCCTGAAATGAGAGGTCAGAGATTATCCCGACTGAATTGTCCAATTAGCCCAAAGTGCAAAAGTCACGTCGATGGCTATTTAGGGCTTGAAGGCATCAAAGATTAAGCTATCGTAAGATTTGTAATAGAGCACTCACCTATTGGTCCTAATCGATAATTAATAGAAACAAAAATAACTTTTCGTGATACAAAATTGTTCAAAATCGCATCTTGAGGATAATCACTGGCTGATCCTGACTGGAAGTTTCCTCCGTGGAGCCAGACAATCACTGGATATGTGTCATTTGTGAACAATGGTGGTGCGAAAACATTCAGATATAGACAATCCTCGGATATATGGATCTTGTACAGATTCTGAGGGTCTGTAGATCGAGTTCGGGGCAGCTGAGCGCACATGGGAGGGTATTGAGTGGCATTCATAACACCCCGCCAATGAGCTGGAGGATCTGGTTTCTGGAAGAGGTGAGGGTGAGCTTGGATTCACTTACTTGGAATCTGAGAACGCCTACGGGTGGGGCAGCATAAGGAATGCCTTTGAAGACGGCGAAGTCATTGGCGCCTATCGTCTGAAATTTGTATCATTTATTTTGTTCTTTACACAAAAGCAACATACCAGATATTCTCCTCTGATGGATCCCGAATTGATGGTTAACTCGATGGGATGGGTGCGGCGTGGCTGGGCCGTGCATGTCCGGAAATATGTAAAGGTGAGCAACAAACTCAGCACAGATGACATGATCTAAGACATGATCTGTACCAAATGGCAGTGTTGTAAAAGGCACGACCCAACTGAGTTCGGGCTTCAATTCATCTGAAACCATGGTTTATCATCATCTATTATATATCTCTTATGTTGTCATAAACAGACAGTATCTGTCATATGACATCACGCAAGATTCGTCAAACGAAACCCAAATTTATCAAAGTAGGGAGGTCGCGACATTATACACAAAAAATAAATGTCTCGGCTCTAGTTAGAGAGAAGACCAGCATATATAAAGCCAAGGCATTTTGATGTATAGTTGCCGCACAAGTTTGTTATCCGACCCCGAGGTCGGGACTTCTGACCAGCGGCGATTCCGGTTCCTCCGGAAGACCGTGCTTGGAATGTTCTTGGCAGTGCCGGGTCTCGGGCTAACGAACCCCAACCCGAGATTGGAATCCAAGTGAGGCGGAGGGGTCTTCTGAAGCCAGCAGACAGCACTTCTGCATTGCGCGGCTTTTCTAAGACATTTTTTGTGGCCTCGGAGATTTTACACCAGCGGGACGGAAGAGCCGAGAAACCAAGAAGATTTGTTTTTGCAAAGACTTTCGGGCCTCGGGGCCATTCCCTTCTGAATCCCCATCTGGGATGCTGGCTACGTTTTCGACATGGATCGATGTCGTCGGTTTTTGTGTGGCCGCCGCTTTTTTTGCTTTTACTCAAATACATCCGCACCCTTATCAGTAGTGTTCTTCTGGGTTCGGGCCTCCAAATTTGTCATCATACTTCATTATAATTACTGCAGAACACTCTTAAATTATTGAGGCTTAAAAGCGGACGTTGAGTTTGACACGTTTGATATTTAGGTGCGTGCTTAACAAAAATGGTGATGAATTTTTAAAGGGTCGTATGTAAAAAGAATTTGGACTTAACGGCTTCGCTTGAATTGGGCTTAATGAGTAATTGGAAGACTCAAATGCACACAGGCAATCTATAATATCACCGAAACACCAAAAACACATGAGAAAAGATGCAGACTCAGAATTCATATTATACACATGAGAAATCCCGGCGTGAGATGTTTGACAGGCTTTGTAGAGCAATAAAATGTAGATTACTATTTGGCTAGCTACATTATTTGCAAAGCAATCGGCTAGCCATTTTTAAACTTTTTAAACAATTTCGCAAAACGATTCCAGTTCGTATATTTTTTGTCTAGTGTTATGTATTATTGCCGACTCTGCATGCCACATTTACATGGTTAATGTCATTCCTAGAGAAGGTGGTGGCCCAGGTGGAATACCTGATCTAATTGTAATTCCCCTAATGGTGACAAAGTCAGCTGTTTTCTGGGGTTTGTCTGTTATTATTTTTGAAAATAATTGTAATTAACATGGCTTTCCTTAGAGTTTCGTATCTTGCGACAGAAGATTCTTTTTCAGGGTAATCAAGTATAATTACTCGTTAGGTTGTTTAACGGAGGTTGTGGGACTGCAGGTGACATGATATGGTTCGAAGAGCATTTTTTTAAAACGAATTATGCCAACAGATTTGTAACGGAGGCCGGTTAATTATGCGTATTACATTCCAAGCGTTTCAACTCTTACCTCAAGCGGCACTCAAGAAACTACATCAGTAATTGCCCTTGACTTAATTTCATGGTCCCGACTATTTCAATTACGTAAACGCATGGAACCTGTCATTAAGTCGTCCCTGGTATCAATTATGATGACATCCTTGATGTAAACGGGCATGTGGTTTCACTTTCACAGTTCGTCATTCCCTAGTGCATGATTGGAGATAGTTAGTTGATACTCATTTTGTTGCAGGATTGTTAGTAGGCTAATTGCATGTCTCTCTTCCATCAGGTCTATATTATTATTGGGTCTAGAACTTTTTTCTGGCTTTAGATATTACTGTTTTACGTTTTCTCCATACAATTTTAGTGTCTCGATTGAGTTACACAATTCCAAAGGTCGTTGTGTACTTTTAGCTCTGTGTGGAATCCTTTAATTCCCGAGATTCGGAAACCCACCAAGACGCCATTATACGAACTCATTATCCTTTTTCTTAGATCTTGCACTATATACATCTGTCGCTCACAGCGCCGGCTGTTATGCGCACTGAAAAAAATCATTCTCTTGCGCGCTTATCCATCTATAATAGATTTATATGTAGATATGTTCAGAATCAAAGTTGTTATTGTTCGACTGTAAATTATATACTAATACAGTATTTTTATTTTTAAGAATATTACTAAGGTCTGTCTCGCTCTATACGTATATAAATAAAATTAGTCGTGATCTATAACAGTGCAGTAAGTTAGGATTATATTCCAAGGACCATAATTCTAATAACCAGCTTTATGACTATCTAAGTGGGCGCAATTACAATGACGTTCTTATCCTTCCCAAAACCAGATTACTATGTTTATAGTGGTGTTCTGGACCCCTCCCTACTTCCGCCCGTCGTTCATTCAAACCTAATTTGTGAGGTGCCATTTAATTTTTCTTTCCTTTGCACCTGTTTCTACAAACCAACGTGTTTTGAAGAAGAGCGGCCATAATGTCCAAAACGTTGGCCATTTCGAGAATTTTTTCCTTTTCTTGAAATCTGAAAAACGTGGGATTTTGCAGTCTTAAGTCATTGTACAGTTTTGAGTTGTTTTGTTAAGGAGTAAAACAGGTTGTACTTTCACTGCGCTTGTAGATAGTTATTTCTGCAGAATAATTCATTGAATCCGTATGTTTTATCCTCTCAGTGCAAGCTTTAAATCGGCTAATTTTGGAGGCTTCAGAAGTGGGTCCCGCGAGGGTATTACTTATTAAAACCAATGTCTGCCGTCTCATCATTTTCTGCTTGAGCCAATTGTCCATTCCTTAAGATTGTTTGGGTGGTAGAACCCAGTAACTAGTTACGGCTTTGTAAAAGTAGCCCCCCCCCCCCACACAGGTCATTATTGTTTTGGCACTCCTTCCGCCCTCGGGCAAAACAAGGCCATGATTGGATTTCCTGCCTGCCGGGGGCTTTGGGGCGGCTAACTATACATAGTTGTATTACTCGGATTACCGTCTTAATTTACTTTCTTTTTATTTCAACACTGATCTCTGTAGAAATGGGTACCACCCTCTAACTACATTAGCCACTTGACACCTCCATTCCTACAAATACCCTTTTCGGAATGAAATTATAATATTCATGGAAATTCGGCGATATGTATCTATCCGGATGGGCTGTGTTTTGGGAGCTCCATTCGGTTATGGCCAAAGGCTTTTTTATGGCCGAAAAGTCGAGCGAAGAGGTCATTTCCGTCCGGTCTGCCTTAAGGAAAGCGAGGTGCCATTCCGCCCCCCCCCCGTCCCTCACCCTCCTCCCGCCTTTCGAATTTCGGTGCTAAGGAGATAGCACCAGAAGTTATAGAGATGGGGCTAATATGGGTAGGTCTATACTGCTCTAAAGCTTATCAGACTGGATTAGAAACAAATTGTCTTGTATGCAGTATACAGTTTTCTTGGCACTCTTCTCCCAAAAGTAATTCAATTTGCTCGAATGTGGGCAAAAAAGAGGAACAGACAGAAATGGGAGATGAGCAGACCGGGAGCTGTTCTCGATAATATAACCTTTTGACAGTACGGGTCCTTCTTTTCTAGCCGGATCCACCTTCTTCTATTGCCCTCCTCGAAAGTTCGCAAATGGCGTGTCAGGTTTGAAGTGCTCCATTGTCCTTCTACCCTGCGGCGTTCTTCTAGCTTTTGTGCCTGCAAACGGCTTCTCGTTGTAGTATACTAAATTGTAGCTTTAGTCGATGATTCTGCGCAATGATTGTATCCTTCAATGCACAATGTTATGTATAAATGCGTTTGCATGTCCAACACTAAGCAGGCTTCGTTGACATTTGTTTTTACATTACATTTGCATGATACTGCTAAATTTGGGTGTAATAAGTATTTTAAGAAAGCGTAGTGTAATGTTCGTATCCTAGTGTTCGAGAGAACAGCATTCGAAGGACCATCAGATGAGATGGTCGTTCGCTTTATTGCTCCCTTCTCATTTTGTGCTAATTTTGGGAGAGGTTATAACCGGTTACCACTAAATTCCAAGTTGTATAGATACCCATAAACAAAGTGTTGTTTTATGTTTATTCTATTATTCTGATGCCTGGAGTACTCAAATATTTTTTACATTTTTCTTACTCATTACTGGGCCGAACGTAAAAGCCACCTTATTTTCTCGAATACTCCGCCTCAAACGGCCTGAGGGCTTGATAATTATTCCCCTAGCGCGTCATCAAGCCGGCTCTCAGGGGACGACGCATTTAATGTCAGCGTTCATAAAATATGTGACAATCCGTGTTCTGTCTGAGTAATCGAGCCCATTTTTGCTCGAGTAACTAAACTTTTATTTAAATTTACACCCCCCCCCCCCCTTTTCTTCTTCTCCCTAGGCCCTTTTTCAGCTCTGATGCCTCTGGAATAAAAGCACGACGGTGTTGGCTTTCCGAGGTCGGGCAAAATATTTACGTATTTCTTATATGAACGGTTTGCAGAGTTTATCCTGCCGTCCAATCCTACCATATCTATATACTTTATTCCCAAGTCCAGCCAAGATTAACGTCTTCACTCGCTGCCTGCCCTCGCGAAGGGCTCCGGCCGTCCAGGAGAAGAAGGCTGTACCCGATTCGCCTGTCTCCGTGGCTAGTCGTGACTCAGACGAAAGCGCCTTATCAAGTAGTTCCACCGATCACGCAGTCAAACTCCAACCGCAGATCCCACTCGGATTACCGGAGGGTGCCGAGAAACGACTGCCACGCCTGGACTCGCCCATTCTTCTGGGTAAGTGGGAAGGGCATGGAAAGTGCAATCTGTTTAGAATTGGGATTTGTCCAGAAAGAGAATAGCACGCGTTTCTCCGCGGCCTTTGATCCGTGCAGACCTTATAATGCCCTTAGGGCAGGTCTTTTCGTTCTCGCCAGTCAGTTTTTTGGGTCCGGAGGCGGACGGGTGTTAGGACTTCCATACATTTCTATAATATTATGATATTCGAAATTAATATCTTGGGAAGGAAAACAACCCCAAACTCAGGGCATTTTCACAATGTATTGTGGTTATAAATTTTTGGATTCAATTACTAAATGATAGACGCACCATTTGTGGACCTAATTTTGATTTGCCATTTAACCAGATATACAGTAAAAATCCAGGAACAATTAGAAAATGTAATGCATAAGTGCTAAAAGGCCTAGGCTGTATCTGTGGGTGGAGGTCGTCCTCGGAAGTGGCCGAACCAGGTTCATCAAGACGCCTTAGGGCCTTCCTCCAAAGCGCGGAAGGCCTCTTCCCCCGGCCCTAATAAGCTCCACTTTTAGTTGCTTCGTTTTCTAATAATTGTATTCTGGCCATGTCTGGGCCCTTCACCTTCCCCGCTAATTAATCACTTTACAGAGACCAGTCGAAGAAAGATCCTTGCCTTTGTACACGGATCCAAAGACGTTGTTATTTCGACCGGCCGAGCAATTGGAAGAGTTGTAATGGGAGCCAGTTCGAGTTCGTCTAGTCCCGAACCAGATGACATCGAAAGTATGGCCACTAGACTCCATCAGCTCCTTCTCCAGAAACCGTGCAGGATGAGTGATATGTTGAAGGTCATTGGGTGAGTAATTCACTCACCCCCTATGAAACGCGAAAATATTTTTGAATGAATGTCTCTGTTCATACTATTCCTTACAGAATCCTCGGAGAAACCACACCTGGAGAGAAACAGGAGCTCATCAAGCTGGGAGTCCTTTCCAGAATCTTATCTGAAATCGAACAATGCTCACATCTGGAGCACTTAAATCCACGACAAAGTTCTGGAGACGAGAAACGACGACAAAGAATTTGGACCCGCAGACCAAGTACAACATCATCGAATAGAGGAGTCGGATATGGAAGGGGATCTACTAAATCCAGGTGGGATATTGAAAGGACTGTGGAAGAAAGAATTGCTCAAGAAGAACACCTTATGTGGTTGCTCTGTTCTTTGACTACCTTCCTTTGTGGCGATGCACTCAGTCTGTCAGAATCCACATTAGATTTAACCCCGCCTAAAGATCAGCCAGTAATTCAAGGATATGTGATCGACGAATTGAACAATTCCCCATTGTTATCCTTATTCGAATATCATTTCAATAATGACAGTGTATTCGATATCAGTCAGCATATGGATTTCTATCAAGTGAGTGAAATCAGATATTTCCGAATGCCTTTAGGCCCTAATCGAACTCGCCGCTGCCCTCGCATATGTCCCCGACTTCTTGCCCTTAATGGTACAACCCAGACCTGATGCCAAGTCTATCGTCAAGGAGTTGTTACCTCGTTTCAAGGCTACTTTGAATGCCTATCCGAGTTCAGTACGAGGACAATCATCACCTGACTTTGCTTTAATGGACTTTATTCGAAAGGTGAACGATCTCTCTGATGTAAGTTCAAATTATTGAAACGTCATCGTAGTACCTACCGGGATAAATGTCCCAGTTATTCGTTATAAAAAATATTGTTGTTTCATGTTGAAAATGAACTCTTTGCAACCGAAATATTTTCGTAAACACTTTAAGAATGTCTAGTTACTTACGGCATGCACGCAGACACACAATTACAACAACTACAATGCGCCTCTTTTTAGATAATCTTCAAGCTTACCAAGAAATACGAAATCAATTTACCCCCGGAACGGAGAATAAAGACGGCGGTGATTGGGACAAGAAAAAGACCTTCGATTCCGATCGAACAAATAAACCCGGAGACATTGGAGACTGGGAACGCCCCTGTTTCAATAAATGCCATCTATGCCGAGGCTCTGCAAGATGTTCAAATTCAGACTCACAAGTAAGTAGAGAATGTCATGCAACTTTGCATACTCCTCATACTGTAACATAATGTCGGTAATTTATTTCTTGCTTCCCTTTGCTTGCAATAATAATCTAACCTGTGCAAAGTTGTACTCCAAAACACAAACTAGGTATCTCATTTGAAAATGTAATACTCCTTTATTAGGCCATCTACCTTTTTCGATTTGTAGCCCAAAGGGCCGACGTCAATGCGAAGCCGTTATAGTTATTATTCCCGTTGTTTTCGAAGTCTAGACAAAACGGTGGGAGACGTTGGTGCCAATGACAGGCCATTTTTGGGCATTCTCGTGTAAAAATAATTGTGAAAAGATCCACGAAATTAGCAGATAATTTCCAAAAATACTCCGGGATTAAGACAATCTAGGCTGATGACCTCTAATGCATGTCAAAGACAACAATAACTATGAGCACATATCACTCCGCTGTTTCACATCTCATTTAATTGTAACGTGTGATAATAACCATAATGACGTCGAAGACCTGAATAAAAACAACACCATTCCCACTCCCTCCTCCAGATGCACATCCCAAATTAATCCTTGCGTTTTCCAGAATCCTGAATGAAGGTGGGAAACCGCTCTATGGCTTCACATTCAAGAAAGAACTCCGGAATGTGAATCCCTTCAGTCCATCGATGAAAGATCGCACCAAGAGAATTGCGAAGGAACTGGCCTCAATGCACAACTCCCTTCCTTTGAATGCATCTAATGGAATCTTTGTCTGCATGGACGAAACTAGATGTGACATCCTCAAGATATTGATCAGTGGCCCCGATGACACCCCTTATCAGAATGGCCTCTTCGAATTCGACGTCTTCTTCCCCAACAATTACCCCCAGGCACCTCCGAAGTGTTCGTTCCTAACCACTGGTAGTGGTACCATCAGATTCAACCCTAACCTCTACAACGATGGAAAGATCTGTCTTAGTATTTTGGGGACTTGGGAAGGCCGGCCCGAAGAGAAATGGAACCCTTTTTGCTCTCTGCTTCAAGTGCTTATTAGTATCCAGGTAAGACTTAAAAAAGGTTCTAATGCATTACCGCAGAATTGCACTTTGCAGTGCCCTTGTGGCTTAACGACGGATTTCCTCACCGAAAAAGATCTCTGTTCTCTAATTATTAATGTGCACTCTGTCCACTTCCTCTATTTCTAATTATAAATTATGCAAATTTGTATTCTTTTCAGGGTTTGATTTTCGTCAAGCATCCCTATTTTAATGAACCCGGCTTTGAGAAGTTCCAAGGGACCCCCAAGGGAGAAGAATACTCGAGGAAATACAATTTGCATATTGAGAATGCAACCATGTTGTATGCCATCATGGACATGTACAAAAATGGGCCGACCTACTTCAAAGATGTCATCCAAAGACATTTCTGGGTCAAAAGACAAGCAGTCATTGAGCAGGCCGAGAGATGGATCAAAGAATCTCATCTCGAGGCCAACCAGGCCAATCAAGAATTGATGGAGTCGGAAGCCCTGGCCGAGACTGCTTACATCAACCCCGTTCTTCAGGTAATTTAGTTTTTGTAAACTATAATAGTTACCTAGTCCCCAGGTTGAACCCGACCATACTTTCGTTGAAATTTACAATTCAATTTCGTCGACATACCTTCTCTAAACATGTTATTACTAAGTTTAATTATATAGACAAATCATGTTCCCACACGAATTCCCATTATAACAGAGACTTGGAAAACGTTGGGGAGATAATTAGACGTGTGACTTGTCTGTAAACAAGATAATAAGGTTTCACACCTCACTAAATTATTTTTTAGCGTCAAAGTGTGGATCGCCTAATCGCTGAATTCAAAAACATGAAGAATCCCATGGAAAAGTGAAATACGATGAACGTATACGAGTTACACGGAAGGGAGTACCACTTATCTCTACTTCCTCACTATTGCACCTCAAAACAAGCCATTAAGTTGTTGATCATCAACAACCGTAACTGTTTTCGTTGAATGCCTTCCGCAGTAATTACTTTTACTTACTCGTCCGCTCATATCACCTCCCTCAACCTCAGAAAATGTAATAATTTGAATGTAATAATAATTCCAAGGTTCTTATTACCACCTTTGATTATGGGTTCAATTTAATTTGCATAATTTATTCGAAATAAAATCATTTCGAAAGCAACTTTGGACGAATTATTGGTTAGACATGGCTTTGAAATCCAGCAAGTCCGAAGATCGGTGCTCCAGATGCCAGAGAGAGGTGAGAAAAGGGTCATATGATTACACGTTAATGTAATTCGAATCAAAGACATCATTTATAAGTAAATATTATTATTTTTAAATCTTAAAAGCAAAAAAATTGGCGTGCAGTCACGCACGAATTTGGGTTTGAAGATACGCGGCAAAGCGGTAAATGATAGAACAAAAATAAACACAATGAAAAAAGTAAAAATATAATTCCAGAGATACGTGAAGGGCATCGCCTCGATCGCCGTGGAACAAAATAAGAAATTGGACTGGTCGATCGCCCGTTACGCCATACAAGCCGTCCTCTGGCTGATTACCTTCATTTTATTCTACATTACGTACAAAAGAGAGGTCATCTGTCAAAGGCTTTCGGCTCAAAACACCTCCATTTCTGTTGTAAAGGAACAATAAATTATATATTTTCGCTGTACAGTACTTGTCGTTTTGTGGTCTTCCGGAAGTTATGAGAGAAGCCCTCCTCCACGAATTCCTTCTGTTCGCAAACTAAGTTCGGATAAATCAAGGTCAAGATGTCACTTACGGGGTTGATCTTCCCTCGAATCCGCCCATCGGAATGTTTTGGACCTTCCCTCTGACTCGGGGGTATCCCTTCGAAAGCACGATTTTGTTGGCGGTGATACTTTTAGTGTTGGATGCACTAAAAATGTTAATGTTACCCAAAAAAAATAAGCAGTAAAGGCCGCAAGGACTCACAATCTGTAACCACAAATATCCTGTTCTTCTTGCATCTCTTCCCTTTGTATCGCACAAGAACTCTGCCTGACCCTTCGTTCTCATTACTACCCGAGGGTACAGTGATCCCTTCACCATTTATAATTCGATCACTTGCATCTTTCTGGGGTTCTCCAGTCTCCTGATCCAATGGAATCGGAGACTCATTCGTCTTGATATCTTTTAATTTATACTTCTTCACTAACTGAGTAGGGAACACGGAGCACCTTCGTTTTGTTCCTAAATTCATCACAAAAAAATATAAATTAACTTACTTTGAACATTTAGAGGAGGAATAACAGGAGAATCGATTTCTTCTGCGTTCTCTTTATCTAAGATAGTAATCCTGACATAAGCACAATCCTACCTTCAGTTAATGGCGTATCGTTCACAATGCCTTTCTCCGTCAATTCGTTTGACACTATACCATCGTTAGCTTCCACTGTCTCCCCATTTACATATTCTGGGAACTCAGAAGGTTTTGAACCAATGACATTTTGAGCCCGTCTTCCGGCTCTTTTATCAATTTCTGTCTTGTCCATACTTTTTTCCGGTATTGTTGGCTGAACTCCAATCGTCTTTTCTACGTTGTCTATGAGGGCGACACTTTTATAATTAACACCGCCTTCTTTTTCTGTCTGCAATGAGTTTCCAGTATGCTTCACGTGACTGATACTCTCCCGAATGAGCTCGGGGGTCGGCTGAATAACTGTTATTGTCTCAATCGTTTTGTTTAAAATATGTACAACACTTTCTTCCTCGTTTCTATCAGGCGTAATAACATCAACTAGAATTTCTCTCGAACAGCATGGCGAAAAAGACGCTGGCGCTGTATCTTCCGATTTGTTTGATTTTTGCCTTTTTAATATGTTTGATGGTCCCTCTCCTGCGCTTGGCGCATTTTCTTCATCGACAACTTCCCTACCGTGCTCAAAATCTTCTAAAATCAAAAAATCAAAATAAAGAGTAAAATCATACCTTCCAAGTCTGCAATGCGGCTGCAGCTTTCATCCTGTTCGTGTTCATCCTCAGAATCGTCATTCGTTTCCTCGTCTTCATCTTTCTCTTCCAAAGCCATCATCTCACTCTTCCGAACGGCTACAGATCGCCTAGCGAAAACCCGGCCAGAGCGGGTGGTAGAGCAAGAGTACCTCTTGGACATGGGCGGAATAAGTACAAAGTTACACAAAATTCGACGATATTCGGAGAAAAAATTCAAAAAAATAAAGAACGCCACGAGATGAATGGAGAGACGAAGTGTCAATATCGACTACAGAATAGATAGACCAGGTCGCACGCCACGAAAAACGTAAGGCAAAATTGGAAATAGAGATTTCGAGCTGCGCCCAATATTTTTGATTTTTTTGATGGAATGAATATTGTGTAAGATAGTATTGTAACTCTGAGATTTGGAACAATTTCGGGAAGTATATTATCTTTAAAATTACGTTGCTTTGAGTTTCAAGTGTTGAATGTAACGGATGAGTCCATGGAGCCCGGCCCACCGCGCTGTGACCCAAACATTGATTCTGCAGCTATGGACGTGTCTTCAGAAAAGGTAGGATTTCTCTTTTTGCACCCAGATTTTTGATTAATCGCCATGTGGTGTTGTGTGAGACATCTTAGCGGACGTTATAAAGAAGAAATCGGGAAATTTTACTATAGAAAAAGGGCACTTGTCAGTTCATTATTGCATCATTTTGCAGGAGCTGATGGTGTCTCCAGAAAAGGTAGGATTTCTCTTTACTCATCCGGTTTAGGTACAAAGGAGCCGATCTGATTTGTGTGAGGCATCCTAGCGGACGTTATAAAGAAGAGACCTGGAAGTTTTACAGTTGAAAAAGGGCGATTGTCGGTTCATTACTGCATCGTTCTGCAAGAGCTGATGGTGTCTCCAGAAAAGGTAGGATTTCTCTTTTTGCACCCAGATTTTTGATTAATCGCCATGTGGTGTTGTGTGAGACATCTTAGCGGACGTTATAAAGAAGAAATCTGGAAATTTTACTATCGAAAAAGGGCACTTGTCGGTTCATTATTGTACCATTTTGCAGGAACTGACGGAGAAACGCAAGGAAGGACTGGAGAAGGCGTGAGCAAAGCTGGATCAGAGGAAGCAGACGACGTTTAGAACATTTCAAGGTAAGTTTGTGACGTTGCCTTTTTGATTTTTTTGTTTTTCTAGGCCATTGAGCTAATAATTTTCTCTGGTTATACCTAAAATAATATAATTGATATTTCAGCCGGTCCATGTTGAAGTAGAATGTGAAAGCCAGCATAATGTACCCATGGGTGTGGAGATTGAATTCCGAGTTCAGATTGCATCCGACAAATTCGATGGATAGTCGAAAATTTATGTAGTTTTAATTATTCTTATTGGTTTGATGTTTAGGTGGACATAAAGAAGATTTGATGAATTTCAATTTAGTATTGGTCTGTTGTAGCAGGATCAAAGCCCTGCAAACCCCGGAAGAGCTCGAATTCGGTCAGATTCATCGATTTTGATCCAATTTTGCCTAGTACAATATAATTTCTTTTCTCTTCTTTGATCAATCTAAGAAGTTTGGGGTGCATCTCCTAGATGCCTTTCGATGCTTTCTCGCCGGTTTCACACGTAAATTGTTGTTTATTAGAATTTTGGAATCATTTTTGTTATTTACTTGAAAAGGTTTCAGCGTATGAAATGTCGCAAAACATTTTCCCGCGAATTTCTCTATTTCCACTTTTTTCGTGGCGTGCAGGTCGGCTTCATGGAAATTAGACAGAGTGATAATGGACGGAGTGAAATTGGACAGAGTGAAAATTGACGGAGTGTGGAAATTGGACAGGGGGAAATCGGACAGAGCAAAATTGGACAGATTTTTTCCACTCCCAAAAAAAAATATTTGATGATTCAATAGTGACATTTCGTACGATTGCGGCGAAAAAAATAGCTGTATGGAAACTGGACGGGAGGAAATTTTTTTTTGTATAAATCGCATTTTTTCTTTTACAAGACAATTGTGTGCAAAATCCGTCCAATTTCCGCCCGTCCAATTGTCCAATTTCCATGAAGCCAGCAATCAGGTCTAGCACAAAGAAAGATTTTATTGAAATAAAATAAGCATAATAGAGAAGCCCTGTTTACTCTTTCTTGTCGAAGGCGTTTGGAACAGCAGCCAAAGTCTGAAAAGATTTATTGTTTTAGGTAATAGTTGAATAACGTACCTGATAGTTCGGATCGTGAGTAGCAGCCACTCCACCACCATCGGTCGGCGCACGAGGGGCCTGCTTCTTGTCGAAACAATTGCCGTCAACAGCGGCCAAAGTCTGCAAAGTTTATGTTATTTATCATGTTGATCTTACCTTGTAGTTGGGGTCATTTGTCGCGGCAACCGCACCTTTCTCCTGAGGGGGGTGGGGACCATCTCCATCATGCGATTTGTCTTTTTGGGCACCTCTATTCTTCTTAAACAAGAAATATGAGATAAAGAAAACACAAAAGATTACCTTCTTCCCAGAGTTGATCAGACAAACTGTCAGAAGGGCCGGGCATGACGTCACGAACAAGACTAATGCCAACATCATGACTTACAAAAATTGTAAGAAACCGACCGATAAGATCGCTACGAAGTCGGTCTTCCCTTTTCGAGTGATATTGCAAACAACAATAAAAATCAAAAGTAAAATAAAATTGTTTAATTAAAAATTTTTATGCCAACGTGATTCTTTCCCCAAATTTGAATTCCTTTTGATTCCTCTTCTTATTTTTGGATTCCATCGTCTGTTTGAATGATTCCTCCAAATGTTCTGTTTGAATCTTCTCGGAGCCAACCCTCGAGGCTTCAAAGGTTGCATTTACAATTAGGCCGCGCAGTTCGGCCGCTGACCAGGAAGCAGTTTTCAAGGCGAATTGGTTGAGGTCTGAGGGTTTCTCAACTTCCATTTCTTTCGTTAGTTGTTCCAATATGGCCAAACGAGAGAACTAAACATATAATGATTTAAATTAATGTGACACCATACCTCATCTGGATGATCTACATAAATTTTATGATCAAATCTTCCAGGACGAAGTAAAGCATCATCAATGAGGTCTAATCGGTTTGTGGTGGCCATCACATATATTCCTGAAACGACAAAACATAAACAACAAATTTATTTTAAGTTATTATTATTATACCACCCTACCCTCCATTGAACTGTCGACTCCATCCAATTCGGTCAAGAACTGATTTACAACTCTGTCTGTAACTCCAGTGTTATCGTGGCCTCTTTTTGGAACCAACGCATCAAATTCGTCGAAAACGATCAAGGAAGGTTTGGAACGCCGAGCTCTGCAGGTTTTACGTAATTAACTCTAATTGAACTTACTTCTCGAACACATTTCTCACATTTTCCTCACTTTGACCGATGTATTTTGAAAGTAATTCGGGTCCCTAAAGGATTTATAGCAATTTAAAAATTGTAAACTGACCTTTACAAAATTTACAGTGAACCCGGTCTCTTCGGCCAAGGCTCTGGCCAATAATGTTTTCCCACATCCAGTTGGGCCATGTAGAATTGCTGCATTCCCCACTTTTACACCGATCTCCTGATAGACTTCTGCGTATTTCGAAGGCCACATGTAGATCTGGACCAGTTTCTGTTTGATATTTTCGAAGCCTCCAACTTGTTTAAATCCCCTTTTATCCTTGTCTTCGTCGTCTCTTCTTGAAATTACATTTAAAAGTTCATCCAGATCATCAGAGGTCACTGCTCTTCCCAAGAATTGTAACTTCACTCGTTCACAAAACCGCATCATTTCCCCCAAATTATATCGAGAGAGATTTTTGTTACGGTAATCATCTTCAATTTGAACAGCAGGTACGAGATGACGAAGAAGGCGGATGTATTCGACCTAAAAACTTATTTTAACCCACTGTGTTCTTACTGTAAACGAGAAGAAAAAGACAAAAAAATAAAACCTCTTCAACCCCATATCGGATAAAACCGGAAAGTCCGAATGCTTTTGTAAGGCTTAGGGGCTTTTCTGACAGCTACAACTTTCCCTTTCTTTGACTTTCCAAATTCCGTTCACTTCAAAGGTATTGTGAACCCCGCTCGGAACGTTTGACTTTTTGCAGACTCTTCCGATGGACAAAATTATTAACGTTTTACGTCACGAATGACCTTGGCGCTGTCAAGGCGTCGTTCCTATAGTTACCAACTCGTTGGCAGTTAAATTAACAATTAATTATATGTTGCGGCAAGTTCGGGAATCGTTGCGTTTTGTAATGTATCTAACAGTTTTTTGAGAACAAGTCTTGATTTTTGGTTTCATAAGTAAAGTAAAACTTTACTCTCCTGTAATTTCAACCGTTTTCCTAAAATTCTTTCCGCTTTTTACCTCCCTCCAGGTAAAATTTGAGTGAGGATTTTAAGAAAAAACTTGTTTTAAGCGAATTCCGGAAGCGTTCCGTCGAAGCGTCGTCGACGCTCTCAGTTCAGGTCAGACGGACGGTTGACGTGGCTGAGGGCTTCTTTCGATCTGCTTATAAGAGAGCCCCTTCCCCTCAAGGTCGTCGGTCCTTTTCTCTTTATTTCGGCATTTATCTCGAGACCGAAAGACCTTTACAGCGACCCTTCCTTATTGTGACATAACGGGTTTTTGATGGTCATTTTTGGGGTTTCTTTTATTCCAGTTCTTGCCTCGAATAAAAATTCTACCCTCTGGTCATTTTTCGCTTGGAGCGGGCGGGAAATAGAGCCGCAGAAGAAAATTGGTAGTTACGCTACATGCCTAGCCTAACATTTACGACCTCAAACTGTATCTTTCAATTGATTTCCTTGTTATTGTTTTCTTATCTCATTCATCATTCCGAGAAAATAATATTTGCTAAGATTTTTTCAACTTTTGAATAACGCATCATTTTGTTTTATTTTTCAGAATGACAAAACAACATGTCGATGCCGGTCCCTTTGGTCAGGCCTTGTCAGCTGAGGCCAAGAAGTTGGTCAACGAAGTCAGACTTCAGATTAATCAACCTATTAATCCATTTGTAAGTACTGGTTTAAACTATTTACGGCTGTTTTTTAGTTCGACAAAGACTTCAATATATATCGTTTCGTTCTGAACGCCGAAAGAGCTTACAAAACACAAAAAGAGACCGTCCAACAGGCTGCCAAAGCGTTGAATAATCACTTAAGATTGAGGAAATGCCTTCGATTGGTAAGATATAGTAATATCAAACACATTACTTTGCTCAGGATGAATTACCGGACATTCCATTTGCCGACAACCCAATCTTCAAGGCCAAATATTTGCCTTGGGGTGAAATTCAACGTAAAACTGACAGCTCCAACAGACTCTTGCAGTACGTTGAATATAAAACAATTACTGTTGAGGTAAGATTGCATAATAGCAAAAAATACTCCGTGTTTTAGTATATTGCTCATTCACTAAAGAGCTCGGACTCTTGCCGATTCCAATTCTGGCAATTCGAACACATTCTCAGACGGGTTAATGAACAAGTAAGTTGGCAACTTCTAACCAACACAACTGGCCCTTATTCATATACATGACTAAATCAATCTTTCAGGAAGAGAAATCGGGTAAATTCTGTTCTGTCCGCCATATTGTAGACATGAATGACTATGAAATCAACCCCTTTACTATGCTCTTTGTGAGTAGTGGTACTCTCCAATACTATTCTCACTTATTCCATTATGAAAACTATCCGGAATTAGTGTATCCAGTCGAAATGGTGAACATCGCCAAGTGGATCTACCTTCCTTATAAAATTATCAAATCTGTTATGCCTGCAGGATTCGCAGACAGATTCCGACTATATGATGGACACTTCTTGCCCAATCTGGAGAATGAAATTGATATTGAAGATATCCCAGAGACTCTTGGAGGCAAAAACAAGGTAAGAAAAACAAAATAACTATTTTAAACAGCCGAGTTTGAGTGTCCAATTATTTCGTTCAGGAAATCAAATGTACCAGTGCTGTTGCCCCGAGTGAAGAAGAGAAATGGCATTGTCATGTCCCTCAGATAGTAAATGCCCTCGAGACATTAGTTATCCACTCAAGGAAAGTGAAGTACTACAAAGTGGAGGTCACAGAAGCCCCAACTACTCTTAGTTGGTACTTCCATACTGACAGTGACATCTATTTCGGAGTGTTTTACGAAGTAAGATTATATACCACTTGATCTTAAACGATTTTAGCAAAAAGATTCGAATAATAACAAGAAGAAAGAAAAGGATGAAATCGACACTGATGCGCTCGAGATGGTCTACCCCATGTTCAAGCTGACCGCCAAACTTGTTCATGAGTATGACTCGATTGAATGCACTCAACCCGGATTTTATTACCTTGTTTTTGGCAACAAACACAGCTGGATGCACAAGAGAACGGTTGAATTAATGGTGCAAGTCAGAACCCAAGATAATGAACTCAGAAGGCTACATCAAGATGGGACTTATCAGAAGATTACGGATGAAGAACTGGACATTGAAAAGAAGATGGCCTTGACCCCTTTCAAGACTAATATATAAAATCATATCTCACAACAAAAAAACGGGATGGCAGAGTATTTAAAATAAAGAGAAGTCTAACCATAACTGACCTGATCTAACTGAGGCATCTCTTTGACCAGAGTAAAGAATCTTCTCCCATTGAAAGTTAGGGCATCGGAAGACAGGAAATGATAACTTCGAGCAGTTGCCACAACAGGGATTTTATAATCAGTGATTAACGACGAAATTTCTAAATATAAAGTGATTGCAATTGATGAATTAAAACACGCTTTGTGAGAAGGTGGGCTTGGCGCTGCCCTAGAGTCGAGTTTGCGTATCTGCATGAAACAATGGTTCTGTCACATTCAGCGCAGTACCCTTATTTTCAACTCGTACTATATAGTATCACTGGTACTATAGCTAAATAGTACCAGAAGTACTATATAGTACCAAGTCTTTTAAACAGCAAAACAACAACACGCCTAAAGGCCTATTTTTCTCCTCGTTCTATGTAGTATAAAATAGTACTATATGGTACCACGAAGAAAAAAAATGAACATTACTTTCAAAACCGGCCCCGAAAAGTTATTTCACGGTATACCTGTGGCACAGCTTCTCGCAAAGCGTCTTTTGCCACTTACTCAAATACACTTTGGATATGAACTTGGACCTTTCCTCATCTTCGAATTCTTTATTCAAAAAGTCGAATTCATCCAAGAATAAAACCGAAGGCCATCTGTTCTGGAGATAACGTAATTTCTGATCCAGAAACAAAGCGATGTTGTCTGGAGACTTCCCTAAACAAAACAAAAGTTTTCACACATGTTTGCCTCACCTTTGAACTCATTGCAGTCCACTTTTAGAGAGAAAACTTTCAGTTTTTGGTATAAACTAGCACTAAGAATCTCTAAGATTGTCGTCTTCCCACTGAATTCTTCTCCACAAATAAGCGTATTAAAGCCATTGCACTCATGTTGCTGACAAATTGTTGAAAGATAGACGAGGATCTCTGCAGAAAAGGTTGATTGAAATTGGAAGCTCTGTAATTTGGAGGGTTTCTCTCCAAAATTGTGGACCGTCTTCTGTTCTGGAGATGGAGGAATCTTGATCTCGTGCTCCTAAAACATTCATCTAGCCAAACCTTCTACACTTACACTCTGTCTAAACTCTGGGAGTTTATCCATCAGAAATACGCCACATTGTTTGGTCGCGTCAATCCCTTCAGTCGGTATTAGTTTTACCTTAAAATGGCCATCTAATCAATTGATACCAATGTTACAAAATTTACCTGGATTGGCCAATGCTACCTCGCATCCAGCCCCGGAAATCAAGAAGGGGACGTATAAATTATTCTTGAAAGCATCTTTCAGCGCCATTTCCAGGGATCTCGGTTTTAACTGAAAATATAACTGAGTAATCAATAGTCAGCGGATAAATAACATTCGATAAAGGCATACTAGAACAGATGAGCTGTACAAGATAGTCTTCAATGGCCGAATCTCGTATTCATTCACCGGAAAACAAAGGATTCTCATAAAAGGTTGAAGCCCTTGTTGTTGCAGGTCGTAGGAAATGTAGCAGTGGCCATTTGGAAGCTGGAAAGTACTGTATTAGTATGCAAAACCAGAAATTAGGGGGTCCCTTCGGGCCCCCCTATTTCTGGTACTTGTACTTGAACTTTTTACCTTTGCTTTTGAATTGTCTGTTAACTTTTGACTTTTTTTTGAAATTTTACGAAAGGCTCGGGGCCTGCGGCCCCTCGCACGCGGTGCTAGCCCTCATTCAAGTACCGAAGCTCACGATGAATGTTACAGTTTCAATTGAAAGGCTCGGGGGCCTGCGGCCCCTGGCATGCGGTGCCACGTCTCATACTGAATGCTGTGAAGACATGACTGGAAGGCTCGGGGGCCTACGGCCCCCTCGCATGTGAAAAGGTTTCCAAACTCCTAAATATGTCAAAACCTATCCGACATTCATCACTTTCCCTAAAAAAATAAATTCCTAAAATTCCTATCACAGTACCACGTACTCATCCCAAAATATGCAAAAGTACCCAACTCTGCACCACTCACTTGCACTCGGCCCCAACCGCACCCCGCACTCACATTTTTGCGACTGACGGCTCCTCAAACCAAAACTTTCTCTCACTAAAATTTCCGAGTTTTCATCAAAGCCCTAACCCAAATTCATCACTTTCCCTAAAAAACAAAATTCCAAAAAATCCTATCGCAATACCACTTACACAATCCAAAATATGCAAAGGTACCCAACTCTGCACCACTCACCTGCACTCGAAACCGACCGCACTCCGGATTCACATTTTTGCGACTGACTGCTCCGCAAACCAAAACTTTGAAAATGATTTTGAATTATTCCCATTTTCCCACGATCGAGACCGATTTTTTGCCTCGAATTTTTCAAAATGAGAATAGATTGGCTTCGGAATGACAGACAGACAGAAAAATGTTCTTTTACATTTAAAAAGGGGACCAGAAATTAGGGGGTCCCTTCGGGCCCCCCTATTTCTGGTACTTTTACTTGTTCTTTTACTCTTGCTTTTGAATTTTCTCGAAAACTTTTGATTTTTTTTGAAAGTGTACCAAAGGCTCGGGGCCTGCGGCTCCTCGCATGCGGTGCCACGTCTCATACTTAATGCTGTGAAGACTTGACTGGAAGGCTCGGGGGCCTGCGGCCCCCTCGCATGTGAAAAGGTTTCCAAACTCCTAACTTTATGTCAAAACCTATCCGAAATTCATCACTTTCCCTAAAAAACAAAATTCCTAAAATTCCAAACAAAATTCCTAAAAATTCCTCACAGTAGGTTAAACTCTGCACCACTCACTTGCACTCCAAGCCCGACCGCATTCCGCACTCACATTTTTGCGACTGACTGCTCAGTTTAGGCACTCCGCAAACCCCGAGCATTTCTTAAAATTGTAGCAATTTTGGATTTTAGCGAAAGTGAACGGGTTGCGATAGCTTTTGAAACAAAATTAGGAGTTTGAAAACTTTTTCACATGCGAGGGAGCCTTTCAATTGAAACCGTAGCATTCATCGTGAGATTGAGTACTGGAATTAGGCCCCTCGCATGCGGCTCCATGCCTGATTCAAATAGCTACACTCACAATGAATCCATACAGTTTCAATTGAAACCCTACGGCCCCCTCGCATGTGAAACCGTTCCTAAAATTCCCAATTTTTCATGAAAACCCTAACCCAAATTCATCACTTTCCCTAAAAAACAAAATTCCTACAATTTCTATCACAGTACCACGCACTTATCCCAAAATATGCAAAAGCTCACCAACTCTGCACCACTCACCTGCACTCGAACCCGACCGCACTCCGCACTCACACTTTTCCGACTGACTGCTCCGCAAACCAAAACTTTGAAAATGATTTTGAATTATTCCCATTTTCCCATGATCAAGACCGATTTTTTGCCTCGAATTTTTCAAAATGAGAATTGTTTGGCTTCACTTTTGCTGCAGACAGACAGATAATGTGACATTCTTTTGCATTAAGAAAGGGGACACCAGAAAATAGGGGGTCCCTTCGGGCCCCCCTTTTTCTGGCACGTCTACACTTTTATTCAACAGCTTGATTCATCATTTTACACTAATTTTGAAGACCGGGCGCCTTCGGCACCGTCCTTTGCCGACAAACAGTCATGATCTTGCGTTAGGAAGCTCGGGGCCCTGCGGGCCCCTCGCGCGTATGCTTTCCTTGTTAATGATCATAAAGACAACACAGATTATAAAAGAACAACTTTTGTCTGTGCATGATGTTGACCATCTTCAGACAACCACTGAAGAATACAGATTATTTAAGAGCAGCTTTTGGGGTCGGGCGCCTGCGGCGCCCTCCCTTGCACAGCACAGACGTTGATTTATAATAGCCGAATTGTCCCAGCTCCACACAGGATTCACTGGCAAACTCCCTTTATTATTTTAATTTTTTGTTGAATTTTGGGCGTCTCCGCACCTTCCTAGCCAACAAACCGTTATTGATCTCGTTTTAAGACGGTCGGGGCCCTGCGGGCCCCTCGCGTATGCTTTCATTGTTGTAGATCAGCGACAGAGAAAGTACAGATTATCAAAGGATAACTTTTACGTTCTCCCTTGTAAAGTATATGAGAGGGTTGTATTGTTCCATGCATCGACGCTCGGGGGCCCTCCGGGCCCCCTCGCGTTTGCTTCAGCATACCACATTACCGAAATATGTTAAAAACACTGTCTTCTACAGAGTAGTCACCTTTAAAAACGGGTTGTCCACACACAAATCTTTTGCATATCGGAAAATTCCCCCTTTCCGGCATGATTCACTCTGAGCCTTTATTTTGCACTTTTAAAACTTTCTAAATTTCTCACCTTTCATCAAACACTCGTCGCAAGCACAACCTTTCTTTCATCACACGCATAGACGACCTCTACAGATATTGCAACGCTTTTGCACATTGCGCACACAAAGAAAGGAGCCGACCGCACACCACACTCATTTTCTCACAGACTAATTTTTGATTCAAAAATTCAGAAATGATTTTGAATTTTCCCACGAATTTCCGAAACTGACCGACATTTTTTCCCCAAATTTTTCAAAATGAGAATAGATTGGCTTCACTCAAAGCGTGACAGACAAACAGAGGGTGACATCCTACTGCATTGAGACGGGGGATTGAGAACAAAAAATTATTTCTTTCAATCAATATTTGTGAAGGAAACCCGTAATTTTAAAAATCAATGTTGTCATTTCGTAAAAAGTTTTTTATTTACCTTGCTCAAAACGTCGTGAATTGTCTCCAAATTTCCATAGAGTGCGGTTGATCTCTTGGGAAGCACCACAAGGTTGATATAGATAGAAGTAGCACCTGGTCGGATAACCCGATATATTGTTGTTTTGACATAATTCTCTGCAATGTTTGTAAACAAATCAGAGATCAGAAAGGCTCAACAACCCCCTCCTCCAAACCAATAGATGTATTTTTGCTTACCGTTTCCTATTGTAACAACTGTAGAATTCGGTAATTTTACCTTCAAGGTTTTCAAATACACTTTGGGTAGAATTCTCAACGTCATTTGAGGTTTTCCTGGGGATATGAAGAATCTTAAAGGATTAAAAAGAGAGACCGAGTCATGGAGAATGTCCGGATGATTGCAACCGGAGCTATATTCAGATAGTTTCGGTTGAGATAATGGAGCGACCATCACTTGAGTAGCGTTTGAGATCAATGCGGGTGCACCCTTAGGCAGTTTAGGACCAATTTGAACTGAAATTCGGGGTTTAAATACTCTGAATTGGATATATAAGGATGGTGCAATTAAATATTTATCTTATGGCAAGAAGTCCCGATTTCTTGGCTGGATGGCTCCCAGTCAAGAAATGCCAAATTCTTGACCTAAATTGTGTAGTGTTGCGCAACTTTGCTCTCTGCTGATTAATAGCGCAACCTTTCATTTGTGGACAGACCTGGCATCGGCCCAATATTTTATTTATTGCCGATATTGCAAAGTTGTTGGACTCATTGTTTGGCATGAGAGCTAAAATTTTCTTTCCGCTTGCCAAAAAGTTGTATGGGCTGTGAAGCCACGGAAATGTCTAGCCAAAAGCTGGAATTGGTGTCGAAAGTAGGAGTGACAGCCGACCCCAATAAATGGCTAGCCAAGGGGCTCTAGGCGGGGTCAAAGAAAAAAAAATGGCCTTCTTCTACCCCAAATGAAAGGTTGCCATAACGGAGGTTTTTTCACCCAGGCCTGGGAAACATGATGACGCTTCCCAAGCCGTAAAAAGCGCGATGCAAAAGTAGCGGTACTGGCCCTTTAATCCCGAATTGTGATGCTTTTCAAACCCACTTACCAACTTTGAAATTAATAGAAATGCCTGAGGACAAAAAGAGAACGAATGGGAGATCTTCCTGGACTACCCTGAGTTGCCTCAGAAAATCCTCTTCAATTACTTCGCTGGTATTCTCCTGTAAAGAGATGATGTAAATTACGAAAGAGGTGTTTCTTACGACAATATTCCAATCCTCGAAAGTCTCTGGTTTAATCTCCATCCATTGGCAATAATTAACATCCCGGACTTGTTCCAGGATCAGCTGATCGTTTAGATTTAATCCCAACCTTTGAATGAATACTCTATTTAGATGTAAATATTCAAATGGTGGTTTGGATGCAAAAACTTGGAGAGCAAAGCTGGTTTCAGGGGCTTCAACCCGAGAGCATTTGAACACGGCGAAACTGGAGGATTCGATCTGAACACAAATAGAATCACACTTTAATCAGATTAAGAAGACAGGGGTTGAATTAAAATTTTATTTAAATCTGAGATTAGAAAAAGACAACACAAGTAGAATATAAAAAGTCATTACTTACAAACTTATTAGGGAAATTGGACAAGAATCCATAACAATTGGGAGATTTGTGTTCCACTACCCGTACTACAATAGCCATAGTTTTTCTTGAAGTGAGAAATGTGGTCTGTTTGGGAATTATCTGCTCCGAGGAAAGACTACACTTCCAGTACCCGCGTTTTAAAGCTTTTTCCATTTTCTGTCGTTCATTTTTCGTTCTCTCCTCGACAAATTCAGCCATGGGGAATAAAGTAAGTTCATTTTAATATTTGTATTACGATTAAAGCTGTCACTCATAATTTTTGCCACATTTCGAATGCCTTCCTTGTACTTTTATCGTACTCTTATCGACATCGTTCATATCTCTCGTCATTCCTGATCTCACAATCAGCTGATATCCCCATAAATCCAAATGTTCTCTAACCCCGATCGCTTGTTTTCGTTGCCTCCAAACCGGCCATTCCTCTCAAAACTCTTGACTTTTCAAATTGCGAAATGAGCAAAAAAAGCAAGAGAAATGAGCCCAGAGGACTTGCTCGAGGGAAGAACGGTGTTCGTGAGTACCACTCGGAATGACCACAAACAAGTAATAAGAGCGCTTTTATTGTTTGTCCAGAGCCGGTTCTCGCCGTTTATGTGGATCATCTTTCGATTTGTTTTCTTATCACTTCCGTCACATTCTGTTTTTTCGTCTCGAGTTCGAAAGTCGTGTTCTTTTTAGTTGACAGTGTCAATCGTAGATTGAAGCGTTTTACATTTAAAGGTAAAATCAGTGAGGTGTGCAAGGTCTTGAGGACAGTCAGCTCGTTCTATAAATTAATCAGGGACCTAAGTTCACCTTTCGAAAGTCTGTTTGGAGTGACCTGACCTCGTGGCCGTTACTTCTCGAGAGCTCGGAACGGCACGACGTTAAAACGAAAAAGACATGACGAGGCCGCTAATCAGCTGACTGGCGACAGAACTCCGATCCCTATTCTGAGGTGTTTATTTAGAGGGTCGGATAAACGTCCAGATGGTCGTGTCTTCTTATTCCGCAGCGCGCAAATTCCCCCGTTCGTCTTTGATTCAGTTTAATCCGTCTCCTTCGATGAGCGGCTATTACTTTAACCGTTCCAGAATCATGGAGCTCATGAGTTTAAAGGAGTCCCAGGAGCCCCACTCTTCCAGTGATAGCATGGAGAGCATCAATGAAGAGCCTCCGGTCACTCCTCGGTTCATCCCCATGTTGAAACGATTGAATGAGTTTAGAACCATGGCAATTGGATGTGATGTAACTTTTTTGGTCGGGGAGAAGCGAAGAGTAAGGGCTGAATCATAAAAAAATTGACACCTTTTTAGCCGATCTTTTGCCACAAGCTCATCCTGGCATGCAGTTCCGAGGTGTTCAAAGCCATGTTCTACGGGTTGTTAAGTGAATTTCCGCACACTTTTCCGTCAGCAGATCTAGATCAGAATAGCGTTGAAGAGAATTCTGATTCGACTTCTTTATCGTCATCACTTTGCAGTTCCGAGGATTCTTTCGGGCAGAGTCCTGAAGATGACGGAGATATTCAGTCCAAGATCAATCACATCCCTGTCCTTCCGCCCACACAAACTCGTTATGTGGCCACTGATATGACTATGTTTGCTGACAGACGTTATGTATCGCCGGTGGAGACGGTCGAAGTGCCTGATATTAATCCATCGGCCTTCAGAAAGATGATTGATTTTATTTATAATGACTTTGATCCAAAAAGTGTTCATCTCACAGACCACAATGTCATGGAAGTCCTTTATGCTGGTGAGTGAAAATACGATTGCATTACTGTCTTTTTTAGCCAAAAAGTACGCAATTGATGCCCTTGTGGACGAATGTGTCAGATACCTTCTGAATGATCTGACCCCGTTTAACGCTGTATTCCTTCTCTCTCAAGCTCGTGTTTTCAATGAAGAGACCCTAATTGAACGATGTTTCGATGTGATTGATAGGAATACAGATGTTGCTCTCCAACCTCATCGTAAGAGTTCGAAAACCAACTTACCTCTTTCAGATATTGAGGATGTAGACAAGGACACATTGATGACTGTACTGAGTAGGACTCAGTTGGATCCCTCATCTGAATTGGTCATCTTCCAAGCTGCCCGAGCATGGGCTGAGGCTGAATGTAATCGTCAGAAATTGGAGACCTCTCCAATTAACATCAGACTTGTCTTGGGGAATGCCTTGGGGCTTATCCGATATCCTCGGATGGATGTCCATGAGTTTGGCCAAGTGGCCATTACCGGTATTCTGACTTGTGAAGAGCTGGCTGAGGTTTATATGCATCTGACAGTGAAGCCCCAACCTTTCTGTCGCTATTCTTCTGGCTTCCGATGTTCTTCTCGCTCCAAACATACGGTCTCTCGATTTGCTGCAGTCTCTTCTAAAAGATGTTCCAAGAGAGAAAACAAAGTTGCGTAAGTAAGGAAATCATTTTTAGTTTATTTTGATTTGTCTGCTTCAGTTTTACTGTGGACAGAGAAATCCAAATCCATGGGCTTGGAATCTATGGAATGAATCCAATCAAACCTCATTCGGAAGAAGAAAATACTTGGAGATGTCAGGTTGAGATCCAGGTAGGATTATGAGTGACATTCCTCATAAAGCAATGTTATTTTAGTTGGGAGTAGTCACCGATCCCAGCAGTTATGCTTCAACTTTGGGAGTGCTCTCTTCCAATACTGTTTTCATGCAAGGTTTTATTGGAGATGAACAGCCACTGGTGGCCTCTTTCAAAGAACCGATCTCTTGTTCTTCTGGTCAGAATTATGTGGCTACTGTTAGATTCATTGTAAGTTTTTACGATTAAGCTATAGTACGATTACAGAGTGAAACTGCGATTCAAACGATTTCTGGGAAGGACGGAAAAGATTCTGTTACAGTATCCCTGCCGAACGATGAAAGCGTTACTTTCAAATTTAATTCCTACCGTAACTCCTACGGTGACGATGGCTACAAATCCGAGGGTCAGATTCCTACATTGCATTTCTATGTAGCCTGGCCGGAGAAAGAAGTTACTGCCGTCTAAATGCAATATACAGTGTATATTCATGGTATATCACTTGTACATACACTAAGTTAATAATTATATTTGTTGTAAATATATGAAATAAATTGATACTCAATGTCATATTAAAAAGTTCGTATTGTTAACTGTTGTGTCAGTATACTGCATATAACTATGATATTGTATTGTGTTAATGTTGCTTTTTATTAATATCTCTAACGTTGCCTTTATTTTTAGATGAGTGCAGCATTTAAGGCGTCCATAGCGGCCTCAGCGGGTCAAGCACAACTTCAGCCATCGGTTTTTGATATCTTGGCCCAGCAGAGTCAGCAACAATCGCTGAAACCAGCACTCCAATATGTTCTGAAATTCGGAGGGTTGTTTTATAAATCGAAGGGATTCAACTCGTTTATGAAATGGTTTGATGAATTTTATGCTGTGGTAATGCTGGGTATGGAAAACCATTTCCTCAAAAAATATGGTACGTATTTTTAATTTTTGGTCAATAGATTGCAATGATATGATAGAAAATTTCTATAATGTATATGTTACAGGCGCCTCTTTCTCCGAAAATTTTTACTCGATGAAACGAATATTCGACGATCAATCCAAGACCTTGCCATCAGACAGCGAACGACGAAGAAGTTTATTGTTTTTAGTAGTACTCCCTTACGTTGAGAGTAAATTGTCAGCGTACAAAACGAAAATAGAGAATACTGATCCAAATCTCGTAAGTGGCAACTAAAGTGGGTAACTGTCCAAATACGGATATGGGGCTGAATAGCAACTGACATAATAATGAAAACACTAAGTATGACCGGGGTCCCCCCTAAATACTGAACTATATGGACCGCAGAAAAAAACTGGCTTGAATGTAAAAATAAATTTTCAAGGCGTGAACTAGGGCTGAAACTAAGCCTTAGTGTAAGCACGCTAAGCCTAAACTAAGCTAAGCTCAGCGTGGTAGGCAAAAAATTATTCTAAATAAAACTTAATACTGGGCACTTTGCAAGGTATCTTTGATGAAATAAACCGGGGCATTGTATGTAGAAATTCGCGCGGAACCGTAAGCAAAAAACGCATCTTGGTTTGGTTACTGTAATTGTTTAATTCCTCTCTTTGGTTCTGCCTTTCTCTGCAGCCTCCTCCTTTCTGCGATCTTTTCTGCCAGACAGGATGTGGCCTTTTTTGTCTGTTTTTGGCCTTATACCCACAGTCTGGGTTCGCAAAATATCATCATCTTTAAATCGTCCTTCTATAACACAGTTATTTTTAGCGAACTCCATTCATGAATATGTTCTACAAGATCTACCCAATTTTTGTGAAGATTCTTGGAATTATCAGCTTGGTTTTCCTTGTTTTATATGGCTTCGGATATTCGAATATCCAATCACTTCCCCTCTTTTTACTAGGCGCGAAACTTCAACGGCTGACGCCTGAGGAGATGGAAGCTTTTGAGAAGCCAGTGTACAATGAGAGTGGGTGAGTGGTGAATAATCAAGAGGAATGGGGCAACAGTGTTTTAGGAAGAGTAACTCGCGTTTTTCTGCAAATTCCATCCTGGACTGGACGTTTGTTCTCTTATGTCCTCTTCTTCAAAGACGTTCACGAATTCATGCAGACCTCAAACGAAGAAGAAAATAAGAGTTTTAAATACGACATTGACTTTGCAAGACCTGTTCATCCCTCCAATGTAAGTGTCGAAATTAAACCATCATTTTAATGCAATTCTTTTATTATTTTAATAAATTTTAATTCCAGTTGATCTCCCAATCCCAATTAGCCCAAATGGAGACTGATAAATGTCCTCTATGCCATAAGAGGCGTCAGAATGATACAGTACTCAGTGTTTCCGGTTATGTTTTCTGCTTCACCTGCATCAATTCATATGTTCGCTCCGAAAAACGTTGTCCTATAACGAATCTCCCCACCTCTCATGAACAACTTGTGCGTTTATATCGAAAATCTGGTTAATCATTTCCTTGCCTCACTTAAAAACAAACTTGCCTCTGAATAAAACAAACATATCAGCGAGATCTCGGATTACTTTCTTCGATTGCTACCCAGAATGAGGTAAAGCGACCGCATTGTTGAGACATGGCCCAATGTTACAAAATATGGCCAAATTAAGAAAAAATCCGGCCAAAGCGTTAAAAATGTGTTTGCATTATAAAATATGTAGCCATTTTATTCAGTTTGGCCATATTTTATAATATTCGGCAATAACTCAACAGTGGATTTAAATACCATGGGTCGCCTTACCTCATTGGATCGCAATGGGAGGGTTCCATCTCGGATTGTCTAAATTTGTCCATGTTATTAATACCCCGAGGCAATTGTTTCAAGACTCCTTGAAAGGGGCGCGCGAACGTCTTGACTAGGTTGTCAAGTAGGTTACCATCACGGCAACCCTGTACAAACACGGTCTCCTGTTTGTTCCTCTTCAAGCCCTAAGGGCGTCGGTCGCGGTGCTCCACGTCGCTGACGCAACCTTTGCCTTTGAACCTGTCGAGAAAAGGCGATTACTCGGCTTAGAGATTTATTTTGGTAACAATTCCGCTAATTTTTACAACAGCGCTCTGTTTATGCGTCCCTAATTATTCCCGAACTCTTGAGTCAACTCAGGAGCATAGCTGAGCTCAGGTCGAAGGTCGGGATATCGAGAAATGGATTCGGCGGGGACTACGTCCACATCTGAATCACGTGAAGACTTCGAGCCCTGCTCCAGAGCTGTGGTTGATACTCCAGAAGATGGCTGGATCCATGATCCGGCTGCTTGGTGAGCACAGTAATAATTCATAGTCTACAGTACCCTTACATTGCAAAAAATATTTTTTTAGGGATTACTTTTGCTCTCTGTTGACCAGTCTATATGCCATGTTTATCATTGTGTTTGCTGTTGTAATGGAATTATCTCAAAAGTTTACATCAGATGAATGGTTTATGGAAATGGTAGGTCTTATAAGTACAATATTTTTTTCTAATTTCTTCAGCTCTTCTACAGTTACATGTATGGTACTGGTATTACTTTTCTTCTCTATTGTTATCTCTTTCAAATGCATCCAGCTTGGTTGAACGGGTTAATAAAATGGCTTGAACGGAAGAAATGGATTTGTCCGGGGAATACGGTAAGTGATCACTGTTACTAAGGAAGGGTTCTAAAATAGTAGTTGATGGGCTAAACATTTCAGGAAGTACCGCAGACAACCCATTCGAGTGACGGCGCCGGATCGCTTTATTTACGATTGGGTACCTTATGTAAGATGCTCTTTAAAAGACACCATGAAAGAAGGGTGTACCCTAGAATTTGACCTTCATATTTTCTGTAATGTTATAGGCTGTAAATTAACGCAATTCATCATATTAAGAAAAATTGAAAAATACGTCATATGATGACAAATATTTTGAAAAAATTCACCAAGTGTTTTAGCACCCAATATGTCATCAGCTATGATTAAAAAAGTGGGGGTCAAATTCTAGGGTACACCCTTTAAATGGTTTTTTGTTAACGCAAACCATGCATGTATTTAGGCTTTGGAAGCAGTGGAATTGTTCTCTTTTGTCTCGAGTTCTTCGTTTGCATATCCGACCATCTCTGTTTTGCTTATCGACTGGTCAATTGGGTATTTGCCGCAGCCTTTACCTTCATCCAAATGCATTTCATATTCTGTAATTCGAAGGTGAGTAATGTGATTGGTGCTCATATCTCCATAGATTATAATTACAGAATCTAAAAACTTGGCCAAGCTTGGAACCATGCATTTATTGGCCGTAAATGTGTGGACTTGGCTTCGATTTGTGATAGCAAAACATGATGGAAAGTCGGTTTATGTGGAGCATATACTGAACAGGTCCGATTCCTTGTTATTACCAAGAATCGATGAAGTAAGAGCATGAAAATTGTTCTCATTATACTGGTTTTAGAACTATTCAGTCCCTCCGGATGAGATTTTATCCATCAGAATTTATTCTTTCTATTATTTCGGAGACTTCGCAACTTTGCTGACAACTTGTATTGTGGAATACTCGGTAATTGGAGCTGCCATAATGTTTGTTTTATGGCGATCCATCGACGATCATTGCATTCCCCCGAGTTATCGACCAAAACGCAAAAACAAGGTGCGAATTGATTGCAGGTATGTAAATTGCCGGGTCGATGTAGTGATTTCAGTGCATCCTCTGCCGGTCTATTTGCGGGAGTATTGTTTCTGATCTGTGCTCTTGTTTCCATTGGCATCTACACCATCTTCAGCCAGCACAGTGATGACCGCGGGGCTCTGTTGGTATTCCGATTGTCCGATTTCGCTCTATTTTGTTTTACTCTGATCGGATGTATTGTTGGATTGTATCGGTAAGAAACAGCCAGCATCACCATCTAATCAATCTTTCAGGATGCGTTTTCTCCACTATCAAAGCCTGCAGATTATGACAAATGCAGAGTTCTTGGATGAGATCTTATTGATCATCGGATTATTGGGGGAATTGATCCATTCGAGTACGGGATTGATGTGCTGGATAACAACTCAATCAGAATGGGGTCAAAATAAGATGGAGACATACATGTTGGTGGTGTTTGTGGTCAGAGAGATCCAAGTCATCGTGCAAGCAGTCTTCATCCTGGTCTCTTCCAGGTATGTTATCACTCATAGATAATATTATCGTTGAAGATTACGTGCTCAAAGTCCGAAGGCAATGTCTCAGAAGCCGGGGAAACAGTTTGTGACCTTCCTTCTGATCGCCAATGTGTCTCTTTTCTTTTTTCATACCCTAGAAGGGATGAAGTCGGTGTTTGGAGATGCCATAGCCTCCAGAAGGACCAAGCCTTATGCTACTTTAATATGCGCAGTGGCCCCTTTGGTGGTCTTTTATCGCTTCCATTCAAGCGTTTGCTTGGCCGAGATTTGGAAACATTGCTACAATACTAAAAACAGTCCAAGATCTTTGAAATCGCCGGCTTCAGAGACTTCTGTGGCTACAAGAACATCATCAATTAATGAGAGAGATCTTTTTTGATGGATCATGGGTAACATTACAACCAAGAAGCGACCAAAGAATTTGTTTGGAACTGTCTATCGGTCCTTTCTTTGATTTTCAACAATTTCTAATAATAACTCAAATTAAAATACGTTTTATATAAGAAGATTCAAGCCATGATAAAAGGATGACAATCGTCTTTGATCAAAGATATTACTTATTTCTATCCTTACTCCTTAATATTATTTGGTATGAAATTATACTCGTATCAGTCCGGTGTTTATATACAAATAAATGCAGAATTATACTTGTTTATGCAGAATATTGTCGTTTTTCAAGTTCAGAATCTGTGAATTCCTCAGAAATTCGAGGCAAATAAACGGATTCGATGATATCTGTAACCAATCTCTCCGATCGTTTCCAGATATCATCTTTATGAGGCATAAACTCAACGATCTCCGTAGCGATCAAACCATTCAATTGAGTATCACGGAGAAAGTCCAAGAATTCTGAAGCCACAATGCCTCCAGGCTCAGGGGTTCCCACAGCCGGGGCATCTTTGATTCTGAAGCCATCCAAATCAATACTCATTCCGAAGCCATGCGTGTCTCTAAAAATTCAACTTTTGCATCATTCCTTCACGAAATATGTTTTTAAAGGCTGGCGGAGGATTCGGCGGAGGTATTTTTAAAGTTTTGAGAAGTGTCAAAAATACGGAAAAGGGACAAAAGAAATGCCAAACCCAATCTTTAATCAAAGATGACGATTTTTTTAGTCCGATTGCTCCGACGAAGCGATCAGTGCTACTTAATCCAAAGTGTATCTGACGAGTGAAAGTTTTTCAAAATGTGTGAACAATCCGCCAGGTTATGCAGACTAACAGCTCACATCTTACCAGATATGAGAAACCTAATTTCATAAAAAGTAAAGATAAGATTTAATTTTCCAAAAAGACGTCATGTGTTAGCGTCGGCGGTTGAAAAGCGGTATCTGTCGAAGCGAGAAAAAAATCCTTTGCATTTACATACCTGCTGACCAGCTCCGTCGCCTCTTTCATGCACTGCTCGATCCCCCGTCTTTGGACTTCTGAGTCATAGAAAATTCGAACCCCTAATCTGTTTAACAGTTCTTGCTCTTCAGTCTCAAATGACCGGATACCAACCAAACAGAGATTCTGTGGCTTAATTTTTGGATAGATATCTCCAACTGTCCTCAATAACTCATTTCCAAATCCAAGCAGATGAGCAACCGGAGTGCCATGAATATTTTTAGTGGGGCTACTTTCAATCGTGTGTGCATCCATATGGGCGTCTACCCAGATAAGACCAATATCCCCATAAGGCCTATAGGCTGCCGCAACTCCACTCCAGGTTCCAATAGCACAACTGTGATCTCCACCAATCACCAGCAGTTCATTCTGATCGTCTTGCCGGAGAACTGCGGACACAGCTCCAGAAAGAGCACGACTGTTCTAAAGGCTTCTGTAATTATCTGGAAGTAAATATATTGTACCTGTAGAACCCCATGAAGAGCATCGCTCTGTCTTCCGGAAATATTCTCTTCAATTATGGAATGCCATTTCAAAGAGACTCTGGAGTTGTTCAAGAAGTTGGAACGGGTCAGAACATTCAGATTATTCTCACATCCAAGATGCCTGCAAAAATCATATTGAGTACTGCATCAGTCCATCAACAAAAAAATTAAAATCCTTGCCTTCCTCCATGCCCATTCGCCAAGCCAATTGCATTCACATACTTAGAAGCCAGTCGGTATACGGTAAGTTTCATGATCAACAAGTTATCGTCAGACCAAAAGTCAAATGATTAAGAGTCGCTTTCATAGATGAGGGGCTGGCGTGTCGATGAAACTCTGAAGATTTCAACATCGCGTGGTCAGGGATCCCCTGGTGGGCGGGATTAAAAACTAAAATGGGGGAAACCCTATGCCGTCTCTTCCTTTTGTGTACTCTCTCGCTTATTTTTGCACTTCGCACACGAGGGGCGGAAAAAGGTATCCGACACGTGATTACATACACATTAAACGTCGGCAGAACGATTTATACGACCGATTTTTAGCGGCTGAAGCCACATTTTTTATCTCACAGTAATCTTGGTTTCGAAAATGCAAAGGATTCTGTGGATTCATGGAAAAAAAAGAAGCAATAACTCATATTTGGCCGAAAAATAAAGGAGTTAAAGCCCATTCAAATCGGGACATAAAGACCCTGTTCTCTTTCGTTGAATTCAGGATGCCTGAAAACCTTAAATTTTTCACTTTTACCGATTTTGCTTAAATTGGTTGACTTTGTTAGAAAATCCACTGAAAGCAAAACGCTGATTTTATCTTCAAAAATACTTTAAAATTTAAATTATCGCCTTACAATGAGTTGTCTTAAAAGCCACTACTACATCATGCTGCGATTTTATATACGTCTTCGGGTAGAATATCTAGGAGGTTGGAGTCGGCACGACCAAGATAACTCTCAATGGCATCAATGAATTTAGATTTGACTGGATTGAAGTTCATGACATTAGGAGGGGAACTGTGAAGCCAGAATTCCGCGAATAAATAAAATATCCGGCAATATACTTGATGAAAGTTGTCAATGGTTGGAGGTTGATTACAGGAGTTGACAAAGTGGTTCTTCAACAGATTCTCCTGAAGAAGTTGGCGGCAGAGAGCAGTAAACGTGATTCCCGCAATGGCGAAAGGGAACCTAGAGAGAAATAAAATGAAAAAATATTATTCTTACCCAATAATCTCGTCTTGTGAGATCGCCATAACCCTCTGACATTTGGCGACATCGAATTGAGCAAAGAAAAGAAGTTGATCTAGCCCCAAAACCCCCATTCCTCGAAAGTCTGTCGCCGGATCATCACCCTACAATATAATTTAAATTTCATAAAGAATACCTACCTGGAAACCAACCTCCTGCCATTGTTTGCTCTTCCTCGCAGTGAGCTCTTCATCCGGTTTTAATAATCTCCACAACCTGAGCAACTTCCTTTCATGTTCTTCATTCTCGGGGTCGTAAAGTTCGCTTCTTCGTTCTTCAACCTAAATAACATTACAAAAAATATGGCCAACCATACCTCACTGATCAACTTCTTGTACCCTTTGAGTATTTTCAAAGAATTTGACAGTTTCTTAGCCAGATCAGCCCTATATTCGTAATCTGAAACCTCGTCCTCTAGTAGACCATCCGCTTCGTCCGTTTCATTTCCACTTTCCCAATCATAATTCTGCAGTCTCGCACTCGAATTTCTTCGTAGTGCCCACTCTACCCTCTGAACCACTTCGCTTTGCCGCAGATAATTATCAATCGCCCAAAAAAAAGTATTGTTTCTATTTATGAATCTTACCAAACTCCTCAATGAAAGCGGCCCTAACCAAAACTCAATGATTCCGATCAGCGAACGTATAATAAACTGTTTTACCGCAATAAAAAGTCTTCCCAATACCATAACCTAAATAAAATTGCTTGCAGAACATCCAAATCTTAAAAGTAATGATGGAGATCCGATGAAATAAAGCTAAGGACAACATGAAACAATAAATTTATCAACCATTCAGGCTTTGGCCGTAGAATTATAATGTTCACCAAGCGTGTATGCATATCGATGATAAGTTAAAACAAGAGGAGGTCCAGCAAAGTTTTCACCGAAGCAATGAGGAGCACCATCTGCATGGAGAACTTCCACAGGCTTCTCCAAAGCCGTGCTAATTGCCTGGAGCTCTGGCGAGCCACCCCATTCACCGCCATCTCGGCAAGGATTCCTAACTTTATTGCAGTAACTAAATTAATAAAAGTGTTATAAATATAACGTAAACTCACTCTTCGAATCCTTCGTCATCCAGATCGCCATTTCCCAGAAAAGGCAGGAAAGTATCTTTATTGGCAATCAAATGATTCGCAGTCAATTCTCGGACCCCCTCCCCTGTGATAGTTGAAGCCGGATCTTGTATCGATAACTGATCGGCCAAAGCATTATACATGCAGTCACCATCTGGTAGAATATCTACTAACTTCAATCCCCTCTCTTCCAATATACTTCTAATCTTCTCACTTTCGAGCGCTCCTTTCCCTGTAGCCGCATTCAAAGCATCTTGTTTCATGGCTTCTCTCATCCGTCGATCTTTCTCTTCTTTTTTTTCCTAAATTCGCATATATAAAATGAAAACAACTCACTCTGTTCTTCTGAGCTTTTGTCCTCTTCTTTTCTCCACCGTCCTCACTTTTCACTTCATTTTGAGGAACCGGCTTGTCCTCAGTTATCTTCAAGGTAGACGTCTGACTAACCAAATCATTCAACTCTCTCTCATGGCGAACTTTCAAATCATTTTCTAACTTCTGGACTTGAGCTTGCACTTCCTTTTTGCGCTTGCTATCGTTTTTATTGAATGAACGTTTCAGAGATGTGACTTGAGCTGCAAGTATACTATTATAATACAAATGTGAATCTCTTACCAACCAAATCCTTCTTTTCTTGCGAATGTCTAGCCTTCAAATCCTCCTCAGTTTCGGAAGGCATTGCGTTGAAATAGCTTACAAATGTTGCGAACGTTGACAGATTTGAAAACTTTTCACAATATTTTTTTATTTTATTTTTGATTTAACAGAATGCCAACGCAATATTTCGCGGCAGGACGTAGGGTGTTGCTCTTGTAAAATATTTTTTTTTTGCGTATTTTCAATATTTACCGCTGTATTTTGCATTTCAAGTTGTTTGTTGTTCCACTGATTTTACAATAGATTCGTTAAAATGGCTATGGCAAGTAGAGGACGTCAATCCAAACTCCCTCCAGAGGTGAACAAGATCCTCTATATCAAGAATCTTCCATACAAGATAACAGCCGAAGAGATGTACGATATTTTTGGAAAGTTTGGAGCCGTCAGGCAAATTAGAATGTGAGTTTAATTGTTGTTTATTATTCTTCGGGAATGTTCTTTGTTCCTGGTTTCTATTTTGGCCTTTTAAGTGGCAACACACCTGAAACTCGGGGAACTGCATTTGTGGTTTACGAAGACATTTTTGACGCCAAGAACGCCTGTGATCATCTCAATGGATTCAATGTGTCCAATCGTTATCTTGTCGTATTATACTATCAGACGACTAAAGCTTGGCTCCGGATGGATACCGAGAAAGCAAAGGAGAAGCTCGAGCAAGTGAAAGAACGATATGGACTAGGTGGAGACATCGATAAAGAGAAGGAAAAGGCAATGATGACCCCCACACCTCGAAGGAATTAAATTATTTGATGTTTAATCCAATCATTATTAAAGGTAACCAAAATATCCAAATAGTTTATTTTCTAAAATATTAATTTATTTGCAAAAATGTCTGTCCACAATGGAAGTACATGTTTTGCATTTTATATAACAGCAGTGAACGTATTTACATTTGCATTGTTCTTCAACTGTAAATTGTTTGGTGTTGAATCCTCGACCGCAACATAAGTTCTCGCAATTTCCTGTTCCAGCGATTGTAACATTACATTCTCTGAAGCAAATTTAGTTTATTTAGTGTTTTATGGAAGGTATAGGCAGCAAAAAAAGATACCTTCCCCTTGTTCCGAATGATCCATTTTCGATATCTTCCTCGCAATAGGTGGGAGATGTCTTGACGAACATCTACAATTGAAGTTTAACCTTTATACTGATACTTACTAATTCTGGTATCAACATTGACACTCTTGTTGACCTCGAATCGCCCTTGGATCCCGTCGGGTCAGGACCATGGTTGATCTGCGCGAAATTATATCTTTCCTTCAAAGATTTGGCTATGTTTTCCAGAGGTGGAAGAGAATACCAACATGTCTGGATTTCACAACCACTGGAGACTCCGTGACATTTACATTTCCGAAAGAGGCTCTTCTGGGTGACCGTTCTTCCAACATTGTTGTTATGCTGATTCATTCTGGCCCTTGGTCCTCCTTTTGTTTGGATTGCTGGTTCAGGCTCTGGATCTTCGTTCAGATGTTCCTCGTCGAACTCCAATATACTTTGCACGCTTGGTGCTGTTGTCGGCTCGGCTTCATTGACTTTTCGCTTTTTGAAACTTGAATGTTTCCAAAGAGCGTCGGCCCAATCTGTGGAGATTCTTCTTCCATAAGCAACATTATCCGAGCATCCTTTCCACTGAAACCGTTCCATCAACTTCTGCTAGCTTCTCCTTACTTTGTATGCATCCGGTAATGCTGTTCCAGCGGTCATCGTTGTCTCTGCATATCCACAAGGACAATATTTAAGGGCCCCAGATGCACATGCCTTGGCCACTTGATGAGTAACGGAAGCGGCAGACAAAGCGTAGACAAATGCTTGCTCTTTCGTTCCTAAAATCAAGAGGTTACACAAAAACAGATTTTCATTTAATTTTGATCAGAATCTAGTTCAAAAAAATTTGGCAAAAGGTAAGCGATGCCCTCGTCAAGTATATTTTCGACAGCGTATACTAATTTCATCACAGCGTTACAGAAGGGGAAAGGTTATCTTCATTGAGCCTCGAACCCGCAACCTTTTGGAGGCGGGACTGGCTCACTACCGACTGAGCCACAAAAACACGCCTTCCCTTTCGTTAGATCTGCCTTCAATTCGGGGGCGAGAGTAACAGAAGTGCAATTCCAACGGGCATCGCCAAATATGGATTGGCAAATGTCGACGGAAAGTTGGGCTGCTCGGGTTATTATTGGCATTAGTTCCGGAAAACGTTTACACATTCGGGACTGAAACAAATCAAGTTACGTAAACATGAAACAATCCAGTATAAATTGAAAAAAAAAACTAAAGGAAGTTGCACTACCTGATGAACGACAAGGCCGTAGTGCCTTCTTTCCGTCTTGTTTGATGGACAATCATATTCACTTATCCATGGTTGGTCCAGTTTATGTAATGCTCTATAGAAAGTAAATACCGTAGTCACAGTTTGGATAAACTTACAACCATTTTATTCCCAATCCCAACTCCAATGAGAAGAATAATGAAACAAAGGAGATGAGTCGCATTTGAATTTGAACTGAATCACCTTTTTTCAAATCTTTTAAGGCCAAATGAGTTTTCGGATCTTGGAGTCGAAAGCCGTCCCATTGAGATGCGTGACTTTTACGATGCCTCATTTAGCCCATTCTCGTCACTCAAAGCAAATTTTTTTCAAAAACCCGACCAGCCCTAAATGAAAACATGTGTGTTTCTCGAATGTTCATACCCTCCCTTACAGTGTTCACGTTGATCTCTTTAATCAAGCTAAATGAGTACGCCAGAGATGAGAAAGAGCCTTGGAGAAAATCGCGGTAAACTGTTAATATAACTTTGATCAGTCATAAAAGATCATTTACGATTACAATTCACGGCGGAATTTACAATAATTGGCCAGCTGGGATCTGTAACCAATTTTTGGTAGAACAAAATAAATTTGCATGTCCAGGTAGAAGGCGGCATGAAATCCGAAGTAATAGAAGATAGATTGAAATAAAGACAAAGCATTATTAATACCATTCCAAAAAAACAAGATGGTTTGCCAGTTTGTGAATTTGTTAGATCTCGTACAATACGTTCCCATTTTGCAAGTCAACTCGGGAGCAGCTTGCGGAAATAATTATTTTTATTTTCTTTTTCGAGTTTGATTTTATTTTTCGGAAAAGACGATGGTAACAACAACTGAGAAGGGAATCGACGTATACGAAGCTGGCCCTGACGCTCCATTTGCGGCAGTTCCAGACAAACCTAATGGTAAGACAAACTTGATGTGACAGGGTGTTTTTAGAACCTTCCTTTATGGTTGGCCATGATAAAGATAAGTTTCCCGCTTACGTATTGGAACTGAATCCGAAGAATGACACGGAGTCGATCAAGGAGAAGTTTAATCGACTCAAGAGTGATGCTTTTCTTTTGCATGAACAAATTGAAAGAGAAGCGCTAAAAGACGAAACGCCCGTGCAAATACGACCAGTTGATGAACTAAAATTTCTTATAAACTCTTTGAAGAAAACCATCGAGACCCCCTCAGAGTAAGCGTTTTTTTCTCTAATAAACTTACAACCATTTTATTCCCAATCCCAACTCCAATGAGAAGAATAATGAAACAAAGGAGATGAGTCGCATTTGAATTTGAACTGAATCACCTTTTTTCAAATCTTTTAAGGCCAAATGAGTTTTCGGATCTTGGAGTCGAAAGCCGTCCCATTGAGATGCGTGACTTTTACGATGCCTCATTTAGCCCATTCTCGTCACTCAAAGCAAATTTTTTTCAAAAACCCGACCAGCCCTAAATGAAAACATGTGTGTTTCTCGAATGTTCATACCCTCCCTTACAGTGTTCACGTTGATCTCTTTAATCAAGCTAAATGAGTACGCCAGAGATGAGAAAGAGCCTTGGAGAAAATCGCGGTAAACTGTTAATATAACTTTGATCAGTCATAAAAGATCATTTACGATTACAATTCACGGCGGAATTTACAATAATTGGCCAGCTGGGATCTGTAACCAATTTTTGGTAGAACAAAATAAATTTGCATGTCCAGGTAGAAGGCGGCATGAAATCCGAAGTAATAGAAGATAGATTGAAATAAAGACAAAGCATTATTAATACCATTCCAAAAAAACAAGATGGTTTGCCAGTTTGTGAATTTGTTAGATCTCGTACAATACGTTCCCATTTTGCAAGTCAACTCGGGAGCAGCTTGCGGAAATAATTATTTTTATTTTCTTTTTCGAGTTTGATTTTATTTTTCGGAAAAGACGATGGTAACAACAACTGAGAAGGGAATCGACGTATACGAAGCTGGCCCTGACGCTCCATTTGCGGCAGTTCCAGACAAACCTAATGGTAAGACAAACTTGATGTGACAGGGTGTTTTTAGAACCTTCCTTTATGGTTGGCCATGATAAAGATAAGTTTCCCGCTTACGTATTGGAACTGAATCCGAAGAATGACACGGAGTCGATCAAGGAGAAGTTTAATCGACTCAAGAGTGATGCTTTTCTTTTGCATGAACAAATTGAAAGAGAAGCGCTAAAAGACGAAACGCCCGTGCAAATACGACCAGTTGATGAACTAAAATTTCTTATAAACTCTTTGAAGAAAACCATCGAGACCCCCTCAGAGTAAGCGTTTTTTTCTATGGCTTACTTGTGTTTAGGGCCTCAGAGATTAATTCTCATCTGATCCGTTTAAATTCGTTGAAACACCGTATAGAAACGTTGGAGAAATCCCTGGGACTCGGCGGAAATGTAGTTGAAGATCAACCATTACTCAAAGTCGTTGAGCAATTGAAGACGAGAATTCAGATTTTAACGCCAGGATACTTGACCAGTGCTTTCAAGCGAGTCCAGGAACTTAACAAACAAAACAGCGCTAACGTTGATGCCATCAGCAGTCTCACTACCAACGAAGTCGTCTCCAAAGATGAAAAACCCACAATTGTCGAGTTAAGTGCTTTAATTAACCGGTGGGATGAACGGTGCAAGGAACTAGTGCCTTTGGTGGAAAGTATGAAAGTCTCGCAAGGATTGTACCAAGATGGTGAGTCATGCACGTCGGAGAAACTAATGAAATTTTAGCCGAACGTGTTGTACTAAAATGGGAAAAATTGGTTACACTCAAGAATAATGTGGAGCAAACATTGGCCTTTCACAAAAAAGAGCAGGAACTGAGCGAACAAAGGAATTCACAAAGGATCAAGAGGTTGTTGGAGCGAATTCATTCGTTGAAAGAATCTGATGCTTAAGCTAAAATGATGTATTTATTTGCATAAACTCAACAAGAATGTGTAAAACTTCAACAATGGGAGATTAACTGGGGTTTCATTGGGTGGATTCTTCTTTGGCTAGTTTCGAAGCACGAGGTAGATCAAGAAAAAGATTGTACACCTTCTTGATGTCTGAGATCTCGACCTGTAAATGCGTACGATTACTTTTTACAGGGTACTCAAAGGAGCGGGGGTGTTATAAAATATTATGCGCTGTCGCTTGTTTCTCTAACGCCTAGTTTCGAGGTGGGACCCTTCAGAACTTCTGTCTCCGTCCTTTTGGATCACCCTGTATATTCGAAACCACATACTTTATCTCCTTTTCTTCTTAGTCTAACAATATCAGAAGTAGAGATCAATTGCATGGAATATCTCAACGACGAGCTGACGGCTGTTTTAACAAGAATCGACAGGGCATCAGCCGAGAGTTGAACATTCTCTTCCTGGGCTCTGATGTCGATGATCTTCTTGATATCCTAAAGCCATATAATTTACAAGCAGTCGGGCCTACCTCTTCTCCGTATGGGAACGTCCTAATTATGAGACATCTGTCGAGTAAATCCGCTGGGATTCCGTGTGGAGACACCAATTGAGTCCCTCTTATGGGAACATGACCTCTGTTGGTGGCGATAACAAGAAGAGGGGAAAGATCACTTTCAATTACTCGGTTCAGAAAGGAGAAACATTCGAGATCAAGGAGGTGGACTTCGTCGATGAACAAGACACCAGGCACAATCGACGCCTTTTTCTCTTCTCTCCATTCACTAACCTAAAATAATGGTTAGGTTTAAATTTGATGCTTTACCTTCTTGTTAATCTGATTTCTGACTTCAGCTTTAATTTCGCCGGTATCCCCGGAAAACACAGCCAAATAACCATGGGTTCTGCTGTTAATAACATCGATATCGTGTAATGAGATGGTCTGTACCATCTCTGACCTCTTCTGAATCTCCCCTGATGGTACATTCACAAATTTAACGTTGGACCCCACTGCGTCAAAGTCCTTTTGTCGACTTATAGACCTTCCCAACTTTATGATCTTCCCTGAATAAGGAATAAAAAAGCTTAAAACCGTATTCCTTACCAGCTGCTCTCTGAATCTGGATAACATCGCCACTTGAAATCCTTTCCTTGAAAATGACGTCAATAAGTTTTGCTCCCAATTCATACACGGCTTCCATATCATTTGTCTTCAAGGCAATGCGGCCTGTCTTTGCGGAACTATTCGGATTCTGACGATCGATCTCAACCAACACAACCTCTCCTTCCAAGACCTAAAATTCCGAGTAATGCTGAATAAAGGCAATACCCACCTCCGTTTCCTCCTTAACCCTTACACCAGTTGCCTTTCTAAATGCTTGCATTAAGGCTTCGGTTTTGCTGACATCTACAGAAAATATTTCACTTGCAGAAAGCCAAACAAATGGAGTGTCTTCCCCAATCGCCTTGGAAATTGCCATGGCTAAAGCTGTCTTTCCAGAACCAGGTGGGCCAGTGATTAACAGCGCTCTTCCAGCGATTTGGCTCTCCTAAAAGTTCATCGTTTTGCAAGAGATTCTAAAACATTACAACAAATTAACAAAACCCGTACCTTCACCATGTTAACAATTACACCCGCTGCCTTCCGGGCCGCCGCTTGACCAACCATACCATCTCCAATGTCCAGTGGTTGTAATTTGCTGTCAAGTCCCAGTCCAACGATGTGAGAATGAGCTCCAACTCTCTCCAAACGAGTAGTGTCTTTTATTTCGATGTTATCCATATTTCCGAAAGTTAGTTTGCTGAAAACAAAAACATTTATTAGTCGAGAAAATAGTGTTATGATATCCCGTTTACTCTCACATTCGCAGAAAATGAGTTATCGGCCTGTCGGGAAAATAGAGGCGGGTCGTCGCAGCAAAATGGGAAAAAGTGTGCAGTCGCGCCCCAAATTTCCAGCTGCGGCAGACGTCGCAAAGCGATGATGGGCAATTCCAAAGCGCGACGACCCGCCACAATTTTCCCGACAGACTGATGTAACGATATTCGAACTAACAAATCGACAAAAACATGTTGTGAGAAGTCTACGCACTTTATAGCAAGACTAGTAGAAAACAAGCATCTCAACCTGTCTGTTCAAGGAATCATGTCGTCATGACCGAAAATGTAGAAAAAATTTTGCGCATAATTTTAAATTGGCGGGATTTCGAAATTACCGTTGTTTGCCGCGCAATGCCAATTTCGCGGCGAGACTATTTTAATTGCTTTTTCGCTTGTGACGAGTTTTTTTTTTCTTGTCTGCCAATCTCCGGCGTTTTCTTTGACGCTTCCCATCTCCTCCATCCGACCCAGCCCGTCTCTCTCCGAACTAACTACTTGAATGTTCTTCTCTTTTTTTTGTTCATATTCAGGTTTTTTCGCGCCATCTCCACTCTGAAAGAGCGCATGTTAGGACGTCTGCTGTCTGTTGTCCCCGTCCAATGTCTCGTTTGCGACTAGTCATCTGGCAGACCGCCCATCAATTTTTAGAAAGACGTAGCTGTGGATAAATCTGTGTGTCTATTCAGAAAACTGCCGCTCTTCGCGTGTTACAAAGCGGGGTCCCTTGGTGTGTATATCTTAAGTGCGAGGTCGTTAGGGATGCGAGTAGAGAATAGAGTGCGGAAAAAGAGGGGAGACTCGCGAGTCGGGAGAAGCCCGCCCAAGTCCTCGCCGCTTCCCCTGAATCGATTGGGGTCTGCCCCAGTCTGTTTTGTCCCCAACTCGCGTTTTCTTTCGTTTTTCGTGCGTTTTCGCGATCGTTTTATTGCTCGTTCGGAGCGTTGTTTGTGCCAAAATGTGGGTGTTATACTGTCAGTAAATTTTTTGAAATGTGGGGAACCTCTGGTCGAATTTTTGTCCAAATTCGACTTTTCGCAGTCTTTATTCGCTTAGAAATCGGCGGGAAATGAGAGATTTCGCGGGAAAATTGGAGCTTCTTCCGAGAGTTTCCTCGATTTTAGACCTGGATTTTGGTGTGTTTGTTGTTCTTATTTTTAGTACACTTTTATTACATGATTTTGCGAATTGTTTTTGTATTATAAGCGTTGAATTTTATAGTGGTTTTTTAACTTCCATTTGTTTTTTTGCGACCGCGCTTTTGTTCGATGATACTAAAAATTATGAATGTTGATAATGTAGATATTTCCTATAGGGATGCTGTCCAGCTCGATCTCGGCGGATCCCACAATTCCGGTCACAAAACCTTTTGATGGGATTGACTCAGCATCTACCAGTTCTGCCGACAAGAGTGCAGAAAAACCCATCGACAATGGTGGCACACCTCCATCGCAATCTCCTCCAAGTTCAAGTCCCAAGATTGAAGAGGTGGAACATAATAAAAAGGCCGATCCAGAAAGGTTTGCAAATTCAGCCGAGGAGCCGCGGGATCCGGGGAAAGAAGAATTAAAGAAAGAGACGTCAAGCAAAACAGGGTGGGAATCACCGGTCCAAGTAAGTTCTTGATTCTATTATATTATTCTTCTTTAGGAACCTGTAAATGGAGTGGTTCAACCGCGGACTGTACCCCCTACTGGAAAGCCCACGAGGCAGACCAACCAGCTTGATTATATAGCTAAAGAAATCCTTAAGCCTGCCTTGAAACACAAGCATGCCTGGCCATTCTTGCGACCTGTAGATGCTGTAAAACTAAACATTCCAGACTACCACAAGGTTATAAAACGGCCTATGGATCTAGGTACTATAGAGAAAAGGTTAAAGAACTGTTATTACACTTGTGCAGAGGAATGCGTGAACGTAAGTACTTTTTTTTCATGTGCTATTAACCTTGCGATCGGATGTCTGGTTTCGCTTTTTCGTTATCTTTGTGTTTGTTGAACATGGTCATTATATTTGAGTGCTAATGAGGCGCCGAGCGATTTTTGTGTAGTTCTTGACACCAAGTGTAATGTTTTGTTGAGCTCTTAGCGTTGTTAGGTCGTTGAAGGCCTCTTCCAGGGCCGTAAAAACAATGCGGCTGTTTTCTTTTTAGGCTGTACGTATGGTCCAAATTACATGTACATATTGCACAAAGAGGGCAGTCTTGTTTGTTTTGACTAAATTTTGTGTTTTTAACGACATCAGACTCGATCGCAAGCGCACTTGTGGCCTCTGTAAACCCCTGAATTGTAGGATATAATGACCATGTTCAACAACTGCTTTACTTACTGTCCACCCACTTACGGCGTCTATGCCATGGCTAAAAAGCTGGAATCAGACATCCTCGCAAAACTAAGCCGAATGCCGGCAAATGTAAGTGTTTTGATTAATTGTTGGGGTTTTAGGACTTCGAGCAAATGTTTGCTAACTGCTACAGGTTCAACCAAAACGAAGACGATGTCGCATTAATGTGCAAAAACATCGAAAATATTATGAGAGACAAATTGAAACACATGCCGTCACAGGTGCTCGTTCTCCCATTATCTATTTCTTTATTAGGGGATAATTTTGTTATTCAGTAAATGAATAACTTGACTCTTTCCAGGAAGTTGAGGTGCCTAAGCAAGTGCCCAAGAAGGCTGGGAAAGTAGCCAAGAAGACCGTGGCTCAGCGTGGAGCGTCGGTGGCTTCCAACGTGGGACGAGGTAGCGTTGCTAGTAGTCCACATAGTTCTGCGCCTTCTGAAACCGCCGCTGCCGTGTTAGAATACTTTCACAATGCCACTATACAAGGTGCTCACCATATTCCGTTCCCCCCTTTTCGGTTACAATAGCTGAGATTTGACTGGCCAAAGCGTTTCTCTTGTTTCTGTTGGCCGAGGACATTGTATTTTGTGGCATTGCAGTGTGGAAAGAATGATGGCCTCGGCCACCTCTTCTTCAATCCGTCTTTTCTGTCCATTTCCTTTACTTTTTGGGTTGTGTTTGCTCTTAACGCACTTGTTAACAAAGTTTTGGGAGCACTTTGTATCTTGGTTGATGGCGACATTATGACTCTGCTTTTTCGTTTCTTCTCTTCAAAGCGCTTTAGAGTCTGCAATCTCTGCTGTTGTAATGGTCCCTGTTTGCCCGTTGTTATCATAAATGTATTGTCGTGTTTTCAGTAAGTCGCGAGTCCTCAAGTGTCAGGGATGGAGAATTGACTGAGAAGGTATGTTAAGCTGGGCGTTTGTGATGTTTTCTTTTCAGAAGGCACCAAAAAGGAAGGCGGAATCGCCATTGGTATTTGATGAGAAACCCGTACGCAGAGATAATCCAAACTCTCGATACGAAGCCTTGAAGACCATGGACTACACCAACCTGAAACCGAGGTACACCGGAAAACTCTCGAGTCAAATGAAATTCTGTTCAAAAGTAATCAATGAGTTGGTGACTTCCAAGAAATGCAAAGAGTTTAATTGGCCGTTCTTGGAACCTGTCAATGACGTTGAATTGAATATCCCTGACTACTACGTTGTCATCAAGAAACCGATGGATCTGGGGACAATAAAAAGAAAGTTTGATGCCAGACAATACGCCACCCCGGAAGAAATTAGAGATGACGTCCATTTGGTTTGTAACAATTGCTTCCAATACAATCCAGAAGGACAGACGGTTAATAAAATGGGGAAAGATTTGATGGTAGGTCTTGAGTTTTTATATTTGTATGTTTTTAGAAATATTTCGATGAAAGATGGAAAAATCTGCCACAGGAAGTCGAGCCTTTGCCCGAAGTCCCGTTAACACCGATCACGTCCACTGCAGCGATGAGAGATCCGTATGCCTTCCCCGGAGCCAGAACGACTCCGGCTCCTCTCTTGCCTGCTCAGTCCACTCCCATCACTCACAATCAAACATATGGGCCTTTAGCCACCGATGATGCTATCGATACTCTACTCGAAGATGTCCAATCAGAACAGTTCAGACTCACTAGCCGTGTTGCAGAGCTTCAGAGATACATGCAAGAGTTAATCCAATTAAAGTAAGGTTTTAGAAAATGAAAATAGGGTTGTCACATCTGGTAGGATGTAATCTGTTAGTCTTCATAGCTTGGCGGATTTTTCACACTTTTTTGAAAAAATTTCTCTTGGCAGATAGACTTCTTTGGTTTAAGTTGCACTGATTGCTCCGTCAGAGCAATCGGACCTAAAGGAATTGTTATATTTGATGAAAGATGGGGTTTGGAATTCCTTTTGGCCCATTCCCGTATTTTTGGCACCTCAAAACTTTAAAAATACCTCCGCCAGCCTTTTAAGCATGAGAAAAGGAAAATCAAGACAGGATCAATGATTATGTGAAGTGCAAAAACTCCTCAGCGTTATTATATTCCGGTCCGAAAAAGTAGGATTAGGATACCATAGTAATCGTTCTAAAGTAAAATGAGAAAAGTTTAAATCATATTTTCTGCCAAATGTGGGCTTATAGACGAAAAGGTTCTCATTTGTGGACAATGAAAAGTTTTTTGTGGACAAAAAATGTATTTTCTTTTAAGAAATTTATGTAATCCTTTTTTAGGCAAAGGAGAAGAGAAGCAAGAGAACAGAAGGCAGTGGCCCCATCTTTGTCAGGTGAATTGCATACCCACATCAAGAAGAGCCTGATGTCCGGGGGAATAGCAGGTCTGATCACTCCCTTTAGCGCTGTTGGAACACAGCCGACGTTCACAGCTACTCCGATCGCCCAGAATCCTCCTCCAGCGTTGTTGTCACCGGTCGCCGCCTCCGCTAATATGTTCTCAGCAGCCGCGAACGGTGCCAAACGACGAGCAGGTCGTCCTAAGGGCTCAGGAAATCTTCCCAAGACTCCAAGCGTTGACATGGCCACACTGCCGCTGGCGTCACCGGTTACTCAACCTCCTGTTTTGCCGCCGGCGCCTCCCACGCTTTCCCAGCAAGCCTTTAATGCAGCGCCGACAGATAATTCGATGCCGCCACCGGGTCAAGCGCCTCTTGCCAAATCGGGTCGTGGCAGAAAGCCTGGATCAAAGAATAAACCCAAAGGTGCCCGAGAAGAGAAACCCGAGTACGAATTCAATTCAGACGAAGATCAAGCCTCTGAGCCAATGACATACGAAGAAAAGAAACGATTGTCTACCAACATTAACAATCTGCCCAGTGATCGGTTAAGTAAAGTTCTTCAGATTATCGCCAAAAGAGAAAAGTTGGATCCCGAATTCAATCCAGAAGAGGTGGAGATCGACTTCGAGACCCTCCAACCCAAGACTCTCAGGGAATTGGAAATTTTTGTTACCCAATGTGGTCAAAAGAGCACCAGGAGACAGAATGGTAAGGATCATGTGATCAGTTTCATACTGAATTATCTGTCTACGTGTCTGTGTTGATCGTTCTTATGTTTAAGCTTGTAATTGCTTGAATTATTTCAGCCCCTCGACCCCTCGAACAGGCAGCCAGAAAACGCGAACTGGAGCAGAGACTTGCTGAAATTGGCGGTAATTCCAAGAGTAAGTCGAGAATAGAGTGCTTTGGCTTTTATTTACCAAGTCCAGTCCGAGCGGTGCTGTCCTTGTTCCTGGCTGACTAACCGTTTCTTTTCAGGAGGCATGTCGGGAGCCCCTCCACGAGGCCGACCACCAGCCAACATGACTTCGGCCAATAGGGATTCCAGTGAATCTTCGTCTTCTTCCTCATCGTCCTCTTCAGAATCCTCATCGTCAGATTCTTCGGACTCTGAATCAGGTTAGCAAAGTTTAGCTTTACAGTAGTTGGATAGCTGGGGTTTTGTTATCTCAGAGCCTTCGTTACATTCTCCATAATTTCTTACCTCTCCTTTTCCTTTCTAACGCCCTCATTCATGTCCTCGATTGTATATAGTAATGATTGTAAGTCCACAAGGTGTCATCATGGCGTGTTTAAGGTTCCTCACTCCGATCTTTCAGACTTCTTATTTCCCTCGACTAAGTTCTTGAAAATGCGAAAGGAAAGCGCGCTAGAAAGGGGTGGGAACATAAATGTGTCATCATGACAGTTTTTTGGACATAATAAGAGTAATAATAGAAGCAACCAGTAATTATACCTCACTCTTGTTTGATCCGTTTTGATACTCGCAAAACTCAGAATCTCACTCATGTTGCCGGCGACAATGTAAATAATATCTCGGGGGATTTCTAATAATTTGGAATAAATTTGATTAACATGTAGAAGAACGCTGTAAAGAAAACAACTGGTAACCCGTCAAGAAACACCATCATGGTGACACATTAATCTCAGGACTTAATTCCCCTGATAATCAAACATTTAAAAAGGATTATTGATCGTGTCTTTTACAATATGTAATCGATATTGAACTCAGGGAAAATATTTTTAGAACAAAAAGAAGCCCCCAAAACATCACCCCGGCCAAACGGCACCAACAACCTTAACCGTCCACGAGCCAATCCAGTAAGTTAGTTTTATAATTAGCATTTCATACACCTCGATTTCAGTCTGTCACCAAGCCGACCAATAACAACACATTGAATTCGGCCCCTGGCGTCAATGGAGTAAAACCTGAGGATAAAAGGAACATTGTTCACAGTGGAGCTGGTCCTCTTCTGCAGAACAACAATGCAGTCAGTCATGCCGGAATTAGCGGGTCCGTCTTGGATCAGCTTCTTCCAGCTGCTGAAGCTTCGGCTGATAATAATACGGGACTCTCGAAAGGAAATTATCTCGATTCGTTTGATACCTTCAAGAGAATGAAGAGAGAAAAGGACATGACGGTAAGTCTGATGAAAAGGATAACATCGGTCTGGTTCAGAAACAAACCTTGGCACAAAGAGATCAGGAACGTTCCAAGAACGGAATGGAGAGCACTTCCACCTCCAGACAAGACGAAATTCAGCGGCTGAAAATGGCAGAGAAGGTCGGTTTTTGGATCCCATACCCTTGACCTCAATACTCTGCCATTTCCCTAACTTCCTTTTTCAGGAACGTCGTCAACGTGAAGCCGCCAATGACGAAGGAATCACCACGCAAATGGACATTATGGCCAACTTTGAGGACAACTTTTGAGTCTGTTCTCTTATTAACTCCAGTCTTTCGTCTGTTCTCTAGAACGTCTATGTTACACTCATAATCAGTGCAAGTAATAAAATACGAATACCCTCTGTGTCGGCATGAGTGTGACTCGGTTCTTTTTGTCTTGCCATTGTCCGAATATTACTTTTTCTCCTTCCTTCCCTCTAGGTCAGCTCCAAGTTCTCTAGGTGATCCCTTCGATTTGTAAAATGTCCAATGTAATCATCTTCTCGTTATAGTGTATGTAAATATACATTTTCTTGTTTCCTTGAGCCTCATCCGATTCATTTGAGCTGGAGGCATTCACTCAGGTTTATCTTTATATTCATTCATTTGTTGTTTTTTCTATTATTTTAACCGATAAAAACAAAAAAAATAATAATAATATTATATACCCGTTTGTATGGTTGTCCAGTTAAGGTGTAGTGCATCCTTAGGCTTGTTTGACTCTCTTCATATAACGTTTTATGATTTCCATTGGCACCGGCAGTATGATGGTATGGTTCTGTGAAGTTGATATTCGACTCAGAGTTTGAAGATATCGTAGTTGGATGGCTGCGGGCGAATTTTTAAACCGGTCGGCGGCTACTTTCAGAGAAAACGAGGCCTTAAATTAACGATGTAATGGCAAAGAATCATCATCTTACATTTAACTCTCCTGCGGCCGAAACGATCTTAGCGTCGGCTTCTCTGGAGGCTTCGGCTTCAGCGGCCAATACTCGACAAAGTTCTCGTGGAAGCCTAATGTCCTTGACTTCCACTCGTTCCACCTTGATACCCCAAGGATCGGTTCCTATATAACTATTTATATAAACCGCGTATTCTCACCTTCATCCAGAACTTCTTGGGCTTGTTGCGCGATACTCTCTCGTTCCGACATGATCTCACTCAACGTTCTGGTTCCAAGAACATTTCTCAAGGCTGTTTGTGCTAGCATCTTTGTGCTCAAATGAGCATCAGCTATGCAATTAATTGTTGCCACCGGGTCGCTGAATAAATGATCAAATTGGATTTACTCTACTTAAGTAATCATATTTCAAGCGCCGCCTTACCTTGTTCTATAATATACAGCCGCATCTACAGACACTGTAACCGAGTCTTTCGTGAGCATTTCTTGTGAAGGCACGTCGTAAGACATGGTTCTCAGATCGATCATGTGATGCTCATCCACACAAGGCAGTATCATCACAACTCCTGGACCCATGGTGCCCGTTCCCTTAATCCGGCCAAGTCTGAATACAACCATTCTCTTGTATTCATGGACAATCTTTATGCAAACAAAAAGAGAGAGCGGCAGTGTGAAGACAAAGATGATCCAGGCGAGTGTCATCATGATATAATAATAGATTGGGGGACCCTGGGGAATGAGCGGTTTCTTGTTCATCATGTGGAACGTGTCCATGGAAAGACGGTTGTTCGAGGTCATGGCCTGGAAGCGATAGTTGCACACGATTAATCAACAATTAAAATTATTAGAAAATATACTCGGATCCATCATGCATCATAAAAAATTTATGAATTTAACACTAAACGAATGAATTTCAAGCAACATCGGCCTTTAGAAAATAAGATGGCAAAGCGTGGATTCACAAGGAACTCTGGCCAAACAAGTACAACAAGTCTTTCCCGAAAGATTAAACCAGTTACTTAGAGTGGAAGCGACCCAAACTAAGTGTACTCTTTAAGGACCGCCGAAATTTTCTTTTTCCCTCTCCCGAAAAGAAATGTGAAATCAAACCTTAAGGAAACGAAACTAAAGTTTTCGGCAATTAGGTTCGTATAGAATCTGATAACTTTTCATTTTCACTATGGTAACACGAAGAAAAGGTTCTCCTTCCGAAAGGAATGGCCAAGAAGTGGAACACAAAGGAAGTATGTCAAAAACAGGCCCAAGAAAAGGTTTCTTCATTAGGATAATGCAAATCCAATCACATAATTACCTCTAATAGACAAGTCTAATCAGGTGGACAAACGCAATTAAAGAAAATAAAGTCAGTAATATTTGATCAATTTCATGTACAGTAACCCTTTTGGTAAGTAGTGTTGAATTAGCAATTAGGAGAAGTTTGAATAGACATCAAAAGTACCATCATCGTATCATTAATCCGCCCAATAACTTAACCGACATTGTTATATACCAGCAGACCGATTCCGAAGCCATTAACGGCTTCAAAACACCTTTGTCCAGGAAGCTAAGCTTTTAGAACCCCGCTTTATTTGTCCGGACGTATACCTGAAATAAACCTCACGGCCCAACCTAAAGGTTCAGAAACGAGGAAGAGGTGGCCTCTCCCGACGGCGCGGTTTCCCGAATCATCAATGATTCATGCCCTTGGGGATGTGATTGACGGCTTATGACAAGTCCATTTTAGGGGTTGAAAGCTCCTCCGAAAGTAAACGATGGTAAACAATGCAAAAAGTTTAACAAATATTTTGTTTTAATAAAAGGAATTTCATAAAACGTGACAAAGAATAGAAGAAGACATCAAGAGATATGATTTGTTGCAAAACCAACGACTGGCAGTAAATCGAAGTGCTCGCAAACCAACAAAAAGGGGATGTGATTATGTTTTCAAAAAGCCAACTTTCAACCTCTAATTACAGTAACCCCACCCCATTTTTAAGCACATATGTATTTACTTTCTGCTATGCGTAATTATTTATAATACCAAAATGTGTATCATTCAGGAATAAGATGACCCAAAGGAGGTTTTGAAAATCTCTTGCCATACCGTAACCTTTGCCACACATAAATAAGATAATCCTCGCGGTTACCATAATCCGGCAAATCAACGCCATTGATGGTGGTAGATCTCCGCCAGCTTTCCGTGGTGGATATTCCGCTTTCCGGCTGTCCAATTCGGACGAAAAGAAGCGTGTCGCGCTCATTTTCAATTAACGCATCCTAAGACGGACATCGGAGTCAATGGCAATTTGGGCGTTAAGAAAACCGCGGGCCAGAAAAGGAACCTCATTGTGGCGCATTTGTGATGTGGATGTAGGCAACAAAAAGACGGCTGTATGGCGGGGAAAAGCCCGCCTTTTCAGGACGCTTGACAAGACTTCTCGAGTACATATATATACATATTTATTCTTTTTTCTTTCGCTTTTGTTTCGACTTTTACACTTTCTCAGGCTCTCCAGAAGGTTTAAGGTAACGGGCCGGAGGGAACGCCCGTCTCGACATGTTCTTTGCTGTCCGCTTACTGCAAAAAACATGGACTAAATTAGACGGATGTACAGCGGCATTTCCAGACTTAAGTAAGTTTTGTGCCCAAGATAGTAAGGGTTAGAATAAGATTACATGGCTCGACAAGAACAACAAATAAAATGGAAAGGATTCACTTCCCATACATCCGCGTCGTAAAGACCTCGACATTTGGCATTCCAAGGACTCCATAAGTTCGGACTGCAGGTCCAAAACGGCCCACCCCACCTCAAAAATCTCATTTGCAAGGGAATGCTTTATGACATTTTTATCACCTAAGGACAGGTGGTGGAAATAAAAGGTAGCAAACTACTCGAATTCGGGGACCCCACAAAAACTAAATGCGGACACCCGGAATGCCCTCCTCGACCCAAAATATCGAAAGAATAGTAGATTTCCTTCGAGAATTCAAATCCGAATTGTGTTTTTGAATGAGAAAAGAACGTTTCCGCATTACGACGTGTAAACAAAACTTGGAATATTCATTTCAAACAAAGAAGTTGTATAAACAGACAGATTATTTTACACATAACATGCTTCCTTAGGCCAACTCCATCTGTGGCCGGGCCAATTTTCCTTCAGTCTGATTGGTCGAGGAGAAGCCAGTACCTCCTCTTTGGAGTTCTATCACATCTGAGTCTGTGAGTTTCTTGTTCGTCAGAGGATCTATCATGTCTTTCTTGATTATCTTTTCCACACAATTCCAGGACACAATCTTCTGACTACAAAATATTTGCAAAAGCCATCAAGGATCCCGCACTCTTACCTAGTCTTAATATAAGCGCATCGACTACTATTTGTCAAGATATCTCCCGTGACCGGGCATTTGTATCGCTCTTTCATCGAATAAATCAGATTTGTTTTAGCGGCATCCTCATCGATCGGCGTGAATATAACCGGCATCATATCCTTAAACTTCAATGGTTTACCAGTCACCGGATTTGTCACTTTTTGAGGCTATAAAGAAATGAAAGTCTCTTATTAAGGAAGGGCTAATATGAAACAAAAATCAAAATCATTACCGGTTTTTCCATTTTGCTGACTTCTGCAGTTGATTGCAATTCAGGTACCCAAAAACTGTTCCACTTTTTGGCCTTGTCTCCAGCCATATTTGACAAGCTTTCTTCATCGTACTTATCCTTTTTATTACTTGGCCCAGCATTTGCGTTAGTTGACTTTCTTTTCTTGCTCACACTTTCACCGTAAGCAAATACATGGGTTGGCGTTGATTCCATGGCTACAAATTTGCGCTTCCGCTCTTCTTCTGTCTCTTGTTCGGCCTAAAAAATGAAATATGAATGTGAGATGCAAAACAGACATATAACGGTACGAGCAATTTTTCTTACCTTTTCTTTCCTTTCCTCTTCCATCTTGACAAACTTTTCAAAAGCATCGTTTTGCCGTTTTAGCTCCTTTTTCTGATCAACAATGTATTGTAATATCGCCTCTTTCTCGAAGATGTAACCGTCAGGGGTGACCATTGGATTCCTAAGCAATAAAAAGACAGTCAAATCATACTTACTTGCATGGTTGAAGCGTTAGGCAGCAACAATCAAAAGGCTTAACAGAATCTGCACCCAATCTTTCCTTCAACGTCCCATACCCTGACTGTCTAGAATCTTTCTTCCTCTCTGAATAACTATAAACAGCTGAAGCCGTGGAATTCTTTCCATGGCGAGTCATAACTATTTTCTTTTAGCGGAGTCAGTAAAAAATGCTTTTAAAAGTAATCCCAGAAGTTGAAGAATAAAATTTTACAAAAAAGAGCTAAAATCTTCATAGACGAAAATCATAAAAAAACAGAAATATCTTACCGAGCTGCGGCCGATCTTTCTCCATCTGCGGAAGTTGGTCTGCGAGAACAAGTTTTCAAATCATTTTTTCGGCCATTTGCAGAGAACTCGGACAAAATACAGAATTTGGTCGAGAGGGTCTTCACCAAAGACGTCGTTGTAGATGTCATTGGAAAAATGCTTAAGGGAGTACTTTAAGATCTACTACAGACAACAGGACGCTTTCGATCGCCAAAAGAAGAAACCTTCGGCCAGGGTTTTCACTTATGAAACTCCACAACTCACTGAAGGTAGGTTGCTTACAATACTTTTATTTACCCTTAGGTCGTCGGCGTTTTCTTGCAACGGACCTGGAGAAGTTTGTCGCTTGTTACAAGTCAATCAGATGTGGCAGACACTTCTATGAGCTTATTCAGGAGAACCGTCCTTGTCGTCCTTATTTTGATCTTGAATATTACAAACGGTTCAACGTTTATGAAGACCCCAAACAGCTTGTAACGGATTTCATTGAGGTCGTTTGCCGTCTATTTAAGAGCAGACTTAATGTCGTGGTGGACCCCACTGATTTTCTTATTCTGGACTCCTCCTCAGATGATAAATTCTCGGCTCACATTATAATACACTTCAAAGAAAAGGTTCTTCTGCCTTGTAATACAGCCTTTAAAGGTTTTGTCAACAGTTTGTGCACAACCTTGGCAGAGGAAAGGAAGTGTATCATCAGGAATGAGAGCAAGGAGACTTTTCTTTGCGATCAATCTGTTTATACAAAGAATAGAAACTTCCGATTATTCTATAGCTCCAAGTGTGGAAAGAAGGAGAAATTAGTGTATGCCAGTTACTGCAATTTTTATCGTAAGTAAATGCGATGATACGATTAATATTGATTTAGAATCCCGAGGGATAACTTCTCCAGATACCACTTCTATGTTTTATGATTCGTTGGTTATTCCAAAGGAATACGAAGAGTACGGTGTCCTTGATTTGAATCAACTAGAAGGAGTTAATCCGATTTGTCGTCCTTTATTTTCCAGTAAGTTATTTTAATTTATATCTTTATGTTTTAGTAAATACGACCGTTGACGTCAAAGCTCCGCACAATGTGGCGTCGAATTGTGGATCATCGCCATTCCCTTTAATCGATCGGTTTGTTACCGGGATTCTTTCTCGGTATTGTCCCAATGTTCAAGTATCCAAATGGAGCTTGCTTTATACAAAAGAATACGATCGAAGACGATTACAATTACAATTTCGAGGTTGTAGATATTGTTTCAACATGGGCCGGGAGCACAAAAGTCAAAATATCTACTGGATTGTGGACCTGAATGACTTCCGAGCGTACCAAAAATGTTTTGATATAGATTGTAAACATTTCATATCCAATTTCTTTGCCGTCCCAGACGATGTGAAAAAAGCTTGTGAATCCAAGATTGGTGAGTACTCAAGATTGGTTGTTATTATTATTTGCAGAAACCGTGTTCAAAGTGTATGGTCACAAAGAGCTGAGTCAGCATCCTCCTCAGTTGGCTGAGTCTCAAAAAGAAAATCCGGAATCAGCCAAAAGAAAGCGCCGATCTTTCTACGATCCGGAGACTGACCAGGTCGTCATGTTCCAAAGAACTCCAAAGAGAAACCAATGCAATAACACTTTGGATGAGACTCTCGTAATCACAATCGACTAACGTTCATACTAACAATTTATATAATCTAACCATTTCATTCATAAAATTGTTGTATACCAACTAATTATTTAGCTTCGTACTGTATAAAGATTGTATAATATCGAAGAGTTATCGGTGTAAAGTTTTGTGTGGTACTGTTTAGATATATTTTTGATCGTTGGTTGCCTTCACCATTTATTTCAGATGCCCAATTCGGTTTTTTGTTGATTGACGGAGAGGTACTGGGAAACGGTATCTTGGTTTCTCTTCCCCTCCAACCAATAAGTTGTCATCTTCCCTTTGCCCTGAAGGTATGTCTTCTTTTATTATTGGATATTTCGTACCTTTATCTCGACTTCGCCCCGCTGAATGGTCTCAAATTCGGGATAATATTGATCAAGACCTGTTTTGAAGGCGTCACTGACTTGAATTCGACCTGGAGATCCAGTAGATTCCATTCGAGATGCTGTATTTACCTATGGAAATGAGTAGTTATAAATTCCCCTTATCTTACAGTATCCCCAAATAGACAATATCTCGGAGCCGTTAGTCCAACAACACCGGCGGCAACTTGGCCGGTATGAAGCCCAATTCTGATGACAATTCGTTTGTCTTTTCGATGGGGAATCACGAAATCTCGAAGATATTGCATTATGTCCAAGGAGACGTCACTTAGACTCATCAAATGTCTTGTGCCATTCTCTTGAGGGATCCCACTCACCACCATGTAGGCATCTCCGATTGTCTCCACCTTATAGACCTTATTTTTTGCGATAATATCATCAAATCCAGTATAAACACTGTTCAACATTGTGACCACTTCCAGTGGAGTCGAGTTGGAACACAGCGTTGTGAAACCAACAATATCACTGAAGAAGACACTGGCTTGACGGAAAGTCTTCGGGGGGACGGCCCGACCCATCTTTAGCTCATTAGCCACGTAACTGCAAGTGTTTGTAAGAAATGTATGGGATGTTTACCCGGGTAGTAGTTGACTGAGAAGTTTATCGGCACGTTGATTGGCCTCTTCAAGCATTCCAGTCCTCTCTTGCACCAGTTTTTCCAGATTATTTGCATATTGTTCCATCATTCTCATCATCTGATCCACCAAACTTCCTTTTCTGTAATGTTTCGTATAGGTATCACTGGTTATTGCAATATCCTTACACTTTCAAGTAGTTTTCTGTGTTCAATCGGACCCTTCTGATGCTTGGTCTGATCTCGGGATTGGTACTCCAACAATCCTGAAGTAATGATGCAAGATCTGGATGGACTTTGGTCTTGTCCTGGATGGATGGTTTTAATGTTTTGGATCCATCTTTAACATATTCACATAGTTCGGAGACGTTTGTGTTCTCGGGGAATGGCAGAGATCGGAATAAAATCTCGTACATGACCATTCCGAAGGCATAAACATCTCCAGCTTGTAGCCGATTGGCCGTTTGTTTCTTCCAGGCCTGTTCCATTCCTCTTCGCTTGTTGACTTCAGCTACCTGAAGCATCTCAGGAGCACGGTAAAGGTCGTCTGAAATTATAGGTTCGTTTAATTTGGTCTTACTAGTTGCTTGCAGAGCGCCACTTCGTTCTTCTCCATCCTTAAGTTCCTCCTTAGTTATTGATCCTTGTTTTTCCCATCTTTCGATTGGATTGGCAACCCCGTAATCAGTTAACTTTACCATCCAGTTTCGATCAATTAGGCAGGACCAGGGTGTCAGAGAACCGTGGTATCCAATGGCTGAGAGATGAAGATATTCAAGACCCTGTAAGGACTATAATGTACTGTGTGAAGGGTTACCAGAGTGATGTCTCTAACGAACGCGGCATGGAACTTCTCATCCAAGGCGACTTCCTCATTGTAGATTATATCTTGTACGGTACCCCGAGAACAAAACTTCCATAGAATGAGCATCTCCTCCTTCTCATTGAAAGACATGCCCAGAAATGGATTCAGATTATCATGAACAGCCAACTTTAGACTAGTCAGAAGCTGGAGATCTTCTCTGCAGAATTGTATAGGTCTTTTTTGTGGGTACACATGGAAAGAGGCGTGGGTGTTGGTCCCGACGATGGCATGGTGCTTCGCGAATCTATTCATATTGCTCAATTTTGTCTTGGAACTCCCTATGGAAAGCTGAAATCATTTATTCTTAATAGAGCTCATAGACGGTACCATCGACTTCATCTCCTCGGTGGATACGATTCTCATATCATCACGGAAGATGCGCCAAGAATTCTTGGATAAGGAATTGTTTTCCCTGAAAATATTTTCTCTAGGATCCTGTGGTGACTTCTCTTACAGAACACGGAAAACAATAAACATGCAGAACATTGCTACAATAAGTAGCAAGGCCAAAGCGCCGATGATTATCGTCAGGGTATAGTCGCACTTCTCGTTTCTGAATCCACAAACAGGCTCGTCTGGGGGCATTTTCCCGTCGATAGAAGGCCAGAATCCAGTGGCTAGATCTTTTACTTTCTGCAGAACGTAATTGTGATCTCTTAATAACATTTACCAGATCCATACATCCTGTTTTCGTTTTCAAACCGTCACAATTTTGAATAAGCAATGGATTCATCTCGATCATTCTCATCGGGATCTCTTGTCTCGCGCTAACAAAGAATGCTGAAGATACTATGTAGCCAGATAATTATAAGACTATTACCTCCATAGACAGCAGCTCTTTCGGCCAGATCATCCATGATTACGGTGCCTGAAGAGATCCCTTCGGCACTTACCAGGCCCGGGAAGGTCATCCTTCTCATCGTATTCCAGATGTAAGTACCGTTGGTTGTAACTTTCACATCTTCTGTCTCGTTTATTGCCTTTGTTGCGGCAAGCGCATAAAGTTTAAGCGAGTCGTAGAGATGAATGTAACCGTATACATTTTGCTGAACGGTGGATTTAGAATTTTATCGTTGCTTACCAAATTCAAATCATTAATGTTTAGTCCGTTGGCTTCGATTCGTTCCTTGAACGGAGTCAGTAAGGCATTGTCGAATCCATTGACATCATCAATCTGAACAAGTGTAATTCATTTTGTTATTACACATACGATGATGGTGTTGTCGAATGTATCTTTCACATTTTGTAACGTCTGTCCTTCCGGTGTAATCCACGGCGACAAATCCTTTGCTTCGGCCTGAAGCCAGGGCATAATGAATACAAATTCGTTGGTTTTAAGAGCGCTCTCTTTAGCGGCTTGCATGAATTCCTTTGTCATATCGCGAGTCGCCGAGAAGATGCAAATGATTACTGTAGATGTGTTATATAAGAGTGGATGCTTTTATTACCTCTAGCTGCAACCTTGATATCATCCATAACTCCAGACGCAATGATCTGTTTCGAGTTTGAGTTCTCTTCCAGCATGAATTTCCTGAGCACTCTGATATTATTCTTGTGGAAGACATTCTCGAAAGCGGCGACTCTCTCAAAGGCAACCGCTCCTCCATTTGTGACTATTGCTACCTACAAGATTAATTTCCTCACTTGTTTATTGCTCGGTACCTTGTGCCAGTCGTAGTGTTTGAGTACGGTATATGTAGCCTGTGCTAGCGAGTTGATTGTCCTCAACGATACTCTTGCCATGGTCTTATAGATGGTCTTGTCGGCGAATGCGGTGCTCGAAGCCATGTATCCTATGATTGGGATGTTCCAGAATGCAGACATTTTGCTTACAGCATCCATTTCTATTCCAATAGTAGAAACTTTTAATTCCCTTACCTGCATTACAGTAAGGACCCACAAAAACTTTTACATTTTGTTGATGATACATGTCTGCAGCCACAGCAACTCCTTCGTACGACTCTCCACACCCCATTTGAGATAATATTCTATAAAATACTTTTTATTTTCTCTTTTCTTACTCGATATCAAAGTTTTTATTCAGAATTCCTTCTCTCCACAGCTCAGATCTACACATGGCCAAGATGTCATCGGCCTTGGGCATCACTCCAATTGCTCCAATATGCCCAACTCTCACCTTGAAACCCTCCGCATAGAGTAGTATCCCATTGAATATCAGCCATAGTAGAGGTAATGCGGCAGCCAAACACCTTGGCCACATCCCTGTAAGCGGTCAGGAAGTTGTAAATGGGCGACTTTGTGTCCATGGTCCCTGTCAATTTGGCAAATTAATGTTTTGATTTTCTCAAATACACAGGGCTTGAGAAGCCGATTATCGTCGTATTTCTGTTACATCGCTTTCATTTATGGCTGAGCTGGGCTGAAATGTCTCGGTGAGAAAATTTGTACATGTCTTCTTTGAGGATGACAAGATTCTCCTATGACCGTACCTCAAAAATCTATATAAACATTAGATTTTGATAATGACTAATTTTCTGGTACTGGACTGTAAATGAAATCATCGTTGGCAAGGCTGTAATATGACATATTTTAATTCTTCCGCACAAAAAATTAAATTGGTTGTTTAAAAGAGTGATTAAAATCATGGTCCGAAAGAAGAAGGCCTTCTTCTGGCCATTCTTTCGGCCATAATCTGGGCCAATTCTTCCGGCGGCACCGGAAACCCCGGCCCCGAGACATGAATATCTATTTCTCTTTCTTCGAGAAGGCACCGCTGGCTTCATTCTCCATCCCGGCTCCATTCTCTCATGATAAAAAAGAAGGAATTGAAACGAAAAAACCGGCAGAAGCGCGCGGAACAATATAATTCATGCACCTTCTTTTCTCTGGTCATTCGGCCGCATGTTTTTATGGGTTTCAATAGCCAAGGAAATTCCTTTGGCGGTTCCGAGAAGATGGTTTCATAAGATGGGCTCAAGTCGAGGACGGCAAGAAAAGAACGAAATGAACGTGATCTGCTTTGTTTTAAATTGTTTCTTTCCATGTTTAGGACCTTATACATGGCTGTCGATTTTAATCGAAAAAGGCTCATACATTTTGGATGACCATCGGTACAACGAACTCTGCCCATTACCATCTGGAGAGTTTACAACCTTTATGACATGAGATGAGGGAGCATTGGAAATGCATCCCTCTTTCCCCCATCCCCATTCATTTCTTCCATTTAGGCCATTCATTAAGGCCCCGGCTGATTGGACCGAAATAGTCCAACAACCTTATTCCCTGGGGCAATTAAATGCGGGAGAAGAGTGCACTGTTCAGCCGAGTACGTAGAGACACACCCCGCGGAGGATACGGTAATCTGTTTTGGGTCATTAAGACGGCCTTTAATCACAATAAGACCCGTCAATTAGGCAGATTCGTGGGACCAATCGTTTTTTGTGGCCGAGAAAAGGTTGTGCGACTCTTTTACGAGATGGTTTCGAAGCCCGAAGACGAAGCGAAGTCGAGGGAGAATCCGAAGGGCCATCTGCCTCCAAGAACCCCCAGCAAAAGCACGCGGATTCCATTTCCATTGGCCTTTTTTGCGCCTGTTTGTTCAGATGGGTCCGACCTTCTTTCTTCGCGCAACTGATCCTATGTATGAGCTATTTATATTTATTGCTACAAAACAGCTGCATTTCATTCTTTTTCTTCTTTCGATTTATTCCCTTCCGCCGTCGTTTCCCCGTCCCAAAACGTTCCTAATTAAGAGTTAAGTGACCATATGGCCTGATTGTGAAGGGAAAGGATGCATGCGATACAAAAGGATTGGCTTTAAGACAAGGATTAAGTGACCTTTGACTTGCGAGTAGTATATGTTAACTATGACCGCAAAATAAAATTCCTCTAAAATCAGCATTCCTTTTGTCAGTTTAAAATACGTAACGTAGAAGCGTTTGCTGCCATCCCGTATTTTCTCCCTCCGATCATCTGTCCAAATTCCGTTTTTTCCTTGCAATGTTAGACATTCAAGAAGCATTTACCTATACATACATATTCACGTTTCGGGGATGTTATAAATTTTGGACTGAGAGTCGTGGGCGGTAATTTATGAAAACAGACAATTCCCCCTCTGTTTTACTCTGGTTTTAGCTTCTGATTGATGGGGTTTTTTATGCATTCCAACCATCCCAAAACGGGGATTATAGGGACGTTTGGAACAACGTGATCGCCAAAACCAATTCATGTCACATTACTTTGGGCAGAGATTAAAGTAATGTTTCTTTCTGAAACATGACAATCTTTTTTCGGCAAACCCTTAGGCCTTCGAAGTCAAGATTCTTCGACTCCAATCTACCTCGAGGTCATGCATAACAGAGAAGACAGATAATTTCCTTTTGGGGACAATTGTCCCAACATGTTTTGATTAATCGTCCCTTTTTTGCGTTTAAAATTGGGTTTGGATCGATTCGAAAAGGGGCCGCGGTCAAAGAATGGCCCGGCCAGAGGGCAAGAGCCATTAGTTTCCAATCGCCAAAAAACGCCTCAGGGCCGGAGCTTTGTTGCGAAATTGATGTGGTCAAGAGGCCCTGGGGGCATGACGGTTCGGTAATATCCATGGCCTACAATTCATCCGGAGACCGCGCACTTTAATATCCTTGGGGACGGGCCGCGCTTGATTACAGCCCATAATTATGCTAATCCAATCAGGCCCCGGCCTTCGCTCCAATTGCAATCAAATTTTGTTTCCACATTGTTTTAGACGCACTTTCTCCGAAATGAAACCGCAAATGCATCAGCGTGACGGCATTTGTGGCTTTGAAGAGAAAAGAGGTGAGAGTAACAGTAATACCCATCAAAAGTAATGTTTTCTCCGGGAATCTGAGCGATTGCAGAACTTGTGATATCATGATATTACTCATGCCTCCTCTCCCTCCTCTCTCCCCGGTCGCGTTTTTTTTTTGTTATTTTACGCTCAAAATTGTGTTTATAACCCGTTTGCGGCAGATCTTATCATGTCCTCATCGTTCAACCATCTGGCTCTAAGAAGTTTGCCTCGTCTGGCGCCTCTCTCTTTCCTGTGCTGTCTTATGACAGCCGAAAATCCTTGGAAATTCATTTGCATATGTCTCAATCGTGCATGAATTGTCATTTTCCACTCGCTCTTCCGAAGTTTGGCCTTCAAAAGTCTCTGATTTTTGTGCTTGTGATATGACTGGCGTTTTTGTTTATGCCCCCAGGGTTTGAAGGGTTTAAGTTTATGTAAATGAGTTGTCAAAGTTTAGAGAGATTTACAGTACTCTTTCTATAGTATCTTTGGACTGAATCCGTTTTCCGGCCAATGACTGCGAGCGCTGAGAGTAAAGTCAGCTCTTGTTTCAACTCAACTCCCGGGTCATCTCAAGTTTCAAGTCAAGAGAAGCGGTTCTAGAGAACAACTGCCCTTAGGGCAGATGAAAGATCAGTTCGAAATGGGTAAAGGAAGTCCATGAAAGTGGTTTCTGGATGAACGGGGTGGGGTTCTCGGCGATGCTTCTGGATCTCACGTTTTTTTGTTTTCCCCAAAATGCCTTTTGGGGTTTCTGGACGGCCGTCTGAATCCTATTTCGGGCCTCCGTGCAATGAGTGCACGGCACCCGGATTTCCTGACCCGCGACTACCATATCCGCACCTTTTTTTGCTTAAGAGGTTCTTAAAAAGTGCGCATTGGCGATGAGTTTGACTTGAGCCCCGCCCCGCACCGGCCCCCTCGAGGTCTCTAAATTTCCTCATTTTTTGGGCATCAAGAGGGTCTCCGCCCTTCGAATTCCTTTTATTTTATGGCCAATGGCCATAGAAGAGGCGTCGGTGAGTCTGGGCCGCGCTTCCTCTGATCAGGCCGGAAATTATGGAAAGGGGAGACCTTGATGGGAACCGAGTTTAAAACGAACAAGTGAATGTAATGAATGCTATGTGCCAATATAATATGACCCCGATGATCTCATGCCATTCGAAACAGCCGAGGAAGAATTTTCTAACGACCTGATTAATGGCCTGAGATCCTCATAACGGTCCATACCTTACTTTCGATTTATCACCCCATTTTGACGATTATGGCATACGCAAACGGGTCTTAAACCTTTTTAAATCTTGCCCTTCTTTAATTAGCACATCAACAATTGCACACGTTCCAGGGTTTCCAGACTTTATGATCCGGGGGTTTTCCTCGGAGAATTATATAATCGGGCCTCTTAAACCATTAGTTTCACGGAATTTTTCCTCCAAAACAGTTGTTCATCGGAGGCGTTTTGAGGTCCGAAGAGCCGGGGTTTCCGGATTTTTTGGTCCCATTTAGGAGCTGCTGTATGCACATAGATCGGGTTCAGAATTATTTTTATTTGCAATTAGAGAGAATCTTTTCCACGTTTTTTAAAATTTTCCAGTATTTCCACTTGTTAGGCTTGTTTTTAATCCAATTATAATACATTACAAAGGATGTTTATTGACCTTAGACTCGTTCATCTATATCATCACCGATCCTATCGCAACCCAAAATTACACGGTCCCATTTCAAACATGGTCGATTAATAGGAGAGTTGGGTCTTAAGAGCAACAGGTTTGGGGTCCCATTAAAAGTTATGGGCTTTTTTGGGCAGGGCCGGCTTCAAGTTTTCTTTTTTGCTCCGAATTGTATTCTCCAAGGCGGCTGATTAAAGGAGAAACCGGATAATTGGATGTGTTTGAGAACGTTAGCCTCCTCGATCCGCCATTCTTTTGTGTCTGAGGAGTTCGGTGACTTTTTTGTAGCCGTCTTTTTATTTTTCCAGAATTTCTTTGCAAACGTTTTTCTTAGCTACAGAATTGTTTTCCGAAATATTTTTTTATTTGAAATGAAACTGATGATTCCTTTCCGAGGCCATGCCTTCCGGATCTCATGAATCCATAATAATCATTGTCTCGCGGTCTCTCTCTTTTTCGTAATCTCTTCCTCCGATCGGTGAGCAATCCTTTTCTTTCAGGCTATCGGAATGGTATTAAGGCGTCTCCCTTTAACGGCAGTCGGTTGCGCTCTCGGGAAGGGTGCGTCCTCCCAAACCTCGCCCGCTCTTCTCCCCCTTTTGAACGGCTTCAACGTCGCTGTTTCTGTGTCTCGAGCCTCTCTCTCTTCTCTTGGGCAGCTTTCTCCTTAGCGCCGATCAAGTTGGATTCCCTGCCTTCAGGGGATTAATTCCGCGCTAGCCGGGCCCGCTAAAACTTTTATTTCCTCGTTCATTTCAATTGGGATGCTTGAAGATGACGCTCTCTTTTTCTGTTGTATTCTTTTGTAACCTTGTCCCGAGCCTTGATCTCGCCCAAAATTTGCATATTTTTATTGGCCCAGCTGAAATGCGCCATTAATTAGCGGAGCTTCGGAGGAAACGGATCCATTTATTGTTTGCAAACACCTGATCTGTCGTCCGGGCACCTGGTCAAGCTTTGATGCCAGTTTTGAATGACTTTTTATGCGGTGGGAACAATTGACTGATTGAGCCCTAAAGGCCGAAAAATAGGGAAATGGAAATCCCGGGAACCGTACAAAACTCTGCAAGATTTATGACCCATTATAATAATCATCGAAAAGTTTGTGGCATAAATTGCTGAAGGGAACACAAATTACTAATTCTAACACGTTATTTACTTTTTTGTATTACCCTTTGCTTTGATATATATAAAAAGTGATCTTGCAATCCCCAGCAGAGTCTCGGCTCTTTTCCCGACGTCGCTTTTGATTCAGCCCTGAGGAAATAACTTTTTTCCGAAGGGCGTTTTGCGATGATTCAGGAAGTGAGGGGAGGGAAAGCGATCGCCTCCATTTTCGCCTCTTCCTCTGATCGAGGCCGTCGGATTAGCGGCGAAGGAAGGGGCTTCTGGAGCCGAAGCCATTTCCTGAACTTTCGTCTCGGACCTCGCTTACGTTGCGAATGATACGCAGTAATCTCCGGTTGCGATCATAAATTTGAGATTACAAGGTGTGAAGGGGCTGCATTTATGATTTTCATAAAAAGTAAATTCTTATAAAAAAGCGGTTTATTTTTACCGATAGGTTCATTTACATCCATGACTTAATTATCTGCACGTTTTTGTTGCAAGGAGGTAATTTAAAAATATCGGAGAATTTGAAATCATTCCCCTTCGAGCAACCCTTTACTGTTTTGAATATAAAAATTTGATCTGAAACCTTACTTATTATACTTGTTTGTTGCTTTTTACTGTTTACTAATATTTGTACAAGACCTTGAGATGCTGACTAACCTTGCCCTCCTCTTTTGGGCCGTTGACTAACATGTTTCGAGGTCTCCTTCCCTCTTCTCTCTTTGAATGCCTCTTCTGGAAAATCAGGTTCGATTCCAGGAGTTTTGATTTGATTAAAACCTCTTGAATAGCTGACATTGTATCGTGAAGACTGACGTGTTTCGTGACGTCTGAAGACAGCGGAACATTCTCTTTCGTATTTTATGCAAGAAGTGGTGCATTTTCTGTATTCTCGAGCTACTCTCCGGGCATGATTCGGGCCGGTCTTAAAAGGCCGGGCATCTCCTTAGGGACTCGTCTTCTTATTTTTATGGCCTTCTTCCTGGCCGGGGACCGCGATTCTAAATTTTTTGACGGATTGTCAATTTATGAATCCGGTCCTGGCTTGACAGCTTTTGAAACTGTTGTTTTCTACATTTATTTAGCATTTTTTGACGAATACGTCGATTAAGAGCAGATCGGGATATTTCGTCATCGTTTTTGAATAAGTTTACGCAATCAGAATGCTGTATTATTTTTGTGATACGACAACCAAATGGAATCGGTAGTCTTATCAGGGCTTATCTGACTTATCATTCCTTCCAATTTCCCTCCAAATATTATAATATTATACTAATGATGTTCTCTCTTACCGCAAACCCTAAATTCGGCCTTGAGGTGACCTTTCACCTGGCGTTGATGGCACGGTCACCGCGTCCCTTTAATGCCCCGACTTGCATTTGCATTTTGAGAGTGATCGAAGCGAGATTCGGGACTCTAACTGGACTGCCGATGGCTTCAGGGATTGTTTTATATTATACCTGGACGAGTGTTGTTTTGATCCTCGCTTTTTTGGATATAAAATACGCGTTTATTCGTATTCGTCTTGTTTTCGCCTCCCTTGATACCAACATTTATTGCTCTCAATTCCTGCAAAATATGGGAGTACCAAGAGAGAGGGAAGAGAAGGAAAGGATATAATAGTAGAAGGGCATGATTGCGATGACATTAATCCCTTTCATTTCCATACCTAGCCCCGGGTTTACCATATATTCGTGTCCGTTTAAGCCGTCGCTCTCTGTCATGGTGTATTAATTTACAAAAAATACTTTTTGTAGCGGACTTTCGAGGTTTGAAAACCAGAGAATCCCCGGATTCTGGATGAGGTTGATGGAGCGGGGGATCCGCGGGTCCGTATGGGGAGTAACGAGGATAGCTGGGTATTTGCTGAAGCCCCTTTCCCCTCGAGACTCTTGTGGATCGAGCTGGAGATGGTCGCCGAATGGAGGTCAAATTTCTCTCTATTATTATTATCTATCAGATGTCTCCGCGCTCTTTGTTTATCCGGTTTTTTCGCGCACCGAGCTCATGATCTCATTTTTTATATAAACTTTCCCAACCTTGTCTTTTGTATCACGCGTCTTTTTCCTTATCCGGGTTCCATTTCTTGCGCATTCCACCGTGCTTGTTTCACCCGACTCCAGAATCTAATGTCCCCGATTTCAGCCGGCTTCAGACGCCTTTTTTGTATAAAGTCCGTCCGCTTTCGCTTGACGACGTCCTGCTGATCTTCTTGTTGTTTGGCCCCATACCGGTCGATCCTCCCCCATGTTCGACGAGAATTCAAATGCGACGGCGGCAGCGGCTTCACTGACCGCCGTGCCCGCCGTCCCCACCCCAACGAATATAAACTCGAACCATTTGGTAAACCAACTTCTGAATGCCAAGGACTCCAGATGGTTGCAATTGGAGGTCTGTAGAGAGTTCCAGAGGGGACAGTGTTCCAGATCAGACATCGATTGCAAGTTTGCACATCCACCGGCACATGTGGATGTTCAGAATGGTCGAGTTACGGCTTGTTACGACTCTATTAAGGTAAGGCTGTTGTAAGAATACCGATTTTTGTTTGATAGCTCTGCTTACTTTTTGCATTTTAGGGCCGTTGCACCCGTGAAAATCCGAAATGTAAATATCTTCACCCTCCTCAACATCTGAAGGATCAACTTTTGGTAAATGGCAGAAACAACTTGGCCTTGAAGAATCTGATATGCTCACAATTAACGCAGCCCGGTATTACCAATAACATTCAGATGGCCCAGTTATTGGTAAGGGAGACTTTTCTGTTTGAAACTAACCTTCTAACATTGTGGATCATCAAATTTAAGAAATATTTTCCGAGAATAAGGTGATTAAAATTGTGAGAATTATTCTCTCATCACCGCCTTTAATCCCACGCTCCCTCTTCTTCTATTCCATGACCTGAACTTGTTCTTGTAGCAGCAACAGCAACAACCGCAGCAGGCCGCTCTCTTACCCACCATGCCTTATCAGTATTATTCACCGCTAACCGCCATTTATCCGACTTTAATGCCCACCGATCCCTTTGTACAGACCGTAAGTCGAGTTTTGGTGTACTTGTGTAGCGGGGCGAATTGAGAGAACGCCAGAGAACGACAGGCCTTCAGACAGTGCGATTCCTTTGTTCTTCGCTTCCATTGGTTTGTGATTGTACTACGCTTTTTCAAAAGTTCGAAGACTTTTTTTCGCGGCGCACAGTGCATTTTGCCACGTTTGCACTGTGCAGTGTCCGTCGCGCTCACAATGTTCGCGATGACGCAGATGAAAAAAACTTGCGCCGCGGCGATTTTTCAATTGCACAATGCAGAGGTGAAATGCACAGTGCGGAAAGCTTGCGACGAAAAGTCTACGCACTTATGATAAAGCGTAGTATTTCCGCTTGCAAATAGCAAGACTCGCGAGTTTATGCAATACATTTTCCAATAATACTAACAATGAGTTCTTGCAGTTTGATGTTTTCAACGGCAGCCTTAGATTATTTAAAACGGCATAAAATGAAAGAAAAGATTTGCTTTACCCAGTATTACACTGGATGTATTTGTGTGGCAATTTGGATCGCACTGCCTGTGAATGCCTACTACTATATGTTCTGATCCCCTTTTCTTTAGTTTGGGAGCTTACCAGTAGCACGGAGTTCTTTGTAGTTGTTTTACAGTGTCAGATGTAGAGCCACTAATTTCCATATTTTGTTTTTCCCGCAAAATTCTGTAAAACGCCTCTTCCGTGCCCTTTTTAATAACATTCACTCGGCCCAAAGAACCTTTTTGCTGCAATTACTCGGATGGTTACTGTAACAGCATAAGTAATTCGAGATTAGAGTAATTGGTTGCCCATCGGGGAATGTTTTATTTCAAGTGTAGTGATCGTTTGTTTTTGTGGCCTGCTTTTTATCGCTATTCTAATCCATTCAGTCCTCGTTGGTGGCCCGTCAGCTGGCCCTGCTCCAACAACAGCAACAAGTTCAACAACAACAACAGCAGCAGCAACTGACCGGAGTCCAGAACCAGGCCTTGGTGAATGCCCTCCTCCAACAACAGCTGGGTGCGTCGCCCACTCTGGCCAGTCCCTTGGCCCAGTCTCCATTGGCCGGCCTCTCCCAATCCCAGCTTCTCAATTCGCCAGCTTTGGCTGCCTTGGCCGCGCAACAATCGGCCCAATCAGCGCAGGCAGTCGGGCAGACTGGCTCTCCAGTGGAAGGTCGGAAACGATCAGCCAGATCAGCTGGTTTCGACGAGGGCGGGAGTGGGGATGAGAAGAAAACGAACACCCCGAACCCGGCCAGAACTCCGGCCTCCGCCGCTTCGAGTGTGCTTGCTTCGAGCGATCTCACAGCGCTCCAGAATCAGCTGCTGTTAGCCTCTGCTGCGGTACTGTAGTCTTTTTTTCCCCCGCGTTATTGTGGTATCTAACACTTTCACTGCCGTTTTTCACATTTTTAATGTCATTGTTGTCACATCTGGGTGTTAAATACCACAGTAGCGTTATCTTTTTTGATTTCTTTTGTCGTTTTTTTGTGTTTTTTGCCCTTTTACATCCGTCCTCTAACACTTTTTGTCGTATCCGCACTCTTTCCTGATACAACGCTTACATTATTTAGAGTGGATTAGCCTTCAGTTCAGGGACATTTCACGGAGAATATCGCTTTTTAAATTAACACTTCTCTGCTTCAAAATTATATCAAAGTAGCTTATTAGATAAGCCTTGAATGATTACTTTTGTACTTCTTCTGTTGTAACTGTACTGTAGAAGAAGATTAATTGCTTCTTTTTCCCTGCCTGTTCCTGTACTGTCTTTAAAATTTGAATTCCTTGTTGCCCTTCTCTCATCAAAATTGCTGCTTCGACCATTACAACTAGTATATTTCAGAATGGTGCCGTTAATGGGGTGAATGGGAAGAACAAGAACGGGGTACCCACCAACGGGATCCCCATTTATGCACAGCAAACCGCCCAGTTCAATCCATATTTAATGCAACAAGTGCCCGGATATATGCCGGCTGTCTCCTGTGAGTCCATTCATATTGTAATAGGATGTGACAAGCGGTTGTATTCGAATATGTATTTGATTCTACATGTTCTTTATTTCCTCGAATGAGTGATAATTTTGCCGTAAAATAATATGATTTGTTTTCAGTCAGCCAGCAATTGCCTCCCCGATTCTAGGCCGCTCCAGCCGTGCCAGCCTAGCCCGTTTCCCTCTCCCGAACGAATGATTTTCTCATCGGTGCTCGATTAACAGTATACGATTACTTTCTCCCTCTTTCTACTCGGTTATAACAACAAGGATGTTCTTGCCCCACAATTCTTTCACGGTACCTCTCTCTACCGAATCCTCTCCCCCCTCGCTGGTTGTTGTGTTATCTGTGGCCGTGTTCTCACCTTCTTAAGACTTTCTCCAACGGGTTTCGCCCTTCTTTTGTTTCTCTGACGTCTCTCTGTTCTCGACTGTCCCTTTTCCCTCCGATTAGTTGTATTTTAGGTGTAGAAATGTAGTTTCCTCGTGCCGGGATAGTGTTTCTGTACATAGCCGCGGTACTTCCGAGAGATATATAATATGAAAAAGAAAACAGATATGGTTGTTGTTTTATGTAATGTTCCCAGAACGAGTCCAAACCTGGCGTCCCATTCCCTGACCATCTTGCCCTTTGTTGATTGTTGCTCCTTGTCAACACTTCCGTCCATTTTCTCGCGGTATATGGTGGAGTGGGCAGTGAAAAGAGTTGATCTTTTCTTATTTAATCCATCTAAAATTTAATAATAAAAGTATCTAAAATAGGATCAACTCTTCTGAATTCCGCTCCCATATTCTGTCTAATGATGTGTTCAAATACCTGTGATTACACGGTGTCCTTTCCCATAAATATTCTGTCTTCAGGTCGGTTCTTTAGAGTGCAATTAGATTGTCGGCCCTGAGGGCATTTGTCCCATTTTATCATTGAATTGTTTCATCTGGTCCAGTTTTTCGTCCATTCTCTGCGCACTCCACAGAAAACATTCTCTTTTTCTCTAATCTCTCGAAATCGAATAACGCAAATTCTTTTTGATGGAATAAAATTAATTTTAATGTGAAGTCAGTTTATTCACGCAAAGGCGAGGGAGACTTTGTATGCCTTGAGACGGAGTTTGTCGATGAATTCGAGGGGCGATTGGAAGGTGAAGGCGCGGGTCGCTTGGAGTTGGCCAAAAACTTCACGATCTTCTGGTTCCGGAGCCTGGAAACGAAGCAAAACAGAATAACAAGAATAATACGATGACTTGCATCAATCCGATATCTTGTTTTGAATGCCTCATAATGCATGTTCACAACCGAAGCATAACACATGATTTTCAGCTGAGCAAAGTTACATCGATTGGCCACCAAAAGAATCTTCACCACATCTTCTATCCTGGTTTCCGCTACCTAAGATTACTGTATATATTACAATATAACTTTAAAAATTACTTGTTTTAGCCTGTTGATGAGGAGTTTGTGCATGTAATACCTCAGCTCATCCTTCCGAACCGGCTTCAGAAGTTCGACCACTTGCATGAGTTCGGAGACTTCTTCCACCGCCATCACCATGTTCTCCTTAATCGTATTCGACATCAAATAATCGACCAAAGTCGTGACTGTGAGTCGGCGGAATTGTCTCAGGTCATGATCAGTAGAGTTAATTTTGAGCTCCATTTGAAGAAGAAACAGCTCTCGAAAGTATTCCGTAGCCAGAAACAAACCCAATTTGGAAGCCGTAACTTGGCCATCAGAACAAATCAAGTGAAAATCACTGAAACGTTAATGATTTGACAACACCATGGATGATACATCATGTGTTGGACACTACAACAATTTATATTCTTACGGATTCTTTTTGAAGGCGAATCTGAAATCATTTGAAATGTCATCAGGCTGGGCATGGAGATTATTCGAAAAGATTTCGGGTCCTGACAAGAAACTTTTGGTCGAGAAAGCCAGCTCCATCGTCACCACAAATCTCCAGGTTCCTCCTAAATGATGTTGAATTATACATCTCTCCTCTTACGCAATCGGGATCCCAAGAATTCAGCCAACTTCTCCTTGAATCGACCAGTCGGAGCTTTGTAACACTCGACCAAGCCAAAGACAGAAGGGGCAACGTAAGTGTCGGTCAACGGCTCATGATCTAAGTTAACATTAGCTACAATTATCAGCAACTCACGTAGGACTTCCCTGAATTCATCCGTCATATACACCGTATAACCGATCCGAACCTTGGCAGGTTTTGTTGAAGCGAGAGGCATTCTTCCCGGCTCCAGATACAAATCGAGTCCTTCCATGGGCAAATTAAAGCGGGGAGCCCGGCGACGAAAGTAGATGTGGCCGATCCTGCAAAAATTACCTTACGCTTGCCATAACGATGTTATTGATGATAATTAATGTATTATTACCAGTCATAGGCAGCAGTTTTGTAACAAGTAGTGAAGCCGAAGGACTCGCTGATTCCCCTGCCCTCGTCTCTCTCGCCTATGGCCAAAATCCAGTTACAAGTGAAGAGGAGATTTCTGTTTTCTTCTCCTTGGCCAGTTTCCAAATCAGTCAGTTGGACCGCCATCGACCGGTCGTTCCAGATAAAAATAAAACTATTTTTAATCCTACAAAGCGTCTATTGTATTCGAAACTATCTTTCAAGCGTAATTTAATTATGTACAGACAGTTGAATTAATCGTAATGAAGTCGGGTATCCCGTCCATGGCGACCCCTCCGGCCTTATAGACAGAGCCAACTTCTAATCTCATCCAGGATGGTAGTGCATACATATTTGGAGATCCATTAGGCCTCTCGTCTTCACTTAATTTCCACATTTCCAATATTACCTAAACAAAAATATAAATGTTTAATCATACGTTGATATCAAATCCCTAATGTCACTTACCGCTTTGCTATTATTTTGCTGCAATTGTAACCCACAAATAGGCGCAATTTGAGAGTTGATGACATTGACCACGAACAGATAATACGAATGCATTTGATTGGATTCGTTGGTCGTATTCCACTGCTTTATAACTTGTGGGATTACATTTAAATTTCCGGGAATGACCTTCGACGGATCATAAGTCGATGTAGTGTTCAGACAATCAGCTGGTTTCATTGTGAACTGGGCGCTTAAGCCATTAGAGGGGATGAACATGGTCGTGGAGGGCTCTATTGTGGATGTGGGGGTTGTCGTACTTGTAGTGGTACTTGTTGTACCCGTAGTTGATGTGGTTGCGGTACTTGCAGTAGTCGTCGTAGTTGTCGTAGTGGTAGAAATAGGAACAGTTACAGTACTACTAACAACAGTAGTTGTAGTAATAGTAATTGTAGCTGTAGGCAACGCTGTTGTTGAACTTGTGGAAGTGACAGTAGTCGTGGGGGCAGTTGGAAACAACGTAAAGAGAGTCGTTGTACTTGACGCTGCACTTGTGGAAGTTGTTGGGAAAGTTGGAAAGAGAGTGAAAGAAGTTCTTGTACTAGGATTAGATGTGGTAGAAGTTGTTGTCGGAAGTGTGGGGATAAGAGGGAACGGAGTAATTGCAACAGATGCAGTTGTGGTTGTTGTAGTGGACATCGTGGTTGGCGGTGCTGGAAACAGTGAAGCAATCGTTGTTGTACTCGCGGATGTAGAAGTAGTTGTTGTCGGCGGAGTAGGAAGAAGAGTGAAAAGTGTGCTTGTGGAGGTTGTAGTTGAAGTTGTTGGAATTGTGGGGAATTGAGGGAAAGCAGTGGTAATTATAGGTGATGTTGTACCCGTGGATGAAGCAGCTGGTGCCGTCGGGAACAAAGTAAACAATGCAGTCGTACTAGAGCTTGTTGTTGTGGTTGTCGGAAAGGTAGGAAAAAGAGTGAACACAATAGTTGTACTGGGAGTTGTGGTAGTCGTATTAAGGGTTGGAATCAAGTTGAAAGGCAACGTACCCGTTGTTGTAGTCGCGGGAGTGGTTACGGTTGGCATTGGCGGAAAGAGAGTCGGCAATGTTGCAACCGCAAAGAGATTTAGGAAGGATGTGGTGGTTGTAGGCGAGGAAGTGGTCGTAATGGGAGTAGTTGTGGTGGTACTGGCAGTCGTCGTAGTAGTAGTTGTTGTTGATGTTGTTGTAGTAGTACCGGTTGTGGTAGGCATTGTCGTCGTAGTAGCACTCACTCCAATCGTAGTAACAGTTTGTGGAAACAAAGTAATTGGCGGAATTGTTGGGAATAATGTGAATGGAACCGGCGTCGAAGTGATTATTAAAGGTGCAGTTGCGATTGTTGTCGTTAATGTGGAAGTGGTCGGTACGGTCGGGAAAAGGGTAAACATGGTAGTTGTGCTAGGACTTGCGGTTGTCGAAGTCCAGTAGGAGGGTGTGAAAAGCGAGAATGTAGTTGTTGTACTTGGAGTTGATGTAGTGGGTGGAATCGTTTGGAGCAAATTAAAAGGCAGTCCACCTGTCGAGGCCGTCCCGGCAGTAGTCGTAGTTGAAGGGACGGTTACAGTCGGTAATGGAGGAAAGAGAGTCGACAACGTTGCAATCGAAAAGAGATTGGGGATTTGTGTTGTTGTCGTAGTGGAAGTAGTACTCGGCGCTGTTGGGAACATAGTAAAGGGACTGGTTGTACTTGAAGTTGCTGTTGTTGTGCTTGTGGGAATAGTGGGGAAAAGGGTGAGTGTGGTTGTACTCGGACTAAGAGTAGTCGTTATTGGAATTGTTGGAAATAGAGGGGAAAGAGTAGTTGTACCCTGGGTTCCTGTACTTGTTGTTGTAAGGGTTGACGTTACTGGAATTGTTGGAAATGTAAGGGGAAGAATAGTCATAGGTGAGGTTGTCGTCGTATAAGTGAAAGCGGTACTAGTTGGTGCCGGCGGAAACAGAGAAAAAATAGTGGTTGAACTGGGAATTCCCGTAGTTGTAGTCGATCCCGTAATTGCAGTTGGGAATGAAGTGAACATGCTTGTTGTAATTGGACTTATTGAAGTGGTTGTCGTTGGAATGGTTGGAAATAGAGTAAAGACAGTGGTACTCACAGTCGTTGTCGTCGGCGTTGTAGGAACCGTTGGGAACAGGGTAAAAACAGGACTTGTACTAGTACTAGATGCAGTCGTCGTTATGGTAGAAGGAAAAGGAGTAGTGGGAAGAAGAGTTGGGAATAACGTAAACGGAACTCCTGTTGTAATATTAGATGGAAATACAGTAGTAGCAGAGCCATTCAATCCAAATAATGCAGGAATACTAGGTATTGTCGGTAAGGTAAAGCCAGGAACAGTAGTTGTTATTACCGTGGTTGATGTCACAGGTGTTGTTGTAGATGTCACATTCCCTGATGTCATCGTTACGGTAACTGCATTATTTTGAGCATTCAAAGTGACAAACTGACTGATAAAAGAATTCCTCACGACCTTCGACCATTCCGGAGTTGTAATTGGACTATTAGTTGCAGCAATAGTACTAATTACTGTTGTGTAAACATTGAGTTGACAGTTGCAGAGTCTTATAAGTAACAGCAAACCAATTACCAGTTGCATATCTCAAGCGGTTTGATTAAGTTTACATTTACAATTACTTTTATATTCATATTTCACCTGCCCCACAGATGGGAAATTTTGGGTTCGTGGAGAGTTCCCAAGGTGGAATTGAGGAAGTTTGAAGAAACGGGTCGGGAAATATTCTTTCGTCTGCTTATTTGTAATTCTAACTCTCACGGGTGCGTTCATGATGTTAGAGAGATCATGGAATTGTAGCTTTTAATGGAATTACAGTAATTAATATGTCGATTCAGTCTGCAATAACATAAAAGTAGTGAGTAAATAAGGTTCCGAACATTCCACCTGTCATTTTTGTTATTGTATTAGGTTGTCCCACAAATAATGTCGTTTTTCAAAAGATTTTTTGTACAAAGAAATTTACCGTAATAACGAAGATATTTTTGATCAAAATAATCACCATGTGTTATACCACGCTATTGCAACGCGTTGAAGGCATTTTTTTGCCAGTGGCTTGGAAACCCCGGCTTCTGGAGCCGATGAAACTTTTGAAGGCCCATTCAACAGGGTCTTGATTGATAAATTCCCTACCACGGATGAAACCCATTAGACTCTTGGAAAGGTAGCAATCTGTTTAAGACATGCCTAGCGAGTACTCCGGACGAAGGAGAGTCCCGCATCTCCATTAACTCAACTTCTGGAGCGTCGTCTTTACAACGTGGGGTTGCGCATCGTCGCCTAGAACTTTTGGAATTCCGCGGCGTGTTTTTATAGGCATATTCTGCCATAAGCTGTCTATCTGAATACAGCAGTACCCAGCATTTACATTTTGGCCAACTTTTGACGAGCTGTATGGTAAGATACCCATGCTGCACCATCCAGCAGTGCCCATCACCTTGTTTATGGGGGGTCGCTTTGCCAAGTTCCGTGTTGGTACCCTCAGGGGACTCCATTGGGCACATCTGGTTGTCGTACAGGATCTGCTCTTCATCACGGGTCACGATCCGATCTAGAAAACCCGGCTCTTCGGATTGTAAATAAAAGCAACAAACGTGACACCTCCATTCTGTGGTTCGGTCCATTAATATGGGAAAAAGCTGCCGAGCATTTTGTTGAATTCCATCGACTTCCAACGGTTAGCCGACGATTATTTTAACACCCAGACGATGTCAGAGACGCGTCGGATGTTGATTCTAGGATATCTGACAACTAATGGCCCCAGGGTAAATTCATAAAGTTCAGATGCTGGACTTTATCTTTGAGTCCCTCACCGTCAGATCGAAATTTTTTGAACCATCGTTTCACCGTGTTCAGACTCACATCAGACTCGCCGAACACGCCGTTGATATTTTGTGTAACTCCTGTAACTTTCATACCCTGTTTTTGCAGGTACAACATGGCGACACGAATCGACTTTTTTCCCATAATTTTGGATTAGGGCTAAATTACTTTAATTTGATCCAAATATGGCAAATAATATATCGAACGAAAGCTTGTGTTCTCGACTACAAAACTATGCAATATTGCGAAATTTTATAGTCGTTTACCTTTTTTATAGACTGTGGAAACTGCCCCTCTCGAAAACGACATTATTTGTGGGACAACCTAATAATTTCGATGTTTGCAAATTTTCCAGACAAAATAAAAAAAACAATCAGAAACTTCCGCAAATCGAAAAACGTAAAGTTAAAAGTGATTAAAAGAAGAGAGAGCGCCCAGCAAGAGGAGAGTGCAGAGAAAAGGCCAGACCACCTGGCAGTCCCAGAGATTCCGAACACTTGTTATTTTTAATTATTTGTTTTACCTTAGAGACTTCGAATGTTTGACCTTAAATAAAAACCCCCATATTTGTGCTGAATGGGTAGTGGGTATGGGCTGAGAAAGGGAGTGTAAATATTATTCTCGGTGTCCTTTTGGTTGCGTGATGCCATCGTAATACACTTGTTATAGATGGTTTAAGTTAAGGCCCTCTGTGAAAGATTTGCCATGTCATCGAAATTGTGTGAACTTTTCCTTCCCATGATGGGTAATGAAAAAAGTAAACCTATTTTTCCAACAAACCCATACCAAGTTCAATGTTCCCAGTGCCCCCTCACGCCTGTCAGTGTTATATTTACTTGTAATGTAAGGTTTCGTCGAACTCTTTGTGCCATCCGTTCGTTTTCTTGTCCTTGCAGGCACCTGTCTATTTCTCGTTTACTTTTTTATTATTTTTTGTTTGTCTGTTATTACATAACGTGGGAGATGCCCAAATGTTCGTGAAATGCCAACATCTTCTCCTGTTTAATTATATAAAGCCTGATACTTATGTGAATATTTATCACTTGTAAGAAAATTAATTATATTTTGTTTTCTGTTGAAAGCAGACGAAAATCATGGGGATTCAAATCAAGAAGGACACTGGGAGAGTTGACTAGTTTTACGTAAGCATTAATCGGATCCTCGGAAGTAAATCGAGTCAGCGATTGTGTGGTTGAAATTGCAAAGGACTAATTGCAAATACCATGTGATGCTTAGTCATCATATAGTTTTAATCACTTAAATTACATCTCATTTCGTAACACCCGCTGGAATCCAGATCTTTTTATCCCTTTTACAACTGCCTTATTGTTAGTCTGCTTGATTTCTGTTGACCCGCCCCTTTGTAATCTCTGTTATCTTCTGAATCTCCGTTTCCTCTTTTTTCTGGCTATTCATTAGTCCCCATTCTTTCAATTTTTGTCACCTGATGACATAAACAGAGATGTTCGGATACCGGGAGCGATCCCTGTTTGAATGAACTTTCTTATTCATTAAAGATTACTGTAATTCGACCTCTCATGTAAAGTAACGGATGATGTTTACCGAGTTCATTAAGATACGATCTGAGTATTTAGAAGGAAGGGAAATATAAGGGAAGGAGAGATGAATGAATGGCCGGCAGTCATGGGCTTTGGAGGTGTCAAGGTTTCCCTCGATCTTATCTCCTTCTTCCCCGAACTCCGTACAATAAAACCTCTTATAATAGTCTTAATATAAACATCAATTTAATTAGATTGCGACTTGGCATTTCCTTTTTATATTTGCGCTCCCGACTTCTAATCCTTAAAGTCGATTTTCTTTTTCAAACACAAGAAGAACCTTTCTCTCTTTTCAGCCGTGGAATTCCATCGATTACGGTAGCCTCAGGTGTCTCGACACAGAAGGGACATAAAATTTGGGGATCTGAAATGATTTCAGAAGGGGAAAATGGTAAGTTCGGATGCTGATTGTAAGTAAAAAATTATTTGCGTTTGCCACTTGTCTTCTTAAAACTCAAAAAAATCATTTTATCATAGTTTCTTGAATTGAGACCAACTTGGCATCCCAATCTTCTCACATTTTTAGTCCAAAACTTTCATAAAAATCTTCTTCCAGACTTGCGGCAGGGGGACGCCCCCCCCCCCCTTGTTCCCCGCCAAACTGCGCAATCATTTGACTTTTTAAAGCGCATCTGTCTTTCATGACATTCAAAAATAAATAAGCTTTCCTAAAACGATGTTGCCATCCTTTTTTTTTTGTCAAACGTATTATGACTCACTAAAACTTTCGATAGCTCTTCCTGACCTTGGGCCGAAGTCGGACCCTATCATCCCGATCTCATTTCTTTGGCCACAAATATCAAAGTTTCCGTCCTTTACTTCTCTTTCGCTCTCTGCATTCGAAACTAACTCGTCGTGTCCTATTTTTTCTCTAAATTATCTCTAACCGCGGACTAAATCCGTAAACTACTGCACAAAAATTTCTGTAGGCCATAAAAAGAGGTGGTGTCCGGGTTAAAAATGGGAATTCAGCGCGTTTTAAAGGACATTCCAAGCGATTTCAGGCTCCCAAAAAGACGGCTGAATTCATGGTGCGGACGAGTATTCTCTTCCCATTCTGAATTCCCTCGTCTGGCCAGATATTCGCTTTTTCTCTTTGCGTCCCGTTTTTTGCTCAAAAATAAAAATTTTTATCAGTTTTCCCTAATAATCGAATTCTTTCAGAACAATATTTGGAGGGCCATATCTCTGTGAGGCAGGAGGTCAGGAAGGGTGTAAGTCTAACAGTTTTCCTTCTGTACAGTTTATTATTATCTTTTCTTTTGTTCCAGTTTTTGTTGCAGTTTTATTTTTAAAAAACCTCAATCGTGAAATTTTCGGTGGCAAACACTATTATCTTGCTTTTGTACGTAATTTTCGAGGGGATTCTGCACTAAATTTGGTGTTCAGTTGCCATGGATAATTTAAAATTTTTGATGTTATTTTAGGCTGTTTCTCTATGCTTCCCATTTTCTTTATCTTCTCTTTTGCAGGAAAAGTCGAACGGGACCACTTCAGACTATTCGAGTGGAGCCGAGTCCGTCGACAATTACTTCGTGGAACAGCTTTTGATTGACACTAAGGCCTTCCATCCTGCCGATATCTTGGCCAATACTATCAGAACCTTCTCTATCGACAGTCCAGTTTTTCAGATGGCAGAACCGTCGAAGCCGGAAAACTTTCGAACTTATCGGTTGGTATTAACGGGGGGTCCTTGTGGTGGGAAAACGACTGGCCAAGAACGATTGGCCACCTTCTTTGAAAATGCTGGGTGGAAAGTGTTTACCGTCCCGGAAACGGCTACTGTTCTGCTGGGCGGCGGAGTCAAGTTTGCAGAGTTGAGCGACACACAGAGCTTCACCTTCCAAAGAGATCTTTTGTCGACATTAATCAGGATCGAAGAGGTAGGCCAATAAAAACATTATGTGAATTGGACTATTCGTCAACATACTTATGGGCATGGGACATTCAGGTATTCTTCAACCAAGCCTCATTGGTCAAAGACAGGAATGTTCTTATCATCTGTGACCGTGGAGCGATGGACCCTTCGGCTTATATGCCTCCAGAAGGATGGAATAAAATACTTGATGATCTGAAGTTGGATCCATTCGAGCTCCGAGAGAACAGATACAATCAGGTCGTTCACATGGTCACGGCTGCTGATGGAGCGGAGAATTATTACACTCTGGCCAATAACGCAGCACGTTCCGAAGGCCTGCGACAAGCTCTGGAACAAGATCGGGTCACTCGAAATGCATGGGTGGGACATCCATATGTGGATGTTGTTGACAATTCGGAAGTCAAGAAGTTTGATGATAAGATTTTGAAACTTATCTCTGTGGTATGCGATCGAGTAGGCTTGGAATATCAAGATCGGCTTGCCAAAAACAGTCGGAAAAGGAAATGGCTGGTCAGAGAGTTCGAGGAATCCAGATTCCCGCGATATGAAGAGTTTGATGTTACCCATGATTACCTTTTGGCTGACAAACCAAACATCCAAGTCCGAATCCGAACTCGATGTCAGAATGGAAGGTCCACTTATACGATTACAACTCGACAATTCATTGACCCAGAACCGGTCGAAACCCGGATGCAGATCACAGAGAGGGAATATCAACGGTATCTAACAATGAAGGACACTTCCAGGGCGACACTACACAAGAAAAGGAGATGTTTTAACTTTGGCAGCCAAGTGAGTAAAGATTATATCAGAAAAAAGAGGGCAAAGTCTTTTGATTAGGATAGTTGTGTTAGTTTGATTACGCTCCGATAAGACGTTTGGACCCAAAGATAACGGGAGATTGTTCCCAGATCTTATCATTTGGCAGCATGGCCGTTTGTTACAAAAAATTTTTAAAAGTCTTGGATGTCTACAGACATTTTTAAAATCTTTTTTTAGTACTTCCACATGGATGTCTACGTGAATCCACTCCCTCCAGCCTGCAATGGACATCCTCTGATAATCCTGGAGACATACACCATAAAACCCCCAGGATCTGCCGAACCTGAACTCCCCAGCTTCCTGACCGTAGAACGAGAGATAACTTCCGATCCCAACTTCAGCATGTATGAGCTTTCCAAACAAACTTCCAATGGATTTGTCCATCACAACAAGACTCACTGACATAATACACGTGACATCACCACATTAATAATAGAATCTCTAATTTTATAATGTTATCATAGCATTTGTTATTTAGCTAGTTATCTCCCTAACACAATTTATTGTTATGCTCATTATCTCTTTATCTTCTCTGTTATCCTCTTATCATTTCGTATCTTCTTTTTTGTTTTTTATCGGTCTGCTCCCGTTTCTAACAATCTCCTTTTTTTCTTTGGCATAGGTTTACAAATCCCGGATACATTTTACTGGTAATGTCTTTTGTTTGTTGTTAGTTTTACTTCACAAGAACTAAAATGTCTGACCATTCATATCATCCAGACACCATACACTTGTTTTGAAAAAAATTCAGGCACAATAAAAAATGTCTATAAACCTAAATATATACGCTTCCTTCGTCATGTATAATATAAAAAGAGCCTTATTCTTGTGAACGGTCAGCACACAAAACAAGTAAACGCCTGGCCGATTTCAAAACAGTCTCTTCGAAATTCTGACCGCTTTCTCTGTTTCCTTACCATTTAGACACTTCTCATTTCAATCAAGAAAAGTGGTTTTCAAGCTGTTCAGTGTTCGAATTTCCACATTTTTTTAATTTGTGATTCTATGACCTACTAATTTATGCTCCTACTGGGTACGTATCAATTATTTCGGACGTCATACACCCGACTTTTTCAATTTTACATTGTTCACGTGCAAAAATCGATAGTAGCATTTTGTAACAACGTAATGCCAGAATCGATTACCGCCTTTTCCCTATCGCAGACTGAAAGAAGAGGGGAGGCAAGGACGGAGTGCGTCCGAAGTCCGGTGGAACTCGGGCTGTGCTTTCTTTTCCCCAGTTGTGATTAAAATCCCCCCCTTGTCTGTTTTAGCGTGATTCCAGGGTGATTTTGAAAGAATTTTCTTGATTTTTGTTTTCAATATTTATGCGCTGTCTTCCTAGGCCACTTCGTACTTGTTTTCGCGAAAATTCGATAACTTTTCTGATTCCAAATTCATGCTTCTGCGAACTATATTTTGATTTTTTTCAGAGGTAGCCATGGCTGACAGACATTCTCAATATAAGAACCAAGGAAAGGATGCTGAGACTCTAAGAAAATCGCGGGCTGAAAACGCGATTTCTCTGAGAAAGGAGAAGAGAGAAGACATATTGTCCAAGAGAAGGAATATTCCATTGCCAGAGGGGTAGGATTTATGATCTGTTAACATTAATTTATGTTTAGTCGGTTTAGACATTTAAATTAGCTCCTTATCAAGTAATTTTCTCTTTGTTGCAGTGACGATGCCAGTACCAGCCGTGATCTTTCTCTCCAGGCTCCGTTAGATCGAGTGAGTCTAGATGAGATCGTAGCCAAGGCTATGTCCCCAGATCCGGAGGTCCAAATGCAAGCTGTTACTCACGCCCGCAAGCTTTTGAGCTCGGACAGAAATCCACCAATCGACGATCTGATCAGCAGCGGAATTCTACCTATTTTGGTGAAATGTTTGAGTTCCGAAAAGTAAGTTCACAGTGGTTTTGTTCAGTGTTATCGTTTAGTTCGAATCTTCAATTCGAAGCCGCCTGGGCTCTCACCAACATTGCCTCGGGAACTTCTGATCAGACCCGAGCCGTTGTTCATGCTGGAGCTGTTCCCCATTTTTTGGAATTGCTGACTTCTTCCAACATGAATGTTTGTGAACAAGCTGTTTGGGCTCTCGGAAATATCATTGGTAAGCTTTCTCTTTCTGCGCATTCGATGATTTTTGTCGTTATCTAAAGTTATTGATTATTTGCAGGTGATGGGCCTCATTTCCGAGATTATTGCATTGAGTTGGGTATTGTTGAGCCTCTTCTTCGTTTTGTGGTTCCTGATATTCCACTCAATTTCTTGAGAAATGTGACCTGGGTAATGGTTAACTTGTGCCGTTCCAAAGATCCTCCACCATCCAGAAGTATTGTCGAATCTCTTCTGCCTGCTTTGTCTCAACTTATCCACCATGAAGACACCAGCATTCTAGTTGATACTGTTTGGGCTTTGTCTTATCTGACTGATGGTGGAAATGATCAAATTCAGATGGTGATTGATAGTGGGGTAGGTAGATTTTTCTGGGGTTTATGAACAGTAAAAAGATGGATAAAACTGTTATTTTAGGTTGTTCAACACTTAGTTCCTCTTCTCGGTCATCCAGAAGTAAAGGTCCAGACCGCTGCTCTAAGAGCCGTTGGAAACATTGTGACCGGAACTGACGAGCAAACCCAGCTAGTACTGGACAACGGCGCCCTTCAAATGATGCCCGCCTTGTTGTCTCATGTCAAGGATAAGATCAACAAGGAGGCTGTCTGGTTCCTGTCTAATATCACCGCTGGAAACGAGCAACAAGTGCAGGCTGTTATTGATGCTAATTTGATGCCGATGATCATCCACCTTTTGGATCGCGGTGATTTCCAAACCCAAAAAGAAGCGGCTTGGGCTGTTTCTAATGTTACCATCTCCGGAAAGTCCGAACATGTTTTGTACATGGTTGATTGTGGTGTCATTGTGCCCTTCTGTAACCTGCTTGATATCCGGGACACACAAATCGTCCAGGTCGTTTTGGATGGGTTGAATAACATCTTGAAGAAGTCGCAAGCCCGGTCCGAAGAGATCTGCCAGAAGATCGAAGAATGTGGTGGCTTGGACAAGATTGAGCACCTTCAGAATCACGAATCCCAAGAGATTTACAAGATGGCCTACGAGATCATCGATGCCTTCTTCTCGCCTGGTGACGAAGAAGAGTTGGTGATGCCCAACGAGAACTTCCAATTCGATACCACCCAGCAGAACGTGCCTTCCGAAGGATTCACGTTCCATTAAACTTTTTTTAAATGAATGTCAGTGTGTGAGTGAGTGCGCAGGCCCCTGCACGAAGCGATTGAAGCGTCAGCCCGCCCGCCCGCGTCCTTCCTTCAAGACCCGAGAAGCGGTGTCCAGTCTAGCCGGACACAGCCCTAAAAGGCTTGTTCCCCTCCTCCCTGCTCGCGCCTTTCCCTTTATTTTACCCTAGCCGTCCCCACCCGCCCTTGCTAAGAGCTGGGGACATGAAAACCTTGTCCCAGTGCTATCCCTGTTATATTTTTGTTGCGATCTTGGCCCTCGATCTTTGATGAACATTATTTTTGTTGAATTCTTCTCTTATTTTCACTGTCCCCGCATACCCCCACCTTTTTATGCTCAATTCCCTAACCATCTTGAAATTTGTAAATCGCTTTTTTGTCTTATTTTACGATTTTCGGTGTCCAAATATTGACGTTTTTTGTATCTGCGCGTCTCAATTCTCGGGTTCTTTCTAAATTATCTCTTCTCCTCATTTTGTGTGTATTTTTTGTGTAATTTGTGTGAGAGAATAAATAAATTTTTTATTCAGTTGAAGATTTTTACTCTTAAAATTGCCGAAATCTCAAGTGATGGAACAACCTTTTTATTTTGCTATGAAGAGTTTAAATCATCATTAGTTTTGTGCGGGAACTTGAGTATCAGCTGCGAGCTTTGGTGTAAGGTTAGAAGGCAAGTTAGGCCGCTCTTGTTCTCGTCCGAGAACGAAAAAAAAATCCAGCTGGACCTGGTGGTCACTCCTCAAGGATATGCCCTCCGGGAAATAATGTGTACAGCTGTTTTTCAGTGACCGTTCGAGTTGTTATAGAGAGAACAACGGAGGAAGTCCGGCCTTTACACGCATTTGTCGGGCTTCTTTCCAGGGACGGATTGGTGAAGTTGTTTTTTACTTACATATATCTTTTGAAGCATGGAACCAACCGATTTATAATCAACTGTTTTTTTATCGGGTATGCCGTGAGTCGCCTAGTTTTACGTTTCATTAGTCGTTTCTGGAATTAATTTCCTTCTATGTGTTATATAAAGCCGTACTCCCACACATTTTTTGAAGTCCCGAAAAATACGAACGGCCGTTACAACAAACGGTTAGAGGACGGAGGGGGCAGTGGTCATCTTCCCCATTCCCTCCCGAGACACTCGGCGGAACGTGAAAGGAACGAGAATCGCCTTTCGACCGGGCCTTGGCCACATGGCCACGTACAAAAAACAGAAGGCGGCCGGCGGAGGGACGAGGGCAGGGCGGGGACAGCTGTGTTCGTGGACCCTTGGCCATTCGAAGTGGCCGGGTTCCGGCGTTTGGAACGCGGGAGCACGGGCCAGAGGGTTGAAACTGCGGCCACGAAACAGCCGAGACGCCGTTTGGGCAAAGGGCCGGCGGATCGAGCCAGGCTCCGAATGGACCGCACTGCCACCGTTTCGAGCGACGTTCCACTCCACAGTTGTATCACACCGAGCGGCCTGTGTCCGGCACGGCCATCACGTCCAAGGACAATGGGTGGTCAAGGGGGAGGCGGTAAGGCGTGGCATGGCATCTTGTCATGCCTTCCGGGCGCCATCTAGAAAAACAACAGATTGCCGTCCACTACATATCTTGCATCCCGTTCGGCCAGTCTGGTGGGAGTTTTTATGCAGGCCATAATCCTGCCTTCGGTCACTCGCCAAGCCCGTTTTACGGTGTAATTGAAGGGGGATCTTGGCCGTCTGCTGCTCGAGTGTGAAGACCGACGCTCAACTCCCCAGGGTATCCAACTCTGGTCCCCATGCCCTTTCTTTTCTCTGGGGTACCCTCTCAATTTTCGACCTTTCTGGTTCTGAATTAGCATCCACGCAAAATGGACAGCTGGAAGGGCGGAAGGGATGGAGAGAGGGCGGCCGGGGACTGGTCGAAACTGTGTCCAAACTGTAAACAACTCGAGAGTGCGCGAATCCGACATCTCTTGTTTTTGCTTTTGCCGCTTTCGTGGCTATGGCAGACGCGCGGCCGAAGGGCGGCTGTCTTCCATAAATTCGCGCGCCACTTGCCCGATCTCAATCGCTTCAAATGTCAGGGATCTTAAAGGGCAACGCTTTCATCCCGACCATCTTTTCCTGGCTTCTTTAGGATGACCTTCTGAGAAAATAATTGAGATCGAGACTTGACTCTTGGAGGGGAACAGCTGTCTCAATTCAAGGTGTTTTTAGTGAAGTCTGTACAAACCGTAGCCAAACATTTACAGTATGCTTTGAAGTGCACCAATGATTTGTCTTCTAACCCAGTGTAACTTGTCTTTTCCTGACATTATTTGGACGTTCCCTGATACGAATGCTGGACATGTCTTAGTGTTTTCCGTTTAATGCTTGATGCGTTTGCCAATTGATGGGATTACATTGTTAACCGCGTTCTCCCTCTAATCCTTGTTTTGTTTGTGGACATTGTCGTAGAGGTATCGTTTCAGGGAATGTCGATGTGATTTGGAGTCGGACTTAGAGCCTTGACTCTGTCGTGTGAAACGTGAAAAGCCCGGAGAGAAAGTTTTGTCCTCGGGCGTCGTCTCCCGCGGGATTAGAACTCATCAGAACGGCCACGGAACGGCCCAAAACAAGGGACCGAATGGCACTATAAATTTCACAACACGCTGGTCATTACCATTCTATGGTTGGCTGTTCTCTCGGTACGTGACCTCCTTGAGAAGCCACGCCCTTAGGGCTTGTCTTTCGAAATCCCGTTGGGTTGTTTTTTGGACCGAAATAGAAGTAAATGGGCATGATCTGTTTTTGGAAAAGTAGGAAAAGAGGGGTTTTTAAAAGTAATATGGATCTCATACAGCTAATGTCTTTTGCGATATCGCTTTATACAGTCGGCTAGCAAAATATTTCAATATTGAAACACTTTCCGATTTGTATTTATCAACGTCGTCCGATCAGCTTTGTTCCCACCCATACCAACCTTACAATACTTATGATGCTATCTGCTTAATGACCAGCAGATCTCATGTACTGCGGCCATAAGGGACGGCTCCATAATGGGCCGTGAGGTCTATGGGCATGGCGTGTCGTTTCTTTCCCTTAATGGATGCACTGTTCCTGTCAGATAAGGACGGGACAGGTTGGGTCGGGACTGGATGCATTTGTCATGAATTGCGTGATGATGGAGCACTAATCGTTTTGCACCGTGCTCTAAACGGAGACTTTTTGGTGCCCGCTTTTCGGTCCGCGAGGCCATTTTGTGGCGTTTGATGGAGGAAAAGTTCTTGAGATGGGTTTTGTGGGAGTGTGACGTTCTTTTGGACTAAACAGTGATGTGTAAAACATAGTTTAAGATCTTCCAAGACTGGTCAAGCCATTCAAAACCAGCCACACGGTGATAACGTCTTCCTCGAAGAAGCGGCGTTCGAATCCAGAGAACCTAGCGAGCCCTCTCAAGGACTGTCCGCGATTTGTGCCGCGTTTTGACGGCAATCTTATGGCCTCAAAGTGGATAGGACCAGATGCCCGGTTCGCGCGCGGTTTTTTGCGTCCGCATCTGCCATTCATTCCATGCGATGCACGTCCTCGGACTGTTGCGCAAGACATTATGTACAGATGTGTTATAAATGAAGCAAGGGACTGACCTTTCCGCGGAAATTGGTGATGGTCAAAACGTCGGAAGGAGAGGATAGATGGGCACGACTGTCGTTGCGTTTCGGCTGTCTTACAGTATGCAAAAGTTGATTTGTTATATATTTACAAGCTGCTCGATTAGTTTACCTTTTTATTCCTTGTGTCTGCAGTTACACCCGCATCTTTTTTTTCTCCAAAATTCAAGATATAAGGGGGAATTGTAGTCACGTCTCTTAATGTCCCTAATGTTTGAGAATAGATTTTTTATGTCTTCAAATATCGTGCAACCCTCTAATACTTAATGCCTGTTTTTGTAGCGTGCGGTAAATCCCGTCATGCCCTTACGTGAGGATATATTTAGGGAGTTGCGAAACAACAATTTGTAGACATCACAACAAAAGTCAAGAAAGCTACAGTATATTTGAAAATGAGCATTTTTTTCGGATCTCACAGGGTTCGAATTTGCAAAACCTCCTAAACGGCGCCAACTATTGTTTTTGCGATGTGAGCAAAAGTTTTTGCATTTACCATTCGGCCATCCGAGCGTGCCGCGCCTTTCCCTTCAAAATAATTTTTCTGATCGGGACGCGATCCAAAAAACGTCGTTAGCATGCTTCCATTCACCGTGACGCCCTCCAAATTTTTGCGCGTTTTTTTTGCCCGAGGTTTCTTTTTTTGGGGACGCGACTCCGGCGACTCGAATTGGGGCTGGCTTCGGCGCTGTTTTTCATCGCTGGGGCCATTCGCTGGTCGCGTTTTTATGTCACACGCGTCCAGAAGAAGAGGTTCATTCCCTGCCGCTGCCCGTCCCAAAAACGGCGTTCTTCCCATCAATTCCTGACATCAGACCCTAAATTCACGAGTTTTTGTAAGAGGGTTACTGTAGATTTGAGGACATTGTTTTGTGATATTAATGTCGGTCGTGAATGGAAAATGAGCTGGAGAGACGGAAGGACCAGAACCCTGCAGTTTTCACCATCCCATCAAACCTTGCCCGAGATATCCTTTAGGTGGATCTTCATAATAGAGCAATCCTCTTTTATTACGTACAGGGAATGCTGCAGATTCCTAACTTTTTAAGATACATATAAATAATACGTCATAGTAATTGACATCTCCAATGTTTTTTCAAATTCAAATAAATGGCGCGTCTAAATTAACGCGCGATTCATTTTTCGAACCGGGGGCAATTTTTCAGAGGTTCCAAGGAAATGTTTTTGTCGCGTCTCTTTCAAAAATTGTTGACAACCAGCCCATCAGATGAACGAGTTCCAAAAAAAGAGCGACGAGGTCGTTCCGAGGCCAAAAGCGAGGGGGGGGCGCTTGGAACGGTGCTATTAGACGTGCCGTTCCCTCCAAAAAAGTGGACGGGGCGGGACGGACGGGCGCGGACATTGGGCAGGTGTCCGTTCGAATGGCCTCCGGGCAGGTGGATCCTCCTTCTCTTTCCTCCAGGAATGGAGCACCGCAATGTGACAGAGGATGCCCTTTAATATCCTAGCCCCTCATATCTCCCACGCTAAGCTGCTTATTAAGTGGGGGTCCTTTAACCCGGAGCGGGTAAATGCTCGAAATAAAAACATTTCAAACTTGAACCCTTTTGTTTACAGTCCCTTCAACAGAAATCTCGTACTCTCGATTTTTTGGAGATTTTCGCTGAGAACTTTCACTCACAAAAAACGTGCACAGAATAGCGGTCATTTTTGTTTGTAAAGCGCCGCAGGGCAGGTGAGTGGAAGGGGGAGGGGAGGGGGGCGAGAAGAGGACGGCCCGAGAGAGTTTGTGTTTTTTGTGCGGAGAAAGTTTTTGAGACTGACCGCCGCTATGTTTGTTTTGTTCTGACCCCACCGACGTTAAGGAGAGGCCCTGAGGGCGCGATCGTGTCGCACTCCAAAAATAACCCACCGCTCGCAAAAAACAGAGTGTAAGGGCGGGACGAGGTGGTCTGCTGGTCACGCTCGGCCGCCGTTTTGTTTGTTTCAGCGACCGCAGCACCCGCCTGGAACGTCAAAAAAAGTCGAGAGCGCGGCGACCTCTGGCCTCCTCCTCCTCTCGCGCGCGCGACCCACTGACCAGTGCGACGTTTTGGTCGTCTTCAGGCGATTGAGCGGTTTTTTCGTCCATTCTCCCGACAATCGCTCGGCGAGACGTTGATGCGTTTTTTGAGTCTAAAATTAGAAACTGGCCAGCGCTGACAGAAGGGTCATCGACACAGGGATGGCCTCGGGAACTCTGCGCTAACCATTTGGGGATCGTTACGAGCAGATGGTCGAGACGATCTGCCGGCGGGCAATTCCGGCCCTAATGGACATTGGGTTGCGTGCCAGATCCAGTTTCGGGTAGATTCCTTCTGCCCTTCCTCACGTTTTGATTACTCATCCCGTCTGCAATTGCTTTTTTTCCAACTTTTGCCAATTCTCGTGTCTGTTTTTGAGTGATGGAACGCGGAGGGCGGGGGGAGGGTCAACGGCATCCACGAACCCAGGAGCGCGCGACAGCTGTGTTCCACTGTGGTTGGGCCTTTTCTTGCCCTGCAATGTTTTGCGGCCTCGGATCGGCGCGACCGACGTCTGCCTAGCGATTTGGGCACTGCCTTCTTTGCGTAATCGCGTTTTTTTGCACGCGCTGGCCGTTTGTCTTGTGGTCCGCGGTTGGCAGCGTCTCCCGGTCATTTCGGCAATGGCAAGCGGCCTTCGGATGTTTCGATTGGCAGTCCTAGAAGCGTTCTATGCATCCTTAACTCTCAAAGGGACTTTCTAATCTTGTTTTCAACTCTAACCTTTGGGATGATGTCTAATCAATCCATCCCTGTTTTTGTCGTGGAACAGCGATGATAAGATTGCGTGTCTGATTGTGTGAATCCCCGCTTCCGAACGCATTTCCAAGTTGGTCGTTCCTTTCTTCTTTTCGCCCCCCGATGACACGTCGTCGCGCGAGCGTTCCATCACGCTCCGAATGCGGCAATGCACGGTCGGATGCGTGACCTCATTCCTTTGCGCGCGAGCGTCGTGTTCAGCCTGGGCGCACTTTTCCCTACCTTTTCGACTCTCCCCCTTTTGGGGAAAACTTTGGAAACCCGTGCACGGTGCGGCGATGCGCGGCGTGATGGGGTCAATCCTTGGAAAAAACATCCGACGACAACGTCGCCCCAGTTTCGGATGGGATGGGCGCTTGAATGGGTCGTCTGCTCCGCTTTCCGTCTTCTGGACCTGAGGGCATCTGGGTCATCGCGTTCGCAATTGCGTTGAGGTGAAATTGGATTGATCTTCCTGACTTTTCGATGTAGCGTTGTCCAGCATTTTCTTCGGCCACAGTACTTCACAGGATTTTTTTGAAATTGGATTTGTCATTTTGGAGCTTATTTTTTTAATGTTTTTTGATTTTCACTATTTTTCGATCACTCAAGCGCTTTACAACGTCAAAATTCGTAAACTTATACTTTATGGATCCATTTTAATATCAGTGAAATCCTTTCGAGGCTGGATCGTGACCTCACCCTCGAGCACCGTCCCTTCCATTGCCCTCGCTCATGTTTCACCCGCGGCCACATTTTTTTGCGATTGGAAACGTCACGCTTTTGTCGCGTCGCGTGGTGGCGGCCTGCGCCTTTCCCCTGCCCTCAGGTCGCGTCACCTTTCTGTGTCAGAGTTCGTCAGACTTTTTTTGGCGGGCGATTCGGTGAGAGGCAGTGAAAGCGGGCGGCGACCCGCGACACCAAAAAACTGAAAGCGACGCAATCGACCGCGACGTGAGACGAATGCGTCGGGAGGGAAGCACAATGCACGTCCCAGCGAGAGAAAGCGAGAGCCCACGCCGAACGGGGAGACGGGCAGAGAGGGCGAGAGACGAGGCCGGCTGGGCATTGGTCACTCCAGGCTTTTCGGCGCGATGTTTTTCCGTTCGCGCGTGTTTTTTTTATGGAACCGGGTGAGGACGCGACTGGCCTTCGCAATCATTTGATTCCTTATCTGTTTTACGAATTTCGGACGAACACGCTACGAGTTTTTTTCCGTTAATGTTACGTAACCCCGGAAGATTTTGCATCTTTCAAATCGCGGTTTTATTTATTGAAATGACTTGCGATTTTCAGATCACCTTCCCTTCTTTGAGATTCATGTTGGAAAACATGACTGCTGAGTCCGAGGTGCCACCGGAGGTTCGATTGGAGCCATCCGAATCCTCGTCGGCCTCCTCGTTATCACCGCCAAATCAATTCGCCTTCACGTTGCAACCGAGTAACGAGAAACTCAATGAACTCAACAAGTCTTTCAACGAATCCAAACCATTTGTGGACATTAAATCCGAGTCCTCGGATTCCGTTGAAATTCCGAATGACACTCCTTTGGATGCACCAATCCATGAAGTTCGGTGCGGAACCTTGAATGCAAAGTTGCACATGCAGAGATTCACTTGTCCCGGCATCCATCGACGCTGCATCGAGTTCAATGGACTCATGATTACACCTCGAGAATTCACAATAAAAGCCGAGAAAGACAAACAGAAAGATTGGAAGGGATCGATCAGATTCGGCCGGTATAATCTGAGGACCATGATGGAGACGAAAGGTTTAGACTTCTACCATCATGACACCAACTGCAGTCTCAAATGCCAAAGTAGAAATTACATCAAGAACAGGAAGTCTGAAGCTATGGAATCTGGATTCTCATTGCTGGATTCAATGGTGTCCAGTGCTGAAAGTAGGACTAGTTCCAACAATGGAGATCATAATGACGAGAACGGGTAAGGTTTTATCATAAATTATCGTTGTTTTAATATAAGGCGTTAAGGAAAAACATTGTAATTGTTTATTTTCCAGTGACCATCTCCGAAAAAGGTCATCCGTGCTCGAGGATTATGTCAGTCAGACTATACAGTCATTGAATGGGAACTCGTTGTCTCGCCTCATGAAAGAAGAAGCCCAAATCAAACCAGAGGACACCTTCTCCTTCCCCAACACCAATTCCACTACAACCTCGGTCTCCTCTCCTCCCACACAACCTCTGCTTCAACAAGAATTCGTCCAGCAGCCTCAACAGGACGTTAATCTTCTTCTCCATCAACTTCTAGAACAACAGAAACTTGTCCAACAACAGCCTCTTCCCCAACAGCAACTCCTCCAATCTCTGATGCAGACCGTTCAGAAGTCGCAGAACCCACAAGATACTAATGCTTTGCTGCAGATGGCGGCTGTAGCTCTGCAAATGAATAATCAGCAACATCAGATGCAACAACAACAACTCATGCCCGGGAACTTTAACATCCTTGAGCAATGTTTGATTAATCAAGGGATTAATCAGCTGAATAATAACGGATCTACCTTCCCAATGGTTCAACAAGCCCAATTGCCATATCTGAATGAGAATACGTTCAGCGTCGCTTCGATCAGAAAGGTGATGGAAGAAGAACCTCAGTTGTTTTGGTCCAAAATGAAAGATCTTGGATGTCTGGATGAGATGCTGGATTCCATCTCGCTAGCTGTTGATAGATTACGATCTCTTTACAGTAAGAGGGAATCCACAAGCAGTGAAGAAGAGTTTGGTATGTCGAAAGGACTGAATCTTAATCTTTTTTTTAGCAGCTCGAAGACTGTCCGGCATGGCCAATCTCTTGGATCTTGGAGGTGTTTTCGGTGAGAAATTACAAGCCCGGTTCATGCAATCTGCTTTCGAAGCGCCAGTAGTGAATAAAGATGTACAAAGTGAGTAGAGGATGCCGTTAAAAATCAAAATTCCGTCTAATCTGAAGACTTATATTTGCCGTTTCAGTGGTCCTCGCACTTCAACAAGCGGCAAAACGCCACTCCCAAGCCTTCGAAGACTTGAAGCCGGACTTGAAGAAAATAAGGATGGTCTAGAAGAGAAAGAGGGCTTGGTCTCCCAACGAACTCCTGGTGCTGCAACCACCCCCACACTGCCGAACGGGTCTCATCGCTAATAATTATGTTGCTGTTCACTACCCGCTCCGTCCTTTCATCTAGTCCAAAGCTAATAAGATCTTCCGTATTTATTTTTATCTTTATTACGACGATCTCAACTCAGACCAACACACCCCAGGGCATTTAGTCGTGTCCAGTGGGCATTTTTGTACCTTGTTTTTGGCACCAGAAAACCGTTTCAATCTCTTCGCATCCACATCTCCAGAAAACACTCTTTAATTACACATGCCCGAAGTGCCTTTCAACTTATTTAAGAATATTGCACCTTTTATTGTTATCCGTCCAAGCCCACTCCTAACATTATTCTACTGCCTGCGAGCGGATCTGTATAAATAGGAATCCCATCGTGTTATCTTGCTATTTTGTTAATAAAGGCCTCATATTTAGTGTATTCGCTAACGATTTATATGGCAGAAACAAAGACAAAGTGACAAATATCGATTACCTATAGGAGCGGGAATCGTTGGTTACGTTTCTTTGCAAAGGAACTCCTCTTGTTTGATATCATAATCAATGAAAGCCTTCTCCAATTTATAGAACTTTCCAAAGGCTCCAACGTCCACAAGATTATGAGCAAATCGTTCCCAAAACCAGGGTTTGAGATTGGAATCTTGTGATACTGGACTGTATACCTAAACGATTGTTTAAATCTGTTATAAACAACTCACTCTTCTGTCGAATTCGCGTTTTATGAGCAAAGAAAAGAACCAGCAATCATAGAGATCGAGACGTTCTGAGTTTAGGAGATCCGTGTATTCATGAAGAGCGGAATCTGCAAAATGAATGACCGTCTGCCTTGAAACTTACCAGCGTTAGAGCTGTGTATTGAAATGGGTAATAAGGCCATTTGTTGTCTTAATTCGACCAATCGCAAGTCCAATTCACTATCCAATGGTCTTGTTCTGTTCGCATAACCAAGAAACACCAACCCCGTTCCAATCATCCCTGTCCTCACTGGTCGCTTTACCGAGTTTTGTGCTGTTTCCACAATCACTGTTTTGTAATCATTAGCCAAATTTTGCACATATTCTTTTATTTTTATACCCGCTCTTCGGAATATGTTCGGCTTGGCAACTACAGCAGCAGCCATGAAATGTGACTGCAAATAATACCTCGTAAACCCAATTACCAAACAGATCAATATCAAAGGTTTGAATACCATGCCCAAGACATCATTAACGCTAACATGAAAGAGTTTATTTAAAGTGGAATGAAATACATAAGCCTGAAAAATGACTAGCTAGTTTAGTTACTCTTTCTTCTTTTTCTTGTCATCCACATTCCAGTAAATAACCAGCTGTACGACCAAGATGAAATTGAGGACCGTAGCCACGACGTAAGAAAGGATAACCAGATTATCTCCGGTCTCTTGTATCGACGTAAAGATTCGGGCCACGCACCCACCAAACGCCATCGTAACGGAGATGGGAGATAATTGACCAGTCGATCCTTGTCGGTAATTGGCTAATATTTGAAGTCCCTACAAAGGAAAATGAAGAAACAGCAACACAAACTTACTTTGGAGGCTGTAATTATCGGAATTGTGGCAGATTGAAGAAATGTCAGAGCAGACATTGGCACATAATGATACATTACTGCTGTAGTCAGCATCCAGGTGACCGCCAAGAAAGAAAACGCACCCGGAGTGTTGCCGTTGTAATGAAGAATCTGCATAACAATAATCGCCGTTTGTACGAAGATGGCTAGCGAATCTCCCCATTGGCTAAAATAAACAATGTAGAAATAGATAACCTTACCTAAAAGCAAAACCTTTTTCAAAACTGTATGCTGAGGTCGATCCTGCGGCCACGATAGCTAAGATCTGGGCAGCTAGAGAAATACCCGCTCCAGATTTATTGGCCTTAATCTTGAGGATTTGTGGAACCAGAATACCCAAAGATCCGGCGGTCAACGCAAATCCAAGACATCTGCTCAGAACGGCGGGCACACACTCGCCTAAAGATAAATTGCCAAAAATAAACCTTACGATTAAGGACATCCATTTCAACGATCATCTTCTCGAAACATTTCTTCGGAAAGATCTGTTTAATGGCAATATCGACAAACTCCTTGGCTGTCATCTCCGGAGCGTAACCTGGTTAACCTGAATAATATTGTTCTCAACGCTCTTTAATAATTCCATTTACAAAATATAACTAGCGATCAGAGTTCACGGTATGATATATTTATTTATGTTAGACTAGGTTTATTCGACTAAAACAAAATAGTTCACCAACACGTTAGAGATAGCATTAGGATAGAAAGGTTTGGAACCGGAGAAAATTAGGTAAAAAGAGCAAAATACACCTTATAAAGAAAGATCACGAGGCAGTTTGGGCTATGATTAAATGCTAAGTGAAATACGACAAATGAGAATTCTGGAATACAAAAATGGCACAAATGGCTTTAATAAAAGCGACTTGGGAGTTTTCCAAACAATAAAATAACGTGTTCAACAGAGAAAAAGACTTGACTCTTTCAGGAAAGAGAAACACTTGACACAAAAAATGGAAGACCCTCGTAAAAGAAGTGTAAGTTTGACTAGAAGAGTCCGTTTGAAGAGAAACCTTTAGAAAAATGGCACGGAACTCGTCGTAAAAGCTTATTTGCATAATATATTCTACTATAATATATTCTGCTTCGGAGCAGTAAAGCCAACTCCAGATTTCAACAAAAACGCATGAAATAAGAGACCAAATAGTTTTCCTTAGCTGGCAAATAATTAGACGGCGCCCGCACTGACCACATTGAACACTTCGAGTTCGTCGATGTCAAATGAAGTGTTATTCACTAGAGCGGCGCTGCCAAAGGTCTCGCATGGATAACTTAGCCCGTGAGTTAGCTCATCACGGATGGCGATTGCGTCTCCGCCGCCGGATCCAATCTGAAAACGTAACGTTTAAGACCTGTATACAATTTAAACCATCCGTTCATCAAAAGAAACTTACTATTAGAAATTTATCGCCCGCAGTCATGAACATTTGAGGGCACTGGTCGGGCTGCTCATGATTACGACCGACCCATGGGTAAATGGTGGGGAAGAGCTGATCCTTGGGTTGCTTGAATACGAACGACTCCCCCGTTCCGAAGTACCTCGTCCTTGCTCTTTCTCTGACGTCTCTTCTCTCTGCCCAGCATGCTGAACAATACGCACCGAATATTTCCCCGGTGGTGGTGCGAATAATCAGCAAGGACTGTTCGGCTTCATCTATTCTGAAATTATTATAAAACATGAATGCCGAACAAATACAGTAATTTCCCTTGATAAATAAGACTTACTGAGCCCACAGCTGAGTGAATGAAGCCCCGTGTTCGGAGAGGCGGAAGAGCAATAACGGGGTCTCCAGTTGATATCGGCTAGGGAAGGCGGCCATTAAATCTTGGGCCGAATCAGCATCAATAATGGTGCTCTTGAAGGGGGCTGTGTACGGATTCCTGAGGGCCGAGATCCTGGTTGTGGATGGCTTCTCGAGACGACGTCGATGGACTTCTTCTCGGTACTGAAAACTCTTATCATCACCACCAGTTCCATGTAACCCGTCAATAAATTTGCGATTGATTTCATTCGATCTAATTTTAGCTGTTTCGGTATTCAAAAATAGTGGCATTCCGAGTGGGAAATACGACCAGACAGAATGAAAAATCAACAGTAAAAAATCAAAATTGGACTGACTTTATCTTCGTAATGCTTCTGGAGATGCTCGAAAGTGGAATGCTTGAAGTTTCTGATCGCGAATCCCATGTCCAACAAGGTCTGTGAACTGACAGGGCAGTTCTGGGCGAGGATGGAGATCTGTTCCGCGATCTCCTGAACACGATCTTCCGGAGTTTGGCCACCTGAGGCTGTGGCTGCTGATCTGACACGTTGTTTATACCACAGATACACGAGTGAGAGGGCGACACGGAGTAACATTTTGTGCCCTGAAATTGCATTTTGCTTTCGGATTTCACGCAACACTGACAAATTTTAGGCGGAATCTGAAGCTGGCCGTTCACACATTTGTTGTTTTTCTATGTCATCCCTATTTCTCCAAATTCTCCCTTCCCTTAACATTATTTTTATGGAATCTCTTCAATACATACAGTATTAACTCTAGCTAACCAATACCTCAGCATGCTCGACTGCTTGGCTCTTGATCGAAAACTTTGTTTCAACTTGCTATTTCTGACCTTGAAAGCACTTACCTTCAACCAAAAAACAATCGACCACTCGAACCAGATAGTCGAAAGGGAGATGTTTGAATATCCAGGCAGACCAGGGCTGGAAGACTTCGGCCAGTTTGAAGTCTTCGTTGGTTCCGGCGCGTCTTTTCAGAAAATTGTAAGCAGATTTCTAAAATCGTAAACGTAAAATCCCCTTTTTAAATGTAAAAGAACATTTTTCTGTCTGTCTGTCATTCCGAAGCCAATCTATTCTCATTTTGAAAAATTCGAGGCAAAAAATCGGTCTCGATCGTGGGAAAATGGGAATAATTCAAAATCATTTTCAAAGTTTTGGTTTGCGGAGCAGTCAGTCGCAAAAATGTGAATCCGGAGTGCGGTCGGTTTCGAGTGCAGGTGAGTGGTGCAGAGTTGGGTACCTTTGCATATTTTGGATTGTGTAAGTGGTATTGCGATAGGATTTTTTGGAATTTTGTTTTTTAGGGAAAGTGATGAATTTGGGTTAGGGCTTTGATGAAAAGTTGGGAATTTTAGTGAGAGAAAGTTTTGGCTTGAGGAGTAGTCAGTTGCAAAGATGTGAGTGCGGAATGCGGTCGGGTTTGGAGTGCAAGTGAGTGGTGCAGAGTTGGGTAATTTTGCATATTTTGGGTTGAGTACATGGTACTGTGATAGGAATTTTAGGAATTTTGTTTTTTGGGGAAAGTGATGAATTTCGGGTAGGTTTTGACATAAAGTTAGGAGTTTGGAAACCTTTTCACATGCGAGGGGCCGCAGGCCCCGAGCCTTTGGAAAAATTTAAATCAAAAGCTTTAGAGAAAGTTCAAAAGCAAGAGTAAAAGAACAAGTAAAAGTACCAGAAATTGGGGGGCCCGAAGGGACCCCCTAATTTCTGGTCCCCGTTCTTTAAAGCAAAGCCATGGACTCATTTCTGTCTGTTTGTCCGTGAAGCCAAACAATTCTCATTTTGAAAAATTCGAAGCAAAAAATCGGTCAAGATGATGGGAAAATGCAAATTTTTTCAAAAATTCAAAATCATTTTCAAAGTTTTGGTTTCCGGAGCATTCAGTTAGAAAAGGGTCAGTGTGGGGTGCGGTCGGGTTTCAGTTCAGAGAAATGGTGCAGAGTAGCATACCTTTGTATATTTCGAGTTAAAAAATTGGATGAAAAGTTAGGAATTTGAGAAATGTTAGTTTCTATTATACTTCGCATGCGAGGGGGCCGCAGGCCCCCGAGCCCTTTAGTCAATTTATTGTATTGGGTATGGAACCGCATGCGAGGGGCCGGAGGCCCCGAGCCTTTTCTAAAATTTTGTGAAAATTGAAAAGCAAGAGTAAAAAGTTCAAGTAAAAGTACCAGAAATAGGGGGGCCCGAAGGGACCCCCTAATTTCTGGTCGAATTTTCTTACAAGGAAAGTGCTTCTATGGGGTATGGAGTTACAGTTCGAGACAAATATCAAAATCGCAAAATTTTTCTGGTTCAGTATATGTAAAAATTCGCTGCCCAATTTTGGTTTGTAAGGGCGAGAAAATCCTCAGAACTTTTCTCGCAATACTAGGAAAATGCCTTTTTGACCAAGTTTTTATCAATTCAAAAGCTTTGTTTGGAGCTAAAGTAAACCCTGGCATCTTGACAAGCCTTAAAATATCAAATTTGATTAATACTACATCTTAATTAGAAGTCAAATGTAAAGCATTTGCGTGGTGTTGCGAGAAAAGTTGTGAGGATTTTTTCGCCTTTACAAACCAAAATTGGGCAGCTAATTTTTACATATTCTGAATCAGAAAAATTTTACGAATTTTTTGACATCTGTGACTCCATACCGCATAGAAGTACTTTCCTTGTGAAAACAGAAACTACAAGATTGAAAACTTACCCTGTGTTTCTTCAATAATGCCAGAAGAGTATGTTGTGAAGCGAAAAGAGACACATCGGACTGGATCAAGAAGTTGGACCCCGTTCCCAGAAAGCGGATTACTGTAGAAAAAGTCTCTTCGGCCGACATGTAATGCAGCAGAATGGCACACAAGGGATACAAAATCTGAAAGTTCTCGTAATTAAATAATACCTCCAGGGTAAAATGGAAAACAAAGCTTCCGGTGGAGATAATATATACGAGATAACACACCTCGAAACTTTTGTCAAAGAACAGGGAGAACACGTCAAACTTGTCATAAAAGATAACTACTCCGTTTCCGCTAACAAGAAATTATGAATCAGGACTTCCGAATTTGCAGCTGATTAATGTTACAAAATCCATAAAAACAGATCGGAAGGATGAAAGGCACACCTCAGACAAAATTTGGGGCATTGCAATCTTAAGTTTGCGTGATCTATGTCGTGCACCCTTTGTATGAAATCGGCTCGCCCACACTTGCGGGCTGATTCATTTCTTATTTTGCGAGCACGACCTTTGCGGGCAATTTGCTGTGATGTCTCTTTCCGCCTTGTCGAACTGTCCCGGTAATAAGATAGTCTGGGAAACCTCAAGTACAAGCTTTAATGGTTTCTAAAGCTTCATGCTATGCGACTATAGACATGGCCGGAGGGGAGTTAGCTAGCGAAGAGCACGAAAAACTTTTAAAATACTAAAAACGACTGCTAATTTTTTTCTTTCGCCATCATTCGGTGCAATTACAAAAAATTCTATTGATTTCTTCAATTTTAATGCTTACAATGTATCTTTTTGGGCATGCTAATAAATACTTTACTTCTCTTATATGATTCAATCCCTTATCAATTGCAATATTTGATAGTCGTGATATTGTGCCGACTCAAAACCTCAAAAGGAAACATACAATTAAGTAATCCAATTCAATAAAAGTAAACTGCGTTCCTTACAAAATAAAGTGTGTTTGTCTTAATGAGACTTCGATATATAAAGGTATTTATCCAAGAAAAAAGGTTTCAATGAAACTTAACCCTTGTGATGATAATCTCCTTTAAACCACTGATAAGAGAGTCCGGTCATACAGACTTCCGCCTGTAAAAACGTCATTGCTTTTTTTGTTTACCTTACTTTTTCCCAAATCACTGCTATCCTAAATCCGCCTATCAAAAACCCCCCAATAAAAAGTCGAGGAAAAAAGTTCAACAACAATTGGAAAAACCAAAAAAAAAACGTCATGCACGGACCGTCGAACACCATAACCCAGGGCCATTGAACTAGCGTATTGTGTTCCTAATAATCAAAAGAGTAAACAAAGGCGCTCCTCCCTCACTATTTACCTAGCTGATTTTTTAAACCGAACTTTCTATTTGTAGGCCAAGAAGAGACAACCTTCCAAATTACAGTAACCCGAACAGCAATATAAAAGTGCCTTCAAAATTGTCGTAACTTACAGGTACATATCTAAGTTCAGGACGAATGCATTCGACAACGATGAGGACCCTCTGAAGAGCAACTGATCCCAATTGTTTCAGACTATGGTCATCTACAACAATCCCATCCATCGACAGGAAACTGGGCTGGATTGTTTTTACTGAAACAAAAAGAACGGTCAAAAAATATTAGTACAAATGATACTCAATATATAAAACATTCTCGTACCTCCACTTTTCATGAGTTCGTTGAGTTGTTGCTGATAAAGAGCTTTGTTGGTTTCAAAGTCCTTATAATTACATAAAACACGCCATAGATCAGAGCGAATCTCATGTGTAACAGGCCAATCATTGTGTCGAACAAACTTTTTCACCTGAAATTATAGAATTATTTTATTCTATAAGGCTATTAATTACATTTTCAAGTAATTTTCTGGCATTTCGGAGGGTCGGCTGCTGTAAAAAACTTTCACAATTAAATAATCTAGCGACTCTGACGATCAAATCTTTGTCAGTGATCGCCAATAGAGATTCGGAGATACTCAGACTTCTGGAATCTGAATCCTGAGGCTCGTCTTCATCGACTACCGTCAAATGATCCTCTTCCGAATGGGGGTGAGAGGAAGATGGACTGGATTCCAAGTATCCGGAGTCAATTGAAGCCGAACGGAGTTTGTTTCTGACGTCGGGAACAGATCTCTCAGAGTCTTGGCTGCCTTCGAAGCTGGTCGGTTGTTCATCGAAAGATTCCGAGATGGTCAATCCAGACATGGTTACAAAATGATCATCAAAAATATCCTCAGTGGACGAATTCTTGGACGAATGGATGGCTACGTCATCAACAAATGCTGAGTCGTTGGATTGAAGGCTAAAGGGCTGTCGACTTAATCGTTTTAAAGATCTCTTGAACTGGCAATTCACTTCTTTAGAATCATTGCCAGGACTAACGGAGGCGAGCTCGTGTTCATCCAACCGGTTGACGTCTGCTTTATATTCGGTGGACAATCGGAAAAAGGCTTGGCCGTCTGAAGCAAGGATACTTCGAAAACGAGTTGTCGAGACCTGAGACGAACAACAGCTGAGAGTGTCCAGTCGGAAGGATTCTGTCACAATTTGAGAAGACCCTCTGTCCGGGACTGGCTCGGAATGGGAAATTACACTAAGAATGTCAAGGGATTCCATGGCCGAAATAACGGCTGCGTCTGGAGCGAGGCGTGGTCGGTTCTGATCACAGACTGGGGGAGTGCTGGTTCTAAAGGAAACATTTCCAGAGAAATTCAAACAAATTCGAAACGAACGCACATCGCTAAATATTAATCAAAAGATTGCGAATAGAGATGACGCCAGAGATGGGCCATAACCGCATAGTATCAGAAACAATAATAAAACCAGCAACAATCACACACATTGGAACCCATCATTCTCCTAGGCCAAAACGTGATATCTACAATCATCAATAAGGAATGGGGCCTGCTCCATAATTCATGACCTTGGACTGAGTCAGCGAGAGTTTTCCCTGAGGCAAAAAACTAGTATTTTGTGTAAATTCCTCGAGATTAGAGCGCTAATTAAACAAACGTGGCCTCTAATCCGGATCGGGATCTAAGGTTGAGCAAACAATATCTCGCGGGGAAGGGTGAGCGGAGTAAGTGTTGGCCCAAAAAAGTTTGTTTGACTTCAAATAACGACTCCGTTAATAGGCCTTTCAGAAAGTGCGAGCTGTTTTGTTCTTCTATGCGCGTACTTTTACTGCACAAAACTCTACAAAAGAGAGCGGTCGTAGCAAATAAATAAACAGATTCAACTCATGAAATTCTTTCGTAATCGGACCCCTTTTTCACCTTTGTGCGTATTTTAAAGTTTGGGGATAGCATCAACAAGGAGTCTCAATACATTGCCTTTCAAATCATCACTAATAAGATCCGCAAATAAAATTCAAAACAAACAAAAGCCTTTCGAAATTGTTGAAAATTTGGACACTCGGCAATGAGTCAACGGAATATGAGTAATACAAATACAACTAACCGCGGGAAAACTCTTTCAATCGCCAAAGAAAATGAATTACGATCCCACTTGCAACTGCAGCAAAATAACAAACGGCCATATAAAGAGACTTCATTTTCGGAATAAAAAGACAGGGATCAACAACTCCTTATTACAACCCCCGAATCTTTTCAATACCCTCGCTTAACCGCCCACGCCTAGTGACTATAAACAACGCGATTCGGTTACCACCTAAATTGTCGTGTGTCCCTTCGCTTTCCTTTCTGAGTACCTGAATATTCTTCATCTTTTCGGGAAAACCCTCGGTTTCCTTTTGAATCCGTTGGTGTAAATTGCGCGCGGAACGGGAAAGTGAGGTGGAAAGCGGTAATCAAATGGAATTCGACAAAAAAACTCCAGAAAAAACTTCTGCATCTTCCAAAAAACACTACAAATAACGAAGGAATCGGAAATAAATAAAGCCCATTGTCTCCGATTTTCATTAAATTTTTCGGTAATTACGAATGAAATTCAAATTCAAGGAAGAACAAGGGCCGAATCCATATAAGGGGTTCCGGATAAATTCAACTTTTTTTCGGCCATGATGCTCGGCCACGCGTTTCGGCCATACCGAATTTTATGTCCTGCAATTTGCAGAGGTTGCTATGGCCGAAAAGCGTAGCCGAGCATCATGGCCGAAAAAAATTGAACTTACCCGGAAAACCCCTCTTATACGGTGAAAGAATACAGAAGAAGGCAGATGGACGACCTTAAAAGAATCCTCCGAGCCAGTCTTCAAAAGACTCCTGCAAAAGCTCGTTTCAAATATTATTCTTGCGGTTTAAAATTCTTTGTTTTGGAGATGCAACCGGTCCCACCCGATTTGAACCCTCGCTCCTGAACTGACATTTTCTAATGTAACTTAAAAGGCTCCATGGAGTCATAATTAATCAAAGCCGAGGAATCAAATGCAGTTCTATACCGGCCGGAGAGCAAAACTGAAAACAAATAAAATTCGGTCTAAAATACGAAAACAGAGTGTAAATAAAGATATCGTACAGTGGCCTGAATCAACACGACGATTGTTCAACTATCCAATTCTCTGGCCAATAGAAAAGGGCCTCCCTTTACAAAAAATCCGTGTACATTTCGAAGGGACGCTATAAAAAATCAAACAAAATAACAGAACATTACTCTCTCGAAGGAGAATATAAATCTCAGCAAACAGTCGCCCATAATCGGATCTCTGTTTTAGACAAAGGGACCCAAACAAAACATTTAAATTGGAGTAATGACCCGAATTCCGCGTAAAAAGTTGCAAGCCAACATAACATAGACCACTGGAAAAGAAATCGAATTCGTATTGATAATCGGAGCTATACTTCCAGAGACCACCAAAAGTTTAAAAGGCCAAAAGTTAATTACAGAAGCGGAACCTAAAATAACTTCTTTTCGGCTGCAGAACTCAAAACAAGACCCTAAATCTGTTTAAATCGGAGCCCAATACTTTAATCCCCATCTTCTGAACATCAGACCCCACTAAATATAACGGGAAAATAAGACGATGTTGTTATGGAGATACGAAAATAAATTACACCGACTATACGAAATTATCCGCCCATATATGGCGTGGTTATCTATGAGTGTTTACCACGGTTTGGAAACTATGAGTAAATAGAAGATGGATAGCAACTTATCGTGTATACAATAATCTGGGGCAACTGATTGCGTAACATGTTGTTTCCGATCTCTTGAGGACACTCAAGACTCATTTTCTTACCAAACTATTATCAAAAAGCGAAGCACTTATGACTTTCTGCATACTTCACACGACTTAAAAAAATGCAAATACAGTCAGAAAATTATATTTTAATTGAAACCACTCCAATTCAAATTCAAAAAAGAAGCTAATCCTTCAGAAAGGACAATTCTACATTAATAAACGACCTTCTAAGATGTCAACAAAGTACCTGCAAAACGTTTACAAAATGCCCGCCCAAAATAGCGTAGAGCCAAAAAGAAGGAGATAGGTTATCAGAGAGTAAACAAGGCGATTCGAGGACCCTCAAGAAGCCTGATCAGCTTCCGAGCAGACCATCTCAGAAATGGGGGGAAACAACGCCCGAGAGCATCGTCCCGACCCTTGTCCAGCTCTCCTTTCTTCCTGTTTCAACGGTCATTCCAAAGGTTTGTGTCGTGTTATCTGATTCCATTTCACAAATTCAAGGTTCATATCGGGTTTCATAAAGACCAAAATACAAAATTAAGTAAAATTAAGAAAATTGACTACATGAGGACGTAATTAATAGCTCAGCTCGCTTTAATACCATTTAATCAAAATCGCTTTCACGACCTTTAAAAAGCTTAATTAATGAGATAATTTGCGATTCCCGCAATAATCATCCTTTCGGCAGCCGACTTCCCCGAAAGTGGTTTATCTTCGCCTACCTGTTGTTTTCGATTCATCTGAAGCATATACTGGAGTTCGGCAATACTGCCATAAGGGATGTCACAGGGTTGTTTTCGGAGATCGGTATAACTCGTAAATGTCTGTAAAGGTCAAACTTCTGTAGGATTTTAAAACTTTTCTCACCTGTTTGTCATCTATAGTGCTCGGTCTAGAGACCTTGGTGCCGGGAATGGCTGTGCTTCTCTGCTTCGGCCCTAATCTCAAAGATCTTCGGACGACTATCGACAACCGTGAGAAAAGACCGGAACTCTGGGATGCGTTGGATGCCCGCACAAAGCCCACTCGGCCAGGCTTTTCGTCCTCATCCCATTCGAAGTGGACGGACTGGCGCGGCTTTTCTGAATCGCCTGCCGGACCGATGGACGACTTCTGATTCTTGATGTCATTGTGATTGTTTGCATTCAATTCTGTTCGGAAAGCCTCCCCCACCTCGGTCATACCCTGCAAAAAATTATGAAACTTGAGAAAATTTAATATCTGGTGGATCCAGATATCTCAACTACAACAGAAAAAATTCACACTCCTTCACGTAAATCCATAAAACGCGTCCCTCGGAAAGAGAAAATCCCCACAAGCGCCATAGAATAGCCAGGAGGAGAGCGGACCTCTGGCCATTATTCCCTTCCGCATATTTTATGCCCTCCGGCGTTACGAGTTTTAAAAAGCGCCGGAACTCCCGAACTACTTGTAATAAGGCGTCACAGCCCGCAAAGACACGCTCTTTCGATCCGAAATTATAAACATTTGGTTGCATAATGCCGTCGTCTCTGATCACCCAATTAGTCGGAGGAGTTGTCAAAGAATAATATCGAGGATACAGAGTATTACGATAGGCTAAAGATTATACAACCTTCGACAGATGGAATTGGTGATTCAAGAAGTCAGTAAATTAACGAATAAATAAAGAAATGAGTTATAAGCAACACAGTGAGTTACGCAACCATATTAATCATGTCTCGCTAAATTAATAAAAAGTAAAACAATCGTAAATCGTGGCTTATCAGAACAGCAACAATTAGTGTATTGGGGTCCTTATCTTCGCATTCGTGAAGGAGTCAATTACTTTTTAAGACTTTTACTTTTCCGAAAAAATAAATTTTCGATTTTTAGACTCTGGCATAACGCCACAGTCCTGTCCCCGCCCCACCACGAAAACATTTCTTAAAAAATAAGAAAATGTTGAACGTGTAAGAAGAGCGGATTGATTTACCAAGTATAAGTCTTGAATGGCTGACTCCGATTCTGACGATTCATTCCATAGTGCATTTGGAGATGATCAGGATGAAGAACAACCTCATGAACAAGGCTATAAGCACCCAGATGAGGCGACCGAAGAAGTAATTCGATCACGTGATAAGACGGTAATCAAAGTGAGTTTTTGCATCTTTTTTAAATCGAAGTATAGGAAGAACCTGTCGATCACAACAGTTCGGAACGATTTGCCGAACCGAAAGATGTTTATGAAGAAAGTTTCGTCTCAAGCGACAAAAATACACGTGAAAGGCTCCATATAGAAGAGAATCTGAACGACGTTGATAAGACCTTAACATCCGATAATGAAATTAAACCCTCGTCTGATGGCTGGGAGGAAAATTGGGGCGATGAAAGCTCGGATTCAGATTGGGAAAATTGGGGCGAAAAAGAAGAGGAAAGGAATAAAAAACACCATCTAAAACATGTTCGACCGACAGTACATGACATTCCAAGCGATTCTACAGAAGCTGAGGAAGAAGTGGATAAAAGTAAGAAGAGAGAACGGCAATTGGAACATCAGAGTCAGAGTATTTGGGATTGGAGTGGTTTTAGTGAGGCGGTCAGTGCCGTTGGTAAGTTAATTTTATTATCTATTTTTGTTATTTGAGGTGATAAGATATCCAATGTAGTGGAGACTGGGTTGGGACTCCCCGCACCTGAAGAAATGGCCCAATTGTCGATCTCGGAAAGGAGGAAACTTCTCGAGGAAGCTCAGAATGCAAAAGAGCCAGAACCGTCCCTATCATCTGATGAGGCGACAGAGCCTCAGTCTCCTTCACCTTCAGGAATACCAAACATCCCGACCTCGGGCTTTGGCGGGTTATTTTCTGGGCTCATGAATGGAGGATTAGATGTGTTAGAGAGTTTGGGAAAGAAGACATTTGAGACCTTAACAGTTAAGGATGAGGTGAGTGAGTATTTTGTTTTTTTTTTTAATAATTTTCTTACCTTCATGTTTTCAGACGGAACGAAGAAAGTTCTTTCTCTCAGCCGTTGATTCTAGTGATGCAAGTTTGTCCGAGATGTTGAAGGAAGTTAAGAAAAACAAGGATTTTGAGACAGATGTAAATCCATCCAGAAAGGCCCGATTTGGTTATGGGAGCGCAAACTTGGAGAATGCGGAAACAAATTTCATCACTTTGTTTGAGAGGAACGAAGGAATGGTCCACTTGGAAGGCCTTGAATTGATCTCATCTTCTCAGAAGCAACGGATTACAAGTGATTTCAACGAAGTGTAAGTCAACTTAATTAATCAAAGTATAAGAGTCCTTTTTTAGATTTGACGAAAAAATTAATGAATTTATTGTTGAGGATGTGAGTGAATGTGGAACCGATGATTTTGTATACGAAATGAAGAAGTGCCTAAGTGGAGTAGATCTTCCTTTTAAAGCAGATAATGTGCTGAAAGCAGATAAAGAGTTGGTAAATGAATTGGAGAAGACGCAGCGGACAGTTGACCAGGGGCTTGAATCCGGTGTTGAGGTCATGCATCAGAAGGCCATTCAGAGTTTGGCCAAGTTTACTGCACATTCCATTCAGGTCAGAGAAATTCGTTGTTAACTACTTCGGTATATGCGAATATATTTTCTCATCATGGATTTCAGGCCTTGCACAAGATATCTCAACTTATGTTATTGCAAGATGAACCTTCGGATCTCGAGTCAGTGTTTGCCTTTACTTTCGTTTTATGTCGTCGTCTTTCATTTTACGCTTCTCAATACGCAAACCTGCTGAGTGTTTTGGATTCGTCAACAACTGTAAGTTTAACACTTTTATTATTATCCTTGATTTAGGTGGATAATGTAGTAACGAACATCTTCTTCGAGTGCTCTAACGCCTGTCATTACGTGAAGAAGGCGCTGTCATTACTAAAACCCCTTTTTTGTAAATAGATTTTTTTTGTATGATAGTAGAACTGGGTTCCGATGTGTTAACAGATTTCTTGCGGGTGGAATTGTTTATAGAGAGGTGAAATGCTTATCGTTGACTTCTCCAATTGTTGCAGTGTTTTCTATAAAACGTGTTTTTATTGTCATTTGATTCATAAATACGTGCAAATTTTTGAGCCTAAATATTGAGAAAAGAAGTCTGCACCTCTACGAAAATATTTGAAATAAATTTTTTATAAAATTTTTGAACATCCAGGCTGGTCGGTCATGGATTTCTTCAAAAATGCCGTCAAAACGGCACAGGAGATGAAGAAATCAGTAATGGAAGTGAGTAAAGAGATACAAGTAGCCAAGCAAAGGGGAAGATCCAAGAGCCCTGATGGGAAAGTATGTTAGGTTCGGCATTCGTAAAGGTGAAATAGGTTCAAAAAGTGAGTATGAATACCATGGAGGGCCTGGAAGACAGAGTATCTGGATTTGGAGTGTACAAGGAAATGAAGACTAACATGTTCCACATCATTCTTGTCGATTCTCAAGAATCTGTTTACAGAACGAGCTCTCAAGAAGAAGCAAAGGCAGTAATGCAACAACTAAATCAACATAGTACTCTGATCAAGGCTGCTGGTAGGCTGGGTAATTGTATATAATAAAGTTGCAGTAATATCAGGACGACTGGAGGATTTCTGTAATCAGATCAGGGCACACAATGATTGGGCCGACATCCATTTGGCTAGTTATCTGAACTTTGAGGATTACGTAATCAATGAATGTAAGAAGAGGGATCCGGTGGTGGTCTTAAATAGGGCGACTGCTCTCGATGGACGATTTCCTCTTCATTTGGCTGCAGAACGAAGACATGTAGCTTTGGTGGTGAAGATGTTGAAATTAGGGGCGGACATGAGAAAAAGCGATATATCCGGGAGAAATGCACTTCACTATGCTGCGATGCATGACTCGGCTTTGATAAGGGTAACTGTTTGAAAGTTTAGAACGTATTCTAGGCTCTTAAAAAGCACTCGGCGGACCACTTCGCTGCGGCTTTACAACAGCGAGATAAACGAGGATACACTCCATTGCACTGTGCACTCCAAACCAATCATCAAGATACCATCGAATTCTTGATTGATTCTGGAGCCAAAGTAACTGCCGATCATGGACTCGTGGCTGGATTAAGTGCGCTGTAAGATTGGCGGTTGTTTTGTCATATTTTTCAGTGGCCTTGATTCTATCTTGGCCAGAGATCCGGCGGTTGTTAGTCCAGACAACACGTCCAACATCTTCCACCAGAAGATTGAAAAGAAGGTGGGTTGGAGAAGATAAGGTGATGAGGAAAGACCGTTTGTTAGGAACTAATTGTATGCTTAATTATAGTACCTAAAAGTGGCAAATAAGAGAAATCCAAGGATGTTGAGTCAGAAGAATGAACGCGGCCGAACGCCAGCCCATAATGCCGTTCTTCGAGATGATCTTGACGGCCTAGTCAACTTAGTCGCTTATGGTGCAGATGTTGCGGAATCAGACGAGGATGGAAATACTCCATTGCATCTCGCAACGTTGCAGCAAACTCCAGTAATCATAAAGTTTCTAATTGCCATGGATGGAGGGACACAAGAAAGGAACAAGGAGGACAAGACACCCTCAGATTTATGCGGAACGTAAGTGCGCTTAGAGCTAAAGTTTGCTCTTTTTAGTGTGGAATGTGCCAAGATCTTCCAGTTGTATAACCAGAGCCTCGCCTTGTCCGACAAAGGATCCGGTAAAGAACTTCCGCGTAAGTTTGATCAAAACGTGATGGAATATGAGGTTGTAGCCATTATTAAGACAGCACAACAAGCATCGATTCTTTATCAAACAAAGCCGGATTCCCGCGAAAACGGGCTTCGACTCCTCTCTTTGGATGGCGGTGGTATCAGAGGAATAGCTCTGGTGATGATATTGATCCACATAGACAAGCAGATAGCAAACGGAAACATCATTGATTACATCGATTGGGTCGCCGGCACATCCACTGGAGCCATTTTATCTCTGGCTTTGGCTGCCGGGACTTCCCTTCGTGACTGTCTCAACCTCTATCTCAGACTAAAAGACGACGTTTTCTCTGGTCCACGCCCTCATGACGTCGGTCCGTTAGAGGCTTGTTTAAAGGAAAAATTTGATGCAAAAACAATGGCGGATCTCAATCAGAAGATTAAAGTTATGGTTACGACAACCAAGGCCGATGTCCATCCACCCGAACTCATCTTGTTTAGGAACTACGAGCTTCCAGAAACCCAGGTTAAGAGCTTCAAACCAAAAGATGTTCACGTTTGGAAGGCAGCAAGGTGTTCCAGGTTTGTGTTCGAATAGACTGTAGAAGTTTCCAGTGCTGCTCCGACCTATTTTGCCAGCTTCGACAATACTTATCTTGATGGTGGATTAATGGCCAACAACCCGAGTCTTGATCTTCTCAATGAGGTTCATATCTATAATATCAGCAAACAACTTAACGTAAGTTGCAGAAAATCTTCAATCATCGTTTCTAGGAACAAGACCCTGACCCCATTTCTTTGCTGCTCTCTTTGGGTACCGGTAAATGCAAATCGAAGCCGATGTCAGCGATAGATCTCGAATTGCCAAAGTCGTTTAGTTGGACATCTGTTGTTAGCACCGCCTTTTCTTCGATGAATACCCTCAAGAATCTAAAGAACATCTTTGTGGAACAATTGGCCGCTTCTGATGGACAGGTGGTGGAGAGGTCTCGAGGATGGTGTCACTCACTGAGGACCCCCTTCTTCAGGTTCACCCCAACTTTGCACACTGAGATCCCATTGAATACATGCAGCAACACTGAGATTGTAGATCTCATGTGGCAGACAAAGTTATACTGCATAAGTAGATCAGACCAGGAGATCGAAGAGGTCGTCAGGTTACTTAGAGCAAACGATAAATAGAAAATGATCTCACAAACTAAGTTATCATAAATATAATTATTACAGTTATGGATTATTACTTTTTGAGGCATTATGAGTTATAAAAACAGAACGAAATGACTAGACAATTGAGATACTCGAGAGAGATCGGGGCACAAAAAAAATGAAATTAGAGGTCTTTGGAGACACTGACGAATATATTCTTCGCAATTTCCGGAGTCATCTGATTGGGCAGCCAGATCTGAGGGATCAGGAAATTCAACCACCATCTCTTCCCAAACACAAGGGCCAATCGTTCAGAATAATTATTACCATCCGATTCCAGGCGATCTCTCAGTCTTCCGACATGATAGTCGTGCATTGTGTAGCCTTGCAGAGTGTAAAACATCTAAAACAACAGTAAAATTGTCTTTATTAACACACCTGAGCACCAAAGAAACCGGCGGATGCCAGTGTTGTGGCAACCGAAGCACATGCGAGGACTGAGAACATCATGTTAAATAATGTATCATAGCCGAAAAACCATCTGACGAGGGCAATCGGGGCCACAAAGCGGAGCCATTCGTAAGGAAACCACTGGTTTACAAGTTTGTAATGGATGTACTTCAAAGTAAAGTAGCTACCATACAGGGATCCGATACAGGCCCAGATCAGAAACACAATAAAAAAACGCTGGAACGAGAACCTTGCAATAGGGAACAAATTTGTTACCTGGTTGGCAAGTCCAACGCATCCACCAGTCAGAAAACAATGATGATCCTTCCTCAACACGCAGATCTCACATAAAGGACAATGATGAGACCGTCTGGGCATGGTCTGTTTGCATTCCATACAGTATTTATGTTTGTTATTCGGAACTTCTTCTGGCACAAATACTTCCTTCCGGTAAACGCCTTCCTTAGTGATCACAAGTCTTCCATTCCTCTTTACATCCTCATTGCTCTCTTCTTCTTCATTCTCAATCAACACTCTTTCTTCTTCCTTTTTCGGGATAACTGAACTCTTCACGGTCCAATACGAAATCTAATAAGAAAATAATGTAATCACGGAAAAGCTCACCTGGTTTTTGACGTTGTAGTAATGAAATAAGTAGAGATTAACCAAGATCTCCGACAATATTACAAAAGCATGCCAAAATACGGGGTAGCAAGCATCAGAACCGTAAAGTCCAGGACATGTGTAGAATAAGTTAAGTAGCGTTATTCCGAAGATTACAATAACTGAGTAGAGAACCCCTGAGAAGTTTGCACACCAGTACTTCCATGTTCGGCTGTTGATCCGCATTTCTAAACGACGTTAATCATGGGTTTTGTAAGATTGCTAAGGTATATATAGGGTACATAACCCGACGACCATTAATTAATTTTCTGTTAGATTTATTCATTCGAGGGAACACGGGTGTTAAAGAGGAGATCAGTGATAATAAAATTTTCGGAGGTGAATATTTAAATAAAAGGCACAAAGTACAGTAATAATCTCAACATTGGTATGATATGAACGTACAAAATAAAAAAAAACGAATTAAAAGTCATGGTCGTTTTAGATAGCTAGTTAGAACATCCAAGACCTCGGGCGGAGCTCTTCTGGCAAGTATCAACGGAGTCTCTCCTGCTTTATTCAAAGCCGCCATATCGATTCCAGGGGTGTCGAGCAAATATTTGATGGTGGTAATCTGATTTACAATATCCGAATTCGAGTTGATGGCAAGGTGAAGAGGAGTGAGGTTTCCATTCGACCGGCAGTTAACATCTACACCATGTTTTAGTAATAGACCAACAATTTGATAAGCACCCCAACAGGCAGCCGAATGGAGGACTGTCCAACCATCCTCGGTGCGAAGTTCTGGATCAGCTCCTAAACCAAAAGATTTGACTTCCCGACTATTTGGATTGAAGACAGTTCGGGCAACACAAAATCGATGGATACGCGGCGTAGGATAGGCAAAGATTCAGAAAAAGCTCGAAAAGAGACGAGCTTGCGGAAGCGGTTGGATTTTTGGCGGAGACGTGGCGAAGATTTACAAATGATCATTTTTTAAAATTTTAGCCGTAACTAACCTTAGTTTTCTTGACCCTGAGCTACTGTACCATAGAAAAAAAAATTCCAGAAAAAAATCCTTAAGTTTTATCTGGATATTATTGGTGTAAGTACATTAAAAATACTTCAAAATAGGTCATAAACTATCCTAGGACCTGAGAAATCGTATTATATCAATTAGTTAAGCCTTTTCCAAGTCTCCCACATGCATACAAAACGACGAACCGAGGAAACCTAAAGTATCGTCAACCCGAACTGTCGCTGACGCGAAACGCTGTAGTGTCAAACATATTGCTGTAAATAAATCCCCCCATCTTCTGAAACGCATACACCAAATCAAATGAATTACCGACAGAAAGAAGCCATCGCAAAGTTTCCACTTGGTTATTGTATGCCGCTCGATGTAGAGGAGTGTAATGATCTCGATCTCTGACGCCCAATAAACTCGGATTATTCTCGAACATGGCCTTTAATGTCTTCAGATCTCCAATCTCGGCCGCGGTGAGGAACCTCTCACTCTCATTGTCCGGATCTCCTGGTTCCAGTCCGGTTTCATCTTCCTCCCAACCAGAAACAAACATACTTGGCTGGTTCTTCTTTTCCTCTCGTATTTTATCCCACAATTCACTCTAAAAAAGGAATCATAAAAAAAGACGTAACTCAGCTAATCCGCACTTATGCTACGATCAACATGAACTCACATTTAATTCTTGTAAAGAGTCACGGGCTTCATCGCCCATCTCCAGATCATCGGCATCTCCGTAAAGATCCGTATTATCGCTGCATTCCATTTCCTTGAGCTCTTCCGTGGCCTTGTTAATACCTTCTTCCTGCGTATCCATACCTTCGTCCATTCTTATAAGTTCCTCATAAAGTTTCTTCGACTTTCTTTCTCCTTTTCCGAAAGTCGAATATTTGCAGATGGATTTCTTTTTGGTTCAAAAAGACATTTTATACGATGAAATCTTTATCTGTTTATCGCGAAATTTTTTACAAATTTGTTAGGAGAAGGCTTAGTTAGTAGAAATAATAAGATTTGTCTGGTTTTAGGATAACTTAAGGAAACCTCAGTATTTTCTTTGACCTCGAAAGGGCCCACTCCGTACGTTCTCACCCCGAAAGTACGACCCCGAAAGGGCGACCCCGAAAAGGCGACTCCGAAAGGGCAGTAACCCGTTGGCATGGCAGCTAAAAATTTTTTTGTTTGGCTAGCCAAAGTTTCAGAATAGCTGTGAAGCCTTGAAAATACCTAGGCAAAAGAATGGAATTGGTGTCAAAGAGTAGGAGTGAAAGCCGAAAGAAATCTGCCCCAAATGAAAAGCCCGCAATAAAATCTACCCCAAATGAAGCCTAGCCAAGGTGGTTGTAAATTTTAAAAAATGTAACAGATTTTTTTTTAATTTTGATGTAACGCTGCTAGAAATGAAGTTATAATGGCAAATTTGTTGTAATTGTAAACACTAGGGTTGTGAATTTGACGGAATTTTTCAAAATGACGTCAAATTGCATCCAATTGCCGTCATTTTCGTCATGTTAGCTAAATTGAAAACTCTGGTATAAAGCTTTTACATAGAATACGATAAATATCGTTCAAATTGGTCATAATTAATTTTACTGCTTATCTAATCGGTCGTTTTGACAATAGGGAGCAATTTAGGTCCTAAAAGTTTTAAATTCTTATCATTTTTTAGCAAAATCAAAAAAAAAAATTTTCAAAAAAGTTCGAAACATTACAGAATAAAATTTTAAAATCCCAAGTTTCGCCTTTTTTGGAGCCAAATTGCGCCCGTACCAGGCCGAACACTCTGATATTACACTAGGCACTAATAAAAAATAAAGTGTATTAGAGATGTCGGAGTGAACTGACGCGACCTACACCATTCGAAACATTACTGAATGAGATTTTAAAATCCCAAGTTTCGCCTTTTTGGAGCCAAATTGCGCCCGTACCAGGCCGAACACTCTGATATTACACTAGGCACTAATAAAAAATAAAGTGAATTAGAGATGTCGGAGTGAACTGACGCGACCTACACCATTCGAAACATTACTGAATGAGATTTTAAAATCCCAAGTTTCGCCTTTTTTGGAGCCAAATTACGCCCGTACCAGGCCGAACACTCTGATATTACACTAGGCACTAATAAAAAATAAAGTGTATTAGAGATGTCGGAGTGAACTGACGTGACCTACACCATTCGAAACATTACTGAATGAGATTTTAAAATCCCAAGTTTCGCCTTTTTTGGAGCCAAATTGCGACCGTACCAGGCCGAACACTCTGATATTACACTAGGCACTAATAAAAAATAAAGTGAATTAGAGATGTCGGAGTGAACTGACGTGACCTATACCGTTCGAAACATTACAGAATAAAATTTTAAAATCCCAAGTTTCGCCTTTTTTGGAGCCAAATTGCGCCCGTACCAGGCCGAACACTCTGATATTACACTAGGCACTAATAAAAAATAAAGTGTATTAGAGATGTCGGAGTGAACTGACGTGACCTATACCGTTCGAAACATTACAGAATAAAATTTTAAAATCCCAAGTTTCGCCTTTTTTGGAGCCAAATTGCGCCCGTACCAGGCCGAACACTCTGATATTACACTAGGCACTAATAAAAAATAAAGTGTATTAGAGATGTCGGAGTGAACTGACGTGACCTATACCGTTCGAAACATTACTGAATGAGATTTTAAAATCTTAAATTTCGCCTTTTTTGGAGCCAAATTACGCCCGTACCAGGCCGAACACTCTGATATTACACTAGGCACTAATAAAAAATAAAGTGAATTAGAGACGTCGGAGTGAACTGACGTGACCTACACCATTCGAAACATTACTGAATGAGATTTTAAAATCTTAAATTTCGCCTTTTTTGGAGCCAAATTGCGCCCGTACCAGGCCGAACACTCTGATATTACACTAGGCACTAATAAAAAATAAAGTGAATTAGAGATGTCGGAGTGAACTGACGCGACCTATACCGTTCGAAACATTACAGAACAAAATTTTAAAATCCCAAGTTTCGCCTTTTTTGGAGCCAAATTGCGCCCGTACCAGGCCGAAAACTCTGATATTACACTAAGCACTAATAAAAAATAAAGTGAATTAGAGATGTCGGAGTGAACTGACGTGACCTATACCATGCGAAACATTACAGAACAAAATTTTAAAATCCCAAGTTTCGCCTTTTTTGGAGCCAAATTGCGCCCGTACCAGGCCGAAAACTCTGATATTACACTAAGCACTAATAAAAAATAAAGTGAATTAGAGATGTCGGAGTGAACTGACGTGACCTACACCATTCGAAACATTACTGAATGAGATTTTAAAATCTTGAATTTCGCCTTTTTTGGAGCCAAATTGCGCCCGTACCAGGCCGAAAACTCTGATATTACACTAAGCACTAATAAAAAATAAAGTGAATTAGGGATGTCGGAGTGAACTGACGTGACCTATACCGTTCGAAACATTACAGAATAAAATTTAAAAATCCCAAGTTTCGCCTTTTTTGGAGCCAAATTGCGCCCGTACCAGGCCGAAAACTCTGATATTACACTAAGCACTAATAAAAAATAAAGTGAATTAGAGATGTCGGAGTGAACTGACGCGACCTATACCGTTCGAAACATTACAGAATAAAATTTTAAAATCCCAAGTTTCGCCTTTTTTGGAGCCAAATTGCGCCCGTACCAGGCCGAAAACTCTGATATTACACTAAGCACTAATAAAAAATAAAGTGAATTAGAGATGTCGGAGTGAACTGACGTGACCTACACCATTCGAAACATTACTGAATGAGATTTTAAAATCTTAAATTTCGCCTTTTTTGGAGCCAAATTGCGCTCGTACCAGGCCGAACACTCTGATATTACACTAGGCACTAATAAAAAATAAAGTGAATTAGGGATCTCGGAGTGAACTGACGTGACCTGTACCGTTCGAAACATTACAGAATAAAATTTTAAAATTCCAAGTTTCACATTTTTCGGAGCCAAATTGCGCCCGTACCAGGCCGAACACTCTGATATTACACTAGGCACCAATAAAAAATAAAGTGAATTAGGGATGTCGGAGTGAACTGACGTGACCTATACCGTTCGAAACATTACAGAATAAAATTTTAAAATCCCAAGTTTCGCTTTTTTGGAGCCAAATTGCGCCCGTACCAGGCCGAACACTCTGATATTACACTAGGCACTAATAAAAAATAAAGTGAATTAGAGATGTCGGAGTGAACTGACGCGACCTATACCGTTCGAAACATTACAGAATAGAATTTTAAAATCCCAAGTTTCGCCTTTTTTGGAGCCAAATTGCGCCCGTACCAGGCCGAAAACTCTGATATTACACTAAGCACTAATAAAAAATAAAGTGAATTAGAGATGTCGGAGTGAACTGACGCGACCTATACCGTTCGAAACATTACAGAATAAAATTTTTGAAATCCCAAGTTTCGCCTTTTTTGGAGCCAAATTGCGACCGTACCAGGCCGAACACTCTGATATTACACTAGGCACTAATAAAAAATAAAGTGAATTAGGGATGTCGGAGTGAACTGACGTGACCTACACCATTCGAAACATTACTGAATGAGATTTTAAAACCCCAAATTTCGCCTTTTTTGGAGCCAAATTGCGCCCGTACCAGGCCGAACACTCTGATATTACACTAGGCACTAATAAAAAATAAAGTGAATTAGAGATGTCGGAGTGAACTGACGTGACCTACACCATTCGAAACATTACTGAATGAGATTTTAAAATCTTAAATTTCGCCTTTTTTGGAGCCAAATTGCGCCCGTACCAGGCCGAACACTCTGATATTACACTAGGCACTAATAAAAAATAAAGTGAATTAGAGATGTCGGAGTGAACTGACGTGACCTACACCATTCGAAACATTACTGAATGAGATTTTAAAATCTTAAATTTCGCCTTTTTTGGAGCCAAATTGCGCCCGTACCAGGCCGAACACTCTGATATTACACTAGGCACTAATAAAAAATAAAGTGAATTAGGGATGTCGGAGTGAACTGACGTGACCTACACCATTCGAAACATTACTGAATGAGATTTTAAAATCTTAAATTTCGCCTTTTTTGGAGCCAAATTGCGCCCGTACCAGGCCGAACACTCTGATATTACACTAGGCACTAATAAAAAATAAAGTGAATTAGGGATCTAGGAGTGAACTGACGTGACCTACACCATTCGAAACATTACTGAATGAGATTTTAAAATCCCAAATTTCGCCTTTTTTGGAGCCAAATTGCGCCCGTACCAGGCCGAACACTCTGATATTACACTAGGCACTAATAAAAAATAAAGTGAATTAGAGATGTCGGAGTGAACTGACGTGACCTACACCATTCGAAACATTACTGAATGAGATTTTAAAATCTTAAATTTCGCCTTTTTTGGAGCCAAATTGCGCCCGTACCAGGCCGAACACTCTGATATTACACTAGGCACTAATAAAAAATAAAGTGAATTAGAGATGTCGGAGTGAACTGACGTGACCTACACCATTCGAAACATTACTGAATGAGATTTTAAAATCTTAAATTTCGCCTTTTTTGGAGCCAAATTGCGCCCGTACCAGGCCGAACACTCTGATATTACACTAGGCACTAATAAAAAATAAAGTGAATTAGGGATGTCGGAGTGAACTGACGTGACCTACACCATTCGAAACATTACTGAATGAGATTTTAAAATCTTAAATTTCGCCTTTTTTGGAGCCAAATTGCGCCCGTACCAGGCCGAACACTCTGATATTACACTAGGCACTAATAAAAAATAAAGTGAATTAGGGATCTAGGAGTGAACTGACG